GAGGAGTTGGAACAAGGGCTGGTCCCAGAGGTAGAAATGCCAACAAGTTCTTCGAGAAGTACTATTTCACATGATCTCACTTCTACCACCACTACCCCAGATCCGCTGAATGAATTATCGCAGCAGTTGTCACAATTATTAGCCATTATGACGATGCAACAAAAGGAACAAAATGCATTAAGGGAAGAACTGGCTACGATCAAAGCTGACCGACAGAACCAACAGCTACTCACCTCGAAAGGGGCAAGTTCGATCGAAATTGAGGAGAAAAAGCCGTGTTTGGAGCCAAAACTTACCAACAACGAACGAATAGGAAGAACCAGGTGTGCGGACCCACCTACTTTCAGTGGAGAACGAGGGGAATTGGACAATTTCCTTGCAGCATGCCACATGAACTTCGAATTCAAAGGGGCAGAGTACGCCACCGATCGCAGAAAGATCCTGTTCATGTACGGTTACCTACGGGGTACCCCTCAAATGCTCTTAACTCCGGCCATAACCAACCCAAGTATATGGAATTTGACCGAATGGCTAGAGACATACGATAAATTCATTCAACACTTAAGGACACAATTTGGGGACAGCAACATGGTTGGCACCGCTATGCGGAAACTACAAGAGCTACGACAGACCGACACCGCAGCGGAATATTTTGCAAACTTCGAATTATGGTCAACTCATCTCGGAAAGGTACCCGATGCGATGAAAATCGCATCAGCCATACAGGGCCTGAAAGTGGTAGTGGTGAATAACACCGACCCTCGAACCAAGTCGGATTGGATCTACTTCAAGCAACACGTAATAGGAACTGAGGAGAATCAACAGATGGCTGAAACGATGATTGCAGCAAACCAATGGGCTGCTAGGCGTAAAAATGAAACGACATGGATCCCCCCCACGATCGAACTCGACACGATTGGATAGTAATCTTTCGAACCCTGTGCAACAAACCCCGCAGTCAGGTGGTAGGGGACCATTGCCAGGTGGGAAACCAGGGATGATGAATTTTGGTCTACCAAATGACCCTCCGGTCACTTGGACAGAGGACGGAGGACGCCCCAGTGAGAACAAAATGACTTGGCGAAGGGAGAACCGACGCTGTCTCAAGTGTAGGAGCCCAGAACATTATGCCAATAACTGTCCAAATGGAGGAAACGTGAGGAACAACATTAGAGGATCCCCAAACCCGCATGGGTCACCAATTCCTAGTGGATCGAACTTAATTCCAACTGGATCCAAAGGGCCATTAGTTCGAGGAATGGTGGTGACCTTTGAAGAAGAGGGAAACGACTACCTGGCCTAAGTGATGCAACCACTTGCGGCCAGGATCTAACAGAATTGCACAAAATTCAACTACCAATAGATCTTAGTAATGACTCGGCTATAATAAACATAAAAATACAGACAAAAGAAGATACCCTACGATTTGGAATGCTAATTGATACCCGGGCTACCGGAAGATACGTACAGCCAGCCTGTCCATTATACCATCTATTCCCAAAGAGACAGTATCAGGAACCACGGAAGATTAGGTTCCTCGATGGAACAACCGCGACGTTAGTGACTGAGTATGTAGAAGCCAAATTGGATTTAGGAGAAGGACTCAAGATTGCGACTCGATTGGATGTGATGGCATACAAAGGCCCTGAGGTACTGGTGGGATTGGACTTCTTGAAACAGTTCAGGGCAAGGATCGATTGTGGAAAGGGATTGATCGAGTTCGATGGAATCGGACAGGATAACGGTTGGAAGTATCCAAGATTGGAGGAAGGATTGGTAAGAGGAACAGCATTGGAAAAAGGAGAAGATGAGATGAGCGAAGAAGAGTTACGACAAGTCATACCGACACAATGGCACCAATACCTGGAGCTATTCAAAGTGGAACGAGCCAGAAAACTACCACCAAGAAGAGAATGTGATCACGAGATCGAGTTGACCCCTGGAGCAGAACTAAAGCCAGGCCCAATATACCAACTGGATGAACATGGGGACGCATTCCTAAAGCAATGGATCAATGACGGCTTGGCCAGCGGCCATTTACGAAGAAGTAAATCACCTTATGGATCTCCTGTATTCCTGGTTCCCAAAAAGGGGGTGATTCCCTATCGAGTGGTAACGGATTATCGGGCGCTTAACAAGGTAACCATCAAGGATTCATACCCAATGCCACTCATCTCGACACTACTCGATCGGCTTCAATTAGGAAGGATCTTCACCAAACTCAATTTAAAAGGAGCCTACCAGTTAGTCAGGATAAAGGAAGGAGATGAACATAAAGCTGCCTTACGGACAAGATATGGTAGTTTCGAGAGCACGGTGCTAAGGGATGGGCTGTGTAATGCACCAGCCACCTTTCAGAACTTTCTACAAGACATGTTTCACGATCTACTTGACGAAGGGGTAGTAGTTTATATCGACGACATCACGGTATACTCCGTCACGATCGAGAACCATCAGATAGTTGTCCAAAAGGTGTTAGATTGACTACTTGAAAACAATTTAGTCGTCCGTCCAAGGAAATGTGAATGGAGTTCAAACGAAGTAAAGTTCCTGGGGTACGTAATAGGACAAGCGGATCGAAATGGATCAAGAAAAGGTGAAAGCTATTCTAGAATGGGGAGAACCCATGACAGTCCGGGATACTCAAGTGTTCTTGGGCTTTGCGAACTTTTATCAAAGGTTTATCAAGGGGTTTTCGCATATTGTGGGACCTCTCACACGATTGACCAGGAAATATCAAGCTTGGAACTGGACACAAGAATGCCAAAAGTCTTTTGACGACCTGAAGAAAACATTTACCACAGCGCCAGTACTTTGACATTTTGATAGAACCCGACTAACTTGGATCAAAACCGATGGATCCGACTGTGCAATAGGTGCGATAGCGTCTCAAAGATTCCCTCACCCATCAATAAAGGGGACCACCGAACTTCACCCAGTTGCATATTGGTCTCGAGCTATGACACCCTGTGAACTAAACTACACGGTAGGAGAGAAGGAATTACTAGCCATCATGGACTGCTTGGTAGCCTGGAGACCCTATTTGGCAAACAGTAGTGATGTTATAAAAGTCATTACAGATCACAAGAACCTAGAATACTTCCAAAGCAAACGACGGCTAAATCGAAGGCAGATGAGATGGTTGGAAATATTGGGAGACTTCAACATAGAGATCACTTACCGACCAGGTAGCAAAAATGGGGGAGCAGATGCTCTGACTAGACGAGGAGATTATCATCCAGGAAGAGGGAGTAGCAAGGACCCAGACCTAAACAAAGGCAACTGGCTACAATTGCTACCGACACACGAACAAATTGGATCGAATTCAATGGACTCAGAACACAAAGGACCAAGACACATAGTAAGAGGAGCAATCCGGGAAGACTCATTATTTGGGCTCATCAAGAACGGACTGAAAGACTCAGAAGACATAGCACACATACAAAGACTAGGATTACAGATGACACAGACACATAGCACACAGAGCACACAGGACACACAGGACACACAGGACACACAGAAGACACAGAAGACATAGACTAGCGATGAGGCTGCAGTAGTATCATGGACACACAGCGGATTACTCCTGTACAAGAACAGGGTAGTTATACCGGAGGGACAAGCAAGATTGGAAGTAATGAAAGCAAGACACGACTCAATATCAGTGGGACACCCAGGAAGAGACACGACTATCACCATGGTCAAAGAAGACTATTACTGGCCGCATTTGGATGAATATATTGCGAAATACGTAAAAGGATGTGAGATCTGTAACCGACATAAGACTCATCGACATCAGCCGTATGGACATCTAGTCTCCTTACCAGTACCCACACTCCCGTGGACAGATATCTCTATGGACATGGTGGGACCCCTACCAAAATCGACCGAGTTTGACGTGATACTAGTGATAGTCGATCGACTAACCAAGATGGCTAGATTTATTCCATGTACAACTGGACTAACAGCGAACAAAGTGGCCGACATCTACATCAAGGAGATCTTTTCAAAACATGGAGTACCTTGAACAATTGTATCAGATAGGGGAACTCAATTTACAGCGGAAATTTGGAAGCAAATATGTCAGTTCTTAGGAATAAATAACTTATATTCGACTGCGTATCACCCTCAAACAGATGGACAGACTGAGCGAGTAAATCGACAGATGGAAATCCTGCTCGGGATGTATGTAAACTACAACATGGACAATTGGGATCAACTTCTACCAATTGCTGAGTTTGCTTATAACTGTTCGCCACATAGTAGCCACAGATTGTGTCCCTTCGAAGCATGTTACGGCTATGTACCGCACTACGACATCCACTCGCACGATATTTGGTCAAAGTCGAACAAGTTGGAAAGGAAATGGAAAGATATGGGAGAGTTACATGCGGCAGTACAGGAGCAGGTCAGAGTGGCTAACGAGATTAGTGAAGAGTACTACAACAAGAAGCACAAGAGCATCCCAGAAGAGTTCAGAGAAGGGGAGCAGGTACTGCTGAGTACGAAGTATCTGACTGCGGAACGACCAAGTCGAAAGTTAGAAGCAAAATTTGTTGGTCCTTTCAAGATTAAAAGGAAGGTTGGAAAGAACGCCTTCGAATTAGTTCTACCTCCGTCAATGAGAGTGCACAATGTGTTCAATGTGACACTGCTGGAACCATACCCTAAGGATATGATAGCAGGTCGACAGACGAAGCCCCCACCACCTGTGGTAATTAACGGTCAGGAAGAATTCCATGTGGAGGCAATTGTGGACAGCAGAATTCAACGGGGAAAAGAAGAATTCAAGGTTAAATGGTTAGGATACACAGGAAATGCGGCCTATGACTGGGAACCACGAGAAAATGTGGAAGAACTGGCGGTTTTTGATGAGTTCTTAGAGAAAAGGATAAAGGACCCCAGGAGGAAGTGAGGATTCGATCAAAGTCAAGAAAACTCGGTCTGAAATGGATACATACACAGGAAATATGTCTACAAATTTAAGGAATGTGAATACGCTAGTCAATGGAAGCGTTGGAATTGGCTCCAAGGCGACAAACCGAGGCAGGAATACGAATGATGTTGCGAGGAAGGGGGGTGTGAGGAGAGGACGAAGGGCCGGCAACTGGTTGAGAAGAAGTCAATCCTGTAGGATCCCCAGAAGAAGTGAGATGATCCAGAGTTTCGTCGGCAGAAGGAGGTGCGTAGTTGGCGGAAATAAGATGGAGAGATTTGTAAAGATCCAGATGTACTGAGGGGAGAGGAAGGAGAAGGGCGGTAAAGAGATGGATGTAACCCGAAAGTTGGGTCAGACAGGCGGGTTGATCATGGGCAGGAAGGGATCGATAACGAACCGAAGCGGCACAAAGTTCGTGCTCCAGGACGAAGGTAACCTTGGAAGTGACCGTTCTGGCTCCCACAACGATACCCTATACATCAACATCGACCAAGTTCGAAGGAAAGAGACGGATACCTCACGAAATTTGGACTCGGGATTGTTGGTCTTCACCGAACACTTCGAAGTTCCCTTAGCAGAACATTCGCGGCAAACACCACCGACTGAATTGCATCAACATCGAACGAGTAGCAACAGGAACTCACGAGGACCAATACAACCAACACGAAAGTCTTCACCACCATCGAGGCGATGTTGACAATCGGTACAGAGCTCACCCTCTAGTCGAACAACAGCACCATTCTTGTTGCGAAGGCGCCAACCTTGGGCCAAATGATCGAGCTAATGATTAGGATCGATGAAACTTGAGAGAATTCGAGGCTTACAGCGTTCTTAAACCACTTGACAGTGGGCTTGATGGCGTTGGTTTTGCGGAAATGATCCAGAGCTTCGTTTTTCAACGCAAGATGAACAGATGAGAAGGTCATGCTGGACCAAAGGGTAGCTAACAGGTCAGAACCGAACAGAACTCGGTGGAATTCTCACCGATCTCGGAGTCTTTTCGATCCTCTAGCAACTTAACCAGTTCCTGGTTGACGGGAACCTTGCGAGGGGCGTGAAAGATGTCACCAAGCTCGTCGGGAACCTCCACAAGTTCGTCGGAAGCCTCAGAAGGAGGACCAGTGGGTTGCTTACCGGGAGAGTTTCGGTTCGGGATGATGGTACCATGTTCGGATTCGACAGACTTGGCAGGAGACGGGTTCTTACCAGCGGCAGTCTCGGCACCACCTTCAAAATCTACGAATTGATCGAAGATTGCCGGATCTAGAGGCGACGGGGAAGCTTGAGTGCGAGAAGGGCCAGATTGATATCGATCCTTAATATTCTCGAGAGCCCTTCGAGAAGCGTCAGCCGTGGCAGTCTGGGCAAAACCCGTAGCTTGAAAAGTGATTCTCATTCTTTTCGTTTGGCGCATGAGAAGTTCGGGGTCGACGTCGGGTAAGATTGCCAAGGTAGAGGCCTGAGTGCGACAAGAAGACGAAGAAGGAGACAACTAATCTCGTCAGCCAGTGAGAAATAGGAAGAAGTACATTGAGTTTGAGGGGATTTGCTTACAGTACGTTTGGACATGCTTACGAACAGGAGAGAGTTAGAAGGATACTCTAAGATATAAGTAAGATATGGATGGATAATGGTAGATAAGTGAGAAGAACGACAGACAAGAGGTAAAGAGGGAATGAGGAGGAAAGAAGAAAAAAAAGAAAGGGAGGTAACTTGGTCAGTAATTTCTTGATCACATTGGAGGTCCGTGCGGGTGACGCGTTTCATGGCAACTGTCACACTAGCGTGGGTATGATGTCAGGGCGCACCAAAGGTGTCTGAGAACAATCCATGTGCATCACCTGGTTACAGGGTTCAGGATCCTCGCCGAGGATCCTTGAGACAGGGGGGGAAACTTGTTACGGGGTAACAACGAATCGAGAGGACTCTATCGAATTCGACGGATTAGGACAGAGGAAAGCGGGAGTTGAAGGCAGTGCTGCAGTAGGTAGGGACGGGTTTTCCCCTTTCGAGATTTTCCCACTGGGTTTGCTCAGAGCGGTTTTTCACCTGTCCGAGTATGTACATAGACGCTTGCAGTGAGACTAAGAGGAGGACACGGACTCTTGTACATAGTATATAGTACAATCAGCAAAGTTCCAACTTTGCTGATTCTTCAATATCATTCTTTGGCTACATTGATTGCAGAGGAGACACGATCCATCAGCACCAGAGCCCCTAGATTTCTACGAGACCTCCATCGAGTTCGACCCAACCTGCGACCTAGTTGTCGTGTTTCCAGTACCGTTACATGTTGCCATAGATCGTAAATTCTCAGATGGACGGTAAGTTGTCTGAGAGCGCTCATAAGTTGTTGAGCGGGGTGTAAACCGTATGTGTGAGTTAGCAGTACTTGTACGCTCACCTTTCTCTACTTGTCTTTCAAACCAGCGTGTATCGATACGGATTGCAGTGTCCTGAAGACCTTTGAAAGACTCAGGCTTCCCAACATGTGAAAACTCGTCTTTGATAGTATATTTAAGGCCACGGCAGAATTGAGCAGCTTTTCCTTTGTCATTCCATTTGACAAGAGTAGCAAAGTGCATGCAGTCTGCAAGGTAAGACGTAACTGAACCTCTTTGCTTGAGAGCATATAGTTGTCTCTCAGCAGTGGCAACCTCATCTGGATCACCAAACGTCTTCTTGAGTTCATCACAGAAGAGTTTTAAATCTGTCATGAAAGTTGGCTGGGGAGTAGCAACAACAAAAGTTTGGAACCAGAGGAAAGCATTATCACGTAAAAAGGATCCCGCATACAATACCTTTGCAGCTTCAGTCTGAAAACGAGTAGACTGAAGTGTGATAACCATCGTGACTTGAGTGATAGAGGTTGTAAGCTTGTTACATTGTCCACTGAAGTATTCGGGTGACACAACCTTTGGTTCTTGAGGACGAGTACCATTGGTTGTAGTAGTTGGTGCTACTGACGGATGGTGTTGGTCTGCAGGTGTCAGCTCACGTTCGGTTCTGACATTTTGTGTATTATTATTTTCTGGTACTTCTCCTTGAGGGAGGATTGTAAGAGCGGCTATTCTTTCACGTAAAGTATTGTTTTCTTGTTGAATGGTTTCTTGATGGGCCAGGACTTCTTCAAGTCTAGCTTCTAGTTCTGCACAGGTTGGTGCCATGGTAATGTCTAAATGATCTTCTAAACAAGTATGTGACCAATCACAAGTGTGAAGGATCAAAATATACTGTCACGGAGGACACGGACCCCGGTAGATAGTATATAGTACAATCAGCAAAGTACCAACTTTGCTGATCCTTCAATATCATTCTTTGGCTACATCAATTGCAGAGGAGACACGATTCATTAGCACCCGAGACACTGAACTTCTATGAGACTTCCATCGAGTTCGACCCAACCTGCAACCTAGTCATCGTGTTTCCAGTACCGTCACAGTAACGAGGAAAAGTGAGGTGTTTTGAGATAGTTTCTGTTGTTAAAGTAGAAACCCATTCCCCTGCCTTTATATACCTCTCAGAATTACACGTTTTCACACTGATTCCCACAATCTACAATGTGGCGTGTGGAGTCACATGACTTGCAGAATCCACAATGAGGTGTGTGGAGCCACATGATGTCACGAGACCAACTAACCAGCATTGGGACAATATAACAGTGCCCTTCAGAGACAGTGGTCTAAACCACTGTGCTAAAAGGTCTATTAACCGGCGGTTACTGCAAACCGCCGGTCGCTGGTTAAATACCCAACCCATAACTATCAAACTTTCAGTGGCTTTTGCCAAACACTGTCATTATCAATTTGGCACATGTCACGTCCTTCGTGACACATGACTAGCACGATTCCACAATGAGGGGTGTGGGGTCACATGACTTGTTTATGCATTGAAGTCTACGGAACGGGAAACCCTCTCTGCGCCATTCATAGTATGTGATGCTTAACAGAGTTTGAATGGACACCAAGCCGTGACAGGCAAGAGATTGAACTCTCGATCAACCCTGCAGAGTATTCTTAATGGTAAATACAGACCGAGGCAGTTTACCCGCTTAGCCAGGTGAAAATCTGGTCATAACAGAGGTAGAGGAAGAAGCGGAGGTAGGTAGAGGAGGTAGAGGAAGAAGCGGAGGTAGGTAGAGGAAGAAGCGGAGGTAGAGGGGGTAGAGGGTGAAGGTGATCAAGAGTAAGACAAGCAAACGGTTATCATCAGAGATGATGTCATTCTAGTCCATCATTGCTATTCTAGGGCTGGCTGCTATTCCAGTCTTTTTGCGCGGAAAAGTTGTTATTCTACTCATCGTCACGGGTTGTTCGGATGTGACAGCCTTTCAGATGTCCTCTGGTTGGATACCTATGAGGTTCGGGACCCTGAGTTGGCATGGGGCATAAACCCGGAGGTCATCCGAAAGGGTGGTATGGACGAGAAAGTCGTGATGACGAGTAGTCCTTACCTCGTATTACCCCTTTGGGTAATTCCCCAGTCCATCCATGGATGGGATGGGCGGATGGGCGATACCTGAGGAAAAGCGGAGTTGGACAGGTTGCGTGGGGAATAAAGGATATTGCCCCAAGACCTAGGTTTAGCCTGAGAAGATCACATACAAATCAACACAGAAGAGTTGTGATATCTACTTTCAGTTGCCCTCTCTTTCAAACGAATTTATAATCCGCTGAACTCTTAGATGGTGCACTGATAAACAAGATCATATGTCAGAAAAATTTACATCTCTTACTCAGAAGCTTGCAGACCTCTTGCACAGGTTAGAGCACCCTCCCAATATAGTCTCAGAGCCAGAGCTATCGGAAAGTCGTTTGCCATTTGCCAGACAAATCCGCACATATATGAATAATTTTGATGTCCCAATACCAACTTCAACTACACCCAAAGATGATCTCCATTCTGCTGTTGAAGATTTCACTGCAGAGTTTAGACCTCCAAAGACCCAAGGTAGAAGCCCATTTTGCAGTGCATTCAATGCCTGTTTCAATTCATGGCTCCAGGCATATACTGAACATTTGTTTGAGACCACAGGTACAAAAATGTTCATATCTTACGGCACAAACACCTCAAGTGAGCACAAACACCCTGACAAAGTGCTTTCAACCATAGCCGTGACTTGCATAGGACAACTCGTGGAGATATTCCAAACTGTAAACCAATTGAGATCAAATACACTGCTATCACCCGATGTAAGAACCGACCTCAGTCGGCTTGTTGTCAGGATAGATAATGTTCTCTTTGTATATGCGGAATCACCAGATATCCCTGAACACTCTTCCACTGCCGGGCTTGGGGAGGAAGAACAGCAACGCAGGTTGTGGTCAGATCAGAAGCACTTGAAGGAATTCACATCCAGGTGGTCTGCTGAGGGTGACCTTGAAGCGGCATTCATGCTATGCTGTAAGCTGATAATGGAGGGAGTTTTACCAAGCAACACTTCACATGAGACTGACAACCTCTCCTTTGCAGACATGGCAAACAGCACTTGGCACAGGTTGCAAGGTATTGTGGCGCCAACTGTTGAACAGCAGGTCGATAACGCTGATGGCTGCATTGATTACACGAGATCACACCCACCGCAAACTGTGTATCAAAAGCCCATTGAACGGTCTCTTGTTTCCAATTCAAGAGGGATTGGTTCCCCATAGTTGCCCACTATGTATCTGTCAGGATCACGGGTACCTATAGACGGGTTCCTCAAGAGTCGTACGCAGAAGTCGTACTTCACCTACCCGTTCCCGTACTCCACCTACCCGTTCCCGTCCCCGTCTCACTAATCCCGCTACGGCGTCCTCCGTTCTCCTGTCCTACCTAATCGTTACTTCTTTACCGTGCTATACTTTTCCTTCATCTCCGTGTCCCTCATCTATCTCCGTCTTCCTTCGCTCTTACACCCCATATTGCTTTCCACATTTACTCCATAGATTTCGATATCACTCCGCTCCCTTTTAGTATATAGAAACACCCCTTTTTCGTAGATGTCTTGTTGAATGTATTTTCTTGTCACTTAGCAAATCTTTTGCCACTTGATCTCATCGACTTATAGTCTCTTCGATCCACTACATCACTAGACTATAAACTACATCACTAGACTATAAACTACATCACTAGACTATAAACTACATCACTAGGTCTGTTCCCTACGAGGCCCTATAGCCATAGCTCATAGACGCAGACTATTTTCAACGTCTGGTCCTGACAGTATCTCTCTTGTAGAATGAGAGGCTAACCTGATAAGAGGCATATACGACGAGAGGATTATTCGATGAGAGGAATCATTTGATGAGAGGAATCATGCATTGAGAGTCGATGTTGCCTACTTCTGCAGAACCAGTTTCACATGGCTTACTACCCCACTCATTCCTCTACAACCTCCCGTCAATGCCTGACGCAACCTCTCTTCTTCCACTTGGGATACCCTTGGACAATCCCAACTTGTGGAGACATACGGTCCGTCTTCCGAGGGCCGGAAAGTGAGATTCATGCTTCGTGTCGTCTCTTCGTCCTCATTTGTTCCTGTAGGCATAGGGAAAGACACTGTGATCTCATCCTGACCGTGCCTGACCGTGATGGGTAGCGCACGCGCTGATCATGAGCATCATCACTCACCACTCATCACCCTTGACGCTGTATATGTGACCCGTGACTCAATATCACAGTATCATTCCCTTCTATGTTTGTGGTAGCACAGGAACCGACAGATCATGTGGTCACAGGTGAGGTGATGAACGTGGGAGAATGGCGAAGGATAAAGAAGAACGTACCAGGTCCAAGCAGCTCGTCCAAATCATCATCATCTATCTCTTCCATGAGACGATCTCCACTTTCCACCTCCATTCTGGTCTCACCGTCTGGCTCCTCGATGAGTGGAGAAGAGAGAGGTCGTCTATATCGGGGATCGAAGATTCCGCAAAATAACTGATTCAGCACCGCTTGTCTTCTCAAAAGACCTAGAAGGGATACTAAGTCGGACAATGAGGGTATGGGCAGTCGACCGAGTAAGAAAGCTTCAGGACCAGGAAACATGAGAGACCAGTGTTGTTCAATCTCGTTTCCTGGCTGGGTTTGTGATATCATTTCGTGGTCCAGCTCATCTTCTTTGAGTAGGTTCCGAGGTTGGGAATTAGGATGTGAAAATGTGGCCGAGTAAGGAAAAGACCAGGATGGATCGAGAGGGTACTGCCTGTTAGTTATACTTCTATCAAAGCATAGTCTTCATCATTTCTTTGATCCAATTTTGCCGTATGATAGATCAATAAACCTCAGTCTTTTTGAGAATATACATGAATGTGAAAAGGAGTGAGACCTGGAAGGGGATTGAAAAATACGGACGCACAAGTAACTTCTCTACTGTCACACCTCCCGTCCAACCTTGAGCAGACTCAGTCGATCGGACTCCATCATTTGTCCCTTCCTGGGCTTCCGAATGTGTAGGATGAAGCCAATTCCGACGGACAACGAAACCGGGCCATTGAGGATTCGGAGCTGATGGAGACGGGACAAATTCGAGGATCCAGTCACCTTTGAGCCACGTTTCACCTGGTAGTAGTGGAGGAGATTTGGGTTCGTATCTACCCAAAGGGCGTATACGGAATGTAGGGTTTGTAGGCTCGTCATCGTCAAGAAGTCTGAATGTTGGAAATAGAGTATGGCCCTTGTCAGGAGGATATACCACCCCACTGTGATGTCAGAAGGTCTTCACAATATGAAATCCGGGTCCTAGTCTTACCGTATGCAGGAGATCAAGTAAGATACGAAATAAGGAGGTGGCGAGAGGAATAGTTCGGTATTGAATGGAATTCACTCACCCTTTGACCCATTGGCTGACCTGTTTGGCGATGACCTCTAATTCCGGGAAATAATCCATTGCTGGGTGACCCTTCTCCAATGAGCCTTCTGTCCCCTCTTTGTTCCCCGGCTCAGCGTCATCTAAAGCTTTCAACTCTCCAAGAGCCTCCTCCATACCCTTCTTTAATTCTTCCAACTTCCTCTCCCTCTCTCCCTCTTGCAATATACTCGGAGCAGGAACATTCCATTGGTCCAAATATCGTATCATCCTCTCCTTTAATACCTGAGCTATCCAGTCCGACTTGATGGTATCCCCGCCCCTAGCTACATAAGTGGCGTTGAGCTTGCTCAGCCGTACTCTTCCTCTTCCCTCCAATTTCTCGCCTTCTATGACCGCTGTGAGTAGTTCTTCCTCATCATCATTGTCCGCGTTATCGTCTCCTGGTGAAGGGTCCGTCTCTAGATCGACATCAACTACGAAACGTTCGCCTGCGAGAGCGAGGGAGGTTTTCAAAAGACCGAATTGTGATTCTTCAATGTATCCTTGAATCCCCAGTCGTTCAGCTAGAGATGTGAGAAGTCGAATTGGCTCTTGTCTGACCAAAGGAGACGGAAGTATCTCTCGTGTGTCTTCCGACAATCCCATCAGGACAGACATGGGAAGAAGGGAAGATTGATGAGTGGCCCTGATCACTCAGCTGAACCTTCATGTGGGTGAATGGACGACCCACACTTCTTTCAACCCTCTGGCCAGACGTGTCCTGTCGGGGGAATCCTGCGCGGAGAGGACAGATCTTGCATCATATAGCGATTGTCTGATCTGAGTCAGAGCATCGATCTGGCTCTGTCTATCAGGAAGGGCGAGCGCTCGAGATTTGCCTTTGCGAGAAATGGGAGCGATGGGAGCGTAAGGATGTAGGTAAGGCGCTGACAAGGTTCGATGAGCGACTGTGTATGCTTCGAATACTGAAAATAAGGTAGATAGTACAGTCTGGGTGACTTGACTGGTCGTTGTTGGCCCTGGGTCGCTCATGATGATGAGGAGAAAAGACGAAAACAGGCGGTAGTTCAAATTGGTTGTTACTTCGACTTCACTTTTTGAACCTTCGGATCCGAACGAGCGATAAGATTTCGCAATAAAATGTAAACAAATTTCAACGTTGACATGTCGTCATGGACCATACACATCCTATAGCTGGCCCGTCCTCCACAACAAGATTAACATCGCAATTATCAGCATCAGAAACAAGCGAGGATGAGGATGCTTACGGACTAGGCTTAGACGATATTTTGCCAGTGAGCTCTTCTCCTGGTCGGTATAGTCGGGGTCAGGCTGATGATTGTAGGAACCGGAATCTCCCTTACCTCCACCCTTTTCCTTTTCCGTCTATCGCCCTCATCCGTCATTCCAGCTCACCACTCAAGACTCAAGAGATCAGCTCGTATTACGTCTAGTTGGAAGTCACCCTTTGTGGGGACATCATCTTTGGAACACCTCCCGTGTCTTGTCAGACTTCCTACTGCGCCATGACGAGATGGTCAAAGGAAAGAAGGTGTTGGAGTTAGGGGCAGGGGCAGGACTTCCGGCGATAATAAGCAGTCTCGCGGGAGCTGAGAAAACTGTCATCACAGATTATCCTGATGAGGCTCTGTTAGAAAATATCAGGTGGAATGTCGACTGCAATGTGCCTGCTGGCAGGAGACCGACAGTCGAGGTGAGTCTCACATTCTTTTTCTCAATTTCATCACATATGGTATGGTAACGGGTTTAGTTTTGTACTTAGATAAAGACTTTATCAATTGGGTCTGACGAGCAGGGTCACGTATGGGGTCGAAATGTGGAAGAACTCGTGCCTCAGGGTACATCCGGGGGGAAAGACAGAGGATATGACCTGCTTCTTCTCAGTGATCTGGTTTTCAATCATTCTCAAGTGAGTTTCTCCTCTTTTCTTTCCAGAGTATGTAGGAAATTTCCCAATTTCGTCTTCGCCGGTCCGTATGCTGTTGTCAGCTATTGAAATCGTCGCTGATTCACAGCATGCTGCTCTCGTCCAAAGTGTCAACGCCTTACTATCCTACAGATCCTGTCCACCCTTTACAACGCAAGATCCCTACCCGACTCCTTGCATTCTCGTATTTTTCACCCACCACCGACCTCATCTCGCCCAAGCCGACCTAGCCTTCTTCCCACTTCTAGCTCAGTCGAAGCCGGACGATGGAGGTAGCTGGGCATATGAGAAAGTAGTGGAAGAATGGGCTGGTGCCATGTTCGAAGATGATCCGGGTGATATACACGTACGCGGAACCGTGCATGGTTGGCGATGCTGGCGGGTTGGAGAGGGTGAAGGAGGGGAGAGACCATCCAGGCTAGAAGGGGCATAGTGACTTGCATATTCAAATATTCATACTGTCTGCATAGCATTGCATGATCTACAAGGTCAGCGTTACACGCAAACCCGCAAGGCCATCTGTAACACCTAAGCATGGGATCTTTCTACTTGGCACTCATAAACTACGGACGAGCATGTGATTCGACCTCAGGAATACTTGACATCTCTCATCTCCCAATCATCCATCCGCCTCCTTTCCTAACGTTCTTTCTCTCTTTGTATCTCGACTTTTACACCTCTTCTTGACTTTCATTTCTTTCCTCCTCAAGGTAGCGGTAGCATCAGATTTCAATCAAGAACCAAGGGCAATGCACTGAGCGTACAGTGCATGTGTACCGAACACGATGGCCCTTCTTGCCACCGTAGGCAACCACCTTTCCCACCTCCTTCATCAATTCGTTTTCGCCTTCCCTACACCTACCAATTCATCCACCGCCAATGCCCCGGTTCCACTCTTTGCTCCTAAAATTGACGTGGGAGGTATGACAGGTCTGGATGGTATGATGAATGAGCCCGGTGAACCAAGAGCCATAGCTGGCGGGATCGGACCTCTCACTTTTGCTGGTAGTGGGTATGGTGTCATGTTGGTGCTGATGGTAAGTGGATCTATCCGCTTTCCCCTTTCCTCTGATTGCAAACATATGTTTAGGTCGAGCTAACGTATAAAGGGTATCCTGCTCAACAGAATACATCATATTGTCAGAAGACCCAGACTACCGCCCCAACCACAGCCGCACCTCGTGGGGAATAGTCCGCTCGTAAGAGCCAGACAGAAAGGTGGGTCCATAACTTCTCACCAACATCCCCAATGTTCCCTATGACTGCTCTTGTAGACTCACCGGTGGATATACACGGTCTTCAAGAGGACACCCATAATTTGTTTGCTTGCGGGGCAATCACTCATTTCAGTCGTCAGTTTCATGACATCCCCATCTGCCCCCTTTTACCTCCGACTTCCAGGGATAATGGTCCTTTGTCGGGCTTGGGTGTTATTCACCATCCTCACTCTCCAAGTTGCCAATTTTTGGCCGGTCGATAGTCCCTTATTACGGAACAGCTCATACGGCCGATTCATCAATCGAGCGGGGAATTGGGTTGGGGATATGGAGATGCGGAAAGTGTCATGGGAGGTATTTCTCAGTGTGTGTCTGGGTATGATCTGCAGCGGTCTGGCCAATGGATTGGATAGGACGTAAGTTGTTCGACTTTTCATCGGACCAAAGCTTATCTTTAGACGACGACGAGATATGGGGGAAGGCTTCAACCTGGTGTGTTTCTCTTCCGTGCCAATTCTGAATGTCAAAGTGGAATACTGAAATGATAGATTGGATATGCCTTTTTACTTCATCTCTATTCGTCTCCTTTAACACACCATCGACCTCCTCCTGCGGCACATCACGGGAGACCCGACGTGCACGCTCTTTTCCAATTGTGGCTTAACTTGACCGAGGTGATTTTCTCAATGCCTGTCTTGGTTTCACGCTGACTTTTCAGCTGACATGGCTACAAACTATCGAGTTGTCTGAAAAGACGAGAAGAAATCAAATCATCCCCACAGGAGTGTGCGGGACGTTAGGACTGATTCATTTCGTCTGGGGATTGTCCAGTTCCCCACTGAAATTCCCAAGTTTCACATTCATGACACATCTGGTAAGCCTGACCTGATGACTGTTGGTATTTTGACTGTGAGCTGATCATCAGATGGCCTTAATTCTGGTTGTCATGATCACCGCCTCAGCCCTGGTCAAAGCCTTCACTTTTCTCTTCACCGTTGGATACATCCCTTCTCCCATTCTTGCCAATTTGTTACCTCACGAAGGTGTGATCCCTTCTGTCGAAGACGACTTTGGTGTTACCCTGCTGAAGATTGGCATAGCCTGTATCGAACAGACACAATATTCCGGTCTTCAAAATGAACTTGTGGCTATAGAAGAACCTAAGGGTCCTTGGTTAGAGATCTCCTCGGGGAGCAGCGTCGTTCGTTCCACTGGCCCAGCGTCTCCGAGAGGGGGTTTCAACACCGAAGTCACCAATATCGAAGTTTCCAGACTACGTGATCCCCAATCAGAGAGCGAATACTGGAAATATCTGCGACAATTTTGGCGAACCTTCTTGAATGCCGTGGTAAATTCAGGCCTGAAGATTCTGTCATCTCTACCGTTTGCTGAGAAGATCTCTTATTGGGCGAGAAGGATCTGGCAGAGAAGATGGTGGTATGGTCCTCGGTCTTGGAGAATATGGAGAAGAGCCGCATGGGCCGAACCTGCTCATTTCCGACGTCGGGCCATTCTACGGGCTATGGAAGATTATTCGAGAAGACAGCAAATGCGTTGGGTCGTACCTGTTTCAACTTCGCTGGTGGAGACATCTTCTTCCGCGGAGACATCAGAAGGTTTTTCCACGGCTGTTCAATTCAGGGAACCAACAATTGACCCCTCGATACATCTGAGATACTTGAGAGGAGAAACCGAATTGTCTGATGGTGATGACGAAGAGTTCGAAAATGATCCAGAGGAGGAAGAATGGACAGATGAAGATGAGGGTGAAAATGAATCCGCGAAACAAACACAAGATTTGGATCAACATCAAGATCAAAATCAAACCCCAGGTAACATCACTTCTCAAGTTACAGACGATCAATTGGAAGAAGATCAAACGTTGTATAGAGATCTCATTTCTCCTTCTTCTGAAGATCTTCAAGCCGTTTTACTCGCTCATCTCACATCACGTACATCTCATCCACTCACAAGAAGACAATACGCTTTACTCTCTTCGTCCTCTAATCAGATTTCATCTCACAATGAAACGTTACAGGACATAGCAGCGGATCGGAGGATGATGATGACTGGCAGAGAGAAAGATGAGTATGATGAAGCTAATAGAAGGGCTTGTGTGGTATGTACTGTTGAACCGAGAGATACGATCTTGTGGCCTTGTAGATGTTTGGCAGTTTGTAATGAGTGTCGAGAGAATTTAGCGGCGAGATTACCTGCAAAGGATCATTTGTGTCCGTGTTGCAGAAGAAAGTGAGTTTTTTTTTGTTCTTTTGTGTTCCAGTTTTCTTTATCCCTTCCAATTATCGGACCATCATTATGTGGGGAACGAGGAAGAAGATGATGAGATATATTGGGTTTGTGTAGTTAGAGTTGGAGCTAATTTTCAGGATCGAGGGATATAGTAGGATATACGTACCGTGAGAGATGTATCGATATCATTACTTTCCATTCCAGATTGTGGGCTCTTGGAAACGGAATATAGTCAGACGACATGTACTAATCATCACTCATTTCTCACTGAAGCAGAAATCAGATTTATGGCAAAAACACAAAATCAGTCTCATTGTCATGTGAATTTGATTCTCACTCAATATCCGGAATATCACGGCCTTGCAATCAATCACCTTGCAACATACCAAAACATGTACAAGCATGGCTAACCAACATCAGTCGTTCAATGACATGTATTGAATGGATCATCATCATTCTGTGGTAACATGTCTACAAATCCCATGCCGACTATACAACTTGCAATGATCAACACATTACCCCCTCTCAACCATCACCCAATCCCAAGCCTGTACAACCAAAACGATTCCACTATTCCAAATAATTAAATATCCCTTTCTTCATCCGGCATCCCCCATTCGGTCTCCCTGACTGAAACGGGATACCTCCCTCCTCTGATAGATCGAGCAGGTATTAAAACCCTCATCAAAGTTGTCGATGTTGCTCTCCAAGTAGAACGAGCGGATCTTCTACTGGCACTATCACTAGGTGCTAATGTAACTTGACCTGTACTAGTTCTCAAGTTCCTTCCTTCTGTTTCTGTTGACAGATACCCTGGTTCTCCTTGTAATCCTACATTGTCAAAATTGGAGGTTTCCAGTCGGTCATGATAAGTATCTTTCCCATCACGTGTCACTTGATTTCCATCCGCTTCGAAAAGTTTGGCAATTGGATTATTGAGGTGATCCTCTGAAGTAGACGAAAAAGTTGGGGGAGCGAGGTGTGTAATAGGACCAGATATGATAGATTGTCTTGACACTGTTTGTATCCCGTTTGAAGATGAGATAGGTTCGGAAGAAGTAGAGACAGAAGGAAAGATCATACTGCGCGGATAAGGGAATACTGAAGAAGCTAATGGTTCATCATATGCTAAATGTGTTGAAGTAGTTTCGATCGTTGATATTGGTGTTGATCTTTCATTATCCCTATTTCTTCCTTCCACGCTTGATCGAGAAGATAAATTCAGACCTAATAAATTGGCCAATGTGTTTGAAACCATTGAATCTCCTTCCTCTTGTCTTTCGGCGGAAATGAGGTTATTTGTATTGGTACTTGTTCGTTTGATATCTGACCGGAATTGATAATCGAGTAAAGCGGCAGATGGTCGTGGTGGTGACTTCAAGGTTCGTGTGGAGTTCAAATTTGATGAATTTATCAAATGAGCAGTTTCTGGAGTTGTAGGTAATTCTCCTGATCCTTGAGATTTCCGTTTGTTCTGAGGGGTGAATGATCCAAATGGTCTAAAAGATTTATCGGTGGAAGTGATAGTTTGTGTTGAAGAAAGATTAGAATGTCCTGAATGACTTTTTCTATTCTTCTTTCGAACAGGATTGATGTTGAACCAAGATGGATTCAAACCGAAACTTGACCCTGACTTTCTTTCATTTCTTTTTTCGTATTCCAAGTTTGAAGGTGGTACTAAATCCGTAGTGGACTCTGAATATCTTGTTGAACTTGATCTAGTCCTAGGAGATTTATGTCGTTTCCATAATAACATACCTGCCAAAACCAAAACTATCACAACACCTAAAATAGTACCTATAACAGCACTTTTACCAGCTGCAGTATGTAAAAACCCTTCTGATTGATCTTCCACATGAGCTGTTAAAGCTGCACTTGGAGGTAATGTTCCTTGAGGTAAATTAGGACTATCCGTTTGACCAGATATGATTGACATTGTTTCAGTTCCAGAAGGTAAAATATCGATTGTTGAAGATCCTGATACTTCACCAGCTATTATCGCAGATGCATAAGGAGTCATAGATGCTCCTAATGTTGAAGAAACGGAAGAAGGTTGAGAAGAAGAGGAGGAGGAAGAAGAAGAAGAAGAAGAAAGTGAAGAAGTGTTTACTATAGCGTAATCCATATCGAAAAAATGTAAAGTTGAATTTGTAGGTGTGTTTGTGATTGTTAATTTATGTTGAGTATCGGGGAGGTTTGTAGCTATGAATAATGTGACTTGTGTCAAGAGTGAAGATCTATAAGCTGAAAGAATGGTAGGAGGACCATCATCTATTGAAACTTTATAATTACCGTGATCGTAATTGAGAGCGGAACGTATTTCGACGGAATGACCATAGAAACTGAGATCAGCTCGAATTTTTCATATCTCATGAATATCTGATAGTCGCTGGATTTCGTATGAACGATTCGTTATGTTTTTGTGACATGAAATGAATTATAAAATTGGAGAAGAATCGTTTGTATCTAATCGTCACGACAGATAACCAGTAGAGGAAGAAAAGACACAGAGTTTGAAGTAAAAGGTGCAGGTGAAGTAAAAGAAGGGATGGGAATACTCACTTGAAATCCATAGAAGCTTCAACAGCCGTCACATGAGTCGTGTTGAGATAATAAGGATAAGGATATTCTGACCAAGCTTGCCATACATTATACCAAGTCATGAATGAACTAGCATCGTCAAAAATGGTCGTATGTACATTTCCAGGGCTAAACATGAGCTCACACCCCTGATTCCATTGTAGATCATATATCCTGGAAAAATCAAGACGACAACGTTGACAAGTCACATACTGTGACTTGGCACTGTAGTGTGGTGACTTGTGAAGTCGTGATGATGTAGTTGACCAATGAGGAGAAGACTTACGAAGGGGCTGTAAATACAATATAATCAATATCCAACCACCAAGTGGTACTACCTCCTGGTAAATTACTTTCACTATTTGTCAAATCCGAAAGACAGGTTAAAGTCTACGCATCAGACATTTCTATGCTGACTGGTATTTGAGATCCACCAACAATAGTATGGGTTTCATCGGTTGAGAGACCCGTGGTGGAGAATAACAAAGCTTGAAAAGTAGAACTAGATTGATAACCTTGATAGTTGGTAGGACTTCCTTGATCTATTTGAACTGAAACGTCAGCCCAGCACACTTACTTTATACTCTTCACAACGTGACTCTGATTAGCATGGCTTAGAAGACTCAGGGAAGGAAGAAAGGTAACCCGAAAGAAGAACCGAAGGAATTAAAGTACATACCTGAATATAAACCATGATTTGGGGTCTTCGCTCCGTAGATGTATACAGCAGAACCGTTGAAAGAAAAACTAGCATGCGCATTCTATCTTTCAGCAATTTTCTTCTTCAGATCTTTCCACACTTGATAATTCTTCTCATCCTACAGGTGGGAATACCTCTTGGGAGGTAATGATTGACTTCTCGGAGAGAAGGCTTGGTTTGAGGTTTTGTGTAGCAAGACTCACGTTGACGAATGCATTATGGAAGGTCTGTTGATAGTAATGAGGCGTTGACGGATCCGGATAGGCGCTATCTGTCAAGTGTCAGCTGGCTGGGGACTCGTCTTGGACTCCACCAACGATGTTTGATGGAGATTGGACACTATGGAAAGAGAAGAGACACACGGTTTGAATGGTCGTTATACCACCCTGGGCTATAAGTGATCAGAGGAGAAGCATCATCAACCTTTTTGTTAGCTGCGGATCCCATTTTTTTTCGGGCTTTGTATCTCTGGTAATGATGTTCAGATCATCTATGGATCGCGATCCGTTGTGGGATGCATCCCTTGAGAATGGGACGAGTTCTGGAAATCGGTCAACTTACAGTGATGTTCATCTTGCTCCCTCCCTCAGACGGAATATCCAATTCCTCTGTTGTTTGTTGAGTGAGTGATCGAAGAGAGGTAAGTAGTCAAAGAATGGGATCAAGTAAAGGGCGATGCGAAGAAATCGTGGTCTAAACAACCCCACAAAGGGAATGACACGCTCCCGTCAGCTGATAGGGACCTCGAGAGTCCGATTGGTCCGGGAGAATAAAGGAGCTTGTCCATTTCCCCATGTTCTACGATGACACCAAGCACGCTGGAGAAACCTTCCTCCTTCTTCTGCGTCAGTGCACAGGTCCTTCCAGGAGGTCAATCCAAAGGATTCGAGTGTCAGAATGTGTCAAAGGGTGGTCGGTGATTTGCAGGTCTATACATCTCCGACATCAGTACGAAAAGATTGTGGTAACCGCGGATCAACGGATTCGTCCAGAATCTCGTAACTTAGGCGAGGGGGTTCCGGCTCAATTCTAGGAATAACTCGTTCCCGACAGTGTTTGTTGACATGGTTAGAGGGCGGATGGTGGTTGATGACGGAGTGGTTGATATGTGGGATTTATACTGCATTGACACTGGATATCCGAGGATCGTTCCAATCCAGAAACTCGCCGCTTAGGTCCATAGGTCCTGAGAGTACAAGTTGAGCGATAGCCGCCCCAGGTCTGCAAGTGAGATGGGGCCTTTTCGTACTGTACATAAAGCACGTGTATTTCCTATTGATCCTTAGAGATGCTTCTCTGCTATGACCCTAAAGGTCTCTGTCTTGAAGATCTCACAGCAGGTAAAAGATAAGCACGAAAGCAACTCACATATCTGGATGCAGAAGCTCGCCATTTTCGTAAGCATCCTGAAACTTTTTCACATCCGCCGGGTCCATGACTTTCGGTCCTTCATTCCTCAAAATGCCCTGCATCTTTTTCGATCAGTTCTTCGCAGCTCTTCGGAAGGAGTCTCATAAGAGGTTACACTCACAGCAGTCTGTCCGTCAGTGCCGCGCTCAACATTGATGCAGAATCATAGACAAATGATAAGCTGTGGAAAGGTCAATAGGGCTTTTCACAGAACTCACATCAACCATACCCGGTCTTACTGACCATACTCCTACTCCATTGACTTTCTCTTCGCTCCCCAAAGTCCTACAGAGACTATTCATACCCGCCTTGACCATCGAATACAAACCCCAAGTCTGATTACCCTTCACGGCAGCTCCAGAAGATACCATTACGATCTTTCCTTTTGATATCCGAAGATAAGGCAATGCAGGTTGTATGAGATACAATATGGAGAGGAGGTTCGTCTGAACATATTCGGGCATAATGGATTGAGGTAGATCCGCCAGTTTACCTGAATCTGTCAGGTCGTCATTGACTAAGATAGAAAGAGAAACTCACATAGAGGTTCTACGGCCCCACCATTCAAAATCACACCGTCAATTCTACCCCATTTGTCAATAGCGGTTTGTACGAGTGCTACGTCATCTTGCGACTTTCCGATATCTCCTTGAAGAACGCAGATCTTGTCGCCATACCGATCTTCGAGGTCTTGCAGAGCAGTGGGCTTGGATCGACTGAGAGTTGCCAAACGACAATTATGTTTTTCGAGCAAGATCTGAGCGATGGCGAGTCCCAAACCTCTAGATGCACCAGTGAGGAGGATGACGGGACTGTCTGTAGTGGTCATATCTGAGAGGTTGAGGGAAAGGCTCCGATAGCAGAATCTGTGGATATTTGTGGGGTGTGTGTGTGTGTGCCACATGTGATGGTGATGGGCAATCCCGATAATCCGGTCAAGGTTGTTGATGGCGAGAAGCCTGCACGAACAAGCAATGCATGATGCCAGTGGATAGATTCAAAGGTGAGACGATGATATGATGTACGATGAGCTGCACACCATCATTGGGGGCGAGAACCCTTTAGGGACAACTGGCACAAGGGCGAGGATGGTGATTCTTGCGTCATCATCGTTCTTGGCTGAGGGCGGCGGGGCAGCGGGGCCGAGCAGGGAATATCAGTGGATACGTCACGAGCGAGAAATTGCGTGAGCAGTGAACGACATGAGGACGTGATGGATTGTGATGTAGAGAGTAGATTTCAAGAAGTGAACGCCGCCCTGGGAAGAAGGCCAAATGCGCCGAAGGAGAGAGGGATAGACGAGGTGAAGGACATCCCTCACCCAGCTTGTTGAGCCGTGATAGTGACAAGAGTAACGTGTCCATAGATCCATGAGTCAGATGTGTGTCAGAGTATGCAGCATTCTTGTGTAGTTTGTGTGTAGAAGAAGGGAAGAAAGAAGAAGAAGGATGGAAAAGAAGATGACCTCCATTCCACGCTCATCATCCATCATCAAACTTCTTTCAATTTGCTTCTCTCTCTTTCTCTCTCTCTCTCTCTTTCCATCTTTTTCTCTTCTCCCCGTACTGCCCCCCCCTTTCGACTTGTGCATTCTTTCATTCTTTCAATTCAAGTCGATTCAAACTGCGTGGGAACGATTAGAGTTTTCATCAATTCAGACACCGTCTTCTACTTCTGGAAAAGGATCGAGTCCCCGACGGTACATACTCAGCAAACTAGTGGAGCAGTTGTGTCTTCCTCACAAACTCTATCCTGGTCAATCTTTTCTCATCTCACACTACTCTCCCTTTTCCTAACATCCTTCGATTCCAGAACATCTCTCCTTCATCAAACGTTCTTAAGCCCTGTCATCCTCTAGCATCGACCTCCCACTTTTCCGTCTCGGCCTTCCTCCCATCCACGACTGAATTGTCATGTCCAGACTACCAGGTCCGCCACCGACTCATGGTGGTCACTATGCTCCTTCTCAACAGCCTCCGCCCTTGTACTATCCTCCTAATCATTCGACCCCTCCTCAACATCATCATCATCAACAGCATCATGCACAGACCCCGCATGTTGGTCATTCAGGTCAATTTGATCCTTCCTACAACCCTTACCCCCGACAGAATGTCTATCCAACACCTCCTACCCCGGTAGATGTCTATGCCAGTCATTCTAGAGCAGAGTATCCTTCCTACACTCACCAACAATCGCAATACCAACTTCAAGGCTTGCGTAACGGTGCGCACTCTTTACCGCCACCGGTTGCCCAGGCAGGGCCTTCTTCTCACCATGCTCCGGGTTGGTCGTCAGTTCTTCCCACACCAAAGCCCATGGCGCCTCCCCAGCGGACGGAACGAAGGGTATCTGGTGTCAAGCTGGAGGATCTCGTGAGTTCGGATCGTGTCAGGCCAGGTAGTAGCAAAGGGTCCCTTCCGGCCGGGGGTCTCACTTCCCTTCCACTCGTCACATCACAGGGTTCTGAGAAGCTTACGGGAATGGGAGGAGGTGGGAGTAGTACTGGCGGTGTAGGTGGTGTGGGTAGCGGTGCTGGTGGAGGAGGAGGAGGGGGAGGAGGAGGAGACAAACAAGGTCCAAGCGAATTCATCAAAAAACTCTTCAAAATGCTAGAAGAAGAAAGTGCTTTGTACGGAAACGGATTACCTCCAGGTCAACCCAGGGGTGAGGGTGCTCCAAGGGGCTCGGTTGGTTGGGCAAAAGGTGGAACAACGTTTGTCGTTTGGGACATTAACGATTTTACCACAAAGGTATTGTGAGTTGGCTCTTCGTCGAGTGCTGTTCCGAGCTCATGCCAAAAAGGCCTCAGACTTTTCGACATTCAAATTTCTCCAGTTTCGTCCGGCAGTTGAACAAATATGGATTCTCGAAGGTCGGTCCAGTCCCCTTCCGACTATAATCCGCATCTGGAGGATCAAAGCTGACTGTTCAGGTGAAACACATCGACGAAGAAACTGGACAACACAAAGACACTGTAAGCGCCGACAATTCTTTGTATGAGTGATTAAGCTCAACTTCAGATCTGGGAGTTTCAACATCCAAACTTCCGTGCGGGTCATACGTCCGACTTGGACGGTATAAGAGTATGTTCATTATCGCTAAGTTGAAGTCACATTGGCTGATGTGTGAAGCGCAAAGCTGTTCTGCCAAAGAAAAGCACTGAAGTAGAGGGCGATGCTGCTCAAGTCAAGAGTCTTGCCGTGGGTGACATGGCTCGAATGGTGGAGATGGAACGCAGGATCATCGGCCTGGAAGATGGTCTATCCAAGGCTGTGGATGAACTACGAGAGGCCAATACACGGGAGACAGGTTTGTTAAGCTTAATAAGGGAGATGATTAGTCAGCTGGAAGCTGTTGAACGAGGTCCGTAACCACAATTTTAATCTCGGCTCATTCAATCTGATATATAGAATCGACTAGCTCTCCTTCAAGCCAGACTGGTGTATCACCGAGAATAACTCACTTGTACACCCTTTTCGACCGTTTAATGCACAACCACCCCGCCCCGCCATACATCATAGATTCGGTACCAATGGGTCGGTCCGCTTCATCCGGCATGTATTCCCGTCAGGGCCCTTTTCGAGATATGAGTCACAATACTTCCGGACCAGCGTACGCTCCCGCTGCTCAGGTTTCACCAAAGACAGACGGAGACGGGACTGTCAGTGAATATGGAGACAACAACTCGCCACAAGGGTCCAAAGCCTCATCTGTGAGACCAGATACGGGTATCGCGCCACATTACTCGAATGGACACATGCCGACCCACGTACAAGGTCAAATGACTGCTCAAAGTCAGAATCAAGAGCAAAAAATTGATCTTGGTATGCAAAACCTTGTACGACAAGAGCAAGACGACGTCATTGAATTACCTCCGCAATCGCAACAGCAAACATTATACAATGGTGATCCCTTATCGATGACACCCGTCTTTGCCGATACTCCTGCTTGGTTAACAGAAGGGCAAAACGCTAGTACACCTATATATCATCGCAAGTCGAGTGACGAGGTGACGATGCGATTAGTCGTCGAGGCTTTGATCGGCCACTCAGCACCATCTGGCTCAGGCGGGCCTTCTTTACCAGGCGCGCAGATTCCAATGGATCAACCTACGATTCCTCTCGAAGAAATGCCACGTAGAGAACCTATTGACTCAAGGGATATTAATCAACAAGCTGTCGTTCAACAAGGTCCTCCTGTCATTCAACCTGCTCCATATGAGGCTGCGGCCCCACCCTCTAATAATGCCGAAAGTTCACCCAGTAGTAGTAGTGGGAACGGTGTACGGTTGAGAAAGACTACGGCCAAGCCACATTGGACGCAAACGCCAAGAATATTGGTAGTAGAAGATGATGTGGTTTATCGACAACTTTCCAGCAAGTTTTTGGAGAAATTCGGGTGTGAGACGGAAACTGTCGATGATGCTCAAGGTGCCATTGAACGGATGAACAAGACGAAATATGACTTGGTTTTGATGGATATCTTCTTTGGACCTAGTATGGATGGGTGAGGTATTCTCCTTGTCATTGAACACTTCCTGGACCCATAATTGTCATATCACAAATTGTTCATGTTGATACGCGTCGTTAGCACGACCATGAGTCCTGTCCTTGTGCACAACAGCTGACTTGACAGACGGAAAGCCACAAGTTTGATCCGACAATTTGACATTTACACACCTATCATCTCCATGACTTCCAACGTCAAGAAGCGTGAGTTGACATATCCTCTTTCTCTGATTATATCACTTAGAGTAAATGAGCAACTTGGCTGATGTCCAAACAGAGGATGTCAGTTCGTATTTCCAAAGTGGGATGAACGACGTTCTCGCCAAGCCTTTCACCAAACATGGCCTATTTGGTATTCTCGATAAACATTTAATACATCTTAAAGCTATTCAACTGTCTGGCGAAGTCCCAAGATCTCTCGGTGTACCACCGTTAAGTGATCAGGGAGTGGTGGATGCTTTAGTAGCTTCTGCTCAATGGAATGCCGAAGAATTAGAGAGGAATCCATTGGCGGGAATGGGAGTAAGTGATGATACTTATCAACTTGTTGTTCAGGTAAGTGAACTTTTACCCGAAATTCCTTTGCTCCTACCTTTCGTTCCATTACCTCACGTCGTATCGTCATCCTGTATTCCCTCTGTTCGTTTTCTGTATTTGCTTCATTCGCTATCTTCTCTTGCTCTATTACTCCCTTCATTCGCTCTATTTGCTATCTTCATTAGATACATTTATTGTGTTCTTTTGATCCCTTTGTCATTATAATAAAACTCAACCTTGTCCGAGTATGTCATCCGACGGGTCGGAACCCGTCTGATTTCCAATCGGGAAAAAGAATGAAATGCAAGTACATTGATTTGGTTGGGCTAATCCACAGCAATTCATATCAACCGGTACCCTACCCGACTTCAACGCCCTCGCTAATGCAGGAATGTTAAACGGTCCCGGTACATATTCAACTCCGGATCCTACAATACCCATTCCAGGTCAAGGAATAGGGACCACCATCGTTTTTGGTGATTCGTCTGGATTCAATCGGAAACGTTCAATTGAGACCGTTGAAGATTGGCAATCACCCGAATTTGATAATCTCGTAGATCCAGACACAAGGACGAAAGATATATCTCATGGAAAAAGATCGAAAATCTTATAGAATTCTTTCTTCATCATCCTGTTCGAAATCATCTTGGCAAATCATGTTCATCTTCGTTATACATACTGCGCTTTCTAAGTACTAAAATGAGGGGTGCGGTGGAATGTGGAAATGTCTTTGGACGTATGTAGAGAGTGTCCATGTCTTCGGACAGACGTAGACTGAGTGTGAGAAATTGGAACGTATCGAAAATCGAGGATAGAAGGGGAAAGAGGGGACACACGGAAAAAGGCAATGTAATATCTAGACATGATTTCACATTCCCATAATCCCCAATGTAGCTTTTTCCGCGTGGTGGAATGACATGCAGCGAATTAGTTTTGTACGATTGAGTATGCGTCATGATGAGACTAGATGTCATAAATATGGTTTTTATTTCTGACTCTTCTTGCTTTTGTCCTTTTCTTGCTTCTTATCTTCTTTCTTCTTTCCTTCATTTTCTCCCTCCTTGTCATCCTTCTTAGCATCCTTTTTCTCTCCTTCCGTCTTTTCTTCTCCTTCTTTCTGTTCTTCTTCTCCATTCTTCTCACCTCCTTCATCCTCTTTATCCTGCTCGCCCTCCTTGTCATCTTTATCTTGTTTGCTCTCCCCCTTCTTAGACGTCTTAGCACCTTGGTCCTTGTCCTTCCCCTCGTCCTCGCCTTTTTCGTCATTTCCCTCAGTTTCATCGCTCTCATCACCGTCCTCCTCTCCAATCTCCGCACCAGCTTTGTCTCCCTTGTCACCCTTCTGCCCCCCTGCCGACTTCATGCCCTTATCGCTCTGATCATGAGCGTCTTCCTCCCCACTTCTCACCTTCTGACCCTTCTTGATCCCCTTACTATTTTGAATTTGACTCGCCTCTCTTTCATCCTGCCTCTCATTCTCTTCTTGTTTAGCCTTTTCTTTTTCCTCCTCTTCCTTCTGTCTCTCCTCTTCTTCCGCTTCTTCTTCTTTTCTGATATTCCTCAACTTTCCATACCCCTCTCCAGTCTCATTCTCCTCCAAGGCAATCTCACCCCCAATTTGTCCCGATAACTTGCCTCCTTTGGTATCCTTGACTTTGATTTTGTTCAGTCGGGCAACTGGGGAAACACGCTCAGTGGTGTGTTGACTATGTTTGGCGTTAGCATCCGACACAGCTCCTGCTCCAGCACCATAGTAGCCTGTTCCAGCAAAAGTACCAATGATGGAGAATCCGACGATGATTGATAGGTAAAATCGGTAAGTCGAATACCATGATGTGGCTACTTGTCAGCGGAGGCATTTTAGGCTACCGCATCACGTTTTTCTTCAATGAATAGCCCTGCTTCCCTGTCGCGACATAAGTGAGGTCGGATGAGCGAAAAACACTCACTCCATCCAATCGTACTGGCCCGTTGATCCAAGAACCACATCAATGTAAACCCCGTCCACTGAGTAGCGAGAGCCACGCCATGGCTCAAAAATGTCGTAGGCCACGCCAAGAGGACAGGAATCACACCGAGAGCCAGCCGACGATAACCTTGAGCACCACCGAGTTGAGCGAACTCCATACCCCAGTGAATGGCACCGAGGAAGGATAAAATAATGGCACCGTAGGTGATCTGGACGTGTTCGACGGTGTGTAGAGCGGTGAGAGATGAGGCGAGGTCATAGCCTTTCTCGCCTGAGTTTCAGCCATGCGATTCGGATAGATCTTATTACATGTTTTGACTGCATGATTTCACTCTCTTGTCCTCGTACTCTCTTCCCTTCTCCTTTCCTGCTTCGAGAGACACCGTGTTGTAACCTTATTTAGACGTAGGCTACAGGACCCATATACCGGATACAAGGAAAAGATGTGTAAGGAGTCAACAGTGACTCACCAGCAGCAGCTAGAGCAGCTTGTCGTGCGAGATAAACAGTAGCAAGACTGGTCCCCAGGTACGGTAGAGTGCCGGCCAGGCCAAAATACAAAGCGGGTTTGGGTACGCTGGACACTATGCTGGTGGTGATTTCGTACTAGAAGTCAGGACAAAGGCCGGTTTTGAAATTTGGACACATACAAAGTCGTCCTTGACCGTACTACCATGTGAATGGGAAGATTGCTCCATGGCAGCCATGGCAGGGGGTTGTCCTGATTTACCGGAAATGAGCTCGGCCACGTCTCGTGTGATTCCTCGAATCTACTATCAGCATCTGACCTTCCATCCGGCTACGTATTCCAAGAATACAGAGGAATGATTCAAACGCGCACTGTACTCGTGAAGTATATAGAAAAATCCGCTCACCTCATCTCTGGCTGCCCCGACGGCACCTTGATGATCTGGGCGAGGGTTGGCGTGAGACGCATCGTGCTTAGTCGCTTTCTCTCCTTCCGGCGAGTCAGTTGGGCTTTGCTTTCCTGAGCCCTTCGAGTCCGTGGGGGTTGTGGCGTAGGCTCTCAAAGAACCAGACTGGTGTAAGTGGGAAGTGTGGTGTGAAGATGACGCTGCCAATGACGTGAGGGATGGTCGAAATGGGAAAAGCCTAGCGGAGAGCATAGGAGGACGACGCAAGACACGATGAGTCGTAGGATGTGATCGAACGAGCAAGAGAGGTCGAAAAGAAGGGAGAGAACGAATCATCCTCCTCTATTCCTACGTAGGCCAAGATATGATGTATGTATGTCTACGATGGAACGAGGAGGAGGAGGATGGGCGTTCGAGGTGATGGAATGGAGTGGGAGAGATGGATGGAAGGGGATGACGTCAGAAGTGTCTTCTCCGCCACGTGGGAGTAGTCTATTTTAGTGCTGTGGCAGTTGTCCGAATGTGGCATTTCATCAGAAAAGGGCTGGGGGCGTCGCACGGATTGGAGCCTTTCACTCGCCCGATTCGAGAGGCGTACATCTCCATCTTCTGCCACGCTCTCTATTGACCTCGAATCTCGTACGAATATTCGTGCGGGTTGGTAAACTTGAACGTCATATCTCGCATCATCGTGGTCACCAACCTCCAAAATGATGATGGCGCCGAAAAAGAAATCGACGACGTCACCTCCATCATCCCGCGTCTATCCTGCGGACCTCCGGGTCACCCGAGGGGGGTCTCAATGACCTCTCTAAACAAGGGAGTGTCATGAAGGTAGGAAAGGGAAGAGAACTTTTGGAAGAAATCCCAAGGTTTTGTGCTTTGGATTATGCTTATAAGTTGATCTAGATTTGAAATCATTGTCCCAACCTCCCCTTCCTGGTTTCAATACAGGAAAGTCATGTCGTTTTCAAACAATACCAGGTCCCGTCCCCCTTCAAACAATCATCATTTCCCTACTGACAGTTCTCTTGGCTTGTATCAACCAACAGCAGGTCACCCGGCGACATCATCCCGACCGGTCATCAGCGGAGCGACCAAAGTGAGGCATGGGAAGGATAGCTTGCAAGCCATGTCCGACGTGGAAATTGTCCAACTGAGCCTGAGCCTCATGCTCATGCTGCTACAAGGAGCAGAAGCTGAAAAGTCTGGTATCTGCCGGTCAAAACTTCCCTATGAGGATGAAATGAAAGAAATCATGTCTCTAGGCACTGGCACGTCATTCACCAAAGACACAGGGACAAAAGCAACTGAGCTGAAGCTGAAAGGAGAGTTTTTCATGAAGTCTTGTCGTACACTTAGTCAAAGATGCTGTAAGTGGGAGCAGACCGAGATCAGGAAAGTGAATACCACACCAAAACCTGATAAGGTCTTGAGACGTAATCTCAACGGGCGAATACGGAATTTTTTGAAATAACCAAAGATTTGGAAGGTGATAAGATGGCCATACTTGTTAGCCGATAGAATCGGGCCAGGACCGCCGTTAGATAATTACCCCTTCCGTCGAGTCGAACATCTCTCCGTTCAGCTTATCCTCTGAAATCTATTCGATCGTCACTGGTTTACTGTGTGTGAGTGGAATGTGATAAGTATAGAGACATGTAGAATTGATGCATGCTCTTTTTCCCCTCTGTATTATCATCTAATTATCAGCAAACAACTTTCAATATGAGGGGAGACGGTGACGTCTTGTCAACCCTTCATCTCAATCCTGTATCCAGCATTCAACCAGTGGGGCAGACCCCAGCCACAGGATCCTCCTGCTCTCCTGCTCCTTTGTCTGAGGTTAGGCACTATCAGTAATCAGAACAATATGACTCCTCCGTACAATAAATGTCAATAACCTCAGTATCTTTGGGGAAGAACAAGCAGTGAGGTAGGCATCTTAATGTATTTCATCTTATGTTCAAATTGGAGACACAGAGAGAACGAATGAGAGGAATGGTACTTGTCCATACATATGTACATATCATTCACGATCATGTAAATATCATTGTTTATACGTATTTCATAATTCTTCCCACATACCATCATTTCTACCTTTTAACAACCTGACCATTTCCCCTAAACGATTAACCTCTTCACCCGTTCCCATCCCTTTTCCTCTCTTACCGACTTCAGTCTGTACGTTCCTCCACATTTCACCCAAAACCCCATCTAAAACTTCTTTCCTACTTTTCTTATGTTCCTTTCTCGGTGGGTTTTGCCAATCTACACTCTCACCGAAAAATTGTGATAATTTTCCCGTGCGTCGTCTACGAGCAGAATGAGAATTAGGATCTACATCTAGATCCAAATCGAGGAAAGTGTCTAAAGATGTTGGTGAAGGTGAAGAATCAAGTGGTCGATTGGATTTAGGAGTGACAGAGATAGCATCTAAGACATTACCGAGTCGTGTTCGATCGGTATCTGCTAACCAGAGTAAACCCTCGAGAGAAGCGTGATATGCTTGTAATGGATCAGGAGAGGGTATTGTGGAGCTCGTAGAGGAATGTGGTGAGGTTGTAGGTGTACGTTTGGGTGTAATGAACATTTCTCTTGGAGGAGTGTCACCGAATAACTGGATATCAATTTCCTTCCCTTTGCTGTTCACGTATATCACTTCATCGTGTCGTTGAGTCGCTGAGTTGCACAGTACAAAAGAAAAGATGGAAGAGGAATAAAAGTTCAATTCTGATTTCTCATTCCTATCATATATCACTTCATCGAGTTTGACATTTGATTCTTTGAGCTGCTCAGAACAAAAGGAAAGATGGAAGATGGATATATTTGCTACTTACCTGTTCGAGCTTATGCGCTCTCCGTCTGGCCACACTTTTCTCTTTCTCGCTCAACTTACCCCCACCCAAATCCATGAAACTGTCATCGAACCCAACTTTCCCCCTTTTCTCTTCATCCTTGTGCCTATCCTTGTCAGTCCTCCCCATCTGTCGGATCTTGTTCCATGCCGAACTTGAGATAGATCCGGCCAGAGAGGGAGTTCGCTCGTCCGTGATTAAGAACGATTCTTCTGGCGAGATAGCCCTCTGTGCTTGGCTGGGAGGGGTCCCGGATCTATCGCCCATAGAGTCTTGTGATGGCCGAGTTAGGAGGTCAGCTGGGATGGGAACTCCGAGTAACCTATGTAACTGCTTATCAGCTCTTGTTCCGAAAAATACATGCGAGGCACAATAGCCTCCATGCTGACCGAGTCGCTTGGGAAGGAGAGTGGAAACCCGTATGTGGGGGTAACAAAATTCGAGATTTGAATGGTTGAGGTTATGATATGGCTGGAATCCATCGTGAGGCAGATGTATTGAATGAACATAGTCATACTCACTTTGGCCAACTGCACCCGTCGCACTTTGCGTAGATCCTCTTCTTGTCCCGGACTCCCTTCTTCACGCAAAAACCATGGTTTCCGCCCACTATCTGGACTGTTTGGAGCGTCCCTAGCGCTCCCGCCAAAATCAGGCAATTGACTCCTCTGCCTAGTCTCTGCCACTCTCACTTCTCTAGAAACGTATACCCTTAAATCCTTATCAGACTCCCTATCACCGTCTTCATTTCTCCTCAACGCCGCCATGGCTCTCTGCGCAAGTCGAGAGGACTGTTTCCTCATCAGACTCCCACTTGGCACTTCTACCCTCTGAGGGACACAATCATCCCTCTGCCATTCTTGCGTCCTCGAAGGAGGTGTACGAGGCCATGCATCGTCCACGTGTTGGGTCACGATAGTGCTTACTCCCGTACTGGGTTCAATGACCAATCGCTCGACTTGTCTTTCGTCAAGAGGAGTACCTAGCATTTGCTCGAGCTTTTTGGCTCGTCTGAGAAGGACGGCACGTTGATCAGGTGGAAGGTCGTTGGTTGCACGGAGTGTTGAGTCCGGTCGGTTTAGTGGGGGTTGAGAATGTTTTGGGACGGGAGGGAGATCTTTTGTGGGAAGAAGACGAGCGACAGTATGGGTGCTCTCGGACAGAGAGGGATGGAGAGAGGGAAGAGAATCGACAGAAGCTGAACGATGAGGGGTAATGAGCAATTCGGGTCCTACGCCCCGACGTCGGGAGGATATGGGAGTGACTGGGGGTGATGGATGAAGTTTGTGTTTGACAGCGGGAAGCGGGGTTGATGGAGAAGGACGGTGACCGCGAAGGGGAGGAGGTAAACCGGTGCTATAGTGTCAGCGAGATTATGACCTGAATCCATGTCGTGGGTTGAGGACGAGGAATATTACCCACCCGGCACCCTTCATCTCCACGGCACTCTCCAGAGCTCTCTTCTCAAATTGCATTGTCACCCTCGCCGTCTCTGCCCCTTCTCCTAATATCTGATCAAGTTTGCTCATCCTCCCTCTAGCGCTTCTAGCGCTTGTGGTCCTCTTGACTCCATTTCCCATGTAAGCAAGTTCCGAGTCTGACCCTACAGAGTTCTCCCTGGTCTCCTCTTCGACGCCACCGCCCCTCAGTGGTGTACCACTACTAGGAGGGGTCTTGTCTTTCTTGGGTGTAGTGACAGGGCTGGACTTTTGGAACTTTGGTGATGTAGGCGATTGAAGACGCGGTACGATCCGATTGGGGTTCATAGCGCTGCTCTTGAGTAGATGAGCTTGTATAGCCTCTTCGGTCTCTGGTTTCTTATGTTTCTGATGTTTTTGTGTCGGTGATGGGTAATATCCGAGAGATGGAGAAGTGTATTCTTTATTTCCCGTCATCGGACCAGAGTATCCCGTGGAAGTGGAAGCTGAAGACATTGACAAAGGTCTTCTCCTTCTCCAAGACCCACTCTTGATTTCACCGTCCTCTGGTACATTGTCTAACTCTCTTGCGACCTCGTCTGAAGTCACAGAATCAATGGCGCTCCATCTACGAGACATTCCAAACGTATCGCTGCTCTCTCTTTTTGTCGTCTTACTTCGTGGCGCTGACTCTTCCGAGATAGTGGTCATACCGACACCTCTACTCTGTTGAATTTGTTGGGTAAGCGGTAAAGACGACGTCGATTGGATTGCTGAACCAGCAAAGTCCGAGATTGAAGATGCAGCCTGAGAGAAACGGAAGAACGACGTGTCGGGATGAACAGGAGGGACAGAAGGGACGTTGCTGATACGGGTATAATTCGTTGGTGTTTCTGAGGGAGGAACGTAATTTGACCCCCATATCGAGGAATCCATGGATAGGCGTAGGAATGAGTCGGATGGTTGAGTCTGAGATGGAGGTTGATCTGGGATAGATCTGATCTCTGGCATTGACCCAACATCTAGCTCTTCTTGATCTCCTTCAAAACCAGAATGAGATGAGGGAGATATTGATGAGGTAGCTTTGGTGATCGGAGGACATGCAGAGCGGTCCCGAGCTCTGGGAGAAGATGATTCGGTAGTCATGGCGACTCCAAGGGGTACATCCATCCGTGCCTCCGTTGACGTTCCGGTACGACGGGAATGATTCCGAACGAGAGATGAAGACATGTCGTCTGGTTCTCTTTGACGGGATCGAGGTGTGATATCCAAGTCGAGAATACGAATGAGGTCTGCCCCACTTCTTCCTGCGACGTAGGCTGTCCGAATGGAGGTCTCGGGCGTTGGGGAAACTTCGAGGGAACTGCAAGCTGTCGGTGAAGCAGAAAGGGGCGTGACTAAAGCGCGTCGAGTGGGTGTATCGAAAGGATCAACGAATGGTGATATGAGGTTGAGTCTTAGTGAAGGACGTGGAGGTGTTTTTGGATGAGAAAGATGAGGAGGGGAAATTGATGTCGACATGGTTGGTTCTTTTTACAGTACCTAGAGCTCGAGGCTCTTTGTTGAGAAATGGGGTCAGAAGCAAAAGTCAGACGATGGGGATAGATGGGCGTGTGAGTGTGATTGGGGTTTGACTTGCGACTTGTGATAGATGTTGCTAGTTGCTAGTTGCTCGTGAGTGAATGATCTAGGCCTACTGTCAGATCGATGTAGACCGAAGCTATCTCACTTGTTGTCCACTCACCTGGACGAACAGCAAATGTGAATGTCGACTTGTACCACGTTAGAATATTAAGTGTTATGATACCTACTGTACTCTTGTCTCCCTTCAACCCCTAATCACGGATATGGTGAGTGGGGGTTAAATGGGCCTTTGATGCGCAAGGTGATGGAGGGGCATCATTTTAAAGGACCTCTTTTTTCCCCTCCTTTCTCATCTCCGCTGCCTCGTGTCGATCATGACCGTCGATGACAGAACTGCGTTGATGAGGATATAGGTCGGAAGTAGACCTCGGTATGCAGCTTGTGTCAGTCATCACGGTAAGGGCCTGTTCGCTCGTTCGACATCTTGATGCGAGTCGGTCGCTCCACGCGTTTGCGAATTTGCGGGGTGGACATGGACGAGTGGGTGGGGGATCTCTCAGAAATATTCATGGCTTTGATGTGCTGATGGTCCAATGGTCACGGCGATCACAAGTCAATTTCTCCATCTCGATTGATCACCGACGAATTCGTCCCCTGACCTGTCATGCCGTATACCATAGTTGACTCTGAGCACTGGAAACATGGCGATGGCGAATGAATGATAGTCGACATTGAGCAACTAGCAACTAGCAACATAAAGAACGGAGAAGAAATACATCGGCTGAACCGACCGAAAGAATAGAGAGTGATCGGGGACAAAAGTTGAAATTTCGACCGGGCAATAGTTCCAGCTTCCTCTCAATCATACAGTATCAATCTCCACTTACCGTCACTTACCTCAAGCTGTAGCTACTAGCAACAATGATCTCAAGAGCTGGTCCGAGTCGTCTATCGCATCATCTACCTTCACCTTGTCCCAGGTATTTGCGAAATGTAGGAGCGACATACCTCACGCCCACAACCAGACCTCTGTCTTCTTCCTCCTCAAAACTCTCGGGTCATAGTCGATGGTCCAAAATCCGACATAAGAAGGGAGCGGCGGATGCTCAACGGTCTGTGTTGTTTTCCAAGCTTACGAATGTGGGTTTTGTCTTCACATGTTTCTATACCTACTCGCCCTCTACCTTTCCCTGGCCCCCGGGCTGTGGCGACTCGTCTTGAGACTTATAGGCGAATACTTGGCTTTCTCATAGTTAAGCTTTTGAGGCGTCTCAACTCCACGTCATCTATCCTTTTCCATGGATCTCACCTTCTAAACCTCTATTGAAGTTTGATCTGAAGTTTGAAGCTTGAAGCTCAGGCAAAGCTGATATGAAAGGATATACATACCGCCCTTCGACCTCCAAACTCATCCGACCCAAACTTGAATCCTCGTCTAGCAACTGCAATTGCAAGAGCTAGAGATGGTGGTGTTCCCCTCCGAAATATAGAAGGGGCGTTCGTCAGGGTTAGTCGTCCATCTTTGACTCCATGAAGAAGAAATTTGATTCATAGGCCAAAGCAGCAGCAGATGGTTCAGGTCAGAATGTCATATACGAAGCTGTTGGACCTGGTGGATTTGGGGCTTTGATCATGTGAGTTGGGAAGTGTTCTTTTTCCCTCGACCGAGTCTATATCATCCCCTTTACCTTTCCCTTCCTCGAAGCTCTTTGGGTATCTTGCCAGAGAGTTCAATCTCGTCCAATAGAGAATGGAAATTACGGAGAAGGTGTATGCTTTGATGATGATGTTGGTATAGACTGATAGTTTAGAGAATGTATGACTGATAACCCAACGAGAACGTTTGCGAGAGTAAGGGATATGTTGAATAAAAATGGGTTCGTTATCCTTTTTTTTTCAACCTTACTCATCGTTCTCCCTCGTTCCCTCCCCTCCCCTAGAAGATCCTACTAGCCCATTCCATTCTCTGTCAGACAACCAAGATCTTTGTCGGCATTCCGAGATGATCATATGCCCATCTGACCCACGTTGAAGAGAGATGATAGAAGACCTTTGATAGAAGGGGAAAGGGGAATTATTGATGTCAGTTATCGAATAGCTCCCGTAGCTTATCTATTCGAGAAAAAAGGTTTGATAATCATCTCTATTTCAAATGGGGGGACATACGATCATCTGTTCGAAATCGTTTTAGAAGCAGGTGCGGAAGATGTCAAAGAGATTGATTCTGCGATAGGTGGGGAGAAAGAGTACGAGGTAAATCAAATCCCCTTTCCTCCATCCCTTTCTCCTCCCTCTCCTCGACTTCTTCTTTTTGTTCTTATTCTTGTGTTTACTCTTTCCCTTATCCTTTATGTGGCTCTTCTAATTTCTAGTTCTTACTACTTTAGTGGAGAACCCTAGTGATTCAAATGTGGTGGGATATTCTAACAATAACAGATAATAGTACCTCCCACAGAACTATCATCTTGTGTTCAAATCCTGTCTCGATATTCTGATAAATATACTATACAATCTTCCGAACTTGCCCGATTACCATTAGAACCTTTGATAGAGGAAATTGTCATGACGGAAAATGAAGATGGTTCTGAGAAGATAGACGGGTTGGAGAGGATGATAAATCTTTTAGAGGAAGAAACCGATGTTGTGAGAGTTTGGAGTAATCTGAGTTGAAACATTCAATGATACTGATATTTGTCATAGCTTAGGAAATGCATGTATGATTCAACGTCACATGGTAGGTTCGACGAGTTGAGTATGATTTGCAAAATGTCAATTTTGGAGTTGAACAAGGAAGATGAAATGCATGCACACATTTGACCTTTCATGACCACAATTTGATCAGACCATCCCAACTTGCAGTGATAACTTTTGACTGGTTCAGTCAGCTTCCACATATTTCTATCTATCCGCCATCTGAGTGCTCTCACACCGTTATTCCTTATTGTACCTCTTCCCTCCCCCATCTCAGCCCAGCGTCGCAGTAGACGTTTCATCGAATAGAAATCCACGAGGTCATGGTGGAGGAGAAAAACAAAAATAATGGTAAAAAGAGGATGATGAACTCATCACTTCACATCCACAGAGATGGTAGCTTCTTGATACAAGGAAAGAAGGAAGTGCCGAGGGGAGGGGAGGGGGAGTAGAGAATAGTCAAACATGTTCTAAACTCACATGTTCATTAGGTAACCAAACATGATCAATAACAACTTGATTATGCGCTTTAAACCTTTTTTGTATCCTACCAGATCTCCAATCCCAAAACACCATCTCACCTCCTCCCGTACCTGAAGATATATATTTTCCATCGGGTGAAAAACCTATTTGACATGCGTATCCCGCAACTGTATGACCTGCGAAACGTTTCTTTTTAGCTTGACGGAAAGCTCCGTCTGCTGCCCAAACTAATATTTGGTTGTCTAGTGATTGACAAGCGAAGTAATTCACTAGACGTCAGCTTACGACGAACCCACATCAACAAGAAATAGAGGAAAACTATGTGATAGGAAAGTTGAGAATTTGGTCAGTCGAACAACGAGGACTTTGGTGATTGAGAAAGATGATTTCATGATAAGAAAAGATGGAAAGTGTTATGATGATAAGGAGAAAGAAAAGGAAAAAGAGCTACTCACAAGTGGGATGATGTGTCACAGCAGGCATAGAGTGCATATAAGGTTCAGCGATATATTTGATCGTAACCGGTATATCGTAATCCCATCCTCGAAGAGTTTTATCATCAGAAGTAGTGAAAAACCTTCTATTTTCATCGACGAATGTTATCGTATTTACAGGTCCTAAATGTTGATCATATGTTTGTATTATCTCATGCGCTCTAGTATCATACTGTTTTTCCCAATCAGTTTCATTCTATTTTCTTCTACTAAAGTGAAATATTACTCACCTGAATAATCTTCTTATCTGTCATTCCTGCCATCCAGATATTTTGTTTATCCGGGTCTGGATGATATTTTATAACATTGGCCATTTTACCATTACTAAAAGCTTGAATACATTTCCCAGTTTCTGTATCCCAACATTTTATATATCGATCATAAGAGGTCGATAAGAATTTTGAACCTTTATTATTGAAGGCGACATCTTTGACAGCTTGTGAATGACCTATAAAAGTACGTAAACAATTTCCTTCATGATAAACATCCCAAAGCTACATTTATCAGTTTTGGCTCATGTGAAAACATTGACAGTTACTGACTTTAATCTTTGTATCCATACTTGCTGAGAGAAGTAAATGACCAGAAACAGGGAATAATTTGATCCGTGATATACCCTTATTATGTCCAGTCTGACAATCAGCTTCAAAATACTTTGGTCAAGTGTCATGGGAGAACTCACCCAAGTATGTATACACTTCTCGGGAAGATATGCATTAGGAGGTGGTGTATCTTCCGAAGGATTCAATTTAACATCTAAATCCGTAGGTATGTGCATATATGTTCTTCCAGCATAATCGTGTAATTCTTTTCCATGAAAAATGGTTTTTTCTTCTTTCGCAGCTGCCATTTTCTCTTTAGCAACTTGTGCAGCTTCTTCTCTTTTTCTTTTTTCTTCTCTCCATTCTTCAGCTTCTTCCTCGACGATAGGTTCCACTTGTTTTTCACTTTCCCATTGTGCCCATGGTCCCATATAAGCACCTTCACCATCGACCACTTCGGCATCACCTTTGTTTGCTCTCTTCCGCTTGGCTTCACGTCGTTCGGATCGAGATGATCGGATGTGTTCAATCATATCGAATTGATTTTGTTCCGCAGCGTTGAGGGAACCAACGTATGATGCTTGACCGTTAGAATGAGCAGAGGGATTAAGAGCGTAACCGTGAACGTCATATGTTCGTTGTTGAACCATGAAAGAGTGATGATCCATGGCTTGTTCTTCCACATGACCTATTGAATCAGTTTGGTCCTTTTTTTATTCCCTCAATGATATTCTTTCTACCTCACAGTCTGAGTAGACCTGCAGTAAGAAACAAGTGCAGGTTTGTCATGGGAACCGAGAAGTGTCAAATGAACATATGAAGAGATTCCAACTTACCCGCCAGAGAGTTCATTCCTGCATTCCTTTTCTTATTAAAAGGATCCACAGGACCAGCCACAGGTCTGGTCATATCCTCATAGCTGATGTTAACATTGATGACCTTATCCGTGGGTCTAGTGATGATTGCCAACCCAGCTCCATTTGGGTCCTATCACAAGTCAGCTTACTTCCATCTTTGTCTTGTTCCACGCTCACTTCTTTTAACACGTCAGGAGCCGCCACCACTTGAGCTTTCACATCTCTTTGTGGCCCAGTAGAAGACGACGCTCCGTTGGTGGAAAGACCAAAAGCGTCAGTTCGCACTTGTTCCTCCAATTTCTCCTCATCCTCATCTTCATCATCCGCGGACTGAAAGTTCTTGCCTTTAGTGGGAAGACATGAGGTTGAAGTACTTGGACCTGGTACCTCTTCGTCCGAAGATGCGTAGTCTGCCAAAAGGGCCGACATGGTCATAGATATAGTTGGGTCAAGTAAGTTAAAAGACTTGCTCGAACCAGGCGAGGTGAAGAGCGGCGAACGTGTGCCTGACATTGGGGCAAATTCTGACGAGCCTGACAATTCTCGATCGTCCAAAAGTTGATTTTCACTCATACAACATGACTTGAACTTGTGCATATATCAACAGACATGATCAAATTCACCCTACTTCAGAACAGTGGTGTGTCCGGTTCATCACAAAGAGACGTTAGAAGACTCTATATATCCCCGGAAACTCTAAGAGCTCATAGGTTGGTAGCGGGCGACTGGGTGTTCCTCAGGTCATCCGACACGGAGATTGGACGAGCAGCGCAATTATGGCCACGACTTGATGTACAAGAAGATGGTGAGCTGAGATTTCAAAATGTTCAACGTCAGCTCATACTAAGCTGTGGTAATGGGTGACATGGGCTTTCCTGTGGAGAGCCAGACAATTGAGGTCGTACCGTTCGATCCTTGCTCTCACCCTCCGCCCCTGCTCCGGTCTGTAACTCTTGTCAACCTGTCCTCGACTTCGAAGGAGCCACAAACTTCGAAAGAGGTTGAATGGATCAAAGCAACTGTAAAAGATTCTCTCGGTAAGTCAACCACTTGACATGGCCAAGACTCATCGCGTAGCAACACTCAAATATGTTTCCAAGGGTCAGCGATTTTCCGTCCCGACCGGAGATAGCCTAAGGAGTTACATGGTCCACTCGATAGAGATTTCTGCGAAGCCCAACGTGTCTAAAGTCCCGGGAGACCCAAACTCTCTTGCAAAGCGCCTGCAGGGGCTGACAGTGAAAGTTGGATCAACAGAGGAATTGGGAATCTGTCAATTCGATTGGCGGACACAAATCAGGTGGGACGGAGAGGCCGCAACAACAGCCTCGACTCTCGAAGGGTCTACTTTGAAAGTGAGTTCTCTGAGCTATCATTTCGGATCAAGTTGATCAGACAGCGCGTTCCGGTAGTGGGCCCGACGACAAATCTGAACAATTCGATCTCGCGGCTTAGAACCCAAGATCCATCTACCGATCTATCACCATTCTCTACCCTTGGTGGTCTCGATTCACAAATCCGTCAAATCCGCACCTTACTCGAAATACCTCTTAAACATCCGACCACTTACTCTTTGTTTGGGCTTAAACCTCCTCGAGGTATTCTCTTGTACGGTCCTCCGGGAACCGGCAAGACGGCATTGGCACGAGCTGTTGCTTCTGCCCTTCCTGGTTGCTCATGTATCGTAGTCAACGGTCCGGAGCTCTCTTCAGCTTATCATGGTGAAACGGAAGAAAAGCTTCGCGGGGTTTTCGAGGAAGCTCGGAAAAAGAGTCCATGCGTGGTGGTATTGGACGAGATAGACGCTTTGTGTCCCAAGAGAGACGGGGATGGTGGAGAAGTTGAAAGACGAGTCGTGGCTACTTTGTTGACGTTGATGGATGGCATGGCAGAGGACGATGAGAAGGAAAAGGTTTTCGTCATTGCCGCTACGAATAGACCTAACAGTATTGATCCCGCCTTGCGGCGGCCAGGTCGATTTGATAGGGAGTTGGAAATCGGTCAGCTTTTCTTCCTCGTGCTGTCCTATATCAGCTGATATGATCAGGCATTCCCGATGCAGTTGGTCGAAAACAGATCCTCGAAATTTTCTTGTCCAAAATGCCTCATTCACTCAGCTCGGAAGACATTCATGAATTGGCTGCGAAAACCCACGGCTTTGTGGGTGCGGATCTCTCTGCTCTCGTTCGTGAGGCGGCAACCTTGGCTATACAACGGTGGCATACGTCTTCGACTTCGGAAATCCCCCTTCTCACAGCTGATGACATCGCTGCTATCTTACCCGCCATGCGTCCGTCAACTATGCGAGAAGTCTTTGTGGAAACACCGTCTGTGCGATGGTCTGATATTGGTGGGCAAGAGGAGGTGAAGCAGAAACTTCGAGAATGTGTAGAATGGCCCTTGTTACATCGTGACACCTTCCTCCGTCTTGGAGTGGAAGCACCCAGAGGAGTATTGTTGTACGGTCCTCCGGGATGTAGCAAGACGATGACGGCGAAAGCTCTAGCGACGGAAAGTGGGCTTAACTTTCTGGCTGTCAAGGGCCCAGAGGTGAGGATCGATACTGTGTGAACGGAAAGCCAGCTGAATGATAGTTGCTCAACAAATACGTTGGCGAATCTGAACGTGCTGTTCGAGAAGTGTTCCGAAAAGCACAAGCAGCAGCACCTTCCATATTATTCTTCGTGAGGTTCACTAGTAGACGCCACACCTAAGCTCATGAGATAGGACGAGATCGATGCTCTTGGATCTAGCAGGTCAGATGGGGATGGCCCCCACAATGGTGTTCTCACCAGCTTGTTGAATGAAATGGACGGGATTGTAGAACTGTCAGGAGTGACAATTGTGGCAGCTACCAATCGTCCAGATGTGCTTGTATGTCTCACACTGTTCAAAAGACGTACGCTGATGAGAAGGATTCGGCATTGATGCGACCCGGAAGATTAGATCGGATCTTGTATGTAGGTGCTCCGGATCTAGACGCGAGGAAGGAGATCTTCAAACTCCGCTTAGCGAAAATGGCCGTCGAGCCAAGAGTGGATGTCGTGGAGCTAGCTCGACTAGTAAGTCGTTTGATGAGATAATTTGGGGGATGAGCGACTGACATTTACAGGCTGAGGGGTGTTCGGGAGCGGAAGTTGCTTCTATATGTCAAGATGCAGCTTTGACAGCGATGAACGAAGATCTCAATGCGCCTTACGTGAGTGACACTTGACCGATACATGACTTTGTCGATCTGTCGTGGTGATGATGAATGACGCAGAGCTGATCTGAACAGGTGAAACTATCTCATTTGGTGCATTCGGCCAAGACTGTGAGAAGGCGGATCACGCCGACGATGATCGAATACTATGAAAATTGGAGAGATCAGTCCGGGGTGAGAAGCGCTTGAAATCGGGTGACTTGACAGATTGACAAATTGTAAGCATGATGCAAAACACTAAAGCACTGCATCTCTAGCTACCTTTATGCATGTCCCTAGGTCATCCTTGATCCCAAGATGCGTGTTGCATGAGCAAGCGGCAAGCGGGATAGTGCGGACGAGGGAGGAAGAATAAAGCACTGCCACGAAGAAATACAATGTACCGCCACTTTCAGCCTTCCGAACCACTTGCTTGCCTTTCCCCTCCCCCGACCCTTCCTTCTACTTTGCCTCCCTCCCTCCCTCTCCAACAACACACCTCGCTACTGCTATCTCTTTCCGCCCCACGCCCTTGGTAGACGGACAGCTCTTCTCGTCTATCATCCCTCCGTCAAAAGCCTCAACAGCTTAGCTTATCGTCTCTTGCTGAATTTTGTACCTTGATACGTTTCTCGTCCTAACGACTATAGGCTCCTTCAAAGTCCTTCACGATCAACTTTGTCTCATCTCCAACCAATTCTCGATCCATACAGACGTATCCTAGTCACGCATTTTTTTCATTTTTTCAATTAAAACATATACGCATCTCTTCCTACCCACTTTCATATCTTCATATCATCCTATAACACATTTCTGTCATCCAGACTTCTATACTACTTCTTCACCACATCACACCATAAACAATATGACATCCGCCATCCCTATCCGACAACCTAGAGGTCCGTCCAATAACTCTTTCGGTTCTCCAGCCGCTGCTGCCGTCATTATATCAGGTGATACTTCCCTAGGACCTCCAACAGCAGACGTAGACTCTCTTCGTCGTTCTAACACTTTTAATTCTCCTAGACATCAAACATCCGCTTCCATCTCTTCTACACCCGCAGCCAGCAGTGCTTTCCATGGCAACAAAACTCGAGGAGGTCCGAACAGGTTTAGAAGTGGTAGTTTGACTAATACGAATGCAAATTTGGGTAATGATGGTGGTGTTGTCAGGAGAAAAAGTGGTAGGGAAGTTCATCAAGAAGAGGTTTTGGTAGAAGAGGGTCCTACGGATAATCAAGATGTCATGAAGAATGATCAGTGGGGCAAAGGAGGATTGAGTAGACAAAGATCTTTACCTAATCGGAAAGGTCAGTCTTGATCGTCAACACCTATCTCAAATCACCTCATTCTCAATGTTCTTGAAAAGGGAAAATATCCTAATCACAACTAATACGAACTCTCCCTATAGCTCGCTTCTCTACCCTTGATACCAAGAGACTTTGATTGTTCTGGGGAGCTTTGCATTTTGATCTGAAAGTTACTGTGCAAAGGATTTAGCTCATTTATAAGGTTATAAACCACCGAGCATGTCTTCCATGCCCCCTCCTCCCTTACCCGACAAGGTTATCCATGAACCTGCTCCACCACCACGCCCTCCTAGACGTATCTACGCTTCAGGAGACGAAAGTATACCTTCGCCTCCTACCACCGCTGTACACAATGTTTCGCATTCTTTATCTTCACTCGCTATGTTCGGCCGATCTAATCTTCCTCATCATGAAGAAACCGTTGCTACATCTGCCGGTTTGTCCAGGACTCAAAGTCTGCGTGCACAGGCAAAACATCCGGAAAGTGGACCTCTGGGTCGAAGCTCTAGTCTACGCTCGACTGGTGAAATGGTTAGTTCTTTTCCTAATTGTAGTCTGCTTATTGATACATATTGCTGATACGTTAGCACTACAAACCCTCCGTGACTGTTTCTTCACCCACCGAAAGCAACAATCCACAACAAGCTTTGAGTTCTCCGACGCCTCCACCAGCTTCATCCACCGCTGCCCTTCCACCTTTCCCACTTCCCTTACCGGACAACACGTCCCTTGAGCCTGGGGCAGATGTCAAACGACACCAATCACTCACTCAGGGTTATGGCAGGGTTCGTGAAAGACTCGAACGTTCACCCGCTTTACTCACTTTGGAACAACGAGATGAAATTCGTAAACAGAACGATCAATCTTCTAACAATGTACCAACCCACGCTAAGAGGATCTCCGAAGCTCCAGAGGAAGAACCGCCACTCAGTCCATTGGATAGCGGTGTTTGGTCCAGGAACACTATATCTCCTGCCGACGGTGGATGGAGTAGACAACAACAAATGCAAGATGCTTTTGAAGCTATGCAATTAGGTCGACGTATGATGGGTGGGGAATTACCACCTCAAGCTAAAGATGATCGCGGTCATGGAAGTGGAGTCATTCAGGAAATTCTCGCTAATCCTCTCAATACTCAACAAAATCAGAATGGTCGACCTAGAGCAGGAAGCGAAGAACCCAGTTGGGTGTCTACTCTTGTAGGTGGACCTGAAAGACGTTCTCCACTTCCACCTCAACAATCTCAACAAGGATTCACAAACCTTCCATGGGCAGAAAGAGAAGCTTTACTTCGATCACAAGGGATGAATCAAAGATGGGATCCGAATAATAATTCAAATTTCATTCCACAACATATGTATTTATCTCCACAAGGTCAACAAATCATTTCAAACCCTTATATCAAACCTGGTCAACTTCCAAACCTCACTTTGTCAATCCCAGGCGTACCATATTCTCAATCTCAACCACTTCATCACTTGCAACCTCTCCAACCGATTCCGGCAAACTTTCAACCGGGCGCTTATCCATATGCTACCCCTCCACCAACTGCTATGGTCACGTCTGCACAGGATCAAGCGGTGATAGAGTTAGCTAAAAGTAAAGGACTTAATCCTGCCACTTTCGATTGTAGACCTGCTCAAGCTAGGTTCTTCGTGATAAAGAGTTATACAGAAGAAGATGTACAGAAAAGTTTAAAACATGAAATTTGGAGTAGTACAATGTTAGGGAATAGAAGGTTGAATTTGGCTTTTGGTGAAAGTGCGAAGCATATGCCTATTTACTTGTTTTTCAGTGTGAATGGCAGTAGACATTTTTGTGGAGTTGCTCAGATGGTTTCTCCGTGAGCCATGCTCTCTTTCTTTCTCTCTCTATTTCCAATGCCCTTTGTCCCACCTACCCCGCATACACATATACTCATTCTTTACATGTCGTCGTTCACGAGATTTGGGCCTCTACACGCACTGAAAAAACTCTTCCAAATGCAGAGTCTGTCTCGTGACGACAGTCGAAAAACTTGAACCTGAATCTAGCTCATGATCAGTGTCGACGAAAACCAAACTTCTACAGTTTGGGCTCAAGACAAATGGAAAGGTATCTTCAAAGTCAAATGGATATTCGTTCGAGATGTCCCTACAGCGTATGTCTTCTCCCTCCACCCCATACACTGACTGATCTGACCAGCGCTCTTCGCCATATCCGGTTGATGAACACACCGGAGAAGAAGCCAATCACCAACTCGCGAGACACGCAGGAGTTGCATTATGAAGCTGGTTGTGAGGTTTTGCAGATTTTCTTGGATTATCAGACGAGGTCGAAAACTAGTTTGTTACAGGATTTTTCGTATTATGAAGTGAGTGTTTCAATGTCTGTATCTTTTGTATTCTCCTCATTCTTAACCTGAACTCACCGACATCACTATTAGGTTGATGAGATCGTCCTCAGGAACATCTCCAAAACACTCTCACCTTCTCGCCATCTCCCCAAGTTGTGGAGATTTTGGGACAAGCATAGTCGTGCGGAAGTCAAAACATACTTATATACAGCAATTGGCAGCAAACAAAGCGATAGGACAACCCAGTCCGTCTCATATACCTCAACAGACCCTCTTACCCCCACTACAAATGTCTTCCCCTGCTTCCTCGGCTCAATCTTACATACCTTCCCCTTCTCCTCAATTCGCTCAAGGTGGCCACGTCCCTCCCGTCCCACCTATCCCCTCTCGCTTCCGCTAGAACCATAGTGGATTATGATCGACAAGATGACATGACGTACGACCAAGACACTCTTTCAACGATAAATCAAACCTTTTCGATTTGCCAGATTATCGACGTTTACAATCACCATCCTCTGACCTTTTTGACGAAGAAATGTCTTTTGAAACTTTTGTAGCTGTGCATGCAATTTGTGAATTCTTTACAGTTTCTTGTGATCGATAGAGTAGTGTTGGTCGTCATAACATGACGGAGAGTGAGTGACAAATAAAATAGCCAGGACAAACATGGTCAGCATGGTGCATTGCGATATTGCGGTACATATGGTGCGCCACATGGGAAACACCTTGCCACCTTTGAACCTGATGCTTTCACCTTGCACTCACACACTAAGTATCACCATTCCTCCAACCTACCCTATTCATTATTCATGTCTTGAAAAACAACATTTCCTATCATCTGTCATTATACTCTTCGTACCTATCACGACATCCAAGCTCTTCTTCTTTACTTCTTGACTCTTTGAAGTGAGTTTTGTCATCTATCCACACGTCGTGTCGTCTGCTCGTCTAAATCACCCTTACCCTTGCATCTTGGCTCTTGTTGTGGATCATGTAGCGTCGTCTCACCGTTATCGTCACTTTATTCTCCCTTCCCACAATCACTCGATCAGTATTGATCTATGCATCAATAGTGAGATAGAAGAGAGAGAGAGAGACCATAGGGAGAAGCTTAGGTCGGAGGTCGGAAGACGGGGGAATGCTAAATACCACAGATTCAACGACAAAGGTACGACTCATTCAAATACTACAATCAACTGGACCGACCACCGTCTCACTCCACTCATCGTCTTGCCATAACGCTGTCAGCGTATATCACTGAGCCACCTTCAGAATTGTAAGACGAGATAATTGCAAAACGTACACATATATCACACAGTCATCAGCGGTCGGTAGCGGGATCATTGAGGGAAAAGATTAAGATGAGAGAATCAAATTATACATATCCACCTCAGAATAGAGCTGTTCTCACTATAACCCATTTGTTATATGACCGTAGAGGTGAGTTCATTTTGTTTACATCCACTCTTGGAATCGGCGGAAGACATTGTGGAGCTGGTTGGAAGATCTTTTTCTTCCCCCTTGCTCATTTTACTCTCTTATTACCTGTCGATCCTTTGACGTTTTCCCACTACATCGTCCTACTCTTACTTCAATCAAGCCTTCTTATTTCTGCTGAGGTCGAGTTTTCATAACGGTGAGGTATGAAGCAACACTACTTACTTTCAGCACTCGACACCACTTCCCCCATCGCTCTCCTGAACAACTTGATCTCACTTACACATCTCACTTCTACCGCCCCTCGTATCCGCGAAATCTTAACATGCGACGGTGGTCTAGAACGTTTAATCGACATAATACGTTCTTCCACTCTCCCACGACCCACACCTCGAATGCACGACCTCTGGGGTTTAAACGGTCCAAGTACAGCTCGTGTTTTGCCACACGACAAACAAGTCCAGCTTCGATATTGTCTCGCCTTCCAAAGTGTCGTCAATCTAGGTGTTCGAGGGAACGAAGCTGTTCGAACACGTGTTGTTCAAGCTGGTGTCTTGGATATCACAGCTGAAATCTTAGAACATTGGTTGAAAGATCAAGGAATCTCTATACATCCTGGTCCTCTTGGTAGTCAAGCTGCTGTAGACGCAGTGGCCAAAGGTGATATACCACCCGGAGTTGGTGAATGGGGAAGAAGACATAAATATTTCAGCATGATACGACGTGATCAAATTGAAGGAAATGAAGAACAAAATGTTTCCACTCAAAATTTCAATCTAGGGACGTTTGGTCAATCACGTCAGAACAATTCGACTGAACTATCACCTCTTGGTTTGATTCCCATTTTCCCAAGAGAGACTTTGAATGATTTAAGAACACGACTTGAGGCACCTTTATCGGTAAGGACGGGATTGGGAACGGGTGAAGCTGCTTTATTGACTAGAGGAGGTTTGATCGCTCGTGAGCGTGACCCTAGAGATGTAAGAGATAGAGACAGGGAAAGAGGCGAAAGAACCAGAGAGAGGGAAGTGAGGGATAGACAAAGGGAGAGAAGACAAGTTGAAACCGTTGATACTGATGTCGATATGGCCGATACAGAAGATGCAGGAACGGACGCGGCTAGTGTAGGTGCAGATGATAGTATGGACATCGACGACGAAGGAACTATACATCCACCATTATCCGCCATTAGTCAAACTCCAAGAGCTTCACAACATTTACTTCCTCTCCCACTCACCATTGCCCCTCCTTCTCGATCAGTCATCCCAGAAGCTGAAGAGCAACCCTCGACATCCGCTTCAAGTGCTGCGGATTCCATGTCTGGTGATGATGGTCCCATTCCTCGAGCTACTTCCGATTCCAACTTAGCCCGAACGGCAATTGAAGCTAGTCAATCTTTACGTACTCCAGCTCTCAGCATCGGTATACCCGGTAGGACACTGCCTCCACTGGGTAGGGAGACTATGAGCAATCGATCAAGTCCAGTGGGTACACCACGAAGAACGGAAACGGCAGATTCACGTATTCGCGGTCGTCGAGGAACCATAGTCGCTCGACCTATTGGTTTGATGCCTCGTAATGACCTCCGAGATGGTGGTGGAAGTGGTACTTCTGATGGAGGTGAAGAGATTGATTTACCAACTGCTACGGTCGCTCAAGGTTTGATAACCGCTCAAGCTCAACAGAGACAAGGTCGAGCTACTGTCATCCCAGGTGATGATGACCCAGAAGAATCACCTGCCAATGTTGAAATCGCCGATACGGCACGTACCATTCCTGACGATTCCGATATAGAAGCCATGGCCGCTGAAGAAGCTCGATTAGATTTAGAAGCTGGTGCACCTCCTGGTCAACCAGGAGCCACTGAAACACCACGTACAGTTCCTGAAGCGGATCCTACACCTCGACAAACAACTACGGAAGTTCCTGTAGAAGCAGTGGCGGATGAAGTTCAAGAACAAGCTCAAATCATCATTGCTAATGGTGCACCGAGAGGGTTTCAAGATCTTAACGCTTATGTTGGACTTTCATCACTTTTAAACCCAGATACCGATCGTTATTCCGATGATGCTGTTTTATTAGCACTTCAACTCCTAGCTTATCTCTCGAAATACCCTCATGTGAGGGATACATTCCATCATCCTCGGAAACCGATGCATCCGACTTTTGACCTTTTCTCAGATCAAATGCCATCTCCTTTACCTGAACGACCGGCTTTATCCGTTAGCGCCAACATCTTCAGTCTCGCTCAGAGGTTCACGTTCAAACCTGGTCCAGCCGATCCGGATATGTTCAGGATACCAGTGGAGATACAATATTGGGCAGGAGTGATCATGCGGAATGCCTGTAGGAAAGACGAGGCGAATGGTGGGACTAGACAATGTGCTAGGATGGATTGTGGGAAGAAGGAGACTGTTGCGAGGGAATTTTCAAAGTGTAGGAAATGTAGGAAGGCCAAATATTGTTCGAAAGAATGTCAAAGTATGGCATGGGCAGAAGGTCATCGGTTCTGGTGGGTTGTGGTTAATTTCTCTCCCTCTGCCCTGGTATCACCCAACACCTTGTCCTCTTCCCTCCTCCTTGAGCTCACAAGTATCATTAACTCCTACTTAGTGAACCCATCAGTATTTCCGTCAAGCAAGTGGTCTCATAATCTCCACGTGCAATGACATTATAACGGGAGTCATACTCATTCGAGATGGCTTTCAGAAAAAGAAATTCGTCGGATCTCAGAATAGATAAATGCTAACGACTTAGGTGCAGTGCTCGGGATGAAGGACCCCCTCGTCCACCCTCTGAAACATCTGCCAACCCCACAACCGAAGTAGAAGGCGGTTCCGAGTTTGTCGGACTGGGTGTGACTCGTGACGTCCTCATGCGAGCCATCGCCACAGCTCGAGCCATGCGTGCTCGTGCTTTACACACGGCTCCCGTTGGTACACCTGATCCTGCCCCTAATCAAGATACTGCTCCAGTCGTCTCCGCTTCACCCACACCTTCCCCAGGTCTCGTCGGTCCAGCGACATTACCTCATCCACAATCACAACCACAACTTCGAACTGAAACACAAACACAATCATCACTAGCAACACGATCACAAGCTCCAGCACCTATACAAGCACCAACTCCTATGCCTTCAGCAGCATCGATGTCATCAATCACCACCCGACCTACTTCTTTGACACCTGCACAAATATCTACACCTGCATTAACAACATCGACCACACCAGTCACACCTCAAACAATAATCCCTCCTCTCAATGTCCCCCCTACGCCATCTACCAGTCGTCCTGATCGAGGTCGTTGGGGTCCGATCGAAACTCAACTTCCATCAGCCAATCCCACCCTACCTCCTTCCACCGAAATTCAACCGATAAACACCATTCAACCTTCTGTTCAGCCTCAAACGGCTGAACCCATTCCTCGTAGGACAGCAATGGGAATGCTCCGACGTGCATCCGATAATAATCAACCTCCAACACCTATCCCGCAAGGTCAATCGGCTGCCAGAAGCAGGTTCGCCCGATTCTTTGGTGGAGAAAGACAAACAGAACAAAGAGGTCCGAGTCCTTTGAGAAATGATAGTACGGGAAGTTCACAGACGGAGGAGCAAACGACTGGAAGTAGGTTGAGTATTTGGAGAGGAGGTAGATTATCACCTTCTGGGAATACAGGTTCAGTGTTGGGTTCGTCTGTAGGTTCTAGCGAAGGGAGTGGATCTGGAATGTGAGTTTTGGTCAAGGTGTTTGGTTCGTAGCGTAGCATGTAGCTTGTTGGTTCTAGGCGATTTTGGAACATAACACTTGCATGGTCTCTGGATACCAGCGACTGGGACCAATGATCTTTCGACCAGTCCTCACTGGCTAAGAGTACGAGTGCTCCACTGGGCTGAGTTGAGTACATACAGCGAAGTAGGGAAAGATGGAACTTGGAACTTTGTAGTTTATGCTGGCAAGTTCTGACGTGGGGCTCCGCAATTGCCACTCACCCCTCGCTTTCTTCTTTCCCGGTTCATATGTTCAAACTTTCCAACTCTTTTTTCCATTCAATCTCATTCTCAAGCTCCCCATTCCATCATATGACACACACAGAATGTTATCAAGACGTACAATCACATTAGCTCAACGTGGACTCCGAGTCAAACGTTCTTCATCTCTTCTCACTCCTATATCATCTTTCCTTCCCAAATCCTCCTTCTTCTCCCCCATCTACCCGTCTCTCTCAAACTCTACCGGTCATGCTGTCAGACATTACTCTCAACCTCCATCGGGTGGTAGTGGAATTAACAACAATGGTAGATTTGGAGGTTTCGGTGGAAATTCTTTCCCAGGAATGTCACAAGCTTCGACAGGAGAAACACTCAAAACTTATTCAATCGATTTAACTCAACTTGCAAAAGAAGGAAAGTTGGATCCGATCATAGGAAGAGATGATGAGATAAGAAGGACTATACAGATATTATCTAGAAGAACTAAGAGTAATCCTGTTTTACTTGGTTTACCAGGGACGGGTAAGACTGCTATATTGGAAGGTTTGGCAATGCGGATAGTCAATAAGGAAGTACCAGAGGTGAGTCAATTCACTCCTTATCCTATTCATTTCTCGTTTCTTCCCATTGTCTTCTCATAGTAATGCTGCCATCTCCCTCCTGTAATTGAGACTGCTATCCTGTAACTCACTTGATCATTCTTCTTGATTTCATTGGACATTCCATATCCAAATTCCCCCTTTTTTTCCTTGTCTTGAAGCGCGATTGTCACACACCGTTAGTTGTTGTATAAGATCCTCTATAACTTACTTGGACCATCTAATCTGGAGTGGTCAGTCTTAGTGTTACGTCTGATGATTTGACAGTGGAGTGAGACTGACGTTTCAGTCTCTTCATGGTAAACGTCTTTTGTCTCTGGACTTGTCTATGTTGCTTGCTGGGACTGGAGTCAGAGGAGAGTTCGAAAATCGTTTCAAAGCTTTGATCAAAGATATAGAGGAGGAACATGGGAATGTTATCTGTTTCATTGATGAACTGCATACTTTGTTGGTGAGTCCACCTACCTCCTTCTCACTATCCTGTTCCTCACCACTCATTATTTCGCAAAAGTCAAAACAATACTTATTGGAGTGGCATTCGGTGAGACTATAACGGTCACATGGCGTCGACACGACGTGGATATATGGTGACTGGCTGACGATAGAACCTCGGTAAAGCAGAAGGATCCATGGACGCAGGTAACATGATCAAACCAGCTCTCGCTCGTGGTCTTCAACTTGTGGGAGCTACCACACTCGACGAATATCGTAAGACTATCGAAAAAGATGCTGCTCTCCAACGACGTTTCCAACCTATCATGGTCAATGAACCAAGTGTAGAATCAACCATCTCCATCCTCCGTGGTCTCAAATCTCGTTTCGAAGTTCACTTCGGTGTTCAAATTGCCGATTCCGCACTTGTTACAGCTGCCGTTTATTCGGATAGATACATACCGGATCGTTACCTCCCTGACAAAGCCATTGATCTGGTGGATGAAGCCAGTTCCGCACTCAAACTCGCTCAGGAGAGTAGACCCACAGTTCTGGAAAAATTAGACAGAGAAATCGTGACGTTGGAAATCGAGCGAGAGTCTCTGAAAAATGAAGAAGATCAATTCTCCGTTTCTAGGTTGGAAAAGGTTGATGCGGAGTTGAAAGAGAAGAAAGCGGAACAACGTCGTCTGGCTGATCTTTGGACACAAGAGAGAGGAAGAGTAGCTGAAATCAAAGCTATCAAAGAGGTCAGTGGTTGTCTAATCTGCTTCCTTGACAACTATCATAGCTGACAAATAGCAAATCGAACAAGCCAACGTTGAATTAGAAGCCGCACAACGTAATGGAGAATTTGAAAAAGCTTCAAGACTCCGTTTCGCTACCATACCACAACTTCAAGCTAAACTTCCTAAAACTCAACCGGATCATTCAGAAGCAGCTTCAGATCCAGATAGTTTGGTCATACGTGATCGTGTCACCTCGGAAGATATAGCGAGTGTAGTAGCGAAATCAACCGGTATACCCGTTTATAATCTACTCAAAGGGGAAAGAGAACGTTTAATTCATATGGAAGAATCTCTCAAAAGTAGAGTTATAGGTCAAAATGACGTTATAAAATCAGTCGCCAACGCCGTCAGACTTTCTCGTGCAGGTTTACAATCACCTACTAGACCTTTGGCGAGTTTTTTATTCCTCGGACCGACCGGTGTGGGGAAGAGCGAGTTGTGTAAGAGTTTAGCAGAGTTTTTATTTGCGGATGAAAAAAGAGCTTTGATACAACTTAACATGAGCGAATTTCATGATAAACATACTGTTTCGAGGTTGATTGGTGCTACTGCTGGTTTTGTGGGATATGAAGAGTGAGTTAATTTTGGGTTTTGCTCCCCCATTAAAATTGTTCCAAACTAGTCATGGTGAGAAATTAGCTGATATACAGTGGTGGTCAATTAACCGAGGCGGTAAGGAGAAGACCTTACGCTGTGGTGGTGTTTGATGAAATTGAGAAAGCTCATCCTGTGAGTGGAAAAGATTTTATGGTATGAACTGGCTAATAGTGAAATAGGATGTGGCAAATATTCTATTACAGATATTAGAAGAAGGTGCTTTGTCAGATAGTCAAGGTAGATTGGTGAATTTCAAAAATACGATCATCTGTCTTACTTCCAATCTTGGTTCAGAGTGAGTATACGTTTGGTCTTCACATAATTCATCTCCTCCAACCACTCTTCCTCGGCACGCCCCTCCACTCTCAGTGATTCACACAGTGATATCTTGCTCGAAATCACAGGAGGGAACTGCCATCTTGGTGACATTGAAAGAACCAAGCTCATTGACTAGGGCACTATACGAACCCGGTGCTACTTCACCACAAGGTACTATCACCCCTGAAGCCCGAACTCAAGTTCTTCATTCCGTCGGACAATTCTTCAAACCTGAATTGATTAACCGTTTGGACGAATTATTGGTATTCAACAAACTCCCCCCTTCTGTCATTCTGGACATCGTGGCATTACGACTTACAGAGGTGCAAAGTCGGTTAAGCGGACGACGAATAACGTTGGACGTCAATGAAGAAGCTAGAGCTTGGTTGGCTCAAAAAGGTTATAGCGAACAATATGGTGCTAGAGCGGTGCAAAGGGTTATAAGGGATAAAGTTACTAGTCCTATCGCTGGAAGAATGTTGGAAGGGATTATCAAGTGAGTTCATCTAACCCTTTTCACTGATTCTGTCCCTTTTCCAAGTTAGAATCTCTGCTTCTACTCTCGACTCGTATCAAGCCCACTGCTGCAAAGAAGTAGGACGGGTCATGTGACTACCGGAATACCAGAACTCATATGGCTTCCATGCTGGGAAATGAGCATCCACAAAAGTTACACCTTGGCCATACACGTTAGCTGACAAATAGGGACGGCGAAATCGTCAAAGTGGAATTACAAAATAATGATATTATCATAACTTCAAGACGTGATCCCAATATCAAATCGGAGAACAATGGAGCCAATACCGATAGAATCGGTGAAGAGGCAAGGACACTTGAAACTTTGGACGAAGTGGAAGAGATTGAACCTGATGAAAGAAGGGAGTCCAGGGAATGGTCGTGAGACATGAGCTGGTTGATATGTTTGAAGGAGGGAACATTGTCCAGAGAGGATTTGTATGCTTGTAATTCACCATTCATATTTGCAATGCATCTTGAGTATCTGCTGTATACCGACTTGATTGAGTTTTGTACACTCTTAGTTCTCAGCTTTGAGTCATTGCTCTTCTTGTCCTACTATGATACATATCGCTGTTAACAATGAGACAATGAAGATGACGTCGATTGGATACCGCCAAGCGAACCGTGCGCTGTCATCTCTCACTTTTCATCCATTTCTCATCCACTTCCTTGTCTTCTCATTATATTTACCTGTCATCTTGACCCTTCTTATCTTGGACCACATTCTCAAGCAAACTATTGAAACTCTTGAACTTTTTGAACGCGATTATCATAAACATATAGTGACCATAGAAGAGTTTGAAGATCGGAAGGATGAAACATATTATGAAGTAAGTACAATAGTATGGAAAGTAAGCTGAAATCAGAAACAATCTCTCTTCTCACGCAGGTCAGAGAGATAACGACCTTGTTGTGGATCAGAACAATACTCCCCATTCGGACACCACCCCCGCTCAGGTGAGAAGCAATGACAGTGATGAGAAAGGTAAGGATGAAAGTCACAAGAAGCCAAAAAGAATTCATTGGCACATACCTCCTTCTTCAATCAAAGTCAAACCTCCACAACTTATCTCTCATCCTTCAACATCCAGAAACCAACACCATTTCTCCTCCCCCACACCCTCTATCCATCCTCATCATGAAGACACAGCGAATGTTCCTACGCTTGACCATATTCCAGCTGAAGATATTGTGAAAGAAACCAACGTCACTGGGCATTCCATCGAAGTGAAGAGGACGAATCATTGGTATATCCCTCCTTCTAAACCTCGTCCCACCCTTCTTCCACCACTATCGAAGAATATCGAAGATGGACCGACGAAGGAAGATGATAATGAGTATTCTACTGAGAAGACAAGAGTGGTGACAGTGGTGAATAAGCAGAAGTGGTGGGATGTTTATATGGATTTCTATCCTTCACACTCTTTGGGTGAGTTCATTAGTCAAGTGTTGAAGAAGAGCTAATAATTGCAAAAGATGTGGAAGAGAAGACGACGAAAAAGGAAGAGAATAGACTGTTGGATGATATTCTGGGTCGGCCGGATTTGTCGGGACTCAAGGGATTGTCCAAGATGAGGAAAGACGTGTCCGAAGATTACGGTGAGGAATCATCAAATGTGGTAAGAGAGGTAGTGTCCCCTTTTGACAAGAAAGCACCTTCCACAAGGCCTTCGGTGCGTAATCCAAGCGAACAAAGTCAGACTCGGACTTGTCTATCTCTCGAAATGACACCGACCTCCATTCCTCGCTTCCCACAATCCCTTAATAGTCTTCACTCAACGAGCGGGTCCCCTCCAAATAAGAGTCCACCTCCGTCTCAGGATACAGGTCTTGGACAACCCTCCCTCTTCACTCCCATCCTTCTTTCCTATCAACATTCCAACACGCTCACACCCAAAAACTTACCTTCTCAACCACCTCTCTCACTTCTGTCTACATTCCAAACTCCCCCTCGGCCCATCTCACGGTTCAAGCCTCTCACTCCAAACCGACAACCGAAACATCCCCTCCCCTCGTCGTCGATGATGCAAGACGATAAGCAGGGAAACGACTCACCCACTCCATGTGGGATTCTCACTCCTCCGAGACAACTAGGACTCAATCGTGCGTATCACAATACCCCACATCCCAAGCTCGGACAAACAAGGCGACTCTTCTTGTCGAGTTCTTCCCCCGTCGTCAGTCCTTCGCCTATCAGAAAATCGAATTTTGTTCTTTTGCCAAGTTAAGGAAAGACATGAACAATTTGATTCAATATATGATGTCGAATTCAAAACAAAATTTATATCTCCTACGCCCGTATCCCATGTCGCTCCATACCATATTCTTCGTTCATGTCGACGTGTTATCATCCATGTGGCTCCCAAGATCGGATTAGACCAGATTTTGTGTTTATATTTCTCTATATCCTCTTTTATTCTTGTGACGATGATTGAGAGTTGGGAACGGTATTGCAACTATACATATTATAATAAAGTTGTGAAGCGTTCTTGCGGTCATGTATCGACGAAGGTCAAATCATCGAAAGGAGAAACAAGTACGTCAGTCAAGTCAGTAAAGGAATATGTAGAGCGGATGCATAGATTTCTATAGGGGAATTTTTCGAATTAAAGTGGAACCATCTGATTGATGGGTGGGTTTAAAAGTGAATGATAGATATGAAAAAAATAAATGATATTATGACCTCCTTAAAACTTCTTCCTCCATCCATCATTCTACACATTTCTTTCAGTCCAAACTCCCTCTCGTGTCCTTTCTTCATCCCACCAGGACCGACCTACTATCACATAGTCTCCAAGATTTCAAAGAACCCAATTCACTATTTACACCAGAGGAGAAAAATAGAATCGAAAAGATGTAAGACTCGTACTGTACAGGAGAGGTATATGATTGAGATTTGGAATATGATTGAGATTTCCTTGTGATACCAAATTTAAACCCTCCCTTCTTGTCTCTTTCGTCCTACTCTCAAAACAGCCATTCCTTTGATACCCATAACACAAACTGTCCAACAGAAAATCAAAGAAGTAAGAGCAACAGTAAAGTTCAAAAAAGCCATCATATCATCCCATCCTGTTCTCATTGCCGCCCAAGTTATCTCTTCATCAGATAACATGAATACTATTCCACCTGCTGCGTAACCGAAAGAAGTGAGTAATTCGGTAGGTGGACGAGATGGTAGAGAAGATTCGATTGGAGGACGAACGAATAGGAAGAAATAAGTTAAGAATCTGAACGCTGATCCACCAGCTAGGAGGATACCCCAAAGGGAATGAATTTGAACTTGGAAGACGTAATCTTGATGATGGGCTGCCATTGCGAGACCGGTCTAAAAAGTTAGAAATGACTCATGGTTGTTCTTCATGAAGTGTGATCTTCACGATGATCTGTCATTGATGTAGTTGTGAGTGCTCAGAAGAAAGCACGTGGGGGACAAAGACAGAGGAGGGTAAATAGCGCATGAAGGGAACATGGAATGTGGTTAGACACGGCAAAAGAGAAGGAGATATGGAAACGCGGGGCGAGGCGAAAGGGAAAGGAAAGAGAGAACAAGAACAAGACTCTCACCACGGCGATGACTAATGCTGGAAGGGGATTGAAGGAGAATGAATAACTGGGAGGATCTGCATCCCCATTTTTACCCACAACTGAAGCTAGTAATTTTTTGACCCGAGAGGATTCGAGGAACATTCCCATAAGACCGGCAAACCAGAACCTAAAGTATGAGTCATTATCTCATTATTCACCCTCAACAGCGACGAAAGGTAAAGTAAAGGGATGGGTGTTGACACGAAGGTTAAAAACATAAAACCAGAAGCAGGGTCAGTCTGAGTAAATGGGGGAGAATTGAGGTTCATGGATAATTGAGGATTCTGAGGTGCGTGAAATTATGATCAGGACAGAGGTTTTGAAAGAAGTTACTCACATGACCGCAATGGAGATATGCTGGACTTGTTTGACAGTATAAGGATCACCCTTCTGAGCACCAAATCTTTCCATCCACGTGTTGGTGATACCATATAAGAAAATGACAAAACATTCTATCATCTCTGCTGAGGGACCAGGAGAAGAAGGACGACGATTCCATGCCCAACCAAGATCGGCATAGGCACCTAAGTATCGTGCGAACGTGAGAACTCCGTAACTTATAGTCAGCACAAAGTCCGACGTATGGCCCAACCCTTTATGTATCCTCCTGTCTGAACAAGACGATCTGCGAGATGTGCCCTGTAATTGCTAACAGCACTTATGAAGAGTTGTGAGGTTGAGGGGAAGTACATCGCTACATAGAAGGAAATTAAATAGACTCACCCAAAAAAGATTGAACCCTTAATTAGATGTGCCAAACATGTATTGATCAAACCCGCTCTGCACATACCCTACATCCTCAGCATAATCCAACGAAATGAAAAATGTCGAACTCACCGTATACGTCGCTAAACCAGATAACAAACACACATACGCAATGACCACCTGTGTCCTTCTCACCCAAGTAAGAAGTATTTCTCCAGATCTTCTCAACCCAATTTTCCTTTCAGATCGATTCCACACTGGGCTATCTACGCCATCGATGATATCCCCTTCGCGGTCTTCATGCATGTCATACGCTCCTCGACCTGAAGGAGTAGGTTTACGAGGATGTTCAAAATCACGATTAACATCGTACGCCCCTCTGCGGGAAGATTTATGTTGTTCATATGCATATGTGGATGCGGAGGTAGGAGGAGTATCATGAAGTGTCCCATCGGAAGCTGCAGAATTTGTCGAATTTGTGGAAGTTCTGGACGGAGCTGACATGTGACGGAAAAGAAGAGAAGTACGTGGAGGTCGTCTTCCTATCGGTTGAGCTGGAAGAGTTTCTTCTTCTTCTCCCTCATCTTCGTCGTCATCACCGACAGCGAACAAAGCGACAGGTGGACTAGGTGGTTCGTGGTTCTCTTCTTCACGATCTCCCTCATGAAGGTCATCAGCAGAGGTGTAACCTATCATTTCATACCTGCTCGCATGATGTTGATCGGGTTGATCATCTCCTCGCAAGACATATTGGACTAGGGAAGTCCAGTTACGTTCGGGGGATTTATAGTAGGCGATCGCACGTTTGATTAGACCGAGGGAGTCGAGAACAGCTAAAGAGATGGAGAGGAGAAGGAGAATATTGCCGAAACCACCATGAACAGAACCTTCATATCTTATCGATTAGCATCAACACCAAAGAGATTCGAAAAGAAGCCTTGACATACCGATTGGGCGTAGCAGCCTTGTAAGCGAGACCCGCCAGCCATCCGAGAGTAGCGATGCCGATGAACACCGCGTTGATGAGATAATGAGAAGGATGACCAGCTGAACGTAATGCCAAACCTGAAGAAATCAGTCTGAAATCCCAAACGCCCCGCTCTCACCCCACAGTCTGAAATGAGATTCTTCTACCCACCCCTGAATAAGTGATTTTAAGGTCCGGAGAGGAACGAGGCAATAAAAAAGATAGACGACGTACCGATCGGCAACGCGCCAAAGTAAGCAATTACCATACTCGCAACATGTACCAACATCAATCCACCATGTCTCTCCGTCTGTTCTGTATCCCAACTCTCATCAAATTCTTCCCCAAAGATGGCTGAATCGGAATCGAGACGGAAATCAGCAGCGAGGTATGATGGAGGGAAATGATGCCAGTGATGTATACTGACGTCGTCGAGTACGACCTTTGGAGCCTTATGTGATCCGTGTTCATGTGAGTGAGGTTCGGGTGGTAGAGCGGGGGTCATGGTGGGTAAAGAAGGCGAAGTGAGGGTGATGGAGAGAACATCTGAGATGGGTGAAGATGATGATTCATGATCATCGTGATTGGCGATGGGGGAGACTTCCATGTCCATGTCATCATCGTGGAGATCATGATTATGAGAGTGTTGTCTGAGAGCGATGACCGGTACGACTTTCGCTGCTTCTGCTAACTGAACATGCAGCTGCAAGAAGATTAGAGTGAGTGTGATGACGTAGGATGATCGGGAGGGCAATCGCATGGGTGGCAAAAAACTTTCTGAACGCCGAGTAGAGGTGGAATGAACAGTTGGGAAAGATTAATGAGGAGATGAGTGGGAAGGTAGAGGGGAAAGAGATGGGGGACAAGAAAAAGTGTCAGATATGTCAAGATGCAATCAAAGGATCAGCAAGTTTGAATCGGTAACAAGTCGGAGTTGACCAGTAAGGCAATGCGAAGTGACTTTTTGTTGCTGACTCATACAACCAAGTGATGAGAACAAAAGTACGGATATTCTTCCTCCTGTCCGTCCCTGAGGATGCTGTACTGCTGGGGCACTACTTGGCCTATGACTTCCGCTTGCCGAAGTTGTGCGATACTTTGTGGGCCACGCATCCCCCGCTCGTCTCTCGCCATCGTTTCCCCTCCACAATCACCCAATCAAACTTTTTTGACTCAGCAGTCCTACGGCCTACGTACAGTGCCTGAAGCCGACTCCGAGCTTGTCCGATTGCGGCCGAGCTATCGAGAAGGGCTTCTCCTGATGAATCCATTCTCTAATTTCGTTAGCTCCTTTTATGATTTGTGTATGCTCTGACACACGACGGACGTCTTATCTCAACATGCTTATGCGTGGAAGCATTGGGAAGAGTCAAAGCTCAATCCTTCAATTGTTGCATCTTCGATCTTTGACACGCGGCGAGCCATCAGTGGCGGCGGCATGCGGCACTAGATTAGAGATTAGACCGTGCACCCTGAGAGTTCTCGGGCCTAGACTAGCGAGCAGCTCGGTCATCGGCCACGACTGCAAAGTGAGAGAGACACGAGGCGGCCCTCGCCGTCATCAGACCATCGTCCGCTCTCCTCTCGGATTACGAGTAGGCGTAGTGGCAAGTGGCATGCCAGGTAGGGAGAATAGACGTGTTGCGCGATCCACATTCCCCCGAATCGTCGACCAAATAAAAGCTTTCATTCGTAGCTAGTGAGATCGAGAATCATGATACTATCTACCATATCCACGACGACTCCCTCTTCATACGTCCCGTGGATCCTTCTCTCGTCTACATCCCCCGAGTCCCAGAGCCAAGAATCCGCTCCCTTGGCAGCGACTTGGCATCCGTCTCGGGCACGTTCATATTCTTTTCTTCCTTTCCATGCTCTGCCTCTGCCTTTCTTGCTAGCCATGGCATGATATCCATATCAAAGGCTGTCGACGCTTGACGGACTTGTATTGATTCGGCTTCAGGTTGGTTCAGAGGTACATACTTACATCCTTCCTTCTTAGGCTCCTTTTTCGTTGGTCGTCAACCTTTCCCTCCCCTACGCGCGCCTACGCACTATCTGGTATACATTCCCCTCACCTCGCATGTACGTACCCGTCCGCTTCCATCTAACGTCTAGTAGCGCGTATAGTATAGTACGAGTATGTGGCTTTGAATAGGCGTGAGAGATTCTCGCTTGTACAGGCTAAAGTACTTACATGTACATGGGCGCGTAAAAGATCGGCTTTAGTCGGTTAAACTGGTATTATTACGTAATTAGTCGCGAAGAAATCTCTTCCGTCTCCAGTGGATCTTTTTCCCAGCTCAAAATTAGTTGACTACTACTTGTTCTATCACAGTTACTTTAGCTTATTGCCCTCTTTACTTCGTGTCCTGCCCTATTGGTCTGTGTCAACGTAAAACAGTTCGGACTATAGAGAAGGCGAAGAAGACGAATTGAATCGTAATATCCATCAACAGACGAATTCGACACAAAGGACGAGCTCTCTTCGGCTCTCAAAGTGCGATGATCCTGCCCTGTGACGAATTATAGCCACAGCTTTTTTTTTCTTAACAAAACTCGTCATCCCCTCAACCTCAACTTCGCGGTCAGATCTGAAAGGAGAAAAGTGGTCTTCTTTCTCTATTCTTCTTACGACAAAATTCAATTTTTGTGATTTGATTCAAACGTTGAACATCCTTAAAAAAAAGAATCAGCAGAAATGACCTCTGCCGCTTACGCTTCCATCAAGCTTTTTGCAGGTATGTCATCTTTTTGTCTTTCCCCTGACAGATCATTCTCGACCAAATGATAACGTTCAACACGTGTAAGCTCATGGTGAGAGGGTAGAAGGATAGAGAAATAAATGAAGTGGAGAGATTGACCATCAGGTACTTCACATCCTGAACTCGCACATCTCATAGCAAAACGGTAAGCTCATTGTATTTGTCTTTGACAGAGCTTACAGATAGATTAGGTATACCATTAGCACGTGCAACAATCTTACAACCACCCTCTGGCGAGACAAAAGTAACAATCACAGAGAGCGTAAGGGATTATGATGTTTATATACTCAACACTGTACGTTCATCATCAACATCAATCGATGTTGCAGTTGATGGAGTAGGGTGCCGGAGCTGTGAACACATCATTGATGGAATTATGCATCATGATACATGCTTGCAAGGTGAGTTTGTCGTTGTCATTCTATCACTCTCTCTCAAAACGGGTTGACACACTCGGGACCCAGCAAATTTTAGGGTGGTCAAAAGTTCCTGGGAATTCGGATCAGATCATCAGTCCACAGATCTTCGGTCATTGTATCCACATAGGGCGTCTAACTGTAAGGCGTGAGCAGTACTTCCATGACGGCATAGATAACTAGCTTGGACGAGATACGACAAATAGTAGAAGTTGAGATTGACCACTTAGATCGCTTCGGCTCGTCGTATAACAGCTATCATACCGCATTTCCCTTACGCTCGACAAGACAAGAAAGATAAATCTCGTGCACCAATAACGGCTAAATTAGTCGCCAACATGCTCCGTGAAGCCGGTTGTGATCATGTCATCACTATGGACCTTCACGCTTCGCAAATCCAAGGTTTCTTTGATGTTCCGGTGGATAATTTATATGCGGAACCTAGTATGGTGCATTATATCAGGAATAATATCGATGTGAAGAATTGTGTCATCGTCTCTCCAGATGCTGGGGGAGCTAAGCGGTGAGTTTCTGTCACTTGTTTCAGCTATTCATGTCTTTCACGTCTGTCCTGAGCTATACATTTCCGTCCTTTTCTTATCTAGTCACTTCTTACCGTCTCATGACGGCTCATATAGCTCCATTATCTGCGTGTACCCCTCCTCGCAGATCACTAAGGCCGAGTGAAACGTACTCACTTTTGACATTATTGTCAGACTTCCAGAAACTTGGGCCTCACACGACGAAGGGGAGAGAAAGAGAAATAGATTTCACGACTCACTCCAGGGCTACATCCATAGCCGACAGACTAAACGTCGAATTCGCTTTATTCCATAAAGAACGTAAAAAAGCAAATGAAGTTTCCCGTATGGTCCTAGTCGGATCAGTCACTGGTAAAGTAGCAATATTGGTAGATGACATGGCGGATACATGTGGTACTTTAGGTCTAGCAGCTCGGAATTTATTAGAAGCTGGAGCTACTAGAGTTTTCGCTTTCGTAACTCATGGTATCCTAAGTGGACCAGCTATAAAGGTCATCAACGAAAGTGGAATGGAAAAGTTGGTAGTTACCAATACTATACCTTTGGCGGATAAACAATCGGAATGTGGGAAGATTGAAGTTATTGATGTTAGTCATGTGTTGGCGGAGACTATTCGTAGGAGTCATTTTGGGGAGTCTGTGGTGAGTATGGTGTTTCGTTGTTTCCTTACCTCACTCCTTTTTGCCGATTGCGTGTTCAAAGTGGTTTCGATCATCTCTTCTCACTTGTGATCGTTGAGTGGATGACGATTGCTGCACTGATCAAGTGGTGGTCGTCGTCGTCGTCATGGCTGGAATGCTGGCTGGGTTTAGGAGGATTATTAGTAGAGGTCTGAAACGACGCTGACAATCTAGTCATATCTCTTCCACGAAGTTCCTTTCACCAACGGTACTGAGTAATCTTCGATATCAGGAGATTAAGAGTGCAATGATGTAAGGGACAGTTGTACATAAAGGTAGAATAACGTGTCATGCCATTTTATATTCTACTTAAGAGGTTGTGCTCCTGGAGTAAGCAGTCAGCGTACTTCACTCGAGTGACGAGTAAGAATACAATTAAAGTCCAGACTGTATTCCAACGGTGCTCTTCGTTGGCACAAACTGTATGTCGGTGAGAAAAAAGTCTTACAACACTAAATACTCTTCACAACCATATCAAAAGCTTCATACAGTCCATCTCTTTTTCCCAATCTATCATCAGCCTCACTCATCAGGGAAACACTTACAAGTTATTATGATCACCATCTGGTACATCATGAACATTCAACTTTATCCCTTCTTGACTTAAAGCTCGATTGAGCCATACTATCATCAGCTCCAATCTGCCATTGACCCAAACTTGATAGATATCCAACTTTGCACCATCTCCCGAGAGACTTTCCGTAGAGTGAACATTATAAGTTTACGACAATGTGAAATTACTAACATTGCCCAGGTCGAGGAACCATAGCATCTTGTAAACCCCACCAAATATCCACCTTCAATACATTTGCTTGTCTAGGTACTGCGTCACTTGGAGAAGGAGGACATTCTTGAGGTTTTTGTGTACTAGGTGAAGAAACGATCCTAAAGGCTAGAGAAGATATTGTCCGTTCAAACCATTCGTATCCTGTATTGCTACCTCTGTTCAGACATAGAAGGTGATCTGATACGTTAAGGAAATACTTCACGTCTGGGTGGTTGAAGATGAAATAAATTTACCTTGTCCCATTCCTCTTAACTCTTCAGCTTGACAGTATTTCATCATTGTCTGGTGGTCAGGTCTCTTCAATATGAGTTGGGTATGAGTATTTTTAAAATGAATCGATGATGACAGTGTACCATAAACTGTGCCAGTCAAAATGCCTAGAGAGGACAGAGAGAGAGAGAGGAAGGTGTCATGAGCGAAATAAAGACTCAAGGATATGAAGTAAAGAATGGAGAAGAGAAGGAAAAGAACTTACACAAGACAGACAACATTGGTCACCAAAGTCCCCCCAATCAGATCTCCTTTCCACCTCGACTTCTTCCTCAGGCTCCTGTACCACAGCATCTTCCGACCGATAAAGAAGACGGGTTAAGGAAGTAGTCTTGTTTGACAAAGATTCCCAGAGGGTTGAAGCTGATTTCCCTATCCGAGTGAGGTGAGGTATCTGAAAAGTCAACCCGTGTCATAAGACTTCGACCGACTAAACCCCTCACGTCGTGGGAAGGCCGACGGATCTCACGCTTGTAGCAAACTACGAATTGGGAGAGATGTGATGTTGACGGCGAGTGTTGAAGGGGACTACAAGTGAAGAAATTAGGGAAAACTCACAGTGAAATGTTGAGTCTTAATAAGTCCCGTTGGGATATAACTAAGATAAGATCGATACCAATCTGGATGATCTGGAGGTAAAGGTGGTGACCAGGCTGAGATGAGATAGAGGTGTGGTGGAGGTGATAGGATCGTTTGAAAGATTTCTGGGTGATGTAAGAGAAGGTGAAGAGCGTAGCTGAAAAATCAACAATCATCCAGATTCCAGATTTGCAACTACATTCTCGAGAGAAAGAGGCACGGAAATTGGAAGTTGAAGGGAGTGCAGGGATCAAGTGGAGATGAAGAGACAACTCACTAGATCCCAGCTGAAGCTGCTATGAGATGTGATAATTTGATCTTCAAATGTTCGAGGACAGAAACCATCATTTCTCATCGTCAGTAATCTTATTCGTGTTCATCTCTCAGTGCAGAGTCTTTGTGGGAGAGTCGGTGAGAACTGACCACATGTGAGACGAATACGATCTTGGAGTGGAACAACAGGAGTCGCTCCTATTCCCGGACGATCTACGACAATGGCTCTGATACCGTACGAGCTACATATAGGATCTGATATGAGTTCACGAGCTGATGGCCGTCTTGTCTCCTCTTATCAATCTACCACACTAAGCTCATTTGAGAAAAAGGGGGATAAAAAGAGGGATGGAAAGGCAAGCGAGTGGTGTAAGAGGGGCCTAGGACGGAGGTGGCGATAAAGAAGGTGAGGTACGAGAAGTGAACAGCTGCAGAAGAATGTTGATAGTTTACAGAAGGAGAAGGTGGAGTAAGAAAAGCTCACCCACCCTGCGGTACGGCCAACCACCTGGAAGCTCCAGCAGGCATCAGAAACAACACTGGTATCCCATCTGAATCGCCTAGCTGAGCGTAAGAAACCCGGAGACCTGTACGAGGACATTTGATGATTGAGGAGAACTTCCTCTGGGCGAGGTATCCCAATGGATCTGACTGTCTGAGCTCTGTTTCCTCAGACTGTGACATGTGAAGAAAGATGAATGAAGGAACGTGTGGAATGACAACTCCGGAATGTATGGAGACACCCTCCACCGGCACCGGCTTCGGCCGCATCACCTTGGACAAGTGATGAGGACAACAGTTGCTATGTCGTATATATAACAAACAATCACAAGACATCTTAGATCCTACAACAGGGGCAAGAAAGAGATGAATGTGAGGCGATAGACCATTTCCCAGATACACACTATCATAACTTCGCTCTTTTCGACACGCCTTCCTCCTCCCCCAACACACCGCCTTCTACCAAACCCTTCTCCCTTCCCTTACTGTCCACTCTCATCACCCCCTCCTGCAGAGTCGTCGCAATTAAAACTCCCCTCTGAGTATATATGGTACCCCTCACCACACCTCTACCACTCCCAACATCAGCTAAAGCACTTTCCATCACGTGTAATAAAGGTTCATCTGCTCGAAACCTCTCTGGGAAAGGGTAGAAATGAATGCTGTGATCGAGTGAAGCTAGCATTCCCAATCTGGGTGAGGAAGCTCTTGAAAGACCAACGGAACGGGCGGCCGTTCCGATGAATTGGAAATCCGACATGTAAGCTATCATGATCTGTAATCAATAAGTCGCTAATTTCAGACGAGTCCGCGAAGGGGGAAAGAAGGACTCACCTTGATGATCTCTTCACTGGGTTCTTCCCCAGGTCGTAGACGAGCTTTGAGCCATAGCATTCTCACACTCCTATCCAGTTCCACATCTCCTCTCTTCCCTTTACGTCTAGCGACAGTGAGACTGACGGGAGATTCTCGACGTTCCTACTGATCAGCTGATGGAGGGGATACCTTTTACAAGCTAACCTTTATATACTCTTCTAATGCTGTCCGGTATTTTCCAACAATAGCTGATCCTCGAGTGTCCAATACCCTCTGCCATCTATTCTCTTCTTCCTCGCTTTCTTCCCATGCGACGATATCATCCGGACCGGGTATTTGGAAACGGGGTTGAAAGCTTGGTATTCTGCTTGATTTACGGCGAGACTTATTTTGCTCAATAGACCCTTTGTTTGTCAGAGAGAAACGCAGAGAATGAGACATCTTGACTTCATCTTCCGGGGAGATTGATTCTTGCCTCGATGAGGGGAATTTCTGGCTGATCTGGGGAGATGGGGGAGAGGTGTAACTTGCAATGAGAATGAAAACCACTTTTTCACTTTGCTTCGCTTTCACTAAACGAGTCGAATAACTTCGTCCGTCTCTCACTTTCTCCACCAAGTAGTAAATGTGAGTATCGGCTGCTGCAGGAAGAACGAAGTAACAATGTTGACTGTGGAGTCCCAGTGAAGGGGCGACGGTATGACCAGCAGCGGACAGAGCTTGAGCGATGACTTGACCTCCGAAGACTCCCCGGGCTCCGCAGGGTAACCAAAGGGATTGAGAGACGTATTCGTCCGGAGTATGGGACTTGACGGCAATAAAGTCCGTCAATGAAATTTGAGGGGTCATAACGACCAGCCTGCGGGCAGCTGCTAGCGGCTGAAAAGTATACACAAATAGTGAAGAAGTCAAGGGATGAAAACGTGAGCCAAGTTTAAGAAATTCGAGGAGGAAGGGTTGAACCCGGTTAAGTTGACAACCGAATAGCCGGTCGTTTCCGCCGGCAGTGGAGGTTAGTGGATGGTGGAGGCCCATGCGCATTACCCCCTCCCCCCATCCTTCCCCACTCCCCCCCCCTTCTCAACTGCTGACCTTATACTCGGGAGTCATGTGGGGCATTTTAAATGCTGCATTGTATCTTCTCCCAGCCACGATAACCAAATGGCACACAGAAGATCAGCAAACCCACTATGAGCCTCTTCGGCCCACCTACCGTGGCCCGCTGGCTGACGGTGGTCTCGCCTGGACACAAGCCTTCAAGATGGCGCGAGACGTAGTGGCCAATATGACCATCCTGGAGAAGGTCGGGCTCTCCCTACTCTTCCGAAATGAGCTGATGTCCAGGTCAATCTGACAACAGCCGTTGTAGGCCCATGTCAAGCCAATTCGGGCGGTGTCCCCAGACTCGGCATTCCCGGTCTATGTTTCAATGATGGACGTGAGCTTGAATGTTCTCTGCGCGACGAGCAGAGCTTAGCCATGTAGCCTCTGGACCTCGGTACACAGATTTTGTCACTCAGTTTCCCTCCCCATTCACCGCTGCGGCGTCTTTCGACAGAGATTTAATCGAGGAGAGAGCTATCAGGATCGGGGGAGAGTTCGTAGGGAAGGGTATCAACGTCGAATTGGGTCCGATCACTGGAGGTCCTCTCGGAAGATCGTGAGTAAAGTTAGTCTTGAACTCATATTCAATCATTGATGTTTGATACCGTCAAGCTGAGGAGTTTGGAGGTCGTTTTGGCGATACTGACGATCAGACCGTTTGCCGGGCGGAATTGGGAAGGTTCATGAACTTATATTGCCCCCAGGCTTGTCACTGACAGGCAGGATTCTCACCCGATCCTTACTTATCCTCCACCATGTCATTCTTAACCGTCCGTGGAATGCAATCATCCGGTCTGATCACTTGTGCGAAGCATTACTTCCTATACGAACAAGAACCCGTTTGCACTGGTCCCGTGGTGGACGGAGGACGTACAGACTGTCATGACGTGTCCAGCGAGGTTGATGGTGGGTCAAGGGCTTGACGACGTAGTTTGAAGCTGAAAACCGAGATAAGACGGTACATGAATTATATCTTCCAAGCTTTGCAGAGGCTGTCCGAGCAGGTACGGGAAGTGTCATGTGGTGAGCTGTGCCTTTTTCATGTGACGTTCAGCTGACAGACCGCTCGTATAATCGTATCAATGGAACGGCTTCGTGTCAGAGTGACGACTCGATGAACAGACTTTTGAAAGATGAGCTGAATTTTCAGGGATTGTAAGCTATCAGATTGCTTGAGGAATGCTGCTTATCAGATAGCGTGTTGGTGGGATTGATATTTATTTATGCCGAAGCCAACTGAGATCTAGAGTGATTTTGGCGCCGCGCACTCTACAGTCCCTTCCGCTCTTGCTGGCATGGATATGGAATTGCCTGGCGAGTATTTCTGTAAGTCGTCAGGTATCTTGACAATGACGATGTTGATAATTCGAGATGGTCGGCGACTTTACGACGCCGTCCTTCTGGGAGAAGTCCCAATGTCTAGGCTGGATGATATGGCGCAACGGTATATTTAAGATTGAGTCAAGTACTCGTGTCTGATTCTCAGAATCCTGACTCCCTACTTTGCTCAAGGCCAATACAGAGAATATCCTGCCGTCAACTATCAAAAATACAATCTTCGCGATTCTGTCGAGGTCCACGGTATGACATTTCGCAATCTTCACATCAACAACAAGGGTGACAATCATCTGCTTGCCCGCAAGATCGCAGCCGAGTCCACAGTGTAAGCTATCTGAGTCAGCCATTCCGCCAGCTCACATTTCCAGCATGTTGAAGAATTCCGGTGTTTTACCTCTTAACGGAGTGAAGAGAATTGGTATCTTCGGGACTGATGCGGATTACCCTGCTACCATGAGCGGATGTGGTCCTGATTTATTCTGCGGTGTTGCTTCAGATCGATGGTATTGGAATGGTACGGTCACCATCGGTGGTGGATCCGGAGCGGCTTATGCAGATTATATCGTGGGTCATCCCTCTCTCTCTCACTGACGAGTCCGAGTATGAGAAGGAGAGGACGAATGCTGACACGTAAGGCGGCTCCACTCGAAGCGATTTCTCTCCGTGCTCGTCGTGAAGGTGCTCGTGTAGATTATGTGTTACAGGACGACCCAGCTCACTTCGGTGCAATGTCATGGATCGCTTCTCAATCGGAAGTCTGCCTGGTGTTCGTCTCCCTCTTCTTGGTCGAAAGCTGGGACCGAGAAAATCTGAGGCTCGATAAAGGAGGGGAAGAGTTGATTAAACACGTTGAAGGTTCTTGTGCGGGAGAAGTGGTGGTTGTGCTTCACATAGGAGGTCAAGTGGTCATGGAAGACTGGGTAAGTTCTTCCTCTCAAGTGTCTTGATCTGTATTCTTCATCATGTCTCTTGTGACGGTGAAGTGAGACGAGATTGTGGTTGATTTTCAGATCGACCTCCCGAATATTGGTGCCGTCCTGTTTGCTGGATATTCTGGTCAGTCAACTCCTCTACCTCAATAAGTAGCTAATGAGTAGGTCAGGAAACAGGCAACGCAATCGTGGATGTTCTCTGGGGGGATGTCAATCCTTCTGCCAAGGTACGCACCCTTCACTACAGAGTAACTCGAGAGCTAATGTCAAGCTGCCATTCACGATAGGTCGAATGGCTTCTGATTGGCCGACTGGCAATATAGTCCGTGACATGTCACAATCTACCAAGGATATCCCTCACTCGCCCCCCAATGGGAAGAGAGAGACGTACCCTCGTTCTGTGTTCTCAGAAGGAACCGCTATCGATTATAAGTGGTTCGACAAATGGTCAATCGAACCCAGGTTTGAGTTTGGCTTTGGTATGAGGTAAGTTCTTAGGGCTTTTCTTATTTCATTCGCCTCATTCTCACTGATATCTCGCGATACAGAAGTGCTCCATCGCGATACCTTATGTCCCGTCTTCCCACCCATGGTGAACTATGTACATAAGTGGCGGTCGAAACCTCGACTACGTTTTCTCACCCTCCTGAGCCAGTTCTGGAGTCTGATTATATCCACTGCGACGGTCGTTGACGACTAGCTATACATCATTCGAGCTTTCCTATCTGTCTTTGTCGGAGGAATATCGACCACAAAGTGACACTATACAAAATACCAACGAGCGATACGAAGGCTCTGCAGATCTGTATGATATTCTGGTACGTTATCCGTTATCACCTATCCTATATACTGAGAGCAGTATGTAGCTCGGGTCAAGGTGACCAATATCGGGAAAGTTGCAGGTGCGGCCGTTCCACAGTTGGTAAGTCTTTCTCTTTATCTCAGAATGAAGCTGAAAGGATAGTATATGTCATTTCCTTCTTCCGAACCTGATCAACCGCCAAACCATCTGAGGGGATTTGCGAAACCTTCCCTTATCCCTGGTCAAGCGACCGTGGTGGAATTCCCCTTAGTAAGTGTTTCTCACAAACCCTTTCCCATGCTTCGGTAATACTGTCTGTGATCGCGGTTTGATCGAACAATACCTGCACCAAGGACGTACAGATCCGCTGCTTATAATCTTCTGACACTGTGGCGAGATCGGTCGAGACAGAGCTGTTCGAAACGGCATCCAGCAAGGGCGATGCTAATCTCACAGAGAAAGAAAGATCTCTCCGTTTGGGATGTGGAAAGACAATTATGGCGTATCCCACATGGTGTCTTCACATTCCGAGTGGGACAAAGTAGTCGGGATCTGCCGCTGGTGTTGGAATCTCGGATAAAATCACGGTAGACGTATGGCGCCGACATTTACAAAGGAGGAACATCTCTTTGGGGGACATGAACATTTGGAACATGATGAACATTGTGCTTTCTTCAAGCTGTATTTGAAATGTGCCATGATTTATTACATCTTCAGAAGCGAAATGCATACGTACAGTACCGTCTCGGAACATGCAGGGGTTGGTGAAAACAAAAGGAGACTGTACAAGAGGATGACAAGAAGGTGGAATCACGCCCAAACTTGATCAGGACCGACGAGTATATCTCTCCCGTTAGATCGAACATAACGCGATGTGGTATCCCTCGGCATGGACTTTCGCATATCTGTGATCAGTCTTCCAGCCGCCATCCAAACTAGTATAATGACAGATCTCCTGGAGAGGGAAGTCAAAGGTGTGTAGGAGTATAAACGACTCACCAAATCCATCCAATTCATCTGGAGAAGAAACCTCTTCAATCGATTGATAATAACTATCTTTCAGCTTTCCCCTTCACAGATCTTTGCCCTGGAACCTTCGAAATTTCATTTAAAACTCACTTTTGTACCCTTCTAAAAACACTATAACCTAATCTTTCATACATCTCCACAGCTCTTACATTATTACATCTAACAAAAAGGTCTACAAACCAAGCATTAACAGCATCCCGCATAACGTAAGAACTCTCTTTCGGAGGAGAAAAAGATGATTCGATAGGATTCGCCGTTCCTATAGGATCTTGAGATTGAGATTGAGGTTGAGATTGGTCATAAGATTTCTGTGTTGATTTTGATCCTGGAGTGAGAGAGTTTTGTGAATTAGGTATATTTGGTAATCCTGTAAGAGGGTTTATACCTGATGATTCAGATATCGATGGATCTGAATAATTTGATAAATCGGAAGGATCTTGAGGACCTGCTAAACGTTCTAATAGTGACATGAAAATTTTGGCTATACCCATTCCTCGATATTCGGGAGCTACGGACATTGCTGTTAAGTGAACGTGATGTTGAGGATCGGGAGGTGGTGGTTCATGTTTTCCCAACACTGATATTAGCTTTTCTTCTGGATTGACCATCAACACCCTCATATGATATCACACGATCAAAAGGTAGTGATAATAGGTGGTTGGATAAGGAATGAGTTTGGTGGTGAACATGCATATGAATATAAAAATTCATGGAAAAAAAAAACAAGTGAAGAAAGAGAAAAAAAGAACTTACTGTATGCTTTAATGCCACCGTCAGAAGCACTTACTGCTGTAACGCAGAAATCAGGCCATTGAGCGAGGTATGAAGAATAGTATCCTGAATGATACTGGAATTTCAGCTAAACGATACCTTTCATGACACCGATAGCTACCATATTTAACAACAGATGCAAGCTCCCATGAAACTCTGCGCCATCGACTACCAGAGATATCTGAGGTTCTAATCATCTGTGTAGCCTTCAAAAGGTGGAATGGAGGAAGGTAAGGAGGAGAAAGGGAGAAAGAGAACTCACCGTAGCTGTCCAAGGATCAACGTTGACTTTGTTGAAATGTAAGATATCCGTAGCTTGAAAAGGACGGACGATAGACATATCTTGCGTCTCACTCTCTCACTTTATTCCTGAATGTCTACCGTTAAGGTTGATGGAGTGAGAATACAATATCAAGAGTACTAGTGCCCTTCATACCCATCCATGCTCCGGGTGGCAGCCCTGCAGCTTCCGACGGAAACAAGAGAGAAACCCGACGATCAACCTCGGCCGTCAGTTTCGGCCACTTCCCCACTACCACTCTTTCTTTCTTACTCTTCTCATTCACACCATGAAGTCCCAGGTGTACATAAGAAGGTTACATACCATCAACCCAAGACACTCTATCTTGAACATCCATCCCCATATTCAATTAGTACCCCGCAACTCACCGATTCCTCGATATTTCATCAGACACAACTCTTCCTTCCCTCCTACAGACTTTCGATCTTCCCCCAAACCCGACAAAACTCCAGCTCCGAATGAAAAGACCACAGATAAATCCACTGCGCAACCAGAAACCAAGAGAGAAAAGAAAACATTTCGTCAACAAATATCTGCCGCTTGGGCCACTCCTACCAAATGGTACCCTATCCCCGTGGCGTTAGGAGCTGTTGTTCTGTTAGCTGTTCAATGGCGTAAACGAGTGAGAGGAGAGTTAGAAGTGGAGTCTCAAAGAGAAGGAGCTGTTGTTAGGTCTAAAAGAAAGGTTGATGGTCCTTGGCAGGTGAGTCTTGGAGTGAACTTCGATTTATTCTTTTTGAGGGCGGTGGGAACAAGACAGATTAGATCGAAGGGCGGATCCGCCCATGTGACACATTTTCGACCAAAGTGAGAAGGAAGAAACATAGAATATAGAGAGAGAACAGGAAGGGGGGAAGTAATAGAAGAGAAATGGTGGGGAAAAGTGGAACAAGTATGGAGCTGATGAAATAGGTAAGAGTATTAGGTGCTCTTCCACTTCGATCTTTATCTCAATTATGGGGTTACCTCAACTCTTTAGTCTTACCAGTATGGTTCCGTCCCACTGGGTTCAAGATATACGCTTGGATATTCGGATGTGATTTGGAAGAATGTGTTCCTGAGGATTTGACTCAATATGCTAGTCTTGGAGAATTCTTTTATAGGGAATTGAAAGCTGGTGTCAGACCCATTGCGGATGCTCCTATGGTAAGTCATACTCATCTCTCTTCTTATGCTTTCTAACATCCCCATGAAACTTTCTTTCCAAGCCTGCCTTCTTATTCTCTCATCCCTTACAGGATGCACTATCCATGGTCCTTGATTCTTGGGGCTATGGAGTGGTTGAGTGGGAAATTCTGAGTTGAGCTCAATGTGATAGGTATCCCCCGCCGATGGTCGTGTTTTACATTTCGGTCAAATACTCGATAATCAAGTAGAACAAGTCAAAGGTTTAACCTATTCATTGGACGCTTTATTAGGTTCTGAATCATCTGCTCATGGTCCTTCAACATCATTACCACCTTCTAGTAGTTCATCAGAAGTTGTCGATCATACACATTTCGCAGAAATAAACGATATATCTTATTCCCTTTCTGATTTACTCGGCACTTCTTCCTCTTCCTCCCCTTCTTCCTCTTCTTCAACTTCAAACGGATCACAATATCAAGATGAAAATCAAAATCAAAATCAAAATCAAGGTCAAATACAAGTACCTGATCCTTCTTTACCTTCTGGACCAGGAGGTGAATCTGATGCTTCTCATTATCAACCCGGTGGAGATTTATCACATGATACTTCCGTTGCAGTTTCACTCGGTTCTAGCGCATTATCAAATCTTACCACATCAAATTCTCATTCTTTACCTTCTTTAAACTCTGATAACTCTTTATATTTCTTAGTGATTTATTTAGCTCCAGGTGATTATCATAGATTTCATTCACCAGTACCTTGGGTAGTTGAACGTAGAAGACATTTCACAGGTGATTTATTTTCAGTTTCACCTTATATCGCCAATCGTTTAAAAGATTTATTCGTTTTAAATGAAAGAGTAGCTTTATTAGGTAGATGGAAATACGGTTTCTTCTCTATGGTACCTGTTGGAGCTACCAACGTGGGAAGTATTCGAATTAATTTTGATGAAACTTTGAGGACAAATACTAGAAGAAGAAGTCATCCTGCTCATACTTTTACAGAAGCGGTTTATGGGAATGCTTCAAAAGTTTTAGGAGGACAACCTTTATTGGCTGGAGAAGAAATGGGTGGTTTCAAATTAGGTAGTACTATCGTTTTGGTTTTTGAAGCACCGAAGGATTGGGAGTTTACTGTTAGACCGGGTGATAAAGTTAAAGTTGGGCAAGCGTTGGGTAAGTTTGATGGGGAGAAGTGAAAGGTAGGGGAAGATGGTACGAAATTGATTTGGAAGAACTTTATGGATGATTATCGTTGTTATCATTTGTAAGAAGAAATGACAGAGGTCACGGAGGAAGAGGGTGACAGAGATAGATGATGGGAAGAAGGCCAAATGGGAAAGAGCCGAGAACCAAGTGGATAGATGGAAGATGTTATTCCGTGCAAAACGATATGCATCTGCATTGAATGAAGAATGACTTTCTTGTTTTGAGCTTTCGATGAAAATGTACCAGTCACAATTTCAAAGTCGCAGTGACGATGGAGGCATGGTAACCCGACAAAGCCGAGCTACCATAGCTCCTAATTGTACAAGCGTCCCCACACCTTCAAGTATACGCATATGCGTCCAACCTATTTCCTATAATATCAGCTTCATGACAGGTATCGCTTGTGACAAAGCTACGCTCTCATAAACAGACAGAGAAGGAGCAGATACGGTGATACTGAGACGAGTCTGGAACGACAAAAGAAGCCAATTTTGACCGCCCATGAAGATGATAAGTGAAAGGCGAAAAACGCAGATCACCCACTCACCCGGATATAATCCAACTTTAACACCTCTGGTAATTCTTCCATACCTTTAGTCACCCTAAATACAGTCGTCACTATATCCACAGCACTATAACCCTGATCCCACAACTCGTTAATCCTCGCTAAAGCATCATCAATTTCACCTTTCTGACAAGCTTTGATCATGTGTCGAACGACTATAGGATGAGGTTGATCACAGATCTTGAAAACATTATCTTGTGAGACGAATCCGAAACCAGAATGTGTGGATTGAAGATTGTTGATAGCTTGACGCATGTCACCTTCGGCTGTGAAGATGAGTGCGGATAAACCGGCGTCGTTGTGTTTTACCTGGGGTCAGTCGCCTTTTCTCGACGTATTCGAGTCCACTTCGAAAAACATTCCGACACAAGATCCGACTTATCGCTAAGACATGCAGATTTGGGAGATGTTTGGGATATGGGAGGGGTAGAGTGGTATGGGAAAAGAATAGTGTCTGAAACAAGAAGTGCTTGAAGAGTTTTCGAGACGTTGGGGAAAAGGAAGGTATAGGTGGATTTAGAAAAAGTGAAAACAAACTCACATCCTCCATCTCACAGAGTTCTTTCAATCGTTTCAATACCTCCGCATCTTTCAACTTACTATATCGTAAAATAGCACAACGAGATTGAATAGGTTCTATGATTTTATTACTCATATTGCAAGCGAGGGCGAATCGGGTGGTATTGGAATATATCTCCATTGTCCTTCGTAAAGCTTGCTGAGCACCGGCAGTCATCCTATAATCCATATACATCAATTGGTGGATGAGTTCCAGACACACACAAGAAATGTCGCAGTGAAGTAGCCAGATTTAGAAAGATTGACGAAGAGGAAAGTGATGAAGAGGAACGGTGTGTTTAGCAAGAATCAACTAAAATAATCCGAAGCAACTCACGAATCAGCCTCATCAAGGATAATAATCTTATGTCGACCAGGAGGTAATGTAACTTTTCTCTGAGCGAAACTTTTAATTTTATTCCTCACTACATCTATACCTCTGACCATCAGTCACACAAGCCCACACGAGTTGATATGTGATAGCGAACCACTACTCAGACTAACGTGCGACGATCCAGGAGAGATCAAGTAGGAGAGAGAATCGAGTATGACTGACCTCTCATCTGACGCGTTCAGCTCTAAGACACCTTCTTTGTAAGATTCTCCCAAGAGAGCATGAGCGAGACAATGGATAGAAGTAGTTTTGCCTATTCCTGGCATTCCCTACGAATCAGCAAGATCTGTCCTTTTTTGGACTTCTCCATGACTTGTTGATGCTACCATCCTTCTACTTTCTTCAATCCAGATCAGACGTTATTGCATACAGGATCAGTCAATGGTGAGGTGATATGTGACAAGGGAACGAAGCAACGGATTCAATGGTCATGAGAGTAAACCTGCTCTGTTCACTTTCGGAGGGTTAACAGGTAGAATCAGGGAGATATCCCATTTTTTGAAAGATTTGACGGGATGGGGGAGACACACTCACAGAAATGATGATATGAGGTACGTTCCCATCTTCAGCAATAACTTTCAACCTCTCTACCGTATCGGTATTCCCTACTATATCGTCCAATAAGACCGGTCGATATTTCTCCACCCTAATCGTCAATTATCCTGATTTTGTTCAGATAAGTAGACTAGTGAAGATATTGAAAGTCGGTCATCCTAACTTTGTTCAGATGAGTAGAATAGTAAAGATATCGAAAGTGAATCCAAGAGGATATGGGACCTGTGTAAAGAGTCAAGAAAGTCGAGTGGGGAGAATGAAGATGGAGAAGTCTGGGAGAAAGAAAGGAGAGCAACTCACCATGGCATTTCATAACCCTCTGCATCGATATGTTTCGCTATGGCCGATATGTTATCTTTCCCTTTAGAGCTACTGGCCATGGTGTGGTGTCCTGATGATCACTTGGTTAGTACTTGTGATATTTGAAGTTGAAGTCAGAATGTGAAAAGCGAGATGGATGGAACATTTGCTGTCGACGCGATCGAACGCGTGGTCCAACTGCACATGCCGCACACGACACACTGCAGACGTGCAGAGACATGCAGCAAGATGGGAAGATGGGGACACGGAACACGCAGCAAGAGGAGACGGGAGTCATATAGATACATGTGTCATGCACAAAGAACCTTATGGGTCATTTGCGATCAAGCCATTCATTTCATCTCGTCCACGACCGAATCCTGTCGGTCGACAACCTCAATTTCTCGACACTCTACAAATTCATCTTTCTTCTTTCTCAACATCCAGTGCCACTTCACCGCCATCCTAGCGATCGATTTTCAGGGCAGGGTAGCAACAAAGTGATCAACCACCACACCTCTTCTATCACCAGGTAGAATAAAATCAGCTCAGTGGGTGCCGTATGTCACATGACCAGGCCCAGGGAGCTGCGACATGACCATCCTTCCTTCTTGAGATGACATGGGCGAGTGACCTTCTTCATCCGAGTCGTACGCTCCTCCCGCTCCAGATGGCTGAACGTGCATCTGCACAGGAGGAGGGAAGGAAGAATAGTCGTAAGCGTCGTCATTCTCGTATCCAGACATAGGACGTAGATCTGGGGAGTCGGAGTGCCCGGAGGAGGGTGATTGTTCGTGCGCGTAGTTCTCGAGGGAAGGTCCCGCGCCGAAAGAAGAACCATTGAGGGCCATGGGAGCTGCCGAGTGGGCTGCTGCTGACGGCGTGAAAATGGACGAAGAGTTGGATATGGATCGTTCCTCTCTGGTCAGCTGTGGTCCATTGCCTATGCGTGATTAGAGGTCACTCACCAGTGGACTCGTCTCGATACCGTGCTGTCCAGTCTGTCTGGCAGGTAGAGCATGGTGAGCGTCCGAGTCGCCGTGTCTATTAAGCTCAGGCCTTTCTTGATCAGCAATCATATCATCTTGCCAGAACATCACACTCACCATCTGATGACCTCATCGTCGTCAGTGGTCCTACGTTTCATTCTGTATACAGCACAGAGGACGAGGGCCAACACTACCACTCCCACAGCCACTGAAATACCGATGATGGCCGGTTTGGATATCGAGTCGCCATCAGACTTGTCGGCACCTGAAGTCGACGCAGCGGCTGCGGATTCCGCGTTGGATAGAGTTTGCGTGAGGGTGAGGATCACTGTTTTACCCGCAGCGTCGGTTGTGTATTCAGTCCTGCTCATGAGATTCAGGTCTAATGTGTGCCCCATACTCACGCTTGGGATGTCGACTGGACGGATGGCTGAGAAGACGGTGTAGGTGGAGCGCTGCTCGGGGCCACTGAGCTACTTGAAGTTGTGGATGCTGGCCATCAGCATATGTCTCGTCATTGAGGAATGTACTGACTAGTGTTGAGAGCCACGGTACCATTCAGGGATGCAGAATGGGATGCAGATGCCGAAGGATCCGCACTAGGGCTCACGGAGAGCTTTGATGTCGTCGACTCGGTCGAAGTCGTCGAGGAAGACAATGTGCTCGAGGTTGTCGAAGAGCTCAAAGTCGCTTTGGTCGAGGTAGGAGCCACCGAAGAAGACTTTAGGTCAGTGAAAGTGCTCTGATCTGTAGTGACAAACATACTGAAGACGTTGACGATCCCTCGCCAAGTAAACCTCCTAAAAGTCCATCATCTTTGGTCTCGCCAGCACGAGGGCGCAAATTATCCGGCCACAGACCCCTTTCATCAACTCGAGTGCCATCGACAGCTCTGGCGGGTCGATGAGAACGTTCGAGAGGACGAAGATGAGCAATGGTCAAGGGTAGAACGATGAGTGCGATTGTTGTTACTCTCATCTTGAGAGACGTAAGATATGTTCAACCCTTGTCGCAGTAACGAGATAGAGAGGGTCCTTTGTATTCTACGTCGTGCAGTAATTCTACGTATTGCTATGGGAAAGGAAGAGGAGAAAGAGAGAAAGATACGGGTGGAGGAGATTGTTTGTGTTGTAGAGATCGTATGAGAATGCCGATTGAGTATAAACAAATATAAGGACAAATTCGACCGATAATGGAAGAATTGCTGTGTCGCTAGAAAGAGAGGGGGGTTTGTATAGCTACAGATGGTATTTTCTAATCCTTCCTGGTGAAATTATATACACCTGGATAGGGGGTGCTTGTCAGAGTCAAAAAGAAGATCTAAATGAGTGTAGTGGAAGGAACGTGAGTATGTTGATTGTGGGAGAAGGAGAGAGAGAGAAAGATGATGGTAGAGAGGTAAAGGATAAAGTTGTAACAATCCAGGGGCGAGGGGTTATTGGGGTGGTTTGTGCTCTCACCCAATTCGCCTCGTGGCACCCGCGGTAGGGAAAACAACTCAAAGGCCCTTCTTTCACGACTGCACTACTTAGCTCCACCCAGTCAGAGGCGATGAGAAACTGGGTGATTTGCAATCAGGTCGAACAGCTGCATACTCTACATACTGACACTGAACATTCTCAACTATGAGTTCAGGTTATGGATCTCATGGATCATGGAGTAAGTTGTTTATGACCAGGTGGCGGTTGTTTCATGTTTCATCGTTTCAGGCACTCCCGAACTAGGCTAGTGCTAGGCCCGTCATGCTCCTCTCTTTGAAAATAGGCGCGCCAGTCCGCCATCCCTCAACCTCGACACTGGGAGATGTGGCCATTTAGCAACCAAAGTAACGATATGCCTCCCAGATTATCCCTCTCATTCTCCACTTCTACTCCCAGAACTCGTCCTCCAACTCGGTCCGTCTCAACACAAAAACGTAAAACCGCTTACACACCCGAGGTCACACCCCAAACACGTCTCTCCTCGTCAACCCGTCGAACCCGTCGAGGAAAATCCCCTTCTCTTCCTGCTGACCCCGAAGCAGAAGTTGAGAAGGACGTTAAAGAGGGCGAGGAGGATCTGGAACAGGAATTAGAAGCATGGCAAGAATTCTCAGCGGATCATTATGAGATCGTGGAGCAATTACCATTGGAACTTCATAGGAATTTCCGACTTTTGAGGGAATTGGACAATAGTAATGTTGGTGGGTCGAATAGCTTTTTGCTTATCTATCATACCCCTTCTCTGTACCTCCTAGTACCTCCGCGTCTTACTGCTTCACTCCGACTTGAATCTATCGGTACAGTTTTCTATATATGTGGAATGACGTAGAAGTGTGGTCGTGTAGCAATTCTGTGCTGACTCGAAAGCACAAATCCACAGATTGGAAAAACTCGTCCGGGCGTATATATCCCATCGTCTAGACCATAAACATCTTCGACCATCTTCAATACCCACCACCTCACGTTCGAACAGTCACATCCGGAATGGAACTATCGATGAAGAGACCAAAGAGTTGGCCGCAGCCGCAGAAGATGGTAAAGTGGCAGAGGAACATCAACATAGGGCGGATCATATGGGTGTACCTATACCTGATGGACGTGGTGGTCTAGTGTTACCTGCGAATACAGAAGAAGAAATCGAACCTAGACTGGCGTTTCCACCTGTTCGACGTGATGAAATCACCAATCAAACCGCTGATGAGAACGTTGACCCGACTTCGATGAAATCACAGACGAACGGTGAACCCTCCGGGACGGTGTCAGAAAGGGGAGAAGAGACAGGTTCTCAGATCGATCGAACAAGTCCTTCCAAAACCCCATCTCGCTTTTCAGACATATCGAGAAATCCATCAAAACAACCAGACAAAAACCGGCCAGTTTCTATTTTACCGGAAATAGCGAGGTTAGTGAGGGATATAGTAAGAAACGGAGAGGAAAAGTTAGCTGTGGCAGTAGGTGCGTATAACTCTGTGAGTTCTCCCTATCTTTCGAAGTGAGCCTGCAAGATTAATCGATGACAGGTTGATCGACATATACGAGCTCTTGATTCTGCTTTGTCGGCACAAGAAGCATCTATGATCTTAGGACTTCGGGCTGATACTTTACCTTCTGCAGCTGTGGAAGGTACGCCAGAACCTCAGCCTGCTCTATCGGCCGAGGAAGGTGGAGAGTTGGTTTTGGGTATTGGAGGGGGTAGGAAGCGAAAGAAGGGAAGGGGAAAGAAAGCGAAGGTGGAGATGGAGGTATCAGAGGACGTTGCTCCGGTCATAGAGGCAGATCCGTATGTCTTCCTTTCTTCTTTTGATTCAATTCACTTCCCTTGGACTCCTGTCCGAATGATAATCTTTTGACCATAGTCATCTCATTCCACTTCCTCACCCACGGTGAGACCTCTTACCTCAAGTTTTCCCTGTTGACGAATCCGTCGTTGCTATCGCTTATGATCACCTTAGTTGTGTTCTCCTTCCTCAAATTCGGGTACCTCATAAGTTTGAGAAAGGCTGACGCATAGTTCGGAACCCAGATATTGTTACTGTAATCAAGTTTCTCACGGTCAGGTGAGTTCTTTTCTCAGTTTCATGCTACTGAATCCTACTCATACTCTTTCTCATTGTCTGCGCTGTCATGAGCCAAGTACTACTCCTTTCCAGTATCTCCTCCATCCCCTGAAACCAGGCTGAGTACAGATGATCGGATGCGATAATGATGATTGTCCACTTGAATGGTTCCATCTAGGTTGCACGGGACTCAAAACTCCTCCACAGGGAAAATGGTATTGCAAAATATGTCGACCGCAACAGAATGTGCAGATTGTGAAAAAGAAGAGTCGGAAAAGTCGATAGACTTGTGCAATTTCGTATCCCATCTGCCTTTCCGTCGCAACATATTGTCAAGTTTCCGCTGCGCTGGCCATCTCGGGACACTCTGATCATGGGTTCATTGCCCAGTCAACTGTGCGAGTAAAACCCGCGCTACAAAAGGAGATAGAAATACAGTTGTAGATGCATCAGATAGTGATATATTCAGACATTATCAAGCGAGTTTCTTAGTTCTCTGAAAAGCCTTTTTCTCCCTGTATATCAGCTTTGTCATTTCTACGATCACTAATCCCTCACATCCAAGATCCCCTCACGATATCACCCATGAAGGATCAAAACCTATCACACAAAGATCGATGACATTCAAATATGCACAGGAAGGATCAACATTGAAGATGTAAGATAGGGACAAGGATGAAAGATGAGAACATTCAAGACTCACCCATTCACCCCATTATCTCCGGAAGATTGACTAGGTCCAGTTCTAAAAGCATCAGGATGTAAAGCGAAAGTTTTCGCACCCTTTTCAAAAGCTCTTTGAGTACTAGCTATATATTCTTCCCTTGAAAGTGGTGCTCTATCCGTTTGAACTTTGAGTCTACCGTTTGAATATGTTATACCTTTTGATTGTAAGGAAGATTTTGTTGATGTTTCTTGTGAGGATATTGATCTTGCGATGAGGATTGAGATATCTAAAAAGTTAGTATGACCGTTTCTTCTTTGATACTCTTTCCACCTAATCGTCCAGTTTCGGAACTGTAGACTACTGTGATGATCATATCAACTTGTTGTTTCGAGTATAAATTATCCCCTCATGGATCCCATCACATTCTCCCAGGACTTGCTCCACATCTTTTCAATCGAAAACATTACTCGAATGTGGAAATGACATCACACATATTCTCTAATTCTCGACCACCATCCAAGGATATCAATGATCCAGAACTCGTCCCAATACCATCTGACTCGTTCACACTGAGAGAGACGACAGACTTACATACTACAGCCAAGAACAAAAGTAGACCAAAAGCAGAAGAAACGATTTCCCAAGTTGATCTATCCATCAGCGATTCTCTTCTGATCTCCCACCTTTTCTCTTCCAACATGGGAGATGAGATCACTGACGCCATAATTTCCCGAATGCCTGAGTGTCCCCAAAATTGTGATAGATCAAGAAAAGACGTTAGATGCAATGAGTCAGATGAAATATGTGTAAAAAGTAGAAGTAGAAATGGGAGCACCGCAAGGAAAGCAGTGAGTGAGTGACGTTTGAACCGCCGACGCGTTCCATGTTCCAGAGATCTCAATGTGGCACTTTAGCCCAACCAAGCCTCTTTGTCCATTGGTGGGTTCTCAGGACAAAGGCGCAAAGGATGAGGGTTTGAAGTTTTGAAATTAGTGTGAGACGAAGCAAGTGTTGCTTTGGGTGTCTTACGATGAGAATTTGGTAGGTTTTTCATCAGTTAACTACTTACAGTACTCGTATACTTGTAGTCTGTACAGTAGATGCCTCGAAACAAGGATGGAAACTGACAAAAGTCACGTGATCCTTTCCACTTTGGGAATCAACCTGCGTATCAGGACCACTACTGGAGAAGGCTTTCTTTGCTCTGTCCACCTGGCCACCTGGTGTATATCGAAATGACGGGACATCAACATTTCAATAGCTGGTATCAAACGAAGATATCCTTACCAGAAGTAGAACCCCGTGCGTGAATCTTCTCAGTCACCTCTTTCACTCTTCCTCGAAGAAGAAAGAACCCCGATTGTGCTAACAGATAGGAATGGGTGGCTCAATGTGTCACCGCCCTTTCACCAAGCTAATCTCCCATGTACTATCGAAAGTCTCGTACGTTTCCTTTCTTATCTAATCAATCACTGATCTCCCATCTTAGCAGTCACCTAATTCGTACATCATCTGTGTTGATATTCCATATATACAGGGTATTAACGTGAAGATTGAACAATATCTCTTTTCCGACCTTTCCCTTTCCACCCTTCCTCATCCTCCGATATTCGCTTCTAGCATAGCCACCGGAACTCTCTTCCCACGACCTGTACTCGTTCAAATAATGAGTATCACGGAAATTGGTTCTTCGGCATTCCAACTCCAAACTGTGCTAGAACAACGGAGAGACGTGTTAGATGGGAAGACTCGGATACGACGAATGGACGAGGAAGAAGAGGAGGAAGGTGAAGATGGGAGATTACCTGTGTATCCCAGAGGAATGTTGAAATTAGAGTTGAGTGATGGAAGAGGGGTTATGAAAGGTTTGGAATATAGAAGATTGGGAGGATTAGTCTTGGGTGAAACGGCTTTGGGTAGTAAAGTAAGTTCCTATACTCATTCACGTCAAAACCGACTGTTGGCACATGTGATTTCGAATCCACCACGATGTCAAAACAAAGACTCATCTGTAAGACAATGATGGTATTCGTGTCATGAGGGATCAAGCTGATGGACAGTTGTTGTTGCATAACGTCAGTGCAAGAAGAGGAATACGTAAGTACATCTATACCAAAGGCAAGGATGTTGTTTGACAAGAAAAAAGTTCTTCTCACTCCTGAAAACTGCACCATACTAGGTTACTCGGTCGATCATCTTGAAGCTGAACAACCACGTCAATTCGTGCGATCTCTCATGAGAAGAATGGGTAAACCTGTGTCTTCTGATCAAATCGGTCAAACACCTCAACAACAGCATCAACCTCAAGAATTAAACTCTTCTCCTGAACTCATTCACACCGCTCCTCTCATCTCAAAGCCCTCTAGGAACAATGCTCACACTTCCACGTCAGCACAGAGAACAACTAAAATTCCGAAGCAAACCACTCGACCAAATCCCACGTCTGTTGTTCCACCCTCTCGTCGACAGAATACGACACATGAGTTGCCTTCCACTCCCGGTCCTTCGAGATCCAACCAACGTCCCTCTCGATCAGCTGGTACACAAGCTTCAGCCAAACTCAAGAGGTTATACGATGATTATCCAGAAGCTATCCCAATTGATTCTTCAGACGATGAAATGTCCAAATTTGGTAATACCAAACTTCCCAAACGGGATAAACGGGAGATCAGAGTGGTAGAAGATGAATTTAGTGATGAAGTGGACGAATCGTTCATTCGACAGATCACAGAGGCCGAAGCGTTCGCTAGAGCAGGACGACGCGGTGTAGAAGCTAGTTCGGATTATGGAGAGATGGATGATATCTTATGGAGAGCGGCAGATGAGGTGGAGGCTTCTCTGGAGAGGAGATGGGATGCGGAAGAAGAGAGGTGGGATGACGGGGTGGAGAGAGAAGGATCGGGCAAAGAGAATATCCCGATTGTAATTGAAATCTCAGATTAACCCGGCAGAAATTTCAGATTGACATGAAGGAGATTAGGAAGATTTGTACATTCACAAGATGTATCTCTGTACAAAAATCTACATTTGGCTTGGATGAACTCCTCACATTGATCCTTTTCACGTCTACTTTAGACTCCCTTGACCATGGCCATGATCGACCAGCGATATGGATATGATTCGTTTATTTCTTGCAATACACTATTTTTTTCTTTTGGCTGCGATTTCAAAATCTCCATTGCTTTTCTTCCTCATACATCCATCTTTTGTCGTCACTTCCATCATACACTCGTGTACCCTCACATATGATCCAGCCCTAAACTTTACTCTGCGCTTTCGATAGCACATTGCAACGGGTCATCCCCTTCTTCATCCGAACCTGATTAATCTAGGTGATACACCATGACCATTTATGATCTCGCCCTAATCATTTACCGGACCAACTTATCGCAGCCAGGGTTGACTCACTCCAACTTTCCCCCCAAACCCTGTATCAAACTAGCCACCAAACTTCTCTTAACACTCATTCCCTCTCTATACCTACATAAAACCCAACCACCTTGTCCTCTTCCAGCAGCTGCCCTAACGACTAATTCACCTGCCATTCTACCCGTATTAATCCTATTCTCCGAATCAGCTCCACCTGCACCTCCAGGATCTAATTGACTTCTCAAAGCTCTCCAACTATCTTCCAATATCATATGATCCCCATCCCCATTTCCACTCGTTGAGTCTAAAGGTGGATGAACTCCATTGAATTGACAAGGGAAAGATTGACATAATCTAGCTGCGAAAGTTAAAAGACCAGGATCGTTCACGACGTGAGAATCAGAAAGATGACAACAACTTTTAAGTCTTGCTAATAAATCTGGTTGAGGAGCAGGTGGTGATGATGTGATAGATAATGGAGAAGTAACGGTCATTCCGATAGTTGAATTCATTGGATTTCCTCCTATAGCCGATCCGCTAGAAAGGGAATTTCGGTTGGTGAGTGAAGTGGAATTTGGCGTTAAGGAATGAGGATCAATATTCGTATTTGATCGATGTGTTTGTGGTTGTGGTTGAGACTGAGGTTGAGGTCGAGGTTGGGACTGAGGTTGAGGTTGAGGTTGGGTTTGGGTTTGGATTTGAGATTGAGATTGAGATTGAGATTGAGATTGACCTGATAATGTCGAATTTGATCCTCCAGAAGGTGAATCGAAAATACCAAACATATATCCAGGACTTGATGATTTCAAATATGAAGTTGGATCCATAGTATTTGAAGGTGAAGTTGAAAAATCGTATGAAGACATCATATTTGATAATGGGAATGGTACTGATAAATTGTAATCGAAACCATTCTCCATTGCTGATGAAGAGAATAAAGATCTTTCTATAGTATCCCCAGGTCTAACTCCAACACCACCACCACCTCTTCCTACTCCACTACCACTACCACTCGCTGTGGTAATACGATTTGCAATTCTTGAAGGACCACCCTCACCATTACCTTCTTCTTCTCTCATTCCTGATATCCCACCCATTCCCATGGTCATACCGGATAAAGAAGAAGATCCAGTCATGTTTGATAAATTAGGTAAAGAACTACCTAAATTCGAGTCGGGAGAAACGGTCATTGAATTTCTCATATCTTCAGACATACTTCTATCACTTTCATCACCTGGTCCAGGTGTAGGTGTTGGTGTTGATTCTATAGGTGGTAATCCTCTTGCACGTCTTTCCCTATCTCTAGCTTCTTTCCTAGCTCTAACTCTTTCTGACATTGGTACACCACCTTCTTTTAAACTTTTCCCACGTCCTGTAGGTCCTGAACCTATACGTTCCCTTTCGGCAAGAGGTAATTGTAATAATGAACGTAATTGAGAATTTTCATTTTCCAATAAAGCTATACGTTCTTCTAATGCTGCTAAATGTTCCGCTCGACGTAATCTGAATGCACGTTGAACTTCTCTTGCTCTTGATAAAGGTAATTTATCGTTTGGTTTTCTACCACGAGGTTCAGGTCGATTCTATTTAATCAGTGTGAAGTCAATTTGGTAAGTCTCGTTGAGTTTTTAAATCTCCTTCACATCATCCCGATATTCTATTCGTATCATACTACTTGTAGTTATCTACGCACTCGCAAACTTTCAAGATTGATGGATTGATTCGAGTGAGTCATGTCACTTTATGACAACCTCATCCATTACAAATCATCCCTGGATCACCTGATATCAAATCAAGGATCATTTCGTGAAACAAGACCCATAATAGACAATGACATAGGTGATACGTAAGAAGAGGAATGGGGGAAGACAGAAAACGGAGACAGAAGTTTCATATATATATATATATATATATGAAAAGAGGAGAAAAAATGGATGAAATGACGCAAGATGACATACCTTTGGTGGATCAGGTGGACTTGGTCCGGGCGGTATAGATTCATGTTCCATTTCCATAATCTCAAATTGTTTTTATTTCTTTCAAATCTTTCCTCACTGTTTTGAATCAAGAAATTGGTCATTCCAATCCTTTCCTTATGGTCCTCCTTAAACCGTAAGTGACGAAAACTTGTTTCAATCGCAAATGATATATGAAATTAAACGTGTTTCGATGGTGCAAGAAGGGAATTGATTTGGCACGAATGTGAGAATAGGGTTTTTATTTGGCATTAAAAAGCTCACTCTCTCTCTCCCCCTCTCCCCCATGTACCTTGAACCCTTGTACCCTCCTGTGTGCGTGGCCCCTTTGATTTGACCCGGTAACAAGCCGTACGAGAACCCGGTATTCGCGGTCCGACCGAATCTGGAAATTCGTGGCGGTTTCTCCACCTTTCTTTCCACAAGTGACCAACAATGAACAGTAAGTACCAGGACAATGGTTGGAGAAGATGAATATAAGAGTAGTAGAGAAAGTTGCATTGCATCATCAACTCGTACTCACTCACTGCCTCGTTCGGCCGTCTCATCATCTCTACACCCCCCGCCCTGACCGGTGACGGGCGCATCTCTGTTTTTTTTGCTTTTTTCCCGCTCCTCAGCACCGCTCTTGGCTGTGCGCATCACAAAAAGGATGTCAAGTTTTTGATGCATGATGCGACTAACGAGAAATGGGAGGATCTTTCCTCCCCGAGATACCCGGAAAGACCGTCTCACTTTGTCTTTCTTGGCGTAAAGTGGATCGTACTCTCTGCGAAAACCTTTAATCCCGTCTCAGCAAGTATTAACACACCACTAATTTGCCGAGTTCCCCGGTTTCCAGATTGCGACTCCGCATCGTGGCTCCGCGGGTCGCCATCTGACTTAGAACTACGGTTCCTGGTTTGAGACGACGGAACTGGTTTGAAAGGCCGGTGACTGACCCAGAGGACCGGATACCGTCCTTAGAAGCCGGCTTGGTGCGTTTAATGGTCGGAATGTAGAGCTTAGAAGCCGGATAAGACACTTAACTTGAAACGTCTCTCCTCATCGATTTGGACCTCCAGGTCACGATCGAACATGTCTCGCATGTCGGTATGCATCCAATCTACTCCAATCGAAAGTTACAAGTCAATAGAAGACCCGGTGACGGTGTTATACACCTGCAAACTATCATCATATTGGAGTGAGAACAATAGACCCTCGTACCATACATGACACACCATCAGTGTGGCGACCTTCTTTTATTTCCCCATCAATATCTTCTTTACAACTTACTTGTCACTCCATCATCATCTCAACACATATCCTAAGCTCCTCTCAAGAACCCGTAACCTCTAAGGCTACCATTCATTGTCAAATATGTCTCGCCGAACTCCTGCGACACATCCCCCTCCCCCCAAGGACCCCAGTACCCCGTCTCGTCGTCGAGCAGTCCCTCGTCCTAGAACTCCTGCAGATCCTCCTACCCCTGCACGTTCTTCTCGCAGAGCCGCCAGCAAAACTCCACTCCCAAGCAAGTCTTCTTCCCCTCTACCTGCTTTTTCCGATCGTATCGCAAAAGCCGCAGAAGAGTGGAAAACTTCCTTCCAGGCCTCGGACCCGGTTTTCTCTTCTAAAGAAACTACCAGGCAAGTTGAGGAAAAGATTAGTTCAGGTATCCAACCCTGGGATCATTGTCCTTCTGCATTCTTCCCCACAGTGGCGGCCAGGTTTGGACTGAGTCGTTGGATACCTGATCCAATTCCAGATAAAGGTAGTCGTGGGCCCGCCTGTATCGTGGAAGGAGAAAGTGGTTTCATGTGTCATACGGGGTCTTTGCCAGCCTTTCTTTACACGTAAGTCCAATCATTGTCTTCTATGATGAGATAGAGTGCTTGCTAACAAAACAGTTATCAAAATCACGCCTGTCCAAACGCCCAGCGTCGAAAATTCCCCACCCTCATCTTCAGATACAAATTCGATAAAACTGGCTCCCTAATCCCTTTTGCCTGTTGGGCATGTCACACCAATGTGGACAGCTTTTGCTCTGTTGGATCTCTGCGGTTGCAAGAGCTCAACTCGCCGTCACAAGTTGCTGGACCGATAGATCACGATCACACAAACATCAAAGATTCCGTTGCCGTCAGCAAACGTAAAGCCGACACTGCCCAATTGGAACTCCCGATCGGTAAACGGACACATCTATCTCAGGAGCCTTCCGAAGCACCTTCAAAAACTATCGAGGGAGACGCTCTCATCTTCTCTGATCGCCAACTACCTCCGCCATTGCCAAACAGCGAGGAACCCCATCAAACTTCAGATCCTGTGGATCAGCTTCAACCACTTCATCCTCCACCACTTGTCACTGTCTCCCAGCCGCACGAACCATCTCTAGCAAGTCCGGTTTCTGTTGTTGAATCCGACGCCTCACTTCATCCCAAGAAGCATGAACAGCCCTCTCAGCCTCTTCGAACTCGGTCAAAGTGGCGTGAATATCATGGTGAACGTCAGTCAAGATCATCCAGCCAGATACCTGAATCCCTGGCTCCACCTCCCTCATCGTCATCTATTGTGACTGTCAATGTGCCTCCGCAGATGCCTCCTCTTACCATACCGGCTCCCGTGGCCTTGCCGACTCCTCAGTTAGAGCATCATGTGGAATCTATCATACCGTCTTCTCTCCCTCCTTTCCCAGCCAACAACGAATCTCTCACTCCTGCCAAAGACCGATCCACTCTGTTACCCAAATTTGACTCCTTCACACCATCCCATGAACTATTTAAATTGCGTGCAACGCTAGAAAGTCATTTGTCTGCTCCTGTGGATCATGCGACCCAGCATCTCATCTCTCTCAAACAAACGCGTCAACAGACGACCGCTATCCTAGATGAGCTTTTCACCAAGTGTCGACAAGCGTGGTCAAACGCTGAAAGAGATCGCGCTGCAATAGCAGACGTACGAAATGAAAGAGACAAGCATGCTTCACATCTACGTACACTAGACGCTCGTCTCATCAATTCTTCCCAGAAGCTGCAGGCGAAGGAGAAAGAGTTGGAAGAGGTCAAGAAGCAAGTGCAATTTCTGGAAAAGCACGCGCAGACAGCTCAGGAAGAAGCTATAGCTCTGGATGAGAGGATGGCGCAGGCGCTTGCCGAGAGGGATAAGGCATTGGAGGAGAAGGAAGCAGCGGTTCGTGCAAACTCTGAGTCAAAGGTCGAATGTCAAGCTTGGCAGAAGCAGTGCGAAGAGGCAAAGATAGAACGAGCCAGGGCGGATGAGGCACTGGATGATGCGGCCTTGGAGGTGACAGAGCTGCAAGACCAGGTCCAGTCTTTGCAGGGTACCATTCACGAGCTTCTGTCAAAAGTACACACGTTGGAAGAACATTTTCATACCCACGTTGATATTTCACCCTTGACTGCCAACCTTTCACAATCGGGACCTCTGTACACCAACCCTGCTTCCTTGACCCTCGATCGTTCTTCCCAATCTTCTTCACATGAGACTCAAACAGCCGAAGTATCAAACCCAGCAGGCGAAGTTATGACCTCTCTCTCAGCAGGGGATCCTCAACCTCCCCAGTTTCTCCAAAATGTCCCCGAGCTCTCTTCAGATGTAAGCGATCCACTGTCATCAGTCAACCACAATGCTTCTCTGCGCCTCAGTCCCGGACACGTGCAAAATCCTTTGGAAAATGAGGGAAACGCTTCCTTGGCTCATACGACACCTCAATCAGATATTCATCGGCTTGCCAATCCACACGAAATTCAGCCACCGACCGATGAACATGCGGCCAATGCGGCTGAACATACAGCGGTCCCACCACCTCAGATCATTCCTGGATCCTTCTAATTGTGTCTGATTGTGTGACAAGCCGTATTTCTGTAGTATACAATTGAGACATGCATTCCGGTATCAGATTATCACATGAGCTGATAGGCATTATCAAGGATCTATTGTCTCAGCCCCCCTTTCTCACTGCCTTGCTTTAATCGACAACCATTGCCTGTGCTTGAACGTTTTTCGTTTTTCGACCCATGACCACAACTCGGTTGTTGCCTGTCCATCTCTGAGCCAATGATCCAGTCCACTCATTGAGTCCCGGGCTACTCTCGCCACTTCACGTAAGAACATAAGCATCAGCGAGTCTCGTAGGAGAACGGCAGCTTCACGAGAATATGTATCGGTCTTCAGCCCTAGATGAAAAGCGGTTGGTTTGACACCTTGGAGCAACAGAATAACAGCCGCTGCCGCCAATGGACCACAGTTGGCAGCATCGGCTTGTTTGACCCATCCGAGTCCGTTGCGCAGTCTCTAAGAGATGTCAGTCAATGTCATAATTATGTTCCAAAAAAATGACACTCACCTCTGTATTCGGCGCAAAGATCCATCCTTTATTGTCTTCTTCCGTGACCATGTCCATTTCCAACTCCCACTCCAATCGGTCTACCAAAAGAGACGTCCACTTCTGTTTGTGTCAGTTGCCAGCGCACAGTAAGAGAGGAAAAAGCAACTCACTTCCTTCAAAATAGGATTATCATATACTCCACCAGCACCATCGAACGGGATCACTAGCTTGGCCGGGCCAAATATGGCAAGAGCAACAAAATGTGTGTTGGCTTCCACATTCTCTACTCCTACTGTCACCCGTGAACGCCAATCAGCATTTTTGCCAAGAGATGACCACGGACGAGGTTTTGTAGGGAAATAGATATTAAGGGATTGATCACTGCTGCCTTGAGAGGACCATCGGAGCAAGCCTTCGACATATCGACATTGCCGATTCCAAGCAACCTCCTCTGATTCTGCTGCTGTTGCACACATAGCAGAGATGATATTTGTATTCCACCACGCCGTTCGGCTTTGAAGCTTTTCAAAGTCCTGCAGTGCTAATAATACGCTATGATTGGGTCCTTCTATATGTAGACCCCAAAGTCCCGGACGACCGGGTTTTTCTTTGATTCTGCGTGTCAAGTTCTCAAAAAACGTATCTGTGAACTCGAGAGGAGGGTGCTCGAATTGGTCGGGCTCGGCCATGATGATCAGGTTGCTTACAGGCGACGTGTCCCTATGTCGAGCCCCATTCAAGGCGATAGAGGAGTACCTTGCCAATGCCGCGTCAACGATACCATCAAGATCTGGAGTATTTAAATTTCCACGGGTGCTGATTGACAAGGGTGGAACAAGTGAACGCTGAAGTTCGTCGATGGGCCTTGATACCGGTGTCATATAGTCTAGTCCAAGAGGTGTCATTGCGAGAGCAGGAAGAACATTGACAGGAATGATCCGGCTCTGCCCTGAATTGTAGCCAACAGAAGATTGACTGGCGTGATACCTTGAGTCTGACGTTTTGTCAGGGGGTACAATAGTGTCAGCTGGCAATGGAGAAGGGATCATTTCTTGCGCACGTTCTTTCAATTCACGAGAGAAATCAGGTTGTTGTGGAGGCTGTAGTTGAGGAAGGAAGGTGATACCGATTGGGGCGGAGGAACGGACGGGTTGACTACCGGAACTTGACATTTGGTTGTTTTTCAAGGCGTCAGCCGACCCGGTCGGCGGGGTAAGTGTCGTGGTAGTTTGCGTGTGGATTGTATCATTTGATAAACTATTTATGGCGATTGGAGAGGATAGGACCGTTGAATTCTTGGTCTCCAAGGGAACAGACATTGGCTTTGAGGATGGGTCGTCATGTCTCAGTGTCACGGGTGCATTGCTGGTATTCACATCCGGAGGATTGGTGATACCGATGATGGGTGGTATTGCAAGACGCACGGGTTTGGGGTAAGTTGGATGCGAAGGAGGTCCGATCGGGCCCGCCTGAGGATTGACTGGCACGTCATTATCTGTGGTTGTCATAGAATGTGAACGAATCTCAATGCCGGCAGTTTGCAATGACGTTCCGATGGGATTTAGGGCTGGGTGAGGTTGAGACTGGTGAGGAGGCAACGAATGGCTGATTTCCAGTGGAACTGACCGATTTGTCGAGATTGGACGATACATTTGCGGAACCAATGCCGACTGTTCTGGAGCAACACTGACCTGATGAAGTCCCTGCTCCGCAAGTTCGGGGCCCGATTGAGGGATACTGGCTTTGGGATGAAAGGGATGACTGGTGGAAGCCAGCAAAGACTCAGCCGGAGCCACGTTGGAGGTTTCGACCAGCCCAGCTTGATTAATGAGGTCCATGTTGAGGAATTCATATATATCCTCGACCTTTGCGGGCCACCCACTCTCCCCACGAGACTCCACTTCACCGACTGTTGACAGAAGATCGTGATCTTGTGGGAGTTGGGGTCCAGAAGGAATGGACTGTATGGGTGCATTGTCAATTGCGATGCCTGGTGCCTGCCCGGAGGTGATTTGAGGAACCAAAAGAGGACCATGTGAATGTATTTGCCTCTCTTGAGTACTGCCGCTAACACCAAGTGGAGAATCAATCGTCACGCCAGTGACCTGTACAGCGTTAGGTGAGCCGGTGACGACCACATTTGTGTTGTCAGGTTTGATGGGCGTGGTGGAAGAAAAGTCAAACTCTGCTTGTGATTGGATTGATGTTGATGTGCCATGTGTCTGCTGTTGAGACTGCAATGAACTTGCCACTGGTTCTCGAATTGATGTGGCTGACGGTGTGACCTGATCAGGACGGTATAAGGGTAGAGGTAAAGCCGTAGGATCAGCAGATGGGAGGCTGGGTGATAGATTTGAGAGGGATGTAGCTTCTGAATGGTGAATACGGATTGTAGGAAGGGAACGACTTCCATCTCGCTGGTAGAAGATCATTACTGGATATCGCCCGTCTCTGAAAGCTTCAGTCTCATATGAAGAACTAACACGAGATACTTTGTCATCGTCCATCAGCCACCATAGATCATTGTGTTTTGATAGGGTGACAAAATGTCCATTCTCCGTGTCTTGACCATGGCGGCAGATGATTCCACACAAGTTGAAAAGGTGAGATGGATAAAAAGGATTGTGAGGGAGTACATGAAGGCGATGTTCCGAGGGTATATTGAACCGCATAGGGGATGGATGATGATTGACACCAGGAGTGGGGAGCACACTCCAAACGACATTATATCGTAACATGTCCGAGTGACTGTCAATGTATGAACGTTGGTGACCTTCGAAAGACTGTTTGGACTTGGCCCATGCACATGCAGGATTGTTGCAAACGCACCGGCGGGTTCCTCCCACATTGTATGACATGTATGCCATACTGGAGAAATCGGGTATCGAAGGAGGAGCTGATGTAGGCAGAGTCAATTCCGGAAGGGGATGGATGTAGAAAGATCCATGAGTTACACTATCCACCACCAAATCTTCCTCGCAATTGGGGCATTTTACTCGAACTTCCACCTTGACAGTTGATAATGTTTCGAAAGCATCAGAATTGAAGCGATCGTCCAGATATCTGTTGAGATTGAGCAGGACCTCATCGGGATCTTGCATTGTATCCGCTGAGTCTACGATCGAACACCCTAAAGTTTCAGTGAGAGGCCATTGCGGATAGAGAGGACTCACTGGCCAACACCTGGCGCAATTTGGGAAACGACCTAGCCTTCTCCCCCTGGAGAGAATGTCGCAAGTCTAGAATCGCTACCACTAAAGGATCTGACTTGCTTGAGAGGTCCTCGGCAATCGATTGATCCAAACGTGACACCCACCAGTCAACCCGCAGCAAGATCTGGAACAGTGCAATTGCATAGCAGTCATACTGGGTGTTCATGATGCCCAAAGGTGACATAGGTTGAGGTTTATGTCCCTTCTTTCTTCCCTTTTCCGTCCTTTCGTCTTGAATCTTGGCACGCCTGACACGTTTGCGGACACTCTTGGCCTTGCTTGCCTTGGACCTAGCAGGATCCAGAACCTGAGTAGCACCGGGCCGCCCTGGCATTGACTGGCTCCATTCCAATGGTCCATCTTCTGCGGGTTCGATGTTTGATGTGTTCTGTGGTCGATCGGTGTCAGGAGTGTGAAATCGGCGACCGATTGGGGAAAGAACCCAGTCTCCACCATCGTCTCCAGTACTCAAAGCAGGGGTATCAGGGTTCAGATGCAAATCAGGAGTCGAAGAGGACTTTGCAGGAGGGAACTGGGATCCGTTGACCTTGTGGTTAGAGGACTGGTCAAGGGATGATTGAGAAGGCAAAGGATATGAAGCGATTGGTGCAGATGGAGGTTTGGCCGGAACGTATTCGGGATTGAGATCAACCTGTGCCAGATTGGGCAGTCGAAAGACATCTTGATGCCAGTAGGAATGGAAATCCCGACGATCTTCGTAATCCACATCATCCTTTGAGACGTTTGTTGCTTGTGCCCATGTTGTTGACTCTGAATGAAGGAGAAAGTCTTCGATACGAGCGGCATTCTCTTCGAATTCGCCTACTGACCCACAAAGCTTGTATGTAGCCATGGCCCAGAGATGGGTACAACGTTTACCTGTGATAGCAGTATAATTGCAGGTACAGAATTCTCGCTGGTTATCGGGCTGATGGCCGCAGTAGTGGGCTTTCTTCAGAGAAGATGACTTTGAGGACTGACTTGATGACACAACTGACCTAAACGCAGGTCTTGAAAGATACCTAGAGGAAGGATCTCGCCGAGGAGGATTGACCCGATACACAGTCCCCTGAAACTTATCTTGGTACTGAGTGGGTACAGCAGTGATCGGGCAAGGATGGATGCAGTCAGTCTCCCATCTATGAAGACCACCAAACAAGTGACGTTGAAGCTGGGGGTCGGCCCTGGAGTCTCGTTGAGGGACATGCTCGTAAAAGGGAAAGTAGGCAGTAATCAGGATGGCTAAGAGTCGATCGAGTCTGTCACGTTAGAAGACTCGAATCCTTATGAACAGAACCCACCTCTTATTGGACCTACAGCCTAGAAAAACTCGATCAAATGTTCTGAAAGATGCTTCGGAGTAATTATTGGTGGACCACGGGCCGTCGCGGGTGACTTGATATGGCATGCCATAGTCAACAACAAAATCTCTCCATCTGTGGCTGAACCACTCCTTCTGTAGATAGGCGTCTAACTGTGACCAACATGCTGTCGATCCCGTGATACCGTTCACTTGGTCCTCAAGTGCCTCGTAATACTGGTCCCATTTCTTTTCGTCTGGACAACGTTGACATCTTCGAATGGCATTGAGGATCTGAGCGCACTTGCGCTTTCCCTCGTCCGATCGACCCACAATCGACCTGATTCTTGAGCGACAAGCCCGCATCATGTGAAATTGACATCCACGAAGAGGAACTCCTGGGTAGACTTTGCGCAGACTTGTACGCTCTGCTTCACATCCGTCAATCATGACAAAGCGTGGGCAAAGTCCGTCTTCCGCAACCGCCACACAGGCTCTCCGTAGATCTTCAGCAGGAATATCACTATGCTCAACGACATATGTCCCATCCAAAACGTCTTGAGCCGTTTGGCGTACTGCTTTGTTGAATTCAGTCAACATGAAGGAGTAAGCCTCCTCATCAGCATGATTGGATATCATGGCAGCCACTGTGGAAGTCAACTACAATTCACTTTTCGGAGTAGTGACATACAAGGGATCATCCGGTGATACTGATTGATGGTCACTAGGAAGCTCAGTGGACACCGGAAGGCATTCTTGTTCCTCCAAGAAGAGTCAAGATACATTCCCATGCGATGCACTTGTAAGATGGCGCAGATTTGAGCAAAACGAGGGGCAATGACACATTCAAACCGCGCACTACCTGCCACCCGCTTGGTAAGCTTGGTAGACTTGTCTCCAAGTATATTAGGGAATTTGGATCTTTAAGTCAGTCAGGAACTGACATTGTGAAAAAAACTGAACCAACGCTAAGATAGCTTGAGGATGTCTTTCTGCAAGAATTTCAAGAGCAACTAATGGGCTGCGATCGATCCTTGCAGTAGCCGTGGCAGTCTCTATAGCCGTCTTATAGTCCCGTGGAGTTGGTAGTCGGTGAGAGCAGCGATCGGCAAGCCATTGTGCATGTTCATCCATGGCAAGGACATTCTGAGCGTACCCTACACACATCAAAAACCGACTTCAAGAAAACAGGAGGAACATACAAGCAGTGAGACGAGTGGTGGTCATTCCAAATCCCATCGCAGCTTCATGGAGCAAGCGTCGAAGATATGGCGATACCCGTAGCTCGGTCAAAGACTTTGCGGGAGGATGCCATTCTGGACTTTTCATGATGACGGTACATCTTTGGGTGACAGACTGGGCTGCGGTCATTTGAACCTATGTCAGATCAGCGATTATATTCCTGTATTCCGTGGACTCACCACGAGAATAGCCTTGCAATCGTGAGGTTTAGGACGTTTGGGAGTAGTAGACTTTTTGGACACTTTGGGGATGGTATTGCCATTCTTAACTGCTAGATCATGTTCACTGTCCTCGTCCTCGTGTTCCCCTTCCTTCCCATCATTGGCTGTCTGTTGGTCTTGCTCCGCAACGTCACCTTGATAGGCCGATCGACCTTTTGTGCGGGCTTTGTGGCCCGATTGAGCTCTCGAGGGGTTTTCTGTGTCCGACTGACCTTTTGGGCGGGCTTTGTGGTCCGATCGACCTTGTGGGCGGACTTTGTGGTCCGGGCGAGCTCTAGAGGGGTGTGGTCCGTGCGATTGACCATTCGAGTGATGACGGTTGTCCGATCGACGATCTTCATTGCTCGATTGACCTTGTGTCTGTCTTTCCTGGTCCGAGTGACCGTCGGAGTGGTCTCCGTTGTCTAACTGATCTCTCAAGTAGTGTTCATGCTCCGATTGACCTTCCTGGTAGACCCCACGGCCCGATCGACCTTCCGAATAACCTTCATTGTCCAATCGACCCTCCGAGGACGCGTCGTTGTCCGATCGACCTATTATGTGACTCTGGCGGTCCGATTGCCAATCTGTATCATCTTGCTGACCTGACCGAGCTTCCGAGCGATTTGCGTGGGCCGATTGTTCAACGTTACCGTGAAGTTGACCCGATTGGCCTTCCACTAAACCTTTCTCAACCGATTGACTCGCCGTGTTGATCCTTTTGGGTAGAACAACCACTTTGGCACCTTTGTCATTCTGATCATTCTGCTGATCTTCGTCATCTTCATCAAGATCATGATCTTCATGATCTTCATCAAGATCATGATCTTCATCATCTTCATCATCTTCATCATCTTCATCATCTTCATCATCTTCATCGTCTTCATCGTCCTCGTCATCCTCATCGTCTTCGTCATCTTTATCGTGTTTGTCGTCGTAATGTTTGTCATCTTCGTCATTGTGTTCATCGTCATCATCTTGGTCACGTTCCCGATCTTTGTGGTGCTGATGAGACCGTTGGTCTTCATGATCTTCCTGATCTTCATGGTCTTCGTGATCATCAGCATCTTCGCCATCTTCGTGATCTTCTTCCTCTTCGTCCTCTTCGTTGTTCTCCTCCTCTTCGTCCTCTTCGATGTTTTCGTCCTGTTCCTCTTTGTCATCTTCGTCACCTTCGTGATTGTTGTCATCTTTGTCCTTTTCATCGTCTTCCTCCTCTTCCTCCTCTTCCTCCTCTTCCTCCTCTTCCTCCTCTTCCTCCTCTTCCTCCTCTTCCTCCTCTTCCTCCTCTTCCTCCTCTTCCTCCTCTTCCTCCTCTTCCTCCTCTTCCTCCTCTTCCTCCTCTTCCTCCTCTTCCTCCTCTTCTTCTCCTTCCTCCTCTTCCTCCTCCTCTTCCACCTCCTCTTCATCCTCATTGTCCTGCACAACCCTGACGTCCCTCTCGTCCTGATCACTGTGGACCCCCGGCTCGGGTTTGATGTTGACTTCAGCCATTCCCCCCTTCAACTTGCGGAACTTGATGTGCATATTCACCGTTGTCTGCTTTGGTGATACAGCAGATCTGGTTGAGTGACTGGTGAGAGATGTGTGTTGAGCTACGCGGATGGGGGAATCGGAAGCCTGGACTGGCTGGACCTTCGATCGTTTCTTGGTACCTTGAACAACAGCACTTGCTCGTTTCTTTGAAACACGTTTGGCAAACTCAAATAGTTGGACTCCCAATGAGTCCTTGTTTGCGAGAGGGGGGGCCGATTGTGTGACAGGCTTGTCAACAACGGTCTGGCATGCTCCGTTACAAGAGTAGGTGACCCGCCAGATCACCCGATCGGCTGAATGGCGAACCACGTCTTTGGGGACACTGACGGTGCATCGACGAGCACGAATGTCGTTGGGATATAGACCGGTACCGTCAAGCCACTCGATAGAGGCCTCCTTGTATAACGAATGCCTCTCAATATTGTAATCGTGAGGCTACGACATGAACATCCAAGCCAAGACTACAAATAATGAGAAAGACGTACCTGAGATTCAAAAAAGCGCATGAGATCCTTGGCCATGACTTCCGTGCGAGTATATCCTTCTCCCGAGCTGAGATCCACCTTCATGGAACGCAGGAACTCCTTTGTGATTCGGACACCAGGTGTCACACAGGGTGTGGGCAAAGCCTGAGGATGATATGGCAACTCATCCTCATCCTCATCGCTGGAAAAGTCTCCCAGGTCTCCCACAATCCGATGATCAGGTCGGTCATGAAAGTGATCAACCCACTTCTCATAATGAGGATCTGAGGAAGGTAGGGACGACGAAGGCAAAGATGAAGACGGTAAAGATGACGAAGGCATAGATGACGACGGTAATGATGACGATGGTAAAGAGGACGGCGGCAAGGACGATGGCAGTTTGCCAGTGTCTGGGTCCAATCGAGCTCGCTTGACAGACGGGAGGTTGGTGGAATCCATCAAGGATCCATGAGGTCGTTTTGGGACTTTGGAAGGTGTGATGGGATCGGAGTTAGTGTTGGAACGTATACGGTTGGACCTTCGATTTGGTTGGATATGCCGACTGGCCTCAGCAGAGGCGTCCAGAGTCCCATTTTGGGGAGTTGATTGAGATTCACCTTGGGACAATGACGAGTTTTCCTGGAAGGTGACTGATCGTGACGGGTTCTTGACTGACACACGGGGAGGTCTTCCCCTCCTGCTTGGAGTGGTGAGACGGTTGACAAGACCAGCTGGAACGACTCCGATCGGCGGAGTACGAGGCTGGTGGTCAGACATTGTGAGACAAAGATTCTGATGATGGTAGAGAGTGAAAAGGTGAATACGTACATTACTCTGGGGTTACTACTACTGATGGTCCGTGTGATTAAGTTCATAGATAGGACAATGACAATGATGTTAAATTATCAAACGGATCAAAACCGGGTAAGGGGTCACCGAGGTACCAATTGTCAGTCTCGCTATGTCAGGCTGGGTCCCGATTACCGCATTAACTCCGAGATAGCTTCAATCGGATCCGTGGTGCTGCTCACGATTGAACGATTCCAGCATTCGATCAATGTGAAAATTGGGATCCTATATTTTAACATTGTCATAAGACCAATAAGAGTGTCAAATTACCAATCGGGACGCTTTCATGAGTTAAGAGGGGATTCCGGACGGTTATGAAGGGAAACCGGACAACCAAGTCGGAAACCAGCCAGCTAAACCGGAATCCGGGTAACAAAGGGGGTTACCGGACACCCAGTATGGGAAAAATCCGACCGCAAAAATTAGCTCGGGTAAAAAGCCAGCCAACACGGGAAAAAATAGACACGCGTACTCTCTCCATTTGGTGTCGAAAGTTCGGGTCAGTGACATCTGCCACTTACATACTATTTCTTGATGGCGCGTTTGCAGACTCCGGCTTCGGGCACCACCCTAAAAGGCTACGGGCACCACCTGCCACAAACCCTGAGTTCAGGCACGTACCACCGGCGTTACTGAAACGCCGACCACGCGACGGACATGAACTCGCCACTGATCGGGGTTTCAGTAACCCCGCGATCTCTTATTGCTCACTCTTCTCTTACATCGTCAATGTCATTATTAGCTATACCATGTCATTTCCGGCCATTGTCCATGCATTTTCCATATCTATCAATGTCCAGGAGGATAATATGAGCCATAGGGATGTCTAGAAGACCCCTGGGATGGATAGGGAGGCCAATATTGAGAGGGAAGAGGAGGGAGAGTAGGTGGAAGAGGGGGGGGTGGTAGGTACCTCTCCTCAGGAGGATAAATGTCGAAAAATGGGGGTACCTGTTCATTAGAGACCCCCCATCGGATACAGCCGAAAATGCAGTATTAGAGACTCACATTCGGTTGATATTGGCCATTTCCTGGTGTCTCCTGGACCAATCAGCTTGCAGGAAACTTTTAGAAGTAAGAGACTAAGAGAAGAGTGAAAATTTTCGAGATCGTGAGGCCATTATAGAGAGAGACAGAGCAATATAGTCAGAGACAGAGCAATATAGCCAGGAATGACTGCAGGACAGAGAGGGGGAGAAGGAGGGAAGGACAAATGTGATTATCATATGAGAAACCCACCGAATAACCTGTCCTAGTGATCATTTCTCCTGTCCTCACCATCCTGTCCTCTGTCCTCACTACTACAGGCTGATTTTCCTTCTCCCTTTTATCTCTGTCCTCAATACTCTTAGCCAGGCCCAGAACCGTCTCCTGAAGACTCGCGATCTTCTTCTCAAGAGCAGAATTAGTTCCCATTACTGATCCCTCTGTCCAGGTCGTTTCTCCAGCATCATACGCCTTTACCTCGCGATCATAGGCCTCAGGATCCCTCTCTCGATGTTCATTAGCCCTTTTACACTTCTTAGGACCATGACTTCTTGAACCACACAGGGGACAGGGACGATTTGCCTTCTTCTTGGTACCTAGGAATTTCTCAGACTGAGTGTGTAATCGACCGGTATGAGAGACATCATTAGACAGTTGAGAAGGGTTCGATTTTACACCCCTTTTAGGCGAAGGAGGAAGAGTAGGAGAAGGAGGTAAAAAGTAGGGGTTTTCGACAGGTAACAGGTCGTCATTATCGTCATTCGTTAAGTCGATCTGAGTCGAAGAAGGGATCTGAGAGTTCTTTTTAGCTAACGCCAACCGATTTCTTCGAAGGTGGGGGTCGCGAATTCTGTTGGTGTCATTATCCACCTCCCACTGAGGCCCTAGTAGTTGATGAACACCAGTAACCCCACCATTAACCTTCGTGGTGGCCTGTTCGATCGTTTCTGGCCAGGTGTAGGGGTTGAGAAGACGCCATTGACGATGGAGAGGAGACAGAGCAATGGTACCATCATTTTCAAGTACTTCAGCTATGTCCTTAGCAGAAGGGAGGCCTCTTGAAGTCGAATACATGTTGCTCTCGTCATCATTATCGACATTGCCGCTGGTTGCTTTGGCATATTGCTTCTCCATGATGGATATTGACCATTTTGAGACACGATTTTTGACAGAGGAGAAGATAGGACTAAGGTTGGCCGTCTGAATGAGTCTATCAAGAGCCATTTGGTGTATGATCTCTTTACACTGGTCGTCGAAGAACTCGCGAATCATCTGCAGTAACGCATACATGTCGCTGTAAGAGTTGGGGAGACGTTTCTTGAAAGAAGCATGACTACCTTCTAGGCGAGAATTTGATGTTTGTCCAAGATGAGTGTGTTTATCGATAAAAGCAGAGACGAAGTGTGTCTTGTGTTCATCCACCAATTGTCTCACATAAGCCTTCGCACCATCCAAATTTTCATGTCCCCACCGAGCCTGCATTGATGACAGAGCTTTATCTAATGACTCTTCAGACTTTGCTTGACAGATATCCACCATGAAATAATCACCAAACTCAGATAACTTCTTAACCCACTGCTCTTTAGGATAAAGGGACTGAAAATATTTTCGACAGTTCACCTTGATGTTTTCGCGAATGTGCCATCGACAGTAATTCAGGTGGACATGAGGTAGGTGGATAGACAGAGCATTGTGTAATGCGATTTCACGATCACAGACGATAACTTTGATATCATTGTTGATAGGACCAATGAGTTGGAGATAGGCTTCGATGGCAAGGGAGTACCATTCGGTCACTTCTCGACTGAGAAAAGCAACAGCAGAAGTGTAGTTCTGGTTGGTGGCTGTAAAACCGCCGATGTGAAGCATTGGAAGACGATATCGATTCGTTCGGTAGGTACAATCCATAAAAAGAACGGTTGGGTACGAATGAGTCATGGCTCTGGCCGACGAGGTGGTAAAGACGAGTCCACAAAGTTCTTTTTTACTGTTGGTGAACGCTTTAAAAAGATTGTTGTTGTCGGTGAGACGTCTGATTGCTGCCTCGGTAGCAGAGAGGCCTTGTCGAAGTTCCTTTTCATGACGATATCGAATGTTCTTGATATCTCGGGAGTTTAATGACACTTTTTCACCAAAACGTGCTTGGACAGCAGCGACAATACCACGAAGAGTGTGATTACTGGCCAGGAGTTCTTTGATGAATTGGAATACCTCTGGAGTACGACTGACTTGACGAATAAAACCAAAATGGAGAAGAGGAATAGGTTCATGGTTATGAGAGTTGTTAATGATGGAGGGGATCCACAGGGGTTCACGATTTTGAGCGATCTTCTTAGTCTCTCTTCGCCAGATGATAGAGAAGGGACAGCCAGCTTGTTTGGTAGTTCGAGAGCGTTTTCTAACATGTTCAAAATCGTCAGATCTATGTGATCTACCATCCCCTCCAAGAGCACATTGAAGTTCGAGTTTTCCCTTGTCTTTGTTGCTGCGAAGAGTGACGATACAGACAGTATGTGTCATGGCTACTTGTTGGGTATGAAGTCGAGCAGCTAACATGGTTGGTTGAGGTTCAAGATCGAAGGGGGGGTGGATGTGGTGAGCCACACGATCGAAGCCAATTGGTTCGCGAACATCGAGCTCTAAATTTGCCAGCAGGTTATCGAGTTCATCATCATCGTAGTCGTGGTCACGAGGTTGCTGAGTCTCTGGTATGATAGAAGGAGATCGAGAGTGATGAGGACTGAATTTTATAGAAGGGGACCGAGAAAAACGATCCAGAATTGGTGATGACGGTGGCGACGATGGAATAAGAATCGGTGATGACATCTGATTCGTCAGGATGATCACTTCATGCAGTAAAATTAATACTCACTCGTAGCCCAAGACCAGCAGAATACATGTCGACAAGTTAGAACCCGGGGGGTGGTGTTGTTGAAGAATTAAAAAAGTCTTTGGTCGAGATGTCGGCGGCAAAATTTTTTCGAGGAGTTCGGTGGCAAGGATGATGATGTTGAGTAGGCCTATTGAAGTCAGCATTTCACTTCTGATAGTAAAACAACTACTCACAGCTCAGGACGAACAGGAGAACAGTGTCGAGTTGTTGAGAAAGGCTGAAGATGTCTTGTTGAAGAGTAAAAAAAGTTTTTCTCGCGAATGGTGAAGTGGCGAGGATGATGATGATGAGAGGGTCTATCAAAGTCAGATTTTCACTTCTGATAATAAAACAAGTACTCACAGACTCGCACAGAGCAGGTGAACAGCGTCGAGAAGATGAGAGAGTACCACGATTCGAGTTGTTGAGAAAGGCTGAAGATGTCTTGTTGAAGAGTAAAAAAAGTTTTTCTCGCGAATGGTGAAGTGGCGAGGATGATGATGATGAGAGGGTCTATCAAAGTCAGATTTTCACTTCTGATAATAAAACAAGTACTCACAGACTCGCACAGAGCAGGTGAACAGCGTCGAGAAGATGAGAGAGTACCACGATTGCTCTGTAAGAAGTTATAGCAATTTGATGGGTGGTAGTCAGGAGGGCGCAGGTTGAGAAGGCGAAGGGCCAGAAGTGGGTGAAAAGTAGTCGTAAAAGAGTGAGAAGAGTATCAAAATGATCCTTGAGACGAGTAGAGACAGTGTGTGTGAAAAAGAGCGTGAGTTTACTAGTATAATGACGAGAAAGAGATTAGTGGTGGTGAGGACAGGTTGGTAGGTAGCGAGCAGACATGTCGCGTCGTTGTGGTGGAGTTCGGCGTTACTGAAACCCCGATCAGTGGCGAGTTCATGTCCGTCGCGTGGTCGGCGTTTCAGTAACGCCGGTGGTACGTGCCTGAACTCAGGGTTTGTGGCAGGTGGTGCCCGTAGCCTTTTAGGGTGGTGCCCGAAGCCGGAGTCCGTTTGCAGACGATGCATGCTTGAAAGTGGCAGTTGAAAGTGGCACTCAAGGCACTCGGAAGTCTCATCCCGTATCCTCCGGGAACACTACCCGTCTCATTCGGATCTTGGATCGAGCAGCTAGCAGCTGATACGTCCATGCACCACAGTTGCACCCACTGGGTCAAAAGTAAAAGTTGGTTCAAATGAAGATTTTTTGTTCATCGTCTTCACTACTACTGGGTGCATCATAAACGTCTCAACAAAAGTAAAATCGTCAAAATGTCACTTCCTACCACTCAAAAGAAATATACTCTCGAATCCGCCGCTACACCCGAACGACCCAAAGCTTTCAAGATAACCTATCACTCCTCTGCTCCTTTTCCCACTCTCCCCACTCCTACATCAGTTCTCGTAAACGTCAAAGCCCTCGCCCTATCAGCTAGAGACTTACAAATCGTCAAAGGTGAATACCCCGCCCCACATGCAGTTCATCCAGGTACCGTCCCAGTCGGTTCTGGTGCTGGAGAGATCGTCGCCGTCGGTCCCGAAGTCAAAGGGTACACAGTCGGAGATCGTGTGATATTGATGGGTATGCCAGGACATCATTTCCAACCTGATCTACCACAAAGCTCTTTGGAACGTTCCAGGGGTGGTGGGACCGACGGAACAGCTCAGGAATATATTCCGATGGAATATGAAGATCTTCTCCTCGCTCCTTCCCATTTAGACTGGATAGAATTAGCGGGATTGTGTGGATCTTCTGTAACTTCTTGGGTCCATCTATGGGGTCATCAACCTTTGTTACCCGGATCGACGGTGTTGTGTCTAGGCACTGGAGGAGTATCAATGTACGCAGCTCAATTCGCTTTGGTATCCGGAAGTAGCGTCATTATCACCTCTTCCTCCGATGAAAAGTTGGCCAAAGTGAAGAAGATCTTGGAAAAGCTTTTGATTCCCGGATCTAGCAAGGATGCCATCAGGACGATCAATTATAACACGACCCCAGAATGGGATGTGGAAGTGAGGAAAATGACAGGGGGAAGAGGTGTAGACAATGTTATAGAGGTTGGTGGTTGGGGAACTTGCGCGAAAAGTGTCAGATCGGTTAGAAAAGGTGGAATTGTGGGAGTTTCAGGGTATTTGAGTACTTACCATGAAGTACCAATGGAACTCAAGATGGAAGGTGAGTTTCCTTCACTTCATCTTCCTTCTCCTCCTCTTTTTGTTTCCCCTTCTTCTTTCTCCACCCTATTCCACATGCATGTCGTGCATAGCTTTACCTCCGTCACGTTTGCACTACGGATGTGTCGCATATACTGTGATGGGCCAATCATCCCGGTCGTAACAGTTGGTGCTTTTTTGCCCGTATCATCGCTCATACGCAGATCTGAGCAAACTTATCCTCTATTCTGCTGCCAACGTCCGCGGCATATTTGTCGGTAACAGAACTCAAGCCGAGCAAATGTTGCGTTTTGTGGATCGTGCCGGTCTTCGTCCTGTAGTAAGCGAGGTGAGCTATCATATCTGTCGTTCCCCCACCCTTTCTCCCTTCGGACTCGCTCATCTTCTGACAAGACGATCTGAGACAGACACGTTAGTTCGGATCGTACGAAACCCGCCGAAGATCCTCTTCTGATGCGGGAGCACAGCTGATATTCAGGTGTATGAATTTGCGGATCTACCCAAAGCTTATGAAGCGATGGAAAAGGCTTCTCACATTGGTAAGGTAGTTGTGCGCGTGTCTGCTTGATTCCGTTTAGATTAGGCTACAGTCAAAATTACCCGGTGGATGATCACATGGATGGATAGGATATCATGATGCCACTGAGTGATGAAGATGATTAGACTTTGGATACACAGAACATGCATCTTTGGGAAAGACAGAAGGCAATAAAGACTAGGTTAATCGACTCGTGAGAGGCGATGGAAAGCGGGCGTTTAACTTCCGTATGACGACTCATCACGCAATCGCCACTCTAAAAATTTTCCACCCTACAACTAAGGTATCATCCTCTCATTCATCGTTCTCACCATTCTTACATCTCCCCTCGTCACCATCAACTGTCTCCTCACTACTCGTTGACAGCAGTGAGTCAAATCTATCCACTTCACTCGTTTAGCTGATTCAGCTATAGCGTCCGGCCGCCACCAACACACCCTTTCCAAGCCCTCAACTCAGCCATTTCTTGGACACAGTCCGGCTGCAGGCTCAAAATCCTCCAATCCCAATATTGGCTACATACTCAGCACGTCTCGTGAGTCAGTTGTCAGCTCTGTTTGTGTCTCTTTTCTTCATCCCATCACTGCTCCATCTTACTCCGTATCTCAATGTCGTGACTCTCAATCTTCTAACATCTCACCCCTATTTTCCCTTGCTCCCATGTGCGTCTAGATAGGGGGAAATGCTGCCATTTTTTTTTCGGAAGGAGACTGTGCTAACTTGAACTCAGACAATGGAGAATATTCGTCAGTCCTCTTTCACCAATCACACTGTCCCATTCTCATGAGGAATACTGCATCAAGATAGGGGGAAATGCTGCCAAAATTTTTCTTACGACGTAGTTGCTGACAACATCTTTAGGAGAGAACCAACCTCCAAAGAAGAAACCCGGAAATCCTGGCTTCAAGAGAGACTATTATGATTCAAAACGAATTGAGCCGGGTGAGTGTACCAATTGCTGTGGACATTGCTGAGCTTAGACACATTCTATCCCGATTCTCCGTATTCTTTACAAGAGTATTTTGATAGACGACGAGCAATACATAACCCGCGGCCACTCAACAATTCCCAGGACACTTTTGATGAGTTGTTGAGGAAGGAGGACATAAACCTTGCTCCTCCTACCCTTATTCCGGCCTCTAAGGTGAGTTTCCCATTGTCACACACGGTCATCCTAACCTCAGTTTCCCTTTGCTATCCCGTGCAGTTTGGATGACGCCGGTATACCAAATGGAAGGCCTAAGTTTTGGCTCATGGCTTTTAATCTCAATCTTTCCCGAGACAATCACGACATTATGGAGGCCTGGGACATTATTGAAAAAGTAAGTTGTTCAGACACCATATTATTTCACGTCTAAATGAAAGTCCGGGCTTGTTGGCTCCTGCAAGTCATCCGACTCAAGATCAAAAAGAAAAGAGCGACCCTTTCACCCTGGTGTCTGGTTCCCCTCCAACTGTAGGAAAGATCATACCTATCCTTTTCTTTCAAAAGATGCTAGATCCTCCGAAACCCAACAATTCATGACGGTCTTTGATAGGATTGCAGGAGGAGGTACACTCAAGAAACCCAACAATTCATGACGGTCTTTGATAGGATTGCAGGAGGAGGTACACTCAAGAATCTACGGAAATTCGACCCTGTTACGTCTAAAAAAATGTCCCAGTCAGTTTTCTTTTCTTCTTGATGAAACTTGTACTGATGATTGAGAGCCCACTTTTTTGTACATCACCTAGCCAACCACATGGAGCACCAAACTAGTGTGGGATCTGCTCCCTTGCGTCTTGGCCAAGTTGGATCCTCCCTTGCAATCAACAAGGGACAATCTGAGGAGTGGCATTTTGATCGTAATGATGATGATAGTACGTATTCTATCATCTCAGTCTTTGGCTCAGGAGGATGGACTTCTTCGGCAGAGAATCGTCAGGGATGGCTTGTTCTGCCTCAGCTCAATATAGAAGTTGAAATGCCAATTGGTAAGTCTCCACTTCACTGTCATCAAACATCTAACGTGAAAGGCTCCGTCGTCTTTTTCCAAGGATCACATCTTTTACATTATGTGAGAGAACTTGATGAAGAAGATGCGGACAGAAGGTTAGTTGTCACTGCCTTTGCCTGTAGTGAGATGTCCAAGTATTACGAGAAACACAAACATGAGATCAAATCAACACAAGTAGTAAACTAGTGGAAAAGTGATGCATATTCATTCCTGTCAAACCTATCAGATCACACTGTTGATCATGCGCAACCAAAAGCAGCTTTATACACACCAAATGGGGTGCTTCTCAAACAAGTGTGGGAGAATCAGCACCATGATCAATCATCACATCTCTGTAGATTGAGACCGCCGCCTCCTCCTCCTTGTCACAACCAATCTCAACAGCACATTCCATTGTCGTGGATTTCACCTTGATATTTCCTGTTTGCTATCCTTACATTCATCAATCAGCATACATGACCGACTCACATCAGGTACGTTACTTGCTTAGATGTGCTTGTGCTTATATTCAACAACAAATGAAAATGAAACAGTTCAATCAGCTCATGCATGGAACGGCAACTTTCTACGTCTCTCTTCATCCTGCTGAGCCATCCGTCGAGTCGCTCCTTGACCTGTGACAGTACCACGCCCTTCCACTCTCTGGCATGGAAACCCTGGACGAAAAGCAAGACCTTGGAGTGTTTTGACTCGCGAAACAGCCACAAATGTCAATCCAGAGGCAAACTCTCTAGCACCCAGGTCAATACAAGCCCTAGAGAGAGTCATCCCCTGCGACTTGTGGATTGTAATCGCATATGCTACTTGAAGGGGGAATTGTGTACGAGAGCAGTGGGTACCTGTAGGGCCTTCCCACGTCACGGTGACCGGAACTATAGGGACCAGTGGAACTCCTTCCTCGTCATACCACTTGGCTGGTCCAGTATAAGAAGGGACTGCAACCATGACTACTTCAGGCTGTCCAAGCCCGGCCTCATTGTCTTCCGCCATTCCAATGGAATGGATAGTGCCGCATGTTCCGTTGGTCAATCCTTGAGCCGTCCAAATATTCCTTGTAAGCATCACTTTTGCCCCCACCATAAGATACACCACCTTCACCAAGCCCTCTGCTTTCTCCTCTGTTGCTTTGGCTGCAAACACTCCTCCTACATGTCGAGCAGGAACTCGAAGTACAGGCTTATGCGATGCTAACAACTTCTCCACATTGATTTCATTCACTCGAGCCCTCTCAGAGCAGAGATGAGTTGTATCCCTAAACTCTTTTTGCTCTGTTGCACTGAGTCGGTCCCAGAAACGAGATGACAACAACTGATAGTCTTCAGAACCGTTGTCCCCATTCCGCAACCTTGATAATGTCTGTTTAAACCGTTCAGTCTCCATATCAATTCCTGCCTGCCGCATCACTTGTCCTAACTCAATATTTTCCTTAAAGCTCCTCCAAATCTCCAGGCCCTTGTTCTGCAATAATGATGATGCTGAATTGCCCTCACGCCGGACATTTACAAAGAGTGGAGTGTCGCCCACAGGGGGAAGTTGTCCAAAGTCTCCAATCAGAAGCACACTTAGCCCTCCAAATGGGAGATGGGAGGTTGAAGGAAATATAAGGGTGAGCTGTGTGTGAATGCGACCCAAGGCCTTCCTGCCAATCATGCTTTTCTCATCAATGATAAGATAATGTACTGCTTTCCATTCCTCTTGTAGGGTTGCAAGTCGAGTTGCAGAGAGTGTAGACGGTCTTGATTTGTCATCGGCAGGGAGTCCTAAGGCTGAATGATATGTTTGGCCAGCGATGTTGAAGGCCGCTACACCAGTGGGTGCAAGACGTCTGACAACAGGATGCGGGAAGAGGCTGAATAAAGATTGTGAAATGGCATCAATGAGGAATGACTTTCCGGTCCCCGCTGTCCCATCAATGTTGAGTAAGAAAGGAGCTTTTGGATTTCCATCAAGGTGGGTTTGAGCATGAGCAAGCACTTTGGAGTGGATTCGAAATTGTTCAGGATTGAGGAGGGAAATGTCCACAAGTGGTCGGGATATTTGTATGTTTGACTAGTGTGTCAGCAATATTTACAAACAAGACTTTAACGTACAGTCTTCTTCCATTCAGTCAATGCACCAACTCGCTCTACTAACCCCTCCACCCCCCAGTTTTTTGCTGTCTCATGCCAATCCTGCTGAACATCAATATCTCTTCGTCCTAGCCGATGAGCCACATCATAGTCCACGTCTCTTCTACCTCCCTCTTGACACATGAGCTGCCAATCCTGGAACTCCTGTTCTTCCTCTCCCTCACCTTCTGATGAAGAGTCGCTTTCCAAGCCCAACTGATCTGACCGCTGTCGACAATGTGAAGGTAAAGTATCTTCATGTCCATCTGGATGGATTTCTAAACATCGCTGATAGGCTTGTTCCCAAGTTTCATCCTCCGATTTAAGATCGGCTTTCTCTCGGTGATGGTGGTGAAGAGTAAGTTTAGCTCGGCACCAGTGACCATACTCCTCTGGATCCTCTATGGATGGACGGTAGGGTGGCCATAAACGAATAATCCGGTCATTGCTTGGTCGATAAACAATAGTCCCTCTTTTCTTCTCATAACGTTTGAACCAAGTGTATAGGTTGATTTCTTCAAACTCCATATCTCGTTGTAAGTAATGATCATACCAATCCTTGTCCTCCACTTCATCTTCGGTCTCCTGACCTCTCAACCGCCGCGCCCGGTGGGGCAAAAGACAAAGAGTTCGAAAACTTCGAGATGCAGACATCATGTTGCAATCAAGCAAGCTATGACACACTTCCTGTGCACTATAATCTCGTTCAGTAATGACTTTACTGAGCATCTTTTGAAAAACAACTCGGCTTGGGGTATCTTCTTCCACTTGTTGGCATATTGTTTGCATTATATCAGGAAATGTATGACTTGGCTTCTCGGCTTTTGATGCATATTTGGCGATATAGGTGACAACTGCATGTGGGTCGGTGCATGGCTGAATGTCAATGTTGGCTTGCCATCCGAGGACAAAGACAGGATTATAGACGTTGAGTAGGGTGTCGTTTCTTTGGAGAAATAGTTCTAGGTTGCCCTTTTCATTGAGGGAGAGAGCTGGGAGGCTGCAGACGTCCCGGGGGAAGCGAAATCGGCAAATTGGGTCTACATTTGGAGCACTTCCTTTTGGACGCTTGAGACAGTAATTTGAACATCGGGTGTGACGCTGAATACGATTTAGATGTTCAGCTAGACTCTGTTGATCATAGCTCTGCTGAGAATGTGGTCGGGAAGAGGGGTGACGGGAAGCTGGAGGAAGGTCTAAGCCAGGATTGATTGCCCAGACCTTTGTTTTCCAGAATTCAATGAAGTGTTGTTGAATATCATCTCCACCCGCTTTGAGGACTTCTAGATCCGGACCATTTTTCAGCCAGAGCAGGCCATGCACATGACCTGAGCCCCTACTTTGCCATTCAAAACGTAACCAGAAATCTTGGACATCAAGCAGCGGGGTGACAACATGGTGGAGGAAGAGTACTGCTCGCCTTTGGATCCACCATGCCACCAGAGCCGGATTCTCATTTACATTGCGGCTGTTGGTTTTTTGCCTTTGAGCCTCGGTGTCTTGTGAGGATGGTACGTTGGACATGTGGGAATGAAGATCAGACCACTGGATGTCGGCAGCGGAAAGCGTGATGAAGGTATGAGGTGTCCCAAGCTGTCGAATCATACTATTGAGTTCTTTACTGCGAGCAGACCAATATGGTGGGGTTCCTTGCAGTGATGCAGCGACCTTTCGTACACGTTTCGCCAGGTTTACTGAGTCGGTCTGTAGTAGTTCTAGTATGTCTTCGGCGGTGAGGGCTTGGTCATCTTTGTTTCGGCTGATGTAATAATTTGACATTCGACGGGCCTGCCAACGCATGAGAGAATTGAAGGCATAATATCTGCTTGATCAATTACTGAAAGCCATACTCATGAAGGACTCACCGGAACCGAGGGTGCCGTGCAAACCTTCCATCATCATACTTCATCAGGTGTTTGAAGTAGTCTGATGCTGAGACACTAAGATTTCTTGGGGCATGCAGATCTGCTAGACCCTGGGGGAAAAGGAATGGGAAGGCTTGAATCATATATTGATTGCCCTGGTCGTGTTCGTAGAGAGGTGTATTGCGGAGAGGAGGGGCTGTGAGAGCAGCAGGATGAGGTAGTGCCGCAATGTCTTCCATATGTTCCCTTGTGATTTCCATCTCTGTCCGACCCTCTCCCACATTTGGGACCATAGCCTCAAGTACAATGTCCTCTGCTCCCTCATTGTTGACCTCTGGTATATGTGATTCTGAAAGGCTTGTGATAGTATCTACTGTGGTTGATTGAAGGTCATCAAATACAGAGCCTTGCTCCGGAAGTTGAGCTACAGCGTTGTAGTCAATTTCAATATCACGATATGCCGGATGAAAGTGACATAATGCTTGAAGATTTGCTAGAAGGCGTGCTCGATTGACTTGAAATTCAGGACGGGTAGCGAAATGTTCATTTTGATTTGCCGCATACTTTTGTTTGATAATGAGGACGTCAAGCTGTGATGGGAGAAGGGGGAGTTTAGTGACTAGTTTTTCGTTGTCCCGAGAGAAGAGGCATGTATGACCCGCGTACTTCATCTGACCTCGGTGTCACGGTCCTGTCCTTGACAGACCTCGATGGATCAAAGACAGGTGGACTGCAACTGTTTAGTTAGCTTGGACAACGACGGTTAGTATGTTGTCCGTAGACTTGTGATGTGGTCGGACGACTTTAATGACTTGCGAAGGATCCGGGCAGGTCGAGATGACGATAGAGGTGTATGTGATGGTGAGGGATGTATCGGATGTAAGTAGAATGTCAAGAGGTCTTTTGTGAGTGGCAAATAATATTTTGATCCTTGAAGAGAAGAAACTACAAAGTAGATAGGTCTAGTATTTATACTTTTTGAGGAAGTCCTGCTCTCCAATTAATGTCGCCTCAAATCGACCCATATCGACTTGTATCGACTTGTATCGACTCCTATCGACTCGTATCGACTCATATCGACCCATATCGACTCATATCGACTCATATCGACTCATATCGACTCATATCGACTCATATCGACTCATATCAACTCATATCAACTCAGATCGACTCGGATCGACTCGGATCGGTGGAGCTCAGGGTTTTGGGTCAGGACCCTGCACAGGCTGGGTCGTGACAGTACCTCCTCCTTAAGATGCTCGCTCCGTCGAGCATTCTAACTCCACTCCCATAATATCTTCCAAGATTCTCCGTTTTGCTAACTCCCTCTTTGTTGAGTCCTCACTGGATTTTATCGGCATCATGCCAAACAATTCAATGTTCTCCGAAGCTGAATGGAACCTGCTTACTTGGATGGCTACCGAAGCTCATCCTCAAGGACAGATGAACGCAGTTCTTGGCTTGGTGAGTTGCTTTTTGCTTCCTCTGATTTGGTACGCAATTGATGATAGATGGGAAATACTGTTAACCCCCGTGACCTTGGTGGTCTCCCTGTCAACGCTAACCAGATGGGTATCAACCCCATTCCGGCCAATGAAGTACCTCCCCCTGATGACTTGTTGTTGCCGACAAACAACATCCCCGTACTTAACGAACCTCCCAATGATCATCTCCCTGCTGATGGTGGAGAAGCACCCTTGATGGACGATGCTGAATGGGATAAGTGGCTTCATGATGAGGGGTTGGACGAGTTGTTTACACAGATGGAGGGAAATCCTGCCGATGGGCAGTCAGAGGTCAGTGGAATAAGTATCATTGCTCAAGCTGGATCCCCTGCGGGTGGTGTAGGTACAACCGATGGAAACCCCATCAACATCACCCCTCAAGAGTCTGTTCCTCTCGACGGGCCAATCCGTTCTTCACAGCAAACTCTCTCTCCCATCGTAAGTCTCCCTCTAATTCCCATGGAACTAGACTGATCAATTAGACTCTTGCGCGTTATGCCCGGGCTGAGGAGATTGCCAAATATGGGGTTATTCGAGCCATCAAGTGCAAGAATTGTTCCAGCGTGAAGGGTAAATGTCCTGATTGTATCCAATTCAAGCGCTTCAGCCCATGTCTACGCTGTACTCGAATGGGAAGGACTTGTAATTTGATTTACGAAAAGGGTGAAGAAGAACCGGTGGTGGAGATCAGGCGTAACCCCAAGCGTAAAGCAAGGGGTGATCCTAGGGTGAGTTTTCCTTTTGCTGAATTGTGTTGTATCGTGTTGACCAGGGAGTCCCCCGATATCCAGTACCTTGGTATGGCACAATCGTCGTTCACCATGGATCCTGGACCCTCTACAATCCCTGTTCCAATGAATCCCATGCCAGGTACTTCCTTGTCAGGATATGTGAGTCTCCTTTTTCCAATCCAGTTATACCGATGTCACTGATGTATTTAGGTTCCACCTTTTCCAACTTATCGTGCTCTCTCTGTCATGCAGATGTCCGAACATCTTGCCTTTCTCCATCAGTGGAATCAAGCGGCAACTGCTCATGAGGATCATGCTCGTCTTACACGATGGCAGATGATTGCTCAAGTGCAGAATATGATTGATGATGCTAAACGTGACAAAGAAGACGAAGAGGATGATGATGAGTAAATTTCTTGGAATGCGTCATATAAGCCAATAGGGCATCGTGCTTGGTAGTTATATGACAAGGATTGAGAAAAACACAATATTTGACAGAGAAAGTAATGCTTCATCAGGCAGAGGTTGTTCTATTATTGTGCCTATGAATTCTTTGACGTCTGATAGCATGTGATAGGTTGTTGTGGTGACCAAAGGGAAACCTCCTTTGGCTGATCAAAAGGTGAAAATTGGGTGGTGGAGCAAAAGCCCCTTGACCGGTGTTTACACGGAGCCTGGTGAACCTCCGGGTGGTCAGGCCTTTGTGCTTGAGGTATACCAACGAGGGGCTCACACGTGTAATCCACGTGTCACTCTGTCTCAGGGTTCCCAGTCAAAACACAAGCAGCATGGGCAGGTTTGAACCTTTGTTCTCCATGCACTGGAACTGACCACCTGACTCAAACCATTGAGCCAAGCAGAATATAGTGACACAGGGCTGTGCATCTTATATGGTTCTGCCCATGAGTTACTTTGTTGGGTGTCCTTTGTCAAAAGCTTGAATCAAATCAATGGCGTTTTGTAGATTTGATGGGGGTTCCCATGTTGTTTCATTGTACCCAAGCCATTTGACTAGGTACCGTATGGGTTCTTTGAAACGTTTGTCATACTTTCTGTCAAGGATGGCTTCTACTTCGTATTCCTCTTGTCCTTCAACCTCTATTGGTGGTGGTGGTTGTTGAACACGGTTAGGAATAGTGTTTTCTTGATATGGTTCCAGTAGTTGAACATGGAAGACATTATGAATACGCATTGATGCTGGTAAATCCAATTGATAGGCATGGGAAGATATTTTGGCTGTAATGGTGTATGGTCCAAGATATCGATGATCCAGTTTCTTAGTAGGCCGGGTTGTACGGACATTCTTGGCTGATAGCCATACCTTATCTCCAACTCTGTATTCAGGTAAGGGTAGACGTCCTGAATCAAATGCTTTTGCTGATGCTTCATTTGCTTTCTTAATCTCATTCTTGAGATAGTCATGTAGTGTTGATAGATCTGCAACATAAGTAGTTGCTATTGGTGCGTTGACTTGAGTATCTGATGGTACAAAGGTGGATTGGGGATCATACCCTTTGTTTGCAAAGAATGGTGACACTCCGGTGGAGGAATGTGGTGTATTGTTATATGCAAATTCTGCAAGAGGAAGAAGCTCCTCCCAGTTGTCTTGCTGATAGGATGTAAAGACTCTAAGATACTGTTCTAAGACTTGGTTGACACGTTCTGTCTGACCATCTGTTTCTGGATGAAAAGCCGTACTCATAGCAAGCTCAATACCCAATGATTCAGTGAATGCCCTCCAAAATCTGGAAGTAAACTCAGATCCTCTATCAGAGACTATACTCTGAGGAAGACCATGTTTCGAAAAGACATGACGCAGATAAAGCTTTGCTAATTCTTCTGCAGTGAGATTTGTAGTGGTAGGTATGTAGATTGCTTGTTTTGTAAGACGATCAACAATAACAAGAATCGAATTATAATTATTTGAAGATGGTAATTGTTCAATGAGATCCATGGAGACTGATGACCATGGATAGGGTGGAATAGGTAGTGACTTTAATTCTCCATAAGGTTGATGACGTTTTGACTTGGTACGTTGACAGATGTCACAAGTGTCCACATAATGGTTGACATAGGACCTCATACCTGGCCACCAGTAGTGGCGTTGGAGGAGTTGAACTGTTTTGCGTCTGCCAGGGTGTCCAGAAAGTAAGGAGTCATGGTGTTGTTTTGTAATCATAAGTCGAAGATTACCTGTAGATGGGACATAGTACTGATTACCGTGGAGCAGTAAATCATTTGTATCAAGTGTGAATGGATGTTGATCAGATGGATGTTTAGCTTTCTCAAGGAATTCCTTAGCTTCTACGTCTGTCTCCAAAGCAGTTCTGAATGTGGCAGTCATCTCCGAAGTGATGTCCATCACAGTTGCTGCTGCTAAGTACTGACCAGGTTTGAGAAGCTGTTGGAAGTTCTGAGGATTTGCTTCTGTTGTAAGGCTAGAGCCACGCTCCCTTGGGTGATAATCCCTTCTGCGAGTGAGAGCATCTGGCTTAGTCCCTTGTACTCCAGGTCTATAGATGATGTTGAAATTGAAATCCGCAAGGAACTCAGACCATCTTGCTTGGCGTCGATTGAGCTGCTTGGATGTAGTAAAATATTCTAATGAACGATGATCGGTAAAGATCTTGATTGGAAGTGAAGCTCCTTCAAGGTAATGTCTCCATTCCTTGAATGACGCTACTATTGCTAACATTTCCTTGTCATGGATCTCATAATTAAGCTCAGCTGGCAGCATCTTTCTTGACATGAAGGCTATAGGGTGAAGTCTTCCCTCTTCTTCGTGAGAAAGGATTCCAGCGATGGCATAATCAGAGGCATCGGTTTCAAGAATTAATTGTCGATTAGGGTTGTAATGACGCAGTAAGTCTGCAGAGGTAAAAGCATTCTTGAGAGTACTAAAAGCTTCTTGTTGAGATGGACCCCAAGTAAATGGTAGATCTTTCTTGGTGAGAGTTGTAAGAGGTGTTGTGATCTTGGAGTAATCTTTGATAAATCTTCGATAGAAGTTGCAAAATCCAAGGAAAGATCGAAGTTCGGTAAGAGTTGTTGGTGGTGGCCAGTCCATGATGGACTGCACCTTCTTCTTGTCCATAGAAACCCCATCAGGGCTAATGAAGAAACCTAGAAATTCCACCGATGTAGTGTGGAACTCACACTTTTCAGCCTTGGCGTAAAGGCCTGTCTCACGCAAGCGTTCCAGCACTTGAGAGACATGTCTGATGTGTGATTCAGTGTCAGGGGAGTATACTAATATATCGTCAAGGTAAATGATGACATGGTGATCAAGCATGTCTCGGAAATTGTGGTTCATGAGATGTTGAAAAGATGCTGGGGCATTGGTTAACCCAAAAGGCATCACCTTGTATTCAAATAAGCCATAGCGGGTCCTAAAGGCAGTTTTCCATTCCTCGCCTTTTGCTATGCGCAGCAGATTATACGCGCCTCGCAGATCTATCTTTGTAAAGATCTTGGCGGTGCGCAGGCGGTCCAAAAGTTCTGAGATGAGAGGGAGAGGGTATCGATTCTTGATTGTGATTTTGTTGAGCCCACGATAATCCACACAGAGTCGAAGTGAACCATCCTTCTTCTTTACAAAAAGGATAGGTGCTCCTGCTGGTGATTCAGAAGGTACAATAAAACCTTTCTTCAAGTTCTCATCCAGGTATTCTCGAAGTGCTTTCAACTCTGTATCGGACAGAGAGTAGATGGGTCCCCATGGTGGAACTTTCCCATCTTCTAAAGGTATATGATGATCAAATGGTCGGTGATCTGGGAGCTTGTCAGCGCTCTGTTTACTAAAGACATCCAGGTAAGAATGATATTCAGGGGGCACTAAAGCCTGATCTGAACCGGCCTTGTCAGAGTCGACTTCTGTCAAGGTGGACGGCCTAGTGGTAGTCGACACCGCTAGGTTGAACTCGTGAGGCATAGAAGATGTTGTTGCCTCATCTGAAGAGGGCAGAGGTACAATTCCGGTCACCTCCCCTATGCGCGCAGATGTGTTGGATGTTGATGCTGTAGCTGGTAATGACCCTACTGTACAATGAGTAGGCCAAATAGAACTTGGTCTTATGGAAAGTCTGGACCAAGAAATAAACGGATCATGCTGGCGTAACCATGGAATACCAAGCACGACTGGACAAAGATGACACTTGGTGACTAGTAACCTAGTCCAACAAGGTCCAAATGGTGGAAGGAAGTTGAGACAAGCAACTGTCTCATATTTTACTGTAGATGGTTTACCTGCTCCGTCAAAGAGGTATAGTGGAGTTGGTTCTCTCTTTATTAATTCTAATCTATTCTGTTCAGCAAATCTTTTATCAATGAAATTATTACTGGCACCGCTGTCTATCAAAGCTTGGAATATGTTTTTGTGATCTTTTAGATGAAATGGGAGAGTCAACTGTTTTTGGGTTATATCAAAATTTTCAATAGAAGGAAATGTAGAGCCAAGTGAAACGGAGACCTGTTTGTGGTTACCCTCCAATCCCAGGTTACCGTGATTTGTAGACTGGGGGTCTAAGCTTTTCCCGAGGGGATAGCTTTATTCTTATGTGTACTTACCACGCTAGCTTGATATCTAGCAGGTTTACGGTGAGGAGGTGCAACAGGGCATTTAAGTACCATATGTCCTTTGTCACCACAATAGAGGCAAAGATTATTATCTTTGCGCCTTTGATACTCAGCTGGTGTGAGTTTACCTCTCCTAGTTGTATAGTTTGAGGTTGATGTTGCCATGACTCGCATATTCTCAGATGGACGAAAGGTAGTCTGAGTACGCTCATAAGTAGTTGAGCGTGGTGTAAACCGTACCTGTGAGTTAGCAGTATTTGTACGCTCACCTTTCTCTACTTGTCTTTCAAACAAGCGTGTATCAATACGTATAGCAGTGTCTTGAAGGTCTTTGAAGGACTTAGGCTTCCCAACATGAGAAAGCTCGTCTTTGATAGCATCTTTGAGGCCACGGTAGAATTGTGCAGCCTTTGCTTCGTCGTTCCATTTGACAAGAGTGGCAAAGCGCATGAAGTCTGCAAGGTAAGATGTCACTGAACCTCTTTGTTTGAGGGCATATAGTTGTCTCTCAGCAGTAGCCACCTCATCTGGATCACCAAACGTCTTCTTGAGTTCATCACAGAAGAGTTTGAAATCTGTCATGAAACTTGGCTGTGGGGTAGCAACAACAAAAGGTTGGAACCAGAGGAAAGCGGTATCACGTAAGAAAGATCCCGCATACAATACCTTTGCAGCTTCAGATTGAAATCGAGTGGACTGAAGTGTTATAACCATTGTTACTTGAGTGATAAAGGTTGTAAGCTTGTGACGTTGTCCACTAAAGTATTCAGGTGATGCAACCTTTGGTTCTTGAGGACGAGTACTATTGGTTGTCGTAGTAAGTGCTACTGAGGGATGGCGTTGATCTGCAGGTGTCAGCTCACGTTCGGTACTCACATCTTGTGCATTATTATTTTCCAGTACTTCTCCTTGAGGGAGGATTGTAAGAGCGGCTACTCTTTCGCGTAAAGTATTGTTTTCTTGTTGAATGGTTTCTTGATGGGCTAAGACTTCTTCAAGTCTAGCTTCCAGTTCTGCACGAGTTGGTGCCATGGTGATGCCTCGATAATACGATAGACTAAACAAGTATGTGACCAATCACAAGTGTGAAGGATCAAAATATACTGTCACGGTCCTGTCCTTGACAGACCTCGATGGATCAAAGACAGGTGGACTGCAACTGTTTAGTTAGCTTGGACAACGACGGTTAGTATGTTGTCCGTAGACTTGTGATGTGGTCGGACGACTTTAATGACTTGCGAAGGATCCGGGCAGGTCGAGATGACGATAGAGGTGTATGTGATGGTGAGGGATGTATCGGATGTAAGTAGAATGTCAAGAGGTCTTTTGTGAGTGGCAAATAATATTTTGATCCTTGAAGAGAAGAAACTACAAAGTAGATAGGTCTAGTATTTATACTTTTTGAGGAAGTCCTGCTCTCCAATTAATGTCGCCTCAAATCGACCCATATCGACTTGTATCGACTTGTATCGACTCCTATCGACTCGTATCGACTCATATCGACCCATATCGACTCATATCGACTCATATCGACTCATATCGACTCATATCGACTCATATCGACTCATATCAACTCATATCAACTCAGATCGACTCGGATCGACTCGGATCGGTGGAGCTCAGGGTTTTGGGTCAGGACCCTGCACAGGCTGGGTCGTGACACTCGGCCAGCAACTTGCCAGACCTGAAGCTGAACATGAACTTTAGAGAGAAGCATTTCTTCCATTTGTGTTGGCGGTTCAGGTGGGGGGAGATTGTCTCGAATACACAACTGAGGGAGAGAGAGTCCTGTCCTATCAGTCATAGTCATTGAGGAAAACAACACACCAGGATCCATATTGTTCTCCGCAGACAAGTTGTTCCTTCCTCCCCGTCTACACCTAGCACACATGCCATTGCTGACTTTAAGCTCAAACCACCTCTCCTTGCAAGTCGCACAGTACTCCATCTGAATCCTCTCAAGCTGCTTGTGAAAGTTGTCTATCAGGGTCACTTCATCCTCTGTCAAGCATGGTTTTTGTAAATCCATAGCATTAGCTGGTACCACGGGTTCAGGATGAGGTTGATGGGATTCTTCAATTGGATGTTGCATTTGGCGATTTTGATATCGAAGCCGTTGTTGTTCCCGGCATGTGTGACAAGTGAGATATGAGGTAGATTGGTTGGGATGCTGGAAGTTGATGATAACTTGCCAGGTGCGGCATGTTTTACACCTTTTTTCCCCGGAATGATTTACTGGCCGAAACTGTCTGGTGGGAAGAATTGGTTGGTTGGTAGGGGGGGTAGCATCAGGACGCCTTGGAGGTCGGCGATTCACTCTAACAGGACGGGCAGAGATCAACTGAGCTGCAGCAGGCCGAAGTGGTGATGGTGATGGTGATCGGGAGACATCATGTCGAGGTCGAGGTTGGGATCGTCTCGAGCTGGGAGTGAGCCCGTCCACACCGGGTGACTGAGTGGGTCGTGGGTGGGTCAGAGAGTTGTCACTGTGTGGGTGTTTGTTGCGACAGTCTGAACAAGCAAGTACTGCTCGTCCTCGGTCACTAAGGAAGTGGGGGGAGGGAAGGCAGGTACGACACTGGTTGCATTGCTTGATACGGTGACGTGAGGAAGGAGTAGCAAGGGAGATAGGCTCTTTATGGCGACAAAAGCAGCAACTTTTCCAATATTGATCAGATTTTTGACCAGCACTCGCCTTTCGAAAATGCGAGGAGCCAAAAACAGTGTTGCTGGGAGCTTGACACTTCTTCTTTACTGAGTGATAGCAAGACCATTGTGTTGTCATTGTAGAAGATTTTAGCTATATATGGAAGTGACATTAAGGGACTCTTGAACTACATACATATCAAAAGGCTGATCGACAAAATACACGTCATGATTTGGGAAACCCTTCCAGGCACTTACGTAGAAATTATGTTAAAAAAACCCTGAATCACCCCCAGTAGATTTGCGGGGCTGACGCCCGCAATGACGTTTGGAATGAAGAGGAGCCCCAGATCGATCGCACGGTCCCTCACCCCTGACGCGTTTCACCTCACACTTGCCCAATCTACGTTAGCCACTTTTGACTCTTCGTTGTCTTACTTTGATCCCTTTCCCCCCACCATATTCACCTCTCACTACACTCCCCTGGGCCCTGGCTGAGCCTGACACATCCCTTCTCTCCCCCACTGCAGCTGTACTGCAGTTTGATCGCTGACCTCTCATCTCTCCCTCCCGCTGCCTCGACAGCCATCGACGTCCGACGTACTTGATGTATCGACGTGACACGATCATTCAACATTTAGTCTCCCGCACGGTCCTTTGCCAGACATCCCATTGTCTTTCCCTCTCTACCATTTCATACTCACCATACTGTACTACTTCCCCTCATTCCTGCCCGTTACTATCCTTGAGCTTACTTGACCACAGTCGACACAGTACGCCCTCACAACATGTCTTACAATCGACAAGGTTACGGTCGTCAACCCGACTTTTCAGCTCCTCCCCTCACGTCTAACTCGTACCACAATCCTTCTCAACCTGATCCTTATCATCAACCCACTCAGTACTCCCAATACTCTCAATACTCTCAACCAGACTCTTTCCATTCCACTCTATCCACCAACGTGCAACGTGGCCCATCCCCGGTGGATCAAGGTCAGTACGAAAGTCACGAAATGTATACGCAACCTCCTTCCGCCTACCCATCCCAGCAGATGTTACAACCTCGACCATCTTACTCGTCAAACGGACATGATTGGCCCGATGACACAAAATCGTATTCCTCCACTACCAATCTCAATGCGAAAGAATGGGGGGTGGGAGAAGTCGTTCCTCCCCTTCCATCAGGATATCCTCCTCGTCCCCCTCTCTCACCTTATGGTGGTGGCATGTATGGAGCTCCTTCTCCAGTTCCCAGTAATTACAACGGAGGAGCTCAATGGCATCAGATCAGAAATCAATTGTTGGAACGACGCGTCGTACAACAGGTTCCTCTCAGTAATGGGAATCTGATCATGGATATCCCGGTACCCCGGGGTGTGATACCTACCACTCAGGGATTGGGACTGCAAGAGGAAGAGATGAACAAGATGAGGTATTCTGCGGCAACATGCGATCCTGATGATTTTATGAGGAACAAGTTCACGCTTCGACAATACCTATGGGGAAGAAGGACAGAGCTATTTGTGAGTGCTCCTTCACTTACTCTTGATCATCTGTCATCAATCCATACTCAAAGGGGGGCTATGAGTTGACTAATCTACAGATCGTCATGACCATGTACAATGAAACGTCAGATCTACTCCTCCGCACTCTCAACTCGGTCATCAAGAACATCGCCCATCTCTGTACCCGGAACCGATCCAAGACATGGGGTGCGGAAGCGTGGAAGAAGGTAGTTGTCTGCATCGTAGCAGACGGTAGAAAGGTGGTGGATCCCCGGGTGCTAAAGGTCCTTCAACTAATGGGTGTTTATGCAGAGGTCAGTCTTTGGCAAAGGGAATGTACAATTTAAAGCTGACTTTACAAGGGTGTGGCAAAGGACCATGTAGCCGGCAAGGAAACCCAAGCTCATATATTCGAATACACCTCGCAGGTCGTCGTGTCTGATAGTGGAGAAGTGGGCTTTGGAGCAGTACCTGTTCAGCTGTTATTCTGTCTCAAAGAGTTAGTTCATACCGATCTTTCATTCATTGCTGACAGTGTAGGCAAAACAAGAAGAAGCTCAACAGTCATCGATGGTTTTTCAAGTTGGTTCAGCTTCCTCTTGTCCCAGAATGTGAAGCTGATTCATAGCGCATTTGGACCATTGATCAAGCCTAATGTCTGTGTGTTGCTTGATGTCGGCACCAAACCCTCGGGCAAGAGCATCTACGAACTGTACAAGTGCTTTGAGAAGCACCCCAACGTCGGAGGTGCCTGTGGCGAGGTGAGTTAAATGCCCCATAATCCGGTCTTGTCACTGACGTTCAGATCTTTGCCGACACTGGTAGATTTGGCAAACTCCTTTTCAACCCTCTCGTGGCCGCCCAGAATTTTGAATACAAGGTAAGTCACAGGGCACATCACTATCCGATTCACTGACGGTCAGATGTCCAACATTCTCGACAAGCCATTCGAATCTGTCTTCGGACTGATCTCCGTCTTACCCGGTGCTTTCTCTGCTTATCGTTATGCGGCCGTTGCGAATCACCCTGATGGTTCTGGCCCCCTGGCAGCATACTTCCATGGAGAACTCATGAACCTCCCAGGCGCCACGGCCAGCATATTCGATCGTAACAAGTTCTTAGCTGAAGATCGTATCTTAGCATTCGAAATCGTCGTGAAGAAGAACGCTCGGTGGAGATTACAATATGTCAAATCTGCCAAAGCCGGTACTGATGTTCCTAATCGAATACCAGAGTTCATCTCTCAACGTCGAAGATGGCTCAACGGTTCGATTTTTGCTCAGACATACGCAATGGTATCTTTCTACCGGATTTGGACTAGTGGCCATGGGATCATTCGAAAGTTCTTGCTCACCATCGTCACCTTATACAGTGAATCAGCATGTGTCTCGGTCATTTGGCAGAGCTAACGAGCAGACTTGGTTAATCTGATCTTCAATTGGCTTTCTCTTTCGTCATTCTATCTGGCCTTCTTCTTCCTTCTCAGCTCGAGTGTTACTAGTGGTTCCGATCCATTTGGTGGTGCTGGCGACGATGTATTCCAGATCTTCAACAAGGTATACATTGGGCTCATGTGAGTCGTTTTAGTAAAATGCCATCATGCCCCGATTACTATTGGTCGACCACTGTGGTCCTCCCGCGATGACTCGTCTTGCTGCTCAACCGAGTTCGTATGAGCTGACGCCCGCAGTTTCGTGGTACTGGTCTGTTCACTTGGTAATCGGCCGCAAGGTTCCAAATTCATGTACACCTTATGGTCAGTCGTCTTAGCTACCGCGGGTGATTGTCCTGACCATCAGTATCGTGCTCTTCGCTGTTTGCCAAGGTATTCTGTTGTATTGTGCCGGATGGACGGTGTACCAATCGGTCCCTCATACTGCTGCTGGATGGTCCGACGTCGATGCCTTGTTCCACAATAGGACATTCGTTTCGCTTGCTTTGTCTCTGCTTGTAAGTCGGCTTCACTCTTCCTCTTCCTCTTCCTCTTCCTCTTCCTCTTCCTCTTCCTCTTCCTCTTCCTCTTCCTCTTCCTCTTCCTCTTCCTCTTCCTCTTCCTCTGCCCCCGCTTCCATCTCCTCTGCCACTCATCCCTCCATGTCCCAGAATCGAAGTCAAAGTGTCAACGCTGACGCCGAGGCTACATACGGCCTCTACCTCATCTCCTCGTTGCTCTACTTCGAACCATGGCACATGTTGACATCCTTTTTCCAATACCTTCTCCTCCTCCCTTCCTACGTCAACATCCTCCTCATTTACGCATTCTGCAACTTGCACGATGTATCATGGGGAACGAAAGGCGACAATGGTGCATCCAAAGATCTTGGTCAAGCTAAGAAAGTCGAAAAGGATGGACAAGAACTCGCAGAAGTTGCCGTTCCTACTAAACTCGAAGACGTGGAAGCTTTATGGTCTCAAGCCAGACAAGAACTTCGAGTACCTGCTAAAGAAGTACATGAAAAACGATCTGCCGAGACGAAAAGAAACGATCAAGATAGAACATTCAGAACCAACGTCGTACTACTTTTCTTGGGTTGTAATCTTCTCATCATTCTTTTATTCACCAGTTCTGTATTCACCAATTGGCTCAACAAACATTTCGCAGAAGCAAGTAGTAGCGCTTTCAATCCTTACCTCACAGTGATCTTTTATGCTGTCTTGGGATTGTCGGCGGTGAGAGCGGTGGGATGTGTATTGTATTTGGTATTAAGATTGATAGGTTATTGAGAAGGAAGTACCGACGCTGGCGTTGGGAAAAGATTGTGTATGCTTAGGATGCATCTTGTAGGAACGTAACGCAGGGGCTGTTGCAATCTAACCAACTTGATTCCTTTAAACCCCCCTCCTGGCCCGGCGGCCGGCGGCTTCCCATGCCCTCACGAGCTGAGCGGGATGATTTAAGGTTCAAGGACGTCTCGGTTGAAAGTCAAAAGTGAAGGGATGACATTCCGGAGCCCCAGAAACACAGGTCCACAGGTCCATCAATCACCCTTGAACGACATTGCTGGACATCTTCAACCTTTGCTTCTCCCTCTCCTCACTCTGCATCTTTTGCCTTCTTGCTTCTATCTCCACAATAACCGAATGTGCCTCGAGGCGTAGAGAATTTTCCAAAAGATATATATCACCAAACTGTCTTCCAATCGTCTATGGACCATCGGTTCACTGTTAATTCTGAGCGTCATTCTACTGCAACAATTTCCAGAGATCTTTCATCGAGTATATAAGGATTGGACTGATATTGGTCCAGAAAGAAATATGAGACCTGGGAAAAAGAGTGTAGGGTACTTTGTAAGTTTCCTCCCTTCCCCTCCCCCTTCTTCTGTTTCCTTCACTCTTAGCTGCTTCTACCACTCAAACCTCTGCATGTCCGAAACGACCAGCAAAGCATTTCTTGATACATCCCAGTTCTTCGATTCGGGTCTATTCTTCTTCATATTTATCTCCTCTTCTTTTCTTCTACCCGGCAATCAGAGCAAACCATACAGGATCCGAGCTTAGCCTAAGAGAATAGATGAGATAGCATAGTTGAGGGTCGTCCTGATGCCCAGGTCAATTGGTCAGCTCCTCCTCGACCGGTATGATAGAAAGAGGACTGATTGTATAGGGGAATATACGGTCGGAAATTCCCTCCTCAACTTATACCTTATCATGATTTGACGCATATCAATTATGCTTTTGGAAACATCAATAAGGAAACTGGAGAGGTATTTCTGAGTGATACTTGGGCAGATGTTGAGGTGAGTTATATACCTCTTGATACATATGTGCTTGAACGATTCTTATCTCTGACACTTTCACACCTATCTGATTTTCCGATCTAATCATACCGCTGGAATGCTTTTCCGTGCTGCTACTTTGTGCTTGGCCCTTAAAACCTATATGGCCCACCTGTCCTTATGTGCTACTTTACTCATCTCCGTCCGTGTTGTCTATCTTACTCACCTTTTGTCGGCCCCACTTCCATCTTCCATCTTCCGTTCTTGTGGTCATGTTCGCTCAGCTGAAAGACCCAACAATGACTTGAATCACGCTCATTGGATATGTATGATGTGAATATCGCTGAGAGTAGATTCATTACGACGGAGACGACTGGAACGAGCCCGGTAATAATATGTACGGATGTCTCAAAGCTATCTATCTGATCAAAAAGCTTAATCGGTCAGTTGACCCTTGCGTTGATGTCTTGCATCAGCTGATATATGAAGGAACATTAAAGTCTTACTAAGCATAGGAGGTTATACATGGTCGGGGGTATGTTTAGCCCTCTTCCCTTTCTTCAAGCTTCTATCATCTTCCCCACGTTCTGAGTCTCTCTACTCGATGATTCTACCCTGTGTTATCGACTCGTATTGATGTGGTAGAACTTTATCAATATCAACGACCCAGACTGGAGGAACATCTTTGTAGATTCTGCTGTTGGCCTCGTAGAGGATGTAGGTTTAGACGGGTTAGTCATTCGCCTCCCTCTATGTATCTCAATGGCTGATAATCAGACTCGACGTTAGTGTAGCGGATCAGTTGATGGGGAAGGGCTTACCATAGATTGACTACGAGTATCCCAAGACAGAAACTGAACACGAGGGATACGTTTCTCTCCTACGAGAACTTAGAGCTGGACTGGATGCTTTGGCTGAGAGCAAAGGGCGATTGAGGGGGATGTATCAACTAACTATCTCTGCTCCGTGTGGTTGGGATAATATGCACAACTTGAGAGTGAGAGAGATGAACAAGGTGGGTGGTGAACCTCTCTCTGGTCTGTTGTTCCATTCCTTCCGGGCTGTAAGGACCACTCTACACATCTAGTACCAGTAACAAGGGTCATCAGGACTTTTGACTAGGGGAAGCTGATCAAGGTAGTATCTAGACTTCTTGAATCTCATGGCCTACGACGTGAGTTTACCTCTTCGAAACTTGATCGCAATATACGCAGTGTTGACCTTAGTTTGCCGGTCCTTGGGATCCCATCACAGGCCATCAAGCTGCACTCTTCCCTTCTCACCAAAACTCACCTTCTGTCGCTACAGCTGTCAACTTCTACCTTCAAGCCGGCGTTCCTCCACACAAATTGGTCATAGGTCAGCTTATTCAGGTAGACCTGGGCAATCAGCTGATAAACAGGTATTCCATTGTATGGTCGAGCGTTCGAAGGGACCGAAGGTATTGGAAAGCCTTACAACGGTTCGTAACTCCTCATTCTTTGACCCATAAACATGCTAATCCTATAGGTTCTGGAGAAGGATCTTGGGAAGCAGGAATGTGGGATTATAAAGCCCTCCCTTTGCCTGGTTCTCAAGTCATAGAAGATCGTTCACTGGGAGCTGCATATTCCTATGATCCGTAAGGATTTCTTTCGTACACTCTTCACTACTTTCAGCAATCCAGTCACTTACTCGTGTGAACCACCTTGCACACACACTCCCTCTCCACACTCAACTCATGATCCGTAAAGTGTGAAGCCGAGAAACGGAATTGACAAAACAGTCACAAACGTCATTTGGTAACGTACGACACTCCTGCTGTCGCTTGGCAGAAAGCGAGATACATCGCAGAGAACGGACTTGGAGGAGCCATGTTCTGGGAACTCGATTCTGACAAACCTGCATCTTCAGGCGAGAGTCTTGTCAAAGTCGTCAGAGAGACTATGGGAACGTTGGAATGGCGTGAAAACGAGTTGGAGTATCCACAAAGCAGTGAGTCTTCTCTCCCGATGAATGACTCTTGGTGATAAGACAGAATACGACAATTTGAGGAATGGAATGCAATGAATCATGTGTTACGATGCAAGTTTGTTTTAGCCTAGATGTATGCATATACTGTGATCTATCCATCGTTTCTAACTTCTTCTTCCCACCATTATCATCGTTGCTTGTTACAGCATCTCTAATCTTTACTATAAGTTAAGTGCACCAAAGAGTAGACATCACGTGATCAATATTTCACTTTCGATCGCATCAATAAGTTTTGAGCAAGATTACAATTCTGCCTCCTCCTCTTCCTCCTCTTCCCTTGAACACTATGTCTTCCGCTACAGAGGTCAGACTCCTCACTCTGCTCAATGTAACAGCAACGAGATATCCTCTTGATCGAGATCAACCAGGTGGTCACCGTTCTTCCACTTCTACCCCCACACCAGCTTCCCCACAGCCGAACGAAGGACAGGCGGTGAAAAGGAGGAAGAGCGTAGTTTTCGGAGGTGAGGTAGGTCCGACTGGTAGCTCGTTTGTTCGAAAACGTCTCAAAGTGGATTTCGGATCGGATAAACCATCACAGAACCGAAAAGTTAGAGTGGAGGAGGTCGATGATGGCTTGAAAGAAGGAGAAGAGGGGTTTTTGGTGAAAGATGTTGAAGAGTCGGAAGATGAGTCGGGTCCTTCTGGTGAGTTGACATCCTCTTTACTCTTCCTCTTTCTTGTCTTGTCTTCCTCTTCATTTCTTTGCCTCTTCCTTCTCTCATCTTCTCTTCTCTTCCTCTTCATCTCGTCCTTTTCTCTTGTCTTCCACCATAGATCAGCGATGAGCTTGTGTAATGAAACACTTTCACTTGCTATATATGACAGTGACATTCTACGGTCTGCACTCAGGGACGGACAGCACAGGGGTGAGGAGAAGGGGGCGTAACTCTGGGCAGATACAACAAGCGGAAGAGAATCAGGTACAAAATGCTCACTCTCAGGCTCACAAGATATGTTCAATCTTCACTTCGGTCCTTCTCCTTCTATCTTGACGCCGGAGAGTATCTCTGCGGCGGATGCTCATGAGTGGGGGCTTGAACGGAAGAGTCTCAAAGGGTTCGGAAAGTCGGTGGAAAATTGGCCTGGGAAGACGGGTGAGCTGGGGTCGAATGAAGAGGCTTTGAATAGGGTGAGTGAGAAGTTACTCTTCTCCCACTTTCGTTCGAGACTCTTCATTTCGATGCTCGAGGGTCGTCCGCGACACTTCACGACTGGTTTCTTCTGTCGGAACACTCTTTCCCCAGTCTGTCATCTCACACAGGCTAGAGAGACGTTCTACTTAGTACCTCTGACTTCGAGCTCTCTATACCCATGATAGCGTTGTATTTCTCGAGGTGTGACCTGAAATTCACGGACAACTAGCATTTGCGATTGCTTCTCAGCTGACAGATCAGATCACACCCGCTCTTCTCTCCTCTCTCCGGGGTACAAAACCAGCCCCTTTGGTCTCCACTTCCCTGTCCCACCTGGGAACATACAAAGATTTCTATTTCCATTCCCTCGACGGAGAAGCCGATGGATCAGAGACGAAACTTCTCGGTGAACAGAAAGAATCTCTCCGACAAGCCATCATGGTCCATACCTTCAATCACGTCCTCAAGTATGTCTCCAACTTTTTCTCCTCCAGGTTTCATCGTGCTAACTCTTAGAACCCGAAAGAGGATTCTCAAGAATAACGAAAAACTCTCTCGGGCAGCTTCTTCCGGTCATCCTATTGATCCTCCTCGAGATCAATCATTCACTCGTCCTAAAGTCTTACTTCTTCTACCACTGCGCTCCTTGGCCCTTCACTATCTGTCCACTTATCTCTTCCCCCTGGCACCTTCAGGAACTCAAATTGAGAGTTTAAAACCGTTCACAACTTCGTTCTCTCTACCTTCCGATACGACTGATCCCCTCGGTGAGCCTTCAGCGACACAACGATATCCCATTGATCATCTGGCCAATTTCAAAGGAAACAGCGATGATAATTTCAGATTTGGAATCAAAATCACGCGGAAAGCTTGGAGAGTGGTCATGATGCCTGCCAACGAGGAGAAATTGATGGATTGCGATATTTTGGTGGCTAGTCCTCTGGGGATAAAGATGACTGCTGAGAAAGAGAAGAGCGAGGATTTATTGGCCAGCATGGAAATTGTGGTGGTGGATGGTATGGATGTGATGCAGATGCAAAACTGGGATCATGTGCAGGTGAGTAATCTCCCGACATACAATTGATTGATCGACCTTGAGAAGGATCCAGTCACAGATATGTATAGCTGACGATCAGTTCATCTTTGATCACCTCAACAAAATTCCAGAGTCTCCTCATGGTTGTGACTTTTCCCGAGTCAAACCTTGGTATCTAGACAATCAGTGGGTGGTTTTGTTCTCATACCCTGACTTCTCAGAGGCCTCAATTACCTCTATTCCTGCGTTTGTGGCTCATCACGAGTCTCGTCTGGAATCATGTCACCCCACCAATTTGTTCTACCTCAAGGTCTTGCTCCACATATATATCACGAAGTTAGAGCTGACATGAAGAGCCAAATATCTTCGACAAACTATCCTCTTATCCCGATATGACACCCCAGAAGGACGTGCCCTCTTTCATCGCCAATGTCACAATTTAGCGGGAAAAATCCGATTAGATCGTGCTTCTTTCCCTGGTGTGCTTGACAGAGTTAGACCCGGAGTCAAGCAGGTGTTCGAACGTGTGGATCTTGGACAAAGAGGATTAGGGGGTGACGCAGCTGCAGAGGAGGTTGAAAAGCGATTAGAGTGGTTCTTGAAACAAGTCAGCTCCCGTCTTGGATTTCCTTTGGCTGAGCTGATCGGTCAGACTCTACCCTCTTTACTACGATCTGCCGTGTCGAGACAGAACACTTTGGTGGTGGTACCTTCTTACTTTGATTTCGTTCGACTCACCAATGCCTTGAGGAAATCCGAAGTCATCACATTCTCTGCCATATCAGAGTACGTCTTTATATTCCCATCACCAGCCACCTCACCTCTACCCCTACTAAACCCCACACAGACCATGCTCTATATATTCGACACTCGATAACTGGTAATTATGATTTGATATATATGACTAACGTCATTCAGATACTCTTCCAATTCTGAAATCTCTCGAGCCCGAACGACATTCTTCAAATCACGCGTCCCCTTCTTAATCGTAACTGAACGATTCCACTTTTACCGACGATACCGTCTTCGAGGAGCTAAAACCCTTGTTTTTTATTCTCTCCCAGATCATGCGCAGTTTTATACGGAATTCCTTCGTATGCCTTTCCTCGGTCCTGGAGGTGAAGAAATGGAAGGTGAGGTGGATGAAGGCGAAGTACAAAGTAGGGTGTTGTTCAGTAGGTTTGATAAGTTGAAATTGGAACGGGTGGTAGGGAGTGAAGATGCTAGGAGGATGATGAGTAGTGGAGAGGGACGATTTCAATTCACTTAGTAATCTTGAGTTGGATTAATATGTCGAAGATCTTGTCTCATATCAACAGATCGAAGGAGATATCTAGGTGTCTATCAACTTAATCATCTATGAACCTGTCATGAAGACGAGAGAGAGTGCAATGGACAATTTGATACTTCTCCTATCACAGTGAAACATCTTGGTATACCATCGAATGATCAGTATGGACAATTTACACTGAAAATGTATAGATTGGTATTTACTGTCTATTTGTAAGACTATGTACATATTCATATTTTTCAAACTAATGATTCCTCGTCTCGCCCCAAGATATCTTCTCACATCTCACTTCAAGAGATAGACGTGATTGCCAGAAACTCAATATCGGTCCGAGAGATAGCTGACGTGATGATGATTTTGTATATCCTTTTTCATAATCCCGAAGCAGCCTTCAAAACGGCCCAACGTTGTTTACATTCCTTGGTCGTCAGATTGTTCTTAGAAAAGGAGTCGGTTGAACGTACTTGAACAGACCTCCCTTCACCTGCCCAAGTGACTCGTTCCACAACTTCATTGGGATTCTTCCATTCGCCATGTTGTAGCTGAAATCAGCGTCTTGATTTTGACACTACTCTCCTCATCTTCACTTCTTTTCTTTATCTTCTCTCACACACACACCTTCCCCCTCTCTCATTCTTCTCCCTCATTCCTCTCTTTTGTCTTCTCTTTCTCTTATCTCGCTCTGTCTCTTCTTCTTGACTTGATTTGACCCTCCTGGTCGCTAAAGGATGTTGAATGTGTCGATAGATTGATCAAAAGAATAAACTCACCTGAGCTTGCCACAAAGCTCTATCTTCCGTATCTGTCCATTCCCCTCTTTTCACTTCCATCCCTATCCCCATCCCCGTCCCTTCCGTCTTGATCCTTTTCACCCTCCCTTCATCCGAACCAGAAGTAGGTGTAAGAGGTAATTTCCTACTTTTCCCCAAAGGTGTATTCTCTTCTCTCCCTATCATCTCAGTCTCACTCTGATTCGTTCTAACTCCCGATTCCGAATGACTCGGGATACTACTCAAATGATTTGAAATAGATTCTTTTCGAGGAATTTTATTGAGCGTAATAGGAGAATTCAATTTTTTCTCAGTCATTTCAATATCCATCTCTTCATCCTCCGTTTCTCCAGTTAAATCAACTATCATACCTTTTTCGATACTTTTCAATTCCATAGGTTGAGGTTTGATCTCGTCAGCTTCGGCCATCTTTCTTTCTCTTGATTTCTCTGAAAGATATGAAGGTAAATGAATTGTACCTGTTAATATCCAACGAAGATCAACACCGGAAATACGATTATTGTTAAATACCCAAGGTGAGGAATGTAAACGACCTATGAATGTATATTCTGAATCACGGGATGGGATGACGAGAGGTCGTTTATGTTTTCTTTTTCGTTTAGAGATTTTGATTGGTTTGACTAGTCTGTTGGATTTGTTGAGATCGTTGGGTTTGTTGATGGAGGTTATAGAGTTGGTAGACTTGGTAGGTTTGGTGATAGTGTTGATGGGTTTGGTGGAGTGTGTTAAGGTTTTGGGTGAAAGTGGTGTAAGAGGACAAATGCTCATGTGAGTCAATTGAACGTGAGTTAGCGAGGAAGAAGAAAGGGTGGGGAAAAGGGTTATCGTCAAATCCAAATGCCCTATTGCATCCGTTCACCTGTGGCCAGTGGCGGTGGTCACTAAGCAACGGTCAACCCGCTCGCCGCTCGACGCTCGGGGTCGTCGTCAAGATGACTTGACAACGCCGTACGCCGACTCAGGGACAGTCAGTCTAGAGTGAGTGGGGCGTGTGTCGCCAAGCGAGCTTTAGACTAATTTTTCTTTCTTCTTCTTGCATCTCTCACCCATGCTGTCAAAGTGTCAGCTTGATCAGATGCGCAAACCTTCAATAATGATCACAGGGGAAATGTCATGTGGAAGCAAGAGTGGAGGTGGACATGCCGGGTAGAACGATTACCGGTCAAAATGAGAGAAAAACGCGTCGATCGATTGGTTGCCCTTTTGGACTTTGAAAAACCATGTGCTTGCTGTCATCCCAAATCGCAGATCGACCACTCTTCGGCATTCAAAATACAATCGGGCAGCGCGGCAGTGGACAGCGTCGTAGTTCCAGGGGCCCGCTGCCCGCTGCGGTGCGCGAGTGCTTGTCTATGACCTATGATCATGGTGTATAGCTACCAAGGCACTATGGCACTATGGCGAGGCGAGTTGAAGGGTGGATTTTGAGGATACGCAGCTTTTAGGAGCCGGGAGCAGTCGGTGGGTCATCCGCCAACAATGGATCAATGGCCAATGGAGTATGTACGTGATAGATTCCAGCTCAAATTTAGATTCCATTCTACCCATCCTTGTCGTGTCATTACTAACATCAACAATGACGACAGCGCCCTTCTTCATCCCCACGTGGGTATCTTCATCCTCGAACACCTTTCAACCTAAGCCTTGTCTCTCTTCTCTCTCTTTCTGACATCTGATACCTCAGTTCTGGCCTCCTTGTCTTCATCATCGGACCACTAGGTCACTCATAGTCAGTCTAGGCACCCTCCACACCCTCTGCACTGCATTTAGGGATCACTCCTCTCTTTCCCCCCCCCCCCCCCCCTGGGCCCCCCACCATGGACCTCTCTTTCCTCCCCCAGACATATCTCGAGGTGAGTCACCTTCTCTAACACCTGAACATTCCAGCTGACACATGACACATGTCACACGTCACACCATCAGGCTTACCCCTACCCCGCCTTTGTCCTCTGCGTCCCCATTCCCCAGAGACCCCACTGGATGAAACCGATTCTCATCACGATCATCATCACTCCAGCTTTGTCCATGCCTCTCACGATCTACAACCTTTCACCCCGGTATGGGCCAACAGCAAATGGAAAGCTCTCACTCAAGGTCGTCCTCTACTTAAATGTCTCCCACTTCAAAGTGCGAAAGACCTAGGCGCATGGCTAACTTCGAATCACAATGATCGATTGAGCTCATCCACCAATCGATTTTCATCTTCGACACCTACGGGTTATCCAACTCCTCTCCCAAATACCTCCATCACCGTCAACCCCGCCACTGGTCTAACGGAAAAACTCCCACCCGTCTTCTGGGAACCTGATAACCATTCTCGAGATGATCGATCCGTTCTCTCTGACACTCATTCCGCTTCAGATACCAGTGTCATGGGAGCGGACACCGGCGACGATGTCCTTTTTTCCTCTCAGACAGTAACGATAGAACTCATTCACCCCGGGAGAGTCAAATTGGAGTTATCAAAGACTAGCATGCCTATTCGGTCTTCCAACGATTATTCCGCAACTCCCACGATAAAGATGTCCACACATACTTACGTCATCATCACCACAATACCCCGAAGCCTTTTCGTTCCCAATAAAACTTGGTCGACAAGCTCCCAACTCAAGGCGCCTTCCATGGAAGACCAACGACGTTTAAACTTGCCTCAAATCTATGGAGCGGACAACTCCCCGCCGATAAAAGAACGACCCACCACTCCTTCAGTCCCAAAGATTTCACTTCTCATTCCACCTTTGGCTCATGCCAAAGCGATGAACTTAATTCTGCCTACTGGCGCAATGTACAATCCTAATACCCTTAGTCCCAATCGACCCTCCATGGTGGAACAGGTGTCAGCTATACAATCTTCTCGTGAAGTGGGTTTACGACGGCCTGTCATCTTTAACAGGGATGGCACGGTGGTACGGCAACGATCTGATGTGCAAGACGTTGCACAGGTCGATGGGATCTCAATGGATGTCAATGTCTTGCTAGAAACCACAGATTGGTCCAAGACCCCCTTAGGACCAAGGGATACTTGGCCCCAGAGTCTGAAAACGATAGTGGCCATGGTCATGCAGTACCCTCATCAATGTTGCGTGTGGTGGGGTCCTGACCTGACACTTATATACAATACACCCTACGCTGAGGTTAGTCTTCCTAAAAGATCACCGAGTTTCGCTCATTGCAGACCATGCATAAACATCCTTATCTCTTTGGCATGTCTGGCCCAGAGGGGTGGGCTGGTGAGTAGACTTCGCCCGATGATACTTCGCTGAAGCGTGCAGAGATATGGGCAAGCTTGGGACCCTTGTGTGAAATCGTCTTGCAGGGCACGCCCGTCTTTAGGGAAGATGGTCAGTCCTCCAGCCAAGACTTTCGTTGACATCGCAGATTTCTTGATGTTCAAGGAACTCCCCCGGCAAGGTAATGCAACTTACGAGGCCTTTCATTCCTGGATGTGGGTGCCCATTATGCAGGAAGACGGAACATTTGGTGGACTATGGAATGCGACTATCGACACAACCAAGAAAGTTCTACTGGAAAGGCGTTTAGGCATGACCCGAGAGATGAGTGAGAGAACATGTCAGCTTTTTGCTTCCCCTTCGTATCCGAGCTGATCAACACAGCGATCGCGCGAACGATGAAAGAGTTTGACACGGCCGTCTTGGACATCCTCACAGGAAACCCACGGGACGCCCCCTTCGTCGCATTATATCATGTCAACCTACCAACAAAGGTCAAAGGAAATGATATTCAAAACCAAGCTGCTACCCAGTCACTCAAAGCGGAATCTAAGAAGCACACTCGCGTCCATCTCCATCTCGTGGGCAGCATAGGTGTCCCAGATAATCACCCTTCCACGCCAGCCAAACTGTCCGTCCTCCTACCCCCTCCCGAACCGAAAAAATGGCGCAGTCCCGTGGACGCTGCCAGTCTCTCTCACTCTTTCAATAGCTCGCCGGCAATGTCGTCTTCGTCTGTCAGTACAGGTATCGATGATGGTGATTCCGATGATGGGGCTCGGCTAAGCTTGGATCATTGGCCTTTCAAAGAGGCTTTACAGTCAAAGCGGGTCGTGTTGGTTGAAGACTGTTCTGATCTGATCAAAGGCTTCCCGGTGAGAATTTGGGACGAACTTCCGACTTCAGCCATTGTCATACCCGTCAACAGCGACTCGGACGAAGGTATACCCAGTACAGTCCTCGTCTTGGGTCTCAGTATACGTCGCCCTTTCGATGATGATTACGAGTCGTTCATCGTCAGTATCGAGTGCCTCTTGTGTGGCGTACCAGCTGACATGGCCAGAACGTGTAGGTCGTCGGCCTTTGCTGAACCCCACTAACGTCCCATCAGGTTGAGACTCCAGCTAGCCTCTGGTATCGCCGCTGTCAGATCCTACGAAGCAGAGCGGAAACGCTTGGAAGAGCTCGCCGGGTTGGACCGAGCTAAGGTGATTTGCCCCACTTTTACCCCGATAAACCCGGCGCTGATATACCGTCTAGAGTCTACTGTTTTCCAACGTTAGGTGAGCTTCCTGCGGAAACCGGGCTTGCGTTGTCTAAAAGAAGTCATGAACTTCGGACGCCTCTCACCCTCATTTCTGGACCAATCGAGGACATGCTTCAGGGCGCTCGTCCTGGACCAGAAAGAGTCACATTGGAGATGATCCGACGAAACACGTGGGTGCTAAGTTGTTAGACGAGTCAGCCGCTGATCTCCTACAGACGGCGACTGTGAGTGGTATGAACCCGGGGGGACAATCCGTACTCATCGACAGACAGCGTCTTGTCTCTACTTTGATGGACGTAAGCCGTCTTGAAGGTCAGAGGATGAAAGGGTCTTTCCGTCGAGTCGACCTGAGCCAATTGACTCGTGAACTGGCTGTGAGCCAACTTTATGGTAGCGTGACCTGGTAACTTATCGACTCAGGTTCTCTTCAACGGTGCAATGGACCGCGCCAAGCTGAAATTTGTGATTGAGACGGAACCGTGCGTTCGAGAAGTGTATGTGGACCCGGAACACTGGGTGAGTAGCTCGCGCACTCTGTGTTCTATGGCTGATGATTGCAGGAGAAGATCGTCTACAATCTCATCGGGAACGCTCTGAAGTACACTATGAAAGGGTGAGTGGTCAATCCTCTGTGGTGACATTGCTGAGCAAGAGCTATGTGCATCTGTCGGTACACTACACGCCCACCGAAGCGATTTTCGAAGTGAGCGATAGCGGCGTAGGCATTCCTGGTACGTTCACACCGCTGTACCTGAGACACGTATTGACCAGATAGCATCTGACGTGCCTTTGATCGGAGAGCGATTCCATCGTGTTAACTCAATAAGTCGATCTCACGAAGGGACTGGGATTGGTCTAGCATTGGTCAAAGTCTGTATCCCACTCTTGAAGAACGTTGCTGATCCTGTCCAGGAGCTCATCAAACTGCACGGCGGTACGATGGAGATGGAAAGTGTCACAGCTGAACAATCTGCCGATGGATCTCGTCAGTCAATGCTACCGCCTTGGTAAGGCTATCGCTGACGCCGTAGACGGCTCAACTTTCCGTGTCCGCTTGCTGTGAGTCCACCTGATCAAATAGTGCGTAGCGCTAAGATCATTAGTGTGGGATCTGTGCACCTGCCCAGAGAGAGCATAGACGTAGCAGATGAGACTGGTCCCAAAAGGACGACGTACGGAGATGCGATTGTCGACGAAGCTCTTCAGTGGTCGAAAGATAAGGAAGAGAGTAGCGCAGATTCAACTTCAGATTCCAATGGGGTGATCTCAAATGGGAATTCGGAGGGCAAGAGTTCTAGGGGGTTAGAGTTGAGTACATTGTACTTTTCGAAGGAGGATGTGGTCATGTTGGTTGATGGTGAATTTCTTCTTTCACGCCTCTCTCATCTCTCTTGTAATCTCTCAGAATTTAATAAATTTTCCCCCTCCGTTTACCTTTGTTCTTCCTCACGTCTTGTCTATCCGTCCATCCTGACAGACTGCGCCACAATGACTCCGACAGGCTTTGCTGACACATGGCAGACTCTTTCGACACTAGACGTTACATGCGATCGATATTCTCACCTTTCTGCACTGTCGTCGAAGCGCGTGACGGTCAAGAGGCTCTGGACATGTGCAAGAAACTTATTCCGCAGTTGATCGTGTCAGACGTCATGATGCCCAATGTCAGTCTTCAAGTTTGCTACTCGGCAAAAGAGAATTGACCTTTAGCTTGACGGCTTTGGACTTCTAGCCGCTCTGAAGGAGTCTAAGCCCCTACGGATCGTACCTGTCATCATGCTGTTGGTTGATATCTCTTTCGTTGAATGAGGCTAACAGATAGGACCGCTCGCGGTGGTGACGATTCGACTGTTGAGGGACTCTTGGCTGGGGCAGACGGTAAGCTCCTTTCACCGATTTGATCGCATGATACTTCGTTGACGTATCAGACTACCTGGCAAAACCGTTTAACGCCCGAGAGCTCATTGCGCGGGGTAAGGTCTGATTATCCACTGCTTCTGGCAAGCTTATCAAAAGCACACATGCAATTGCAACTGGGCAAGAGACGCAAGTACCTCGAGGCAGCCTTCGAAGAACAAACAACTGAGCTACGTACTCTCGCCGAATGTCCGTTCGTGTCCTTCAGGAGGACATTACCTTGTCGCTGATGAAGAGATTCTCCTGTGGGAATTTTCAGATGCAGTCAAGAAGGAAACGTAACCTTTGCGAATCCTGCTTGGTGAGTATCCTTCTCGTTTAATTTGACCCCTTCCGCCGCGGAAATGCTGACGAAAAGGTATGAGATGTCAGGATACCCTGCGGGGGAACAAGTGGTCGATTGGACACCGTACATTGACGTGCACTGTGCTCAGCGGATTCAGACATTCTGGGATCATGTACGGGAAAACAATGAGGCTATGCACACGGCGGAATGGCAATTTGCCAATGGACGATGGGGTGAGTGTATGCTCTTATACCTGAAGACGGCTGCTGACACTTTAGTGACTGCGTGAGTGAAGATGTCATTTAGTTTACGTGTGATCAGTAACCTCGAACTCCCGCTCCTTGATTTCCCAGTATGGCCGTTGAGTCGTCCGAAGTTACCTGGTAGTTGAATCAGGAGGCGCCACATGACGTCGGGTTTCGTCAGAGCTGACTTTTAGTAAGATCATCCGTCTAGACATAGCTGTCCCTGGTCTGAAGGCAGGTTCTTTCCTTCACAGTCGTACCGTCATACTGATGTTCAGGGCATTCTAGGTTGCGTGGTGAGGCTCTTGATTCGATACTATTCCATCCGTCCTGTCCCTCTTCGTCATCTTGACATCACCTTTGGTTCCTCATACTCGTATCACTCAATTTCTGTATTGCAGAGATCCTCTTGAAGTGGTCATATGAGTCGCGGGGCCTCATCAGAAGCCCGATGAAAAGACGAAGAGAACTGAGGACAGACTGATATCACCGAACGAAAGCTGCACGAAGAGACTCAGCGTCTAAGAGTTGTGGAGGCCGAACACCGTCGTTTGGAAGCGGAAGAAGCCAAAAGACAACAAGAGCTCTTGATCGACATCACATCGTGAGTTTTCTAGGCGGTGAACGGTCGGTGAGGTCTCTAATACGCAGACACGAGATCCGTAATCCCATCAGCTCCCTCATGCAGATAAGTCCTGACATTCCCTTTGACTCCTGAAGCTGACGTGACACTGTTCCTCGCTGGTCAAGACCAACCTCATATCACTGCAAGAACAACTGCAAGCGGTCCTCAATCAGCAGACAAACTTCATTCCGACCGATCAGCTGCTCGCCACGATCAACGAGGATCTCGAAGCTTTAGAGAGTATCTATCAGTGTGGTCTGACTCAAGAGAGAATATGTAATGATGTTCTGTCCTTGGGAAGGATTCAATTGGACATGTTTCGTGGGTCTTGCGTCCTCTGTTCGCTCTTCTTACCCATCCCTTCCACTTCCATCCCTACTGAGGCAGTATGGCCTGTGTACATGCCGAGAACCATCCAGGACCGGGACCTTCCCATGCGTTTTCTGCTGTGCTGTACATATTGCGACGTAGACATTGAATGTGGCATATTTCTTACAGCTTCTGCAGCTGCACAGAAAAAGGTATCATCTGCCTGTACTGCAAGCTGACTAAATAGAAATGTTTGATGTCGAGACGAACATCCGCAGCGAGGCAAACAAAGTCATCTCGATTTTCCAGAATGAAGCTCGAATGAAAAGGATAGCATTGTCTTTCTCGATTGGCGAGCAGATGGAGCGTCTGGGGATAGACACAGTCAAGACTGATCCCGTGCGATTGGGTCAAGTGTGAGTTTGCCGAGGAGTACATTCAGATCAGCTAATTAGACAGTATGACCAATCTACTGTCCAATGGTATTCGTTTCACATCGACCAGCCGTGTGTTAAGGATTTCTCCATCTATGTCCCCGATCGCTGACAGAAAACAGCGATCAGGAAAATCAATATGAACTTCGATCTCAGTCTTGAACCTCCTCGAGACGACAGCTGTCTTCCTCCGCCGTTGTCGAACAAACATCAATGCTTAGTGGAAGGCATGCCGATTTATCTATACATTGGTGGTCCGTCTCGTGATGGTTGGTTAGAATCTCGTACTGATCACAGTCACCGATACCGGTCCTGGATTGACGCCCGCAGAGTTGGAACTGTTGTTTCAGCGGTTCTCGCAAGTATCACCGAAAACTCATACGATATACGGTGGTTCGGGTCTTGGGTTGTTCGTTTGTCGAAGTGAGTCTCGTCGTGATTTTCACTCTCGCGCCGGTGTAGCATTTAGTGTCTTGAAGTATGTTGGTTGGAAAACGTTCGCTGATAATATGCAGAGATCACAGAGATTATGGGTGGGCGTATTGAAGTGGCTTCTGAGCATGGCAAAGGATCCACCTTCCGCTTCTTCATCACGGTCCGCATGTGTGCCCCTCCCTCTAGCAAACGAGACTCTCTACGAGTCACAATCCATTCGGATGGCCCTCCTACCAAAAAGCGCGAGACTGTCCCTATCAGACAGTCGTTCACCCCTTTCCGACCTCATGTCCTCATTGTCGAAGATAACCTGATCAACCAAACAGTATTGGCACGGCAATTAAGACATGTCGAGTTCACCTGTGAAGGTCTGTGTTGTATTCTACCACTGAAATGACACTAATCGTCAGTTGCAAGCAACGGCCTAGAGGCTCTTGAAAAGATCAGGAAGGTCATGTCTGTCATCAAGCCAGATGGACAACCTTACGACTGTGTGATCATGGATATAGAGATGCCAGGTGAGTCGAGTATGGGTTTACTGCACAGTGTTGATGCACCAGTGATGGATGGTCTCACAGCTGTCAGACATGTCCGAGCGGAGGAAGCAGCTGGGATGTTGTCACGTAGTTCTGTTGTCGCTTTGAGTGAGCTGAGATCAAAAGACATCATTTCGAAGCTCATGAACAGCCGGTAACGCCCGACAGGGCCAGATTGATGAAGCAAGACGTATGGGTATGGACGATGTAGTGATCAAGCCTTATAAGATTGTGAGTGCAAGGATTATTCCATGTGGCTCACGATCAGGATCAATTATTACAGAAGATAGACGAAGTGACCAACTCTTCGATTCCAGAACTATAAGTCGATTAAGGGACATCTGCCGTCTCCCATTATTCCCTCCTACTCTCACATACGGACAATGATGACATCGGACATTGGGAGTACTCGTAATCGTACCGACAGTTTATAATATAGTAGTGTAGCATAGACCAAACACATGTTGTTCTCCCGGGTACTTGGAAACGGTTCAGACCTATATGTATGCATGCGTGATATCTTCGTCACAAAACCTCTGCTTGACCAGAGAGGACAAAAGTCTCGACTAGACGATACTTGACCAAGTGGGTGGAACCTTTTGCCAATGCGGCTTGTTCTCCGCTGAGTGTCAGTGTGGGTGTTTCCAATCGACCAAATGGCCCTCAGCCAAGCGAGTCTTGATATCATGATGTCGACAAAAAGAAGTCCGAGAGGGATGATGAGGAGGAGCGATTGACCAACCTGTCTAGTATGATTTCCCCACAATCACGTATACAGTAAATTAACACGGGTAAGTTCGGATTTGGCCTGGTCACTGTGGATGAGCGAAAACTCAAATAGCATGATATAAGTACAGAGAGACTGGCCTGCCATCCAGCGGACCTCAGCTTATTCTTCTTCAAGAAACACAAAGCGACGTTTCCACCTTTCTTAGATCGATTGCCACTGGTCTGATGGAGACAGCGTGGATAAGTGAGACATGAAGGAAAAGAGGAGGAAGCAGTGATTGACGATAAACTCACCCATCGATAATCCATCACCATACGTATCATCCATTTTCCTTAACCATTCTGGTAAACTATCAAGAACAGAATGAGAATAATGTGTATGAAGTAATTCTGTATATCTTTGAGCGTGTGATAGTTCTGCACCTGATAATAAACTGTGTAAAGAAGGAGTTAAAATGATGTGATAAGAATATTTTTCGATCTGTTGATCAATAATCATATCTTGTCGTAAACCACTCAACACCTTTTGACATCCTACACCTACCCTTTTGATCCGGTACCTGTACACCAAATGAGAGTGTTTAACGCTTTCGGAAGACTCCTGCCTTTTTGCCTCAAGTCACTTGTCTGCCGTTGTTGAGAAGAAGACTCATAAAACGTAGATGATGGAGGGCAGTTATTGGAAAGGACGAAATATGACGAACACAGCACGAGGTACTGGTTTCATGGTGATGAGGGTATGAAGTAGTGGGAAGATACGAAGACGATATGACTCACTTTATGTAGTCTACATCGGACATATGACCTTATTAAGTATTTTACTCTTTCCATTTCTGTTTGAACTAAAACTAATTTGAAATGTTCTTCTTCTGAAGTATCTGGATCGGATTTAAGAGTATCGACTAATTTTTGCTATTTATCAAAATTCACATTTTCGACCTTCTCTTTCTCAATTCATCTTCTGACCAAGTCTCATCCTCTCATCCTACCTCTCTTGGAAACAACAGTAGGAGAATTCTCTTTCCCGCTCAGTATCATCGACGTGACTAGCGCATGTGCAAGGTTTGAAAGTCAAATGACCAGTGTTGGGGATGAGGATACTTGGACCAACAAAGTCCACTTAGCGTGTCCCCTTCTCTTCTTTTGTCGCGCGAGTCGGCGATTGACAAACCGGAAGGTAGGGTATCAGGTAAGATATATAACTTTAATTGATATCTAGGCGATAGATAAAAGAAACAGAAAATGTCACTTACTTGTTGCTCTAATTTGTCCATTAAAGAATCTACTAATTCACCTTCCCAAGCTAATATCCCACCTGTCCCTCTTTCCCTAGTCCAAGCCTTTCCCAATCTTCTCACTTCTCCTTCTTCCAACTCATCTTCATCTTCTTCCTCTTCCATTCCTTCTCCAAAACCATCCTCATGATCGGTCCGGATTGCAGGACGGGGAGAAGCGGTAGCTTCCAATCGAGACAAAAAAGAATCTTGGGTTATAGTCGATCGGGAGGATGAAGCGCGGGAGGAAGAAGCTACGGGATGAAGTGGTGGAAGTTCAGGTGGTAGTTGTGGGATCTCATCGTCTGAATCTGGTTCTTGGAAGAATGAGCTCATCTCGACTTCGGATCTCTTATAGAAATATCACTTGTCAACTCTGTGTCAAACTCCATGGCAAGAGATATTTGGTGGAGAGCAAGTCATTCCGTCGGAAGTAGAGTTAGTTATGCCAGAATTTGGATAGGCGTGCAATGTCAGCACGCGTCTCGACGCGTCTTACTCGGACATTCCGCTTTGCACTGAGAGAACAAGAAAAGTGTACTCTAAGTAGTTGGTAGAACTTATCACAGAATTTCTAAGAATATCGAGGACAGTCAAAGAAGTTGTAATATCATCATGCCATCCTTGACAGATTCTCTAGCAAATTTATCTATTCAATCCGAATCAATATCTCAACTCGCTTCTCTAAACTCCAGACCAGCAGGGCCTTACACACAAGCATATCTCTACCTCCCCGATTCCCTCGCAGCGGGACACGGAGTCACCGGACTTATTCGGGATGCTCAAGAACCCGAAGTGAGATTATTCAAGTTTATAGGAGAGACAGATGTGACTGGTGCAGGAGGTGAGAAAAGGGTGGAGAAGAGAGAAGGGATTGTTACTCCTTTGAAAAGATTGAAGAGAGATCAAGGGGATAGAGGTGATGTAGAAGTGATTTTGAGAACGGCTTTGAAATTGGTGGATGATTAGTGAGTCTTCCCTTTTCTACCTTTCTCAACTCTACCTCTTCTCTCACTATCATCTTTGTCTTTCTTGATCTCTTCGTAGGGGAATGACTCCTGGTTTCTTGCAAATTTATATTGTCCCCCTCGGCAGTTGCTCCTTCGCTGTCTCGGTCATTCCATGCCCAGTTCTTCATTGCGCCTCTTTCATGTCAATAGGAGCTATAGGTATGGGAGATAGTGAACACAGCAATCCATTAATAATATATATCAACTAACAATCAGTCGTCCTATGCCAAGAGCCAGAGCACACATTGCAAACCTTCTCGAAACACATCAAAAACAACAAGATCGTATTCTTCAACTCGAAAGTCAAATCCAACATGTCAGTCCTTCTTCTCCAACTCACTCTCAACTAACTTGACCAGCTCAACAATCCATCTATCAAACCTTCACCACCCCTTAAACCCAAAATATCTCTTTCACCTTCCTCAAAGATCACTCCGTCAAGTCCAAACGTCAAATTAACACCTGACGAAGCTATAAAAGCAGAAGAAGAATCTCTCAAAACTCTCGAATCATCCTTACAAATACTACGTCGTCAAACGATTCAAAACACTTCTCCTCATTCTTCTAAAATCAACACCGTATCTCCTCAATCAACAAGAAAACAAATTTCACCTCGATCTGAAAAGAAAAGTACGTCTCCACAAATGTCCAAGATGAAATCTATCTCAACACCGGCCAAAACACCTTTACCGAATATTACCAACTCTCTCGTTAATGGTACAACTCCTCATAGACATCTTGGAACTATCAATCGGTTTTCTCCTCTGAAACTTTTAGGTACACCAAGGGCAGGAGTGGGACCTAGTGGATTAGGAGTGAATGAAGATAAGAGTATATTTGGGAAAAGACTTTCGAGGTCGGTCATTAAGATCAGACCTGTTTCACTGGATTTACCACTACAACCACCGTCTATCGATATACACGAGGAGACGCAGAATGACGAGGATGGAGAAGAAGGTGATGTAACGATTAGATTATCATCATCTACGAATTTGTTGAAGAGTCCTATTGTCGCTGGAGATACTACTCCGAAGAAAGATCAAACGTCTGATAAAGCACAAGATGGTTTGTTAGATGTCAAAGATGCAACACCGAGGAAGGAAGTGACGCCGACTAAAAAGATTACACCAAGACGATCTGACATTTCGTCCAGTTCAATCAGATCACCCATGGGTACAAGGGTAGAAGGGGTTAATGTGACTTTGGAAAATGTGAGAATAGCCGTGGTGAGTTTTTTACTTTTACTACCCAGCTCTGTACGATCTACTTTCATCCACGCTTCTTTCTTTCTGTCTCTTCCGCTTGGTTGAGTGCTTTTGGGAGCGCATTCGAACGTGTCGTTCGCGATCACATCCCAATAAATGCCATCTAGGCATGGGAGGGACATTAGCCAGGCCGGTTGAGATGGGGACTGTGAGGCCCGAGTAGAAAAGAAAAGAAGAGTATTTTAGGACTTACCAATAGACGAAAATATGGGAAACCCTTGCGGAGCTTATGCGGACTGGTCGAGATAACCCTTCTCATACCATCCCAGATACAGTGTAAGTCTTCTTTTCTCATCCACCATTCTCTGACCCGTTTTCTCCCTCTTACACCTCTAAGCCTCTCAAAGAGCCAGAATCAAGATTCAAAACCTACATTTTCTTTCTTACCGAGATCTATACTCTTCCTCCGGCGGTATACACATATTCTGGTAGAGAGAGGCTACACGAAGAAAGAGACATGGGACATGGGACGCTCCCTGATTCACAGGAAACACCTCCATTACCTCTCCATGGCAGATCCCGCCCCACCTCCTTCACCTAGCTCAGCATCTACCTCCACCCTTTCCTCTACCATCGTCCCAGCGCAACCTAAACCGAACCCTATCAAACCCCAAGACATCCTCATTGCTCACTTGTGTCTCCTCCTTCTCCGCTCTGCCTCACCTGGAAATCCCGATGGCGGTATGGCGATGAATGATGTCAAAGACAGATTAGCCGCTGTTGTCAAAGCCAGAGGATGGGAGGATGCGGCGGGTCAAGCTACAAAGGTCGTCTATGCCGCTGTGGGTAGACGGACGGTCAAGATTGATAGACGTGGTGGAGGTGGGGGTAGGATCAAATTTGCAGATTAATTTCACAATCACGAATGATCTTGTCAGTATCATATCTGCTCAAATCGTCACAGCAGGTGGAAATGATGACTATTCCTTCATGATCTATGTACATCGCTACTCACTTAGATACTTCGATTACTGCTTCTCGCTCAGCTCTGCCACACCAGGCAAAGTCTATCGTGTCAGCGTACCCTACTGAATTGTCTTTAATAGTATGAAGAAAGAGAGGGGAGAAGAGATGACAAGAGGTTTCGCACCTTTCCTTCAAGCAACTCCAAGCTCGCACCACCTCCAGTGGACACATGACTCAATTGATCTTCTTTACCTGCGTTCGCGACCAACGTCGCAGTGTCACCACCTCCGACAATGACAGTCGCACCGTTCTTGGCAGCTTTGATGCACGCCTCCAGCAAGGCGTTCGAGCCACCGGCGAAAGCAGGGAATTCGAATACACCAGCGGGGCCGTTCCACAGGATCGTCTTTGCTTCCGCGACGGTCTGAGCGAAGAGCTCGTTCGATTTAGGTCCACAATCGAGTCCTTGCCAATCCGCGGGTATCCCGGTCTCGTCAGTAGCGGACCCAGTCTGCATGTCAGTTTTAGTCAAGCGTCACCACCAAGCTACTGACATTGGCATCTTTGTCGAACTTGTCTGCAGTCACGTAGTCAACGGGGAAGACGAGCTTGACGTTGTTCTTCTTTGCCTTCTCAACGAGGTCCTTGACTTTCTGAGAGCCTGCTTCGTCGAAAAGGGATTGACCGATCTGACGCATCAGTCAAAAGTCTTCATTGAATTAAGGTGTACACGTACCTCCACATTTTCAAGCGTCTTCTTAAAGGTAAATGACATGCCACCGCAGATGATCAACGTGTTGACCTGTGATATCAGCGAAATTCCGAGTGTCGCATTGAGAATCACACATACCTGGTCCAACATGTTTTCAATGAGCTGAATCTTGTCGGCCACCTTGGCACCACCGAGGATGGCAAGGAAAGGACGTTCAGGGTTTTCGAGGACTTTGGCAAAGTATTCAAGTTCTTTCTTCATCAAGAACCCAGCTGCACGTTTGGGTAACTGAACGCCGACCATGGAAGAATGAGCACGGTGAGCTGTGCCGAACCTTCATATTCAATACAAGACCACTTCAGTCATGAGTGATTCTCACGCATCGTTGACATAGACTGTCCCAAGGGCAGTGAGCTCCTCTCTGAACTTTTTCACACTTTCGGGGTCGGCTTCAAGTCAGTTTACATACGAATATTGATGGATTCGACTCACCCTTAATCTTCTCATCACCTTTCTTTCCCTTACCCTCCTCTTCAACGTGGAACCTGAGGTTTTCCAAGAGGAAGATCTGACCGTCTTTCCCTTCCAACACAGCTTTCTGGATCTCCTCCCCCACGCAGTCAGGGAGAAAGGTGACCTCTTTGCCGAGCAGCTCAGACAATTTGGTGGCTACCGGCTTGAGTGAGTACTTGGGAATGGGTTGACCATCGGGTCTACCCAAGTGAGACATGAGGATGACAGACTTAGCGCCTTGCTCGAGAGCATATTTGATGGTGGGAAGAGCGGCGACGATACGCTGGGAATGTCAGTGGCCGGAGTGAGGGTGCAGACAACCACTTACAGCTGGGTTTGTGATATTAAGCTCTTTGTCCTGTCTGTATATATCAGCAGTGTGCAGATGAAAGGGATGAGATGGACTAACGGAACGTTAAAGTCGACACGGATGAGAACACGTTCGTCCTTCAAGTTGACGTCGGTGATAGACAATTTCGATGAGAGAGACATGGCGATCGTTGATTTCAAGATCTGCGTATGAATGAAAAGCTGATAACAGTATGCAGCAAAGGCGATAGTCAAAGATAGTATAAGTAGTCGGAAAAGAGGTTGCGTGAGAGTAGGAGTGGGCGTGGGCATACAATGGAGGGATGAGGAGAGTTTAGGGGTCCCTTCCGTCAGCCTCCCGGGAAATCTAGGACAAGGGGATCGCGTGTATCCTGGCTTTACCGAGTTACATGATGGGACATAAGGACCAGTGAGAAAGACTACTCACTTTGTGAATGGAGTACGAGTATTACGGATAGAGAACCAGATGTCAATGTGTGGAATGCGTTCATAGAAACACCAGTGTCGTCACTGGTAGGCCGTCGGCGTTAATCGGGAATTTCAGTGGAATGGGCCCCCCCCCCCACCCACTCACCCACCTTCCCCATCTCCATCTCAACTTTCTCTCTCCTCACCTCTTTCTCCTCACCTATCACCTCCATGGTAACCGTCTTACATCCTCACAGCAAGCAGTTACATTCATCATCCTCGCAAAGAAACGAGACGAGCGGTCAGCTGAGAGCAGGCGCTGTTCCTTTTCGACCTAGTAGCACCTCCATCCCGTCGTCCTCCGTCGGTGAGTCACCTCACTCTGCATGTCGAGTGTCATATTGATATCATACAGCAGTCGGCTCTCCTAGCAGCTCTGGTTCTCATAAGCCCCCTGCAGCTCCCAAACCTCTCTCATCTGGTATCCATCCTACTTTTGCAGGAGAATTTCGTTCTTCGTCGGGCGCTTCGAAACTCCGAAATCCCGAGACTAGAGTCGTAAGTCGAAATTTCGCTTGGACCCTCTCTATCTTCCCTCTTCCCTCTCCGTTGCCACTCCATTCCCTCGTTGACCATACAGCCAAAACCTCTAGATCCTGCCCTCGAAGAAAAAATCAAACGCAACCGTCAAAGATCTGAAGAGCTGGAGCGGAGGCATAGGGTGAGTACACAACTCCTGCCTGTAGAGTCCCTTCACTGACACGACAGCAAGTGGAGCAAGAGGCAGCCGACTACCGAGAAGAAATCAAACGAGCATCAGCAGAGGCTAGACGTCGAGCTGAGGTTGAGGCCATGGCCGTCGAGGAGAACAATCGCGCTCGCGAGGCTGCTCGTCAGCGTAAGCTTGACGCGTCGGCTCCCTGGACTCCCACTCAGTACTCTCATCGATCGGGAGCCAAGTCGAGTGAGGCTGGGGGACTCAGCGACCGGTGAGCTCGATCTCTTCACATGACTGTGGAAGAGACGAGCTCTTGATCTTGTACAAAGTGTAATCGTATATACCAATATGTCCGCCCTCGAGCGGTTTGTATCTGTTTCTCCCTCCCCAATTTCTCACCGTTCATCATCGCGCTGTGATGTCGAATCGGCCACTAACTCTGTCTGTCATTCCATTTACATAGTCTTTTCTGCGTACAATGCTCATCTACTGACACTCGCGCCTCAGCGAACAATCTTTATCTGAGGTTTTGTATAATGTCAAGACGAAAGAGCATAGTATATTGATGCCGACTTCGACTTATCCGGCTCAGAGGCCAGCTGTCGCCACTCGTGAGGTACGTAATAGTGCTCTCTGACCATCCGCTGCTCACCTTTAGCCCCAATCTCCCCGCAACCCCGAGGATCGAGGTTTCCCGAGCGACTGGTCGACTGCCCAGGTTGGATCTCTTATCCGTTGACAGTATTAGCTGACATGTCGCAGAAGCCTCGACGAGACCCGCGTGACCTGACCTTGGGGTTCTCCCCTGGCTACGGGCTGAGAGATGTTCCGGTGAGTATCATGCTCGGCAGAAGTGAGCTTACATGTAGCCTCATCTCAGTGAAGATCAGGGCGCACACAGAATGTATCCCGCTCCGAGTGTCGTGGCTCCCCCAGTCAACGCCGACGATGGGTGGGGCTCTGACCCCGAGCCCAGTCCGCGACCATCCCCCGCTCTCCAAACCCCCGACACGGCACGATTCGAAAACACCGGACTCCGAGGGTTAGAATATCATCGGGAGAGCATCGTCGATGCTGACGACGGTGGTTGGGGAGTGCCTGTGAAAGAGTATGATTCAGAGCCACCATCTCCAGATCCACGCCCAAACAGCGGCGGGTCTTATGTTCCGTGGCAGCCTGTCCAGTGAGTTCTTGTGATCTCATACCCAGGACACCTCGCTGAGCTATCAGATACTCAAGCGAGAGCAGTCTTCCGGAGCCAATCTCCCGGGACGAATTGCTCGAAGGCTTAAGCAAGATGAGTTTGGCCAGACGACCCGTAGAGGAAGACCGACCCGTGGGCTTCCGGCATACACTGGATGGGAGAAGTCCGGGCGATCAAAACAGAAGAGGGTTCCAGACAGACTTTCCGGATGTCTTACCTCAAGTGCATGAAGATCGGCCTGCCCGTGAGCGTGGCAGATTCAGTGGGGGTTGTCGTCGGTGTGGGGAGGACGGTCACTGGGTGCGTCCATATGCCTTGGTCACGTCACTGGGGTCGGATCATGACTGATACTTTAGGCACAGGAATGTCCTCAGACTGAGGCCTCCGGTAGGTTCGGCGACAGCACATGCCGACGATGCGGGCAAGAGGGACACTGGGTGAGCCAACTGCTTTCTGTCACGTCGATTCTGACTTTCCAGGCGCGCGAGTGTCCGCAAGTAGGAGAGTTCAGTGACACATGTCGAAAGTGCGGTGAAGGGGGACATTTTGTGAGGCCATCCATTGCTCTCCATCGGTCTCCACTCATGCGCAGGCTAGAGACTGTTCGAATCGTCGAGCGGGTGCAGACCGAGGGTGTTTCGGCTGCGGCGAGACGGGGCACATCGTAAGCATATCTACCGTGGTGATATCCTCCCCTGATCATCAGTCTCGCGATTGCCCGGAGAATAGAACGCCTTTGGCCCCCGAAGCTGTTGATTCGCTTCCAGCTCGCTTGTCAGGTTGGGACGAAGAAGCCCCTGAAGAGCGTGGCGATGTTCCTCCTGTTCAACGTAGACACCCCACCATTCATCCAGACCGACTGCGTATGCTGGGAGGCTTGCCTAACACTTCCTATAACACGCAACCCCAACCTCCTCCCCCAACGACGAGATGGTCTGATCAGCGCGATGGCCGCTCGGCTGCCCTACTCCCTGCAGTCACAAATCGTCAAACGGGACGTCCGGGCGACAACGTGCCCGTCCCTGTCGTCAGAATTGGTTCATTCAAGCCGACGCCCGAAGATGACGATGACGGCTGGGGTGCTCCTGCGGCTCGGGCTCCGGCGCCTGCCCCGCCCGTCGCGGAGAAGCCTGCGGATGATGATCCTTACGATGGGTGGTGAAGGGCTCCAAGTAGGTGTATTCTTGCCGTTTGGGGGATTTGCTAAAACTTAGACTACGAGCATACCCCTGTCGATATCGAGGCAGAAATCATCGCTCAAGTTGGTGTCGCATGTAAATAGTCTGTTTAGTCTCCCAATCAACACCACCATGCCCACTCAAAGTTCGTTCAACAGAACGTCGCATATATATCACTCGATATCATGCATCATGTCTCCTCGTATATTCCATTTCAAGTCTTTTGCGCACGAAGGAGGTTTACCATTTGACCAAACGAGCCATTGGTGTGGACGCCGATAGCTTCCGGAACGCGGATGAGCGGGCCGCCAAGCTGAGGGTCAGCGAGACGTGGAAAGTCAGAGAAGATTTCGCTCACCCGGGCCATTTTCTGTGCATCTTTCGAAGCTTGATGATCCTTTGTAGGATGTTGCTGGTGGTGAGCGATGGTGACATGGGAACCACAATAACTTGGACTGACCTCGAGCCAAAGTCGACGACGCTTGGCCGCTTCTTCTCTTTGAGGTTTCGATTTATCATATTCTTCCTGCTCTTCCGGTCTGTTCGTCAATTTTTCTCTTCCTTCTTCTCGACGATCCTCCTTGTCCCATCAGAGTGGAAATGGTAGAGCAGTGAAAGCAGGTAATCCAGTGATTGATGTAGAGATGAAATTGAAGAACTCACGTCATTTGCCATTCGTCCAACCATACATTCTCCCTTTTCTTCGAAACTTCTTTCTCGCCCTCTTTCGCACCCGTCTTGTTTTTCTCCTGTAACTGTTTGAGAGTGGCAGATACTGCAGAAAGTATAGAAGTAGGTTGTGTTTGTTGTGTTGGTGTAGGCGGTGGGATTTTCTTCTTAATCGCTGCTTGACCTTGACCTGAAGGTCTAGGTCTAGCAATAGGTTTCATCCCAATATGTCCCTCATGATCCGATTTACCACCTTTCACTTTCGACTTTATTCCAATTTCTTTCTCTACATCCATCTTCTCCGATCGAGTGTTTTCGACCATGAAATCAAACTTGTTCTTCCCTTTCTTCTTCTTGATCATGATATCATCATGATTCTTCTGATCATCCGATTGGGCAGTCTCAACAATATGAGAAGATCCAATGGTCGATCTTAATTCTTCCGTGTTTTGAACTTCGAATTCAGGTAAAAATTCTTCTTCTCCTTTTTGTCGTTTTGATTTCGTTGGACGGATCACTTCTTCTTCCGAAGTAGAAGATTCGTCCGACGAAGTGAAAGATGGACTTTTGAGTTTTCGTTTGTTCAAGGATTTATCTTTCTTCTTCTTCTTCTTCTCGAAGTTATCACTTTCGTAGTGTTTCATCTTGACGTCGTCGTCCTCTAAAATTTCACTCCCAAATATATCTTCAGCATCCTCTACTTTACTTTCTGCTACTTCGGTTGTTTCTTTGCTTTCTTCGACTGGTTTAGTCTCTTCGGATTCTTTCTTCCCTTTTCCCTTGTTTGTACGGGTTTCTGTGATGGCATGAGGAACAGTAAGTTTGATCTTCAAACCTGAAGAAGATCCGCTCTTCCCAGTATCACCATTTTTCACAGGTTCGCCACTACTCCCAACATTTCCGGTGATCAGAGGTTCGCCAGTGTTCACCGGCTCACCAATATTGCCAGTCTTCCCACTTGCACCAGTCTTTTCAGGCTCGAGGATCTTCTTCGCTCTTGTTCGAGATGTCGTCAAATGAGAGAAGAAAGATTCATCCGGTTTCGTCGTGACCTTCCTCGTGATTGGTTTCTTCTCTTTCTCCTTCTCCTGCTCCTTCTCTTTCCCCCTATCCTTTTCTTTTTCTTTTTCCTTTCCTTTTCCCTTTTCCTTTTCCTTTTCCTTCTCCTGCACCTTTCCCCTCGTTTGAACAGTCTTTACCATAGGTTTTTCTACTGGTGTGGTCACTTGATTTCTGGTCACCTTCAGATCCGCCGGTTTTCCACGAGTCCCCTTAGGCTTGTTTCTATCCCTTATCGCCTGTGGAAAAATCTGAAAAGTGCATCGTTGTCCTCTTTTCCTACATTTCACGCATGTCGGTTGGTCAGGTCGATCTTCATCTTCATCAGCTGTCGGAGGAGGGGATGGTGAAGAACCAGAAGGAGGTTCTTCACATCTTTGTCTTTGACCGCGCTATAAATCAACACTCCTTTTTCTCTTTCTACTATATCTCCTAAACATGGAGACGATGTGAAGTGAGGACTCACACAAAGATCACAATTTATCCAAATCTCAGAACGACTAGTCTCAGCTTTGACGGAAGTGTTCACCGATGATGGAGCTCCAGGAGTGGACGCATCGATAATTGTTGAATCTTCTTTTACCTTGCGTGTTCTTGTTTCACGTCGTTGAAGTTTGGGAGGGGAGACATGTCTCGCAATTTCTTCCACTACGGCAGTATCAGGCGGTGGAGTTTCAGGTGGAGGGGCAGGAGTTGAATCGTCGGGAAGGATTGCTTGAGAAGATAAAGAATCGAGGGAGGTAAGAGGGGAATTAAGACTGTCAGACTTGTCATCAGCATCGGGTTGATTTTCGACCGTATCGGATCGATAGGATTCCCGTCGCTTGTTTTGGGCTTTCTTCGCCAGTCGACTCGACATATCTTTTCGTCGATTTGAGAAAACAAATTAGACGTTATCGGTCGGAGTGTCAACCATGGAATTATGTGATGAAAGATTCGTATAGGACGAGAAAGGAAGTGGCTGTTATGGGAAGGATGAGTAGAGGGAGTAGGTGAGACGTTCTAAGGGTATTCCGTGATCAATGGCTGGGTAGACGAGGTTGTGTCAATGGTATAATTGATATCACTAAAGAAAAGAAACACGAAAGAAGGATGGAGAGATATGTATGGTTGCGACAAGAAAGTCGTGATGTGATGGATGGGTCGGAGTTGCCGGAGGTCGCTCGGTTGCGAAGACATTAGACGTCAACAACATATTGTCATCTCTACATCAACCTTGTTTCCTTTTCTGCTAGCTGATCAGTTGGTTCACATGGGTCCCTATAACCCCTACAAGTCAAATAGTGCACGAGTACTGCTGAAGCTCTCATTTGTCCTGTCTGGGTCATAGAATGACGTCCCCCGTCCCCGAGTCACTTCCACTAATCCTGAACAACTCCAACATCTCGAAGACGCCGTTCGCTTAAAACACTTCGCCCTACGCTGGACTCGCAGAGGAGGAGAATCCCCTTCATATGTCGGATCAATAGTCCATAATGTCGTATTTCTCGTTTCCCTTCTCAGCCTGCACAGTCATTCAGCAATATCCGAAGAAACACCTTGCAAGGCTGAAAAGTATTCTTGTGTATATACGAGTCTCACCACCGGATTCCTTCAGGATCACCTGGCGAGTCCCGTTGACCCCGTGGAGACTTCGACTTGCCATCATTGGATATGTCTAACGATGACTACCAGATAACGTGGGGATGTAGGTGGACGAAGGATGACCCCTTTGCTTCCTCTCAAAAGACAGACCTCACTCAAGTCCTCAATTGTCGAACCACCACTCCCTTTCGAATCCCACCTGGCGCAAACGGAACACCCACTTAAACAAGCAGACTAACGTATATGGTGAACCGCTAGTTAAATCAAAACGCATGCACAGATCATCACCATAACCGCCTTTTCGATTCTGGCCATCCTACTCGTTGTGATGCTCATGGAAGCAGACTCCGGGGCTGACGAAGACAACCATGAAATGGAGCCAAGCGACCCCAGTGAACCCAAGCAACAGCCTTGTGAAGACTACGGAAACGGGAGGATTACTGAAAACGGCGTCACTCCCGTTTCCGTCTCGATACATTTTGCTTCCTTCTTCGTCGATCGTGATCGCTTTCGCCCTCGAACACAGCACTTGCTATTCGCGTTGGAATTTTCTGTGATGGATCCGTAATGGTACCATAGTCCCCGTCCTCAGAGCTCACTACTGAACGGTTCATAAAGGCTTGAGAATTCACCCGTTAGACATACAGATCCCACCTTTCGAACAAGCCTTAATCCCGACCAACCGACCAACGAACCATCCTCAACCTACTCTCCTCTGACTACGCGCGCGTCAACTGAATCTTCGTGGGCACTTTTTGGTCTAAAATTTCGTTACTAGCTGATCCTCTAGAACTTTACGTTGTCTGCGGGACTGACGCTTGACTGAATAGCGGGAAGTCGCTCGAGGTTGTCACTGACCCGCAGATAACTGAGAAGTATATTAAGCACGACGTGCAAGGCTTAGGATTTTCAACATCTTCTCTCTCTCTCTCTCCTATACACCTTGACCCCTCTCCTACTTCTCATCTCATCTTGAACCTCGACCCAGACTCATCATTCTCATCTCTCTCGACTCAAGTTTATCAATCTTAGACTCAGACTGACACTAGAAACCTCCCTGAAACTTCTTTAATTCGCACTCTAATCAATTCTCGTCTCCGAATATCTCACGACCGGCAACAACATGCTCTCCACTCTCCTTCCCTTGGCGTTATACGCTCTTCCCTTCGCTGCGGCAGGATATCAGCTCCCCGATAACTGGCAAGATCTAGCTCTCGCGACCTCCCCCGACGTCTATCGTAATTTCTCTTCCACCCATCTGACCGCTCGTACTTCCACGACGACCACCGAAACATGTGCCAAAGTCGCAGGTACTTGGGGTACGGTCAAATACGACTTTGGATGTTTGTGTATGAGTGATGTGGACGATTACGCTGCCGACAATCATATCGATAATAATATCGTCTCTTTGATCAAATACTATGTAAGTTTGTTCATCTTCCCTAGGTGTACTCCCACTGACCAGCCAGATTGCTTATACCGGTGACACGAAGAGTTATCCTATCAACGCTCAACCCACTTGTGATGGTAAAGGCGGTTTCGATTGTGGTGAATATCAACTCTCCAACGGTGCTTGCGTTCGTCCTACCGTCAACACCGTCGTATGTCCTTCCGGCTACTGCTTAAGCAGTGGACATTGTTGTCCTCGTGGTCAAACCTATAGCAATGGCAAATGTTGTGGTTCCAGCGGTTGTTCTCACTCCGGCACTACCTGTTCCCCTGCCTACTGCAACGGTTACACCTCCAACGGCGTGTGCTGTCCATCCGGTACACCCTCAGGTGGGGTCGGTCAATCTTCCATCTGCTGTCCTTCCGGTCAAGTCGAATCTAATGGACAATGTGTCTGCCCATCTGGACAATCGAAAAACCCAAGCGACTCGACTAAATGTATCACCTCTTGTTCTACCGGCACCAAATTCTGCAACACTAAATGTTGCCCTACGGACGCAACTGAAGTGAATGGACAATGTGTCTGTACCGACAAAAATGAACAACTCTCCTCCGATGGTAAATCATGTATCAGCAAGTGTTCTACCGGTATGAGTTACTGCAACACCAAATGCTGCCCCACCGATGCCACCGAAATCAACGGACAATGTGTGTGTACCGACAAAAACGAACAACTCTCCTCCGATGGCAAGTCGTGCATTAGCAAGTGTTCTACTGGTATGAGCTTTTGCAACTCTAAATGCTGTCCTACCGACGCCACCGAAATCAACGGTCAATGTGTGTGCAAAGATAAAGGTGAACAATTATCATCAGACGGTAAATCCTGCGTCAGCAAGTGTACCACCGGTATGAATTACTGCAACACGAAATGTTGCCCTTCCGACGCTTCCGAAGTTAACGGCCAATGTGTTTGTAACGATAAAGGCGAACAACTCTCCTCCGATGGCAAAACTTGCATTAGCAAATGTACCACCGGTATGACTTTCCGAACTACGAAATGTTGTCCCAACGATGCGACGGAAGTCAACGGACAGTGTGTTTGTACGGATAAAGGAGAACAATTATCGTCGGATGGGAAAACTTGTGTTAGCAAATGTACGACGGGTATGACATTCCGAACTACGAAATGTTGTCCCGATGATGCGACGGAAGTCAACGGACAGTGTGTTTGTACGGATAAAGGAGAACAATTATCTTCAGATGGGAAAACTTGTGTCAGTAAATGTTCAAACGGAATGAGTTGGTGTACAAGTAAATGTTGTCCCACTGGATCTACCGAAGTAAACGGCCAGTGCGTATGTTCGAACAAACAACAAACCCTTTCAAACGATGGAACTCAATGTGTTAACAGATGTTCCAACACCGCTTGGACTTATTACTCGACCATGTGTTGTCCTTCCGGTTCTACCGAAATTAACAAACAATGCGTTTGTTCCGATTCTCAACAAACAATCTCCGGTTCTGGATCAGCCATGCAATGTATCGATCGTTGTACCAACGGATGGAAATTCTACAACACCATGTGTTGTCCTTCTGGATCTACCGAAGTCAACGGTAAATGTACTTGCACGAGTTCTCAACAAACCATGACCGGTACCGGTTCCAACATGCAATGTACCGATCGTTGCCCGAACGGACACACCTATTGCAGTACCCAATGTTGTCCACCTGGATCTACCGAAATCAACGGTAAATGTGTCTGCACCAGTTCTCAACAAACTATGACCGGTTCAGGATCCAGTATGCAATGTACCGATCGTTGCCCTACCGGACATACATACTGCAACACACAATGTTGTCCTCCTGGTTCAAACGAAGTCAACGGTAAATGTGTCTGTACGGATTCTCAAAAGACTATCACCGGATCAGGATCTAGTCAACAATGTACTTCAAGATGTACAGGTTCTCAATCCGGTTGGACATATTACAACACTCAATGTTGTCCTTCTGGAGCAACTGAAGTGAACGGTAAATGTGTTTGCTCCACCAACTCACAAACTTTATCTTCGGACGGAACGAAATGTGTGGATAAATGTGCTTCAGGTTATTCATGGGGTACAACACAATGTTGTAAAACATATTTAACCGAAACCAATGGTAAATGTGTTTGTTCACAATCCGGTTATATCGATAACGGTTCATCATGTGTACCTCAATGTACTTCTTCAGAAACTTATAATTCAAACACTGAGAAATGTGAAGCTAAATGTATCGCATCGGATGGATACGTTTATTCAGTAGGATATAACGGAGTTGGAAGATGTTGTAAAACAGGTCAAACAGCTTGTCAAACTGTTTGTTGTCCTGTTGGTCAAGAAGAAGTCGGTAACACTGGTCATTGTTGTTTACCAGGATCAACTTATTCAAACGGTCAATGTCATTCACCAACAATGGTACCACGTCGTAGAAACTTGAATCAAAAGAAAGAAATCCAAACTACAATCTTCGGTTTAGAAGAGAATAAAGCTGCTAACCTTTGTCCTGTCGGTTTGGCAGCTTGTCCTATTCCAGGTAGAATGAACGATTACGAATGTCTCGACGCGATGAACGATCTTCAATCTTGTGGCGGTTGTACTTCTATGGGTACAGGAATAGATTGTACAGCTATCCCTGGTGTTAGATGGATGGGATGTAACGTTGGTAAATGTGAAGTTTACAGTTGTAAGGCAGGTTTCAAGAAAGTTGGATCGAATAGGTGTGTGAGAGTTTAGTTGGGGATGAGAGATGGAGAAATCTTGGATTATCATTTATATATACACTCTTTTAGGCATTTTAAGCATGGGTCATCAGTCTCTTTTATTCAATCTTTAGACATCTTAATAAGTCTTATGAATCATTTGAGGCTTGCTTCGTTTTTCGCTGCATCTTATGAAACTGCCTTTCTCTTAATCGCTAATCTTAGACAATCGATTTCGACACGATATCTGCCTCATCACTTTGTGTGTTCAAGGTTGCGCTGGGAAGAGTCGTCATTTGAGGTAGAGTACCTAATGCATCCACTTGGGTCCAATTGGGTACCATTATTCAAAGCTAGGCCACCAACTCTCCACCCTTCCACGTTGAAACATGACCACCGGAATGGCTCCATATTTAAACGGATTCCCCTCCCAAACGGAAAAAGCCAAATTCGAATCCGTTTCCACTCCAAAGATCTCATCCACACCACTGGAAATAAGTTCCATAGCTAAGATATCTTTATCCATTCCTAACGCCCTCGAAGGAGCTTGACTAGCCCAACCTGCTTCCCACCATAAATCACGTACCATCCTATCATCTGAATGTCAGCTGGACTATGGACCAATTCACTGCACAACCCCTTCTTCTTTCCAATTCTTTGCGGATCCATTGGATATAGACTATCCCACATTCTTACGAAACCTGGGTGACTTGAAGTGGTTATGAGGTGGGTGACTTGTGCGGATCATAATATGTCAGGAATCAAAAGCACTCACCTCCAGCAGCCAAAGCCACCTTCACACCAGCTTCCATGAGTATCTGAACCGGTGTTGTATCCGTCAATGGAATAGCCGGATGACATCTTTTTTGTTCCCATGTTAAGGGCATACATCTCCATGGAGCTAGTATGACAGGTATACGTGCTCTAGCAAGTGTGGAAGCGACGAGATGAGCTTCAGAACCGCCTATGACAATGATACGGAGGTTTGGAAGGTCTCTTTGCAACCAAGGTAGTTTAGTCATGATGTCCTATTTGTCATTACTCTGTTCCTATTCATTGCAAAAGTGATATATCTACTATATGACTTAAATATGAACTGGCAGGAAGCATATGAGCGAAGTAGGGTGCTGGAACCTTCATGGTGATGCGCGACCAAAGAGGATGAGTATGAAATGTAAGAATGAAGTGAAACTTACGGCACTTTCCACATGAACAGCCAACGGCATTTGACCACTTGCCACAAATTCCCATGTCTCATCCTCAGGTTCTAAGAGTAGATCACGGAGTGTTTGCAATTGACTTGATATAGTCGGTACACGAGCATTCTTCGCAGTATCACCAAGTGTGACATGTAACGCGACATCTTCTTTGATAAATGAATTTTCTTCACCTTCCCCATCTTTCACTTAGCTCGATGTCCAAATTATACATAGAAACACTTACTATTGATAGAAGAATGAAAAGCCATACTGACACCTTTGATGAAACCTCCACCAGCTATACGTATTTGTAAAGTAGGTCCAATAGCACGAGGAGGAGTAATGATAGTTGTCACTCCTACCAGTGCCGCTCGAGAAACATGAATACTGGCTTTTGATAAACCATATTTAGCATGAACAGGATGAAAGTTTGTAGGATCTGTGAGACCATCCGAAGTGGAAGATTCCATCAAAATGTCTGTTAAACCATGCATTGGGGTCAAGGCTGTGAGTCCCTTTAGATCAGCATCAATTCTTGATTTTTTAAACGGCAACATACACTCGGGGGAGATGAAGAAGGAAGATGATGACATACAGGGACTAGATAACCATTTTCCAATTTCATTTCCACCGCACCTCTTCTCATAGCTTGAAGAATGAAATCATCACATTGACCAACACACTCGATTCTTCCATTCAAAATTACCACATCGCCAGTCGCAGAGTTCGATTTCAAGCCGGATGGATGGAGATGCGTTCGAATTGATCGAAATATCACATTCCCTTTTCCAAAAGTAGAGTTCAGTGGTGGAGGTGTTTGAACTATACCTCTTTGTTTCGGAGCATGATGGACCAGAGATGAATTCCAAGTGAGAGATTCTTGATCGCTAGCTCCACCAATAATCTGTTCAGAACCGTCTATCCAAACTTGTAATGGAGACGCTCCTAATTGTAAAGGATGATCATTCCAAACCACCAAATCCGCATCGTAACCTTCTCTGATATAACCCAAACGGTCGTCTAATCCAAGTGCAAGAGCGGGAACTGAGAAAAGAGCAGCGAGAGAGGCTTCGGTGGGTAGACCGAAATTGTGCGTTACTTGAGCTTCGCGGATGGGATATTGACCGTTCAGAGCGGGATGATCGGATACGAGGGCCACTTGAAAACCTGCTTCGTGCATGATCGCTGCGTTGTTTACTGACGCTCTCATGGTTTCCTATCGATGTCAGCTAAGATGCGAGGGATCTTATGATCAGTAGACACTGTGGAATGTCAGGAGCAGGTAGACTCGCTCACAGGTTTGAAACCATATTCCGTGGCGAACAATGCCAAGGTTAAAGGTAAATGAGGACGAAGACGATCTACCATTCTCCATGTCTCTGTGGCATGGTGTAAAGCCGTAATATTGAATTGGTTTTCCTCGGCGGTACGTAAAATCATCTAATTCATCAGAGTCAATCTTTCACCCTCACGATCTTGCATTCTATCTTTTGGCATTGTATGAGTAGTAGAGAATAAAGGACTCACTTCGATATCCTCAGTTTTATAACAATGTACGTTCACTCTCACATCCCCTCGAAGAGTATCGACCAAAGGTTGAAGTTCGAGATCAGATGGATATCTAGTAAGAGGATTAGGAGATTGACACCATTCGTCTTGTTCATCCTTCAAGTTCCTCGCTTTTGACCAGAACTCCCTGAACAAAGCACCTTCTCCTAATCGAGTGCTTGGTGAACCTTTCGATTTAGGATTTTCCCCACATGCCATCTTGAGATACCGTTGTCTTTTTATACTCGCAGGATCGTGAGATTGGACTAACATTCCTTCGACGGATAAATCGGGCATTTCTCGAAGTTTGAGTGAATAGCCTTGACCAGAAATGAGATTTTGTGCTCCGGTGAGGATCAAGGTTGATGTCACGCCTCCTGATCGCTATCTGTGAGTTCCCCCTCTCATCTCTCCTCAACAAGGCCACTCATACTCCTCCTCTGTCCAGATAGAAACAGTAATGTTGAGTGAGGTGCGGAAGAAAGACGAAGCGAATCGAGGTGTAAGTTAAGTAGGTTGAGAGAGAGACACAAGACTCACCACACGTTCCAAAGCCTCATCAGAAGGATCAAACCCATCTATAGCTCTCATATGAGGTGTAACAGGAGAAGATAATTCACTAGTATCTTCACTCGCATGAAATTGAGGTAAAGATCTTGTTCCTAAATGAGAATGCATATCTTTTCTTATTAGCAGACTCCCCTTCTTCCCATTTCGTTTCATGTTAAGAACATACCAATGATACCAGGTGTTAAATATCTTCCCCCTAAATCTTTGACTCGTTTTCCATTGATGGTACCCACATCAGCGATCTTGGTGATTGTTCCTAATTTGACCTCAATATCACGTTGACCAATGAGGTTACCATTCCCATCGATAACGGTCGCATTACGTAGAACGAAAGGTTGATGTTTCGCAGCTCTCGGATTGAGTCGTTTGGGATTTGGTGAAGGTACAAAGGTCCTGATGGTGTCTTGTTTACATTTCTTTATATCTTCCAAATGAGTGAGAGATGTAGGTGAACCCTTATAGGTAAGATGTGAGGTTGAAAGAAGGATGAGGGAGAGTAGAAGAAGGGGAAGAAGATATTTTGGACGAAACAGTGGTTGGGAGGATGATTGAAAGGTTTGATCGTATGGTAAACCTATCATACTGCTTCGAGCTGTTGTGATGTTTGACAAGGATACTAGAGTTCATCTTGTCCATATTGTCTTGACGAATCTTGTCAAGTTGGGGAATAGAACTGACGCTGAAGATGGTCAACCCTGGTACGGAGGAGGAGGGTTTAGCGATTGAGGCGACGAGGTTTTCTTCTTAGAGTATCATCTTTCCCGGATCCCGGAACTCCGGAATGACTACGACTTAGTTACTGCGTGGGCACCGTGTCGTATGTGACCAATCCAGCCAGCTTGAGAAAAGCGAGAATGATATTGTACGTATGGCTACTACCCTCACATGATGAAATACGAATCATTGCGAATGAGATAAGCTCCTAGATCCTGCTTATTCCCTCCTTCTTCCAACTTCCTTATCTCCACCAACAAATCCCGGGTTTTGACGATATTGTTTCCCCAACCGGCCTTTGCCGATTCTTCTAATCGTTCAATCACCCACTTAAACTGCATGTATCAGCTCGGATGTCCCCAATCAAGACATGATCCACTTACCTGCCCTTTATTCTTCGTTTCCAAAGCGGCGAAGAACAGCGGTCGGGGGAAAACGGACTGAGCGACATCTGGAAAAATACGTGAAACTTTATCCGCACTGGTGAGGATACGAGACCAAGCACGATCAGGAGGTGGCATGTTGAGTATCCTACATAGATAGATGACGAGTGAATTGAATAATCCAGCTACGAATGATTTGGTCACCAATTTCGAATCTTCATGTCTTTCTGGTTTATCAGGTTCAGAAAGGTTGTCAAGTAAAGGAGGATCGAATAGATTTTGTAGGTTTGATAAACGTTCATATAAAGCATCACCTTCTCTCATACATTGTCGAACACCTTCGGTATCACCCGTCCGTCTACTATGTCGTAATGATCTATCAAGTCGTAGACATCTTGCTGTGAGATAATTGATATGAAGAGGTTCGAGTGAAGCAGCTGGCCATCCTGGATATTCACGATCATCGGATAATTCGAAGAATGGTCCTGATAAAGCCATGGTATAATCTGCATTACCCATACCGAACATGGACGCTCGAACGTCGAAGGAAGTCAATATGACGGCTATTCGTTGTGTCAAAGGAGAGAATTGAGCGACACGAATAGGAGAATCGATCAAGTTTGTTGCTAGTTGTAACATGTGATGTAAACCTTCATGATTGGTAGCTGTTGCGATATCGTATTGACAATATATCAAAATAGCCGCTAGATGAACGTCTACATCGGCGTCATTTCCCTCGGAAAGACATGGTAAAAGGGCAAGACCACATGCGTGATGTTTTTCTTCCGCGTATCTGAATAAATGTCGTCGTCGTTCTGATGTTTCGGGAAGAGTGTTTCCCAAATGCCAAGCTGACCATGCTAGTATTCCAGCGTATAGAGGTTCGTAAAATAGACCAGCGGCGAATAATCCAAGAAAGTGATTTGGTATGGTGGCCTGATTGTCAGAAATATGATTCCGTTGTGCAGTCATTGAGAAGATTACTGACATCTCGTAGTTTTGCCCATTGAGACACTCGCTCTAAATAATGAGATATCAAAGGCTGATCCTCCGAAGCCAATGCCACCGGTGCTCGACTTGGTCTTGTAGGAGGTGTAGGTACATTCGTACTGGTTCGAGTGGTGGGTGAGGTCGTAAATACAGGTGCTAAAGATACAGAGAAAGGTTCGTTTAATGATGGACCAAAAGGGTCGAAGCCTACGTCAAATGACAACTCCGGACCGAATATTCCACTATAGAAATCAAATCCGTCCGATGGATTGGACATTGTGACCAGGTCAGAAGTGGTCGACCCCAATTGCCAAGAAGATGTGTTCTGAGTGAACCCATTTTGAGAAAGAATTGTTTCTTGAGTAGGAGTGGGATCACGTTGAGGTGAAGGATCTGGTTGTGGATCAAATTGCCAGAACTGAGATGTTGAATGGACGGGTTCAGTATCATGAGACAAAACTTGTTGGATAGTGTCTGAAGGTAGAGAAGGGTTCTGTCGAATGGGAGCACGTAACCTTCTACGTCTAGGATCTTCCACATCTATCTCCTCTGGCCATTGACATTTCAAACATAATCTGACGCAATGTTCACAGTTTGGTCTCTCGCGACCACAACCAACACGACGCTTTCTGCATGTCAAACATCCTAAACAACTCAGCTACCATCATACGAAAAAAAAAATGGCACGGGTCACGACAGTAGTGGCTTATCAGACGACTCACCATCTTTCCTTCGTTTAAGACCCGCATGACGGGAAGCTCTACCGGATGGTGAAGTATCTCGGGACCTCTGCCCGAAGGTGATGTTGGAGGAAGAGGGTGATCCGTCGTTCGACATGGTTCTAGACTTTTTTTGAAGTGGTGAGGCAAAAGTGAATGTCGTTTGTGAGGGTGAGACTCGGCAACATCGGGGAATATCGCCTGTTCGTTTGAGCTCGCTTCCGGATCAGTGGAGCCCCACATGACCCACACCATCAAATGTCGGCTTCCCCGGTCTTGGTACCATCTGTCGACCACTTTACAATCATCTATGCATCAAACTTTCTTTCATACAACTACCAATGCCATCACTGGTTCTGGCTTGTCGTCAAGATGCTGCTCCCCTTGGTTGTCCTCGCTCTCAAATTCAACACTTCAGTCCATGCCTATTCCCTTCCCGCTCTCGCTGCTGAGGCTGTCCAATGGTCATCGGAAATCTCCCCGTCCAAATGCCCGCAACCTCCTTACTTCCCTCCCTCCCCGTCCTCTAGCTATTTTGACACCCCTCAATTTGCCAACATTAGCTTAAGAAGATTGCAAGGTGCCATCCGTCATCCTACTCAATCCTTCGATGACCTCAGAGACCCCGAAACGGACTCTGACCCAAGATGGGCAACATTCCCACCTTTCCATACTTTTCTAAGAGAAACGTATCCTTTAGTGTAAGTGCACACTTATCTCCAAACTTCATGACTGATTAAGAATAGACACGAACGACTCCAGCTTGAGATCGTGGGAGGATATACATTACTTTACACTTGGAAAGGGTTCACGAACGCTTCTCCATTCATGTTCGCAGCTCATCAAGATGTCGTTCCTGCTACATCTGGCGACCAATGGAGATATCCCCCCTTTGAGGGTCATTTTGATGGTGTACGTAATCTTCTATCCTCTGTCCACCTGGAAGAAGAAAACTGATAGGTAGGAATGGATATGGGGAAGAGGATCATCAGATTGTAAATCCAACCTAATCGGATTACTCTCAGTTGCGGAATATCTATTGTCCATAGGTTATAAACCTCATCGTACTATTTTATTCGCTTTTGGTCAAGATGAAGAAGTTGGAGGAAGATATGGAGCATCTCGATTAGGACCTTTCTTAATGAAAAGATATGGGAAACATGGTATAAGAATGATTTTAGATGAAGGAGGGAATGGATTGTCTGATGAATTTGGACCACTCATTGCCATGCCTGCTTTAGCTGAGAAAGGTCAGTCTTTCTTCTCTTCCCTCTTTTCGTTCCTTTTGGACGAAGAGTGAATGAAGTGGACAGAACGATTTTGGGAGTTCCAATTGAACCAGACGATCATTGCTTATTCTAGGTTATGTCGACGTTTATATTCACGTACAATCCCCAGGTGGACATTCTTCCGTTCCTGGCAAACATTCTTCTATCGGTTTCCTCTCTCATATCATTTCTGAACTAGAAGATGCAGAAATTTATCATCCAATACTTGAGGAAACAAACCCTTATTACGGTTATGTAGAATGTTTAGTTCAACATGTCGATCGAGCGAAATTACCTGAATGGTTACCGAAACTCGCAGAAGATCATCAACTGGGACAATTGGCCGAACATCTTGCGGAGCAAAGTTTAACACAACGATATCTACTTCAAACTAGTAAAGCTGTTACTATTTTTCATGGAGGAGAGAAGAATAACGCTTTGCCTGAAGATGCCAGGGCTGTGATAAATTCTCGTATTGAGGTATGTCCACGTTTTCAAGATACAACCACCACCCTTCCGTCATAGTCAGATGCAAGTCGAAATGACTGATGAAAAGATCACTTCCTCTGTCAAAGAACACATTGCCAAAATCACCGAATTCGTGACTCCTGTAGTTGCGAAATACAACTTATCTCTAGTGGCGTTTGGTAAACAAATTTCAAACGATTCAGAAGGTACAGTAAATCTGATTCTTGGTGGTCATAACGAACCCAGTCCAATAACTAAAAGAGATACACCTGAATGGACTATTTTCTCTTCCGCTATTCGATCAGCTTTCGGTCAACATACTATCGCTGCTAGTGCTTTAATGACGGGTAATACGGATACGAAACATTATTGGGATGTATCGGAGAATATATATCGTTGGACACCTGCTAGATTAGGAACTCGATTGAACGCCCATACGATCAATGAGAGGATCATGTTAAAGACTCATGTGGAGGCTGCAAAGTTTTATCATGGTGAGTTATGCCTTTTCATTGATGTAATGGATCATAAAAGTGTTGAACTGATCAGAATAGAACTCATACTGCAAGCTGATGCCGAGTGATCTGGAGGGGAGTGAAGTAACTGATCGGGATTATCTACAATCTTTCGATTGAGGATAGCGTGTCGCATAGTGTGAGTTCATCTAGATGCATGGTATTTTCAAAGAGATCATTGTCCAATAAGTATCATTTTCATAATCCCAAAGAAGCGATAGCTCCCAAAACGGCCACAAATGATAATACCGCCCATATCAAATTCCCACCTAAAGCATGACGATCGACAGAGAGAGCAAATAAAGTTGAAGCTGCTCCTGGTCCAACTGCCCTCATAGCGGATGCTACAACTTGTGCTAAACCTACATTATCCCGTCAACTCGAATATCATCCGAACTTGATAAAAAAAAACTCACCATTTATAGCTCCTAAACTATGTCTATTAGGTGCTAAATCATTCACCATGATTAAATTACAAGCTGTCCCATCAACTTTTCTCCCATTTATCGATATGAGCAAAATAGGAGAGAGGAGAGAGAGGGAAAGAATTCACTCACAAAAAGCCATATTGGCAATTGAACCTAATAATAAAGAAACGAATAAACCTATCCAAACTAAAACACCTTGATCAAGTCTAGCTAGTATATTAAGTATAGGTAACATGAGGAAACAAGGAATGTACATTGTTGATAAGATTTTATATAATCTTATCGTTCCTATTTTCCTCTGTAACCAAGGAAAAGTGAAAATCTGTACGAAAACAGTACATATGGCTCTTATAGATAAAGCTTCTCCTATTCCAGTTTCATTAAAACCTAAACCACCATCGAAAATTGGTGTAAAACAATATAAAGGTAAAAGTCCAACTAAAGCAGTGGCTTGTAATGCTAATAAACCGAAATTAAATAACATCATTCTAACTTCTGATCTTTTGATTAATTCACTTGCTGAAGCATGATGTTCTTCTTGTCGTATCGAAATAGAAGGATCCGAGATGGGTTTGATCTTCGTTTCTTTTGGAAGTGTTTCGTTTAAGAGGAAGAATGATAGGATACCACTTAGGAGTGGGAATAAACTTGCGATTATACATGGAATAAGATATGGGAAAGTGAGAATCCATGGATATGATTTACCCATTGAAGGGTTTTTAATACCGAGATTGGAAAGAGTTCCACCGATGAAAGATGCTATGATGGTTCCTAATGAATAACAAAGTGGGAAGTATCCGAAAGCTCTAGATTTATTGGTATCGTCTGTTATTTCTGCTCTTTTCATGTCAACACGAGTATATAAGAAAAAGTATCACAGACGAGTATATAAGAAAAAGTATCACAGTTTCCGAAGAAGATTAACACAAATTCCAAAAGGAGATTATGACTTGGTGGATGAGATCAAAGTTCAACGTGGAAAGAAGATGAAAAGGATAGATACTTATGAGATTCTAGAAAGAAAGTAGAGGGTAAAAACTCACAACATGCTTTTGACAATGACAACATTACCATTCGCTAACCCTGCAAAAGTACGTGTTGCTATCATAGCTACGAAAGATCGACTGAAACCGAAAGCGATTCCGGAGACAGTAGCACCTAAACAACCCTAATCATCAGTAAAAAAACATCATACATGGACTCATAAACTGACAATGATGACCACGGGTTTACGTCCTATACTATCGCTCATTCTTCCCCAATGATACACCGTCAACAACTGAGCGACAGAGAAGAGAGATTCGATCTGCCTAATCAGTAATTTCAATCATGATAGTGGGAATAACTGTACCAGACCAGCGTAAAACCCAGCTTTCTTAGGATCCGACACTACTCCCAAATCCAACAACATCTGGTTGACGAATGGGAAACATACTACGAAAGCGATAGGTTCAGTCACACGAAGGAAACAAATGAGAGAAAGTTGTAATTTCGGTAAAGGTGTGATTGTCTCTTTTTTATCTGGTAAGAGAGGAGATCTCTCATCTTGTGTTTCCGCCATGTTCAATCGTAAAGGGAGGGAAAGGTTCGATCTCCTTGAATTTGTTTGAAGTATTTCAATATGGAGTGAGCTCGTTTCTGAGGATCTTAGACCATCTCGTGCTTCGATGTCGACAAGATGTCCAATAGGCCTAGTAGTAACAGTCCGTCCTCGTCCCGGACCGAGACATCCCTTGATCCGTCTCTCTACCGATCTCTCGGGACCTTCCGAGGAAAATGTTAGTCCCCCGCAGGCCACAGAGGATTACTTCGGCATGGTGAGGACGAATCAATTTAGCTTCTACCAAGAGCCAGTCTATTCAAGAACAAGTGACAAGTGACAAATCTAGGGGAAGCAAGTATGGGCAAAGATACGGTCCGGGGTTCTAAACGACAAGGTACCCGGTCAGAAACGATCGAAACGATACACCTCCACTTTTTTTCCAAAAAAAAAGAGTAACCCTTTCAATGTTATCGATCTTCCTCTTTCCTCCTTGCTCCTCATTTGACCTTATCTTCAATGACTACTGTCTTTTCATCCTCGCTTCCGGCAGTATCATGACCGATAAGCCGGGAGATTTAACAGTATCACAAGACTTTACAATGTTCTTAAGGCTTCTCACCATAATCTGAGAAGGTTTATCCCCTTTCACCTTCCACCTTCGAAAACGAAGACACGACAGTACTTAACAAGTCGATACAAGATGAACGATATTCATCAAGATATGGATGAGAAAATGTCTTCTGTCGTTGATCCTAAGATCGATTTGGCGGAAGAAGAATATACAGAGGCTGAATCACGTAAAGTGGTCAGGAAATTGGATATTTATATTTTACCAATAATGTTCGTTTTGTTCACCCTTCAGTTTATGGACAAACAAGTGAGTGATGTCTCTCATGATGATCGTATGACTATGTGAGGGGATAAATGTTGATGCGTAGGCTCTTAATTATGGTGCTATTTGGGGATTAAAGACCGATCTAAAGGTTAGTCACCTTACCCCAAATGAGCTCAAGAGAAAAAGGAATGATGTGTGATATGGAGGGTTGACTGACTATTAGCTCACTTCGGACCAATATGCGTGGACGGGTTCAATCTTTTACTTTGGATATCTTCTAGCTCAATTCATCTTTCCCCCGTTGGTACATAAAGTACCTATTGCAAAAGCGTGCGGAGTGTTCATCTTCCTTTGGTCGGCGGTTCTTATGACTATGCCTGCTTGTAAGAATTTTACTGGTCTAGCTTGTGTCAGTATCTCTTCCTGCTCTTTCGCCCTTTTCTCGTGTCCCTCATTCCGCTGCTCTACACCGACACCTTCTCTCATCTATGCTTATCTGCATTCACCCTTGACAAAGCGAAATACGTTCGAAGGGGTTCTATGACTGACTCATGACCAGCAACGTTTCTTCCTGGGTGTATGTGAAGGTGGAATCACTCCCGCCTTTGTCGTTCTCACTTCTCTTTTCTACACTCGACAAGAACAAGCTCTTAGATCAAGTGGTGAGTCATACATAGTCTTTCCACTATCATACCCCTGATGTACCTTTCACATAAACCCGTCCTGAAGCCGCAGGCAGATGAAAATGGGAGTTAACGCTAATTCTTCAGTATGGTACAATGGTAATGCGATGGGCAACATCATCGGTGGGGCTTTGGGCTACGCATTCGGAGAGGCCAATACCAATTTACAAAAATGGCAATTGTTTCCATTAGTATTCGGAGCTATCTCCCTTGGATTTTCTGCCGCCTTCGTCTTTCTCGTCCCTGACTCGGTGGAGAAAGCTCGATTCTTCAATGATGACGAACGTCGAGTTGCCGGTGAGTCATTTGGCACTTCAATCTGACCCCATCTCTCAAATCATCACATTCGTTTCCACTCTCCATATCCCAAAGTCATCTCGTCTAATTGTCTTTCCCCACCCCCCCGGTCGAATATGGAGAACATCGATCAAGAAGATGTCGGAATTTGAGTTAAACTAACTCACAGTTCTTCGTGTCCGATCCAATATGACCGGTGTTGCTCGTGGTCATTTCAACTGGTACGAAGTCCGAGAAGCATTAATCGACCCTAAAACCTGGCTCATCCTCATTATCGCCCTCCCAAACGCTCTTCAAGCTTCCGGTCCAGGAACGTTCGGTTCACAAATCGTTAAAAACTTCGGATTCAGTACTCTTCACACTACCGTACTTCAAGCCGTTCCAACAGGAGCTTTTCAATTCCTCACTACCGTCGGAGCTGGTTATATCGCTACACATTACAAAGATATGCGTTTGATCCTTATCGTCATTGTAAATCTACCTGCTATCATAGGTGGAGCATGTTTATATTCTTTACCAAAATCCAATAAAGCTTTATTAGCACCTTATATTTTAGTTTATGGTGCAGCTTGTACACAATCTTTGTATCTCACTTTCCTCAGCTCGAACGTGGCTGGTTATACGAAGAAAACGGTGGTAGCTGTAGGTTCTTTACTCATGTATTCCGCTGGACAAATCGCTGGTGAGTCTAACATTCTTTGGATTTGACCAAGAGTCGGACTCTGATGAGAATAGGACCTCATTTCTTTACTGAACCACCTTATGCTTTAGGTTTTGGAATGATGATGACTTGTTATAGTATCATCATTGTTACTGCTATCATTTTGAGGTTTTATTGCGTTAGGGAGAATAAACGTCGTGATGCTGCGCATTTACATATGGATGTTTCGCAGGTTGTCGCGGATGAACAGTGCGTGGTTTCCTCTTTCATCTTGCTTTTATTTCGTTATCTCCTCCTCCCTTCCCCTCTGTCTTCTGGCCTCCCTTCCTGTCTTGTCGCTGGTTGTTTCTCACTCTCTACTCTCCTCTTCAGAGCTTGTCCGAGGGAGGAGATGGGGGACAGAATACGAGTCGATCAATGAAGATAAACAACTCCTCACGTTAGATGGGTTCGCTGATTCAATAGGGATCTCACAGATTGGCAACGAAAAGCTACTTTCCGTTACGCACTTTAATCTCATCTTTAATCATTCAAAAGTTGTAGGACGGATCTTTACAAGTATAGTACTCGTATGACAATATTTTCGTTTTGGGATACGATGGGTTATCATGAATGCATGATTTTCTCAGATTTGATAGTTTTATCATTGAGTTTTTCTACGGGACCTTCGCGCCGTTGAAAGTCGTGTTTGTAAGTTTGACCGTATTGAGCAGTTGAGAGTAAGTCGCTTGGATCCCAAGTCGTCCCATTCCGTGTAGTTGGGTATGTTCAGCACCAAAAAGTCCAGTCTTGGTCTCCCAAGTCCGGCATGAGGTTTACTGATCAAATGATCATCCCGCGTTGATCGTCTTCCGTAGCGAATACGACGTCGTCCATATCTTGAGAGTATTTTGGAATTTAAATTCTCTTCATCTTCTTCAGACGTCTGATAATCAGCTTATGCCACGCTGAGGTGAATAGAAGGGATTGAGATGTAGTTGATGATGTACCGTCGTAGTATCTCCACTCGTCTTTGAGCCATCTCACTAGCTTGTTTTAAATCCATTTCGACCCTCAACCCAAGTCCTATATCTACCAACACTGTGGAGATATCAGGACTGAGATCAACTCTTCCCCTTTCAAAATCTTTAACGGCCCTATGACGATTTCATCATTCGTTCTTCTCTCCGAGGGATCTCAATCAGACGTATAGGATACACCACTTCTCCTCGCTTCCAAGCTTTCCAGATACTGTAAAAAGATGTATCTGGAGTTTCTTTAACGATGAGGGTAATTTCAGATGAAGCTTCATGAGTCCGTAGGGAAATGTAAAGAGAGAGGGAGGGATAAACAACTTACACTTCCGCATCCATCCATATTCCAGCTCCTATTTCAAATTGACTTTTCTGTGAATTTTGTCCATCTGCACGAAGTCGGATGAAAGTATCAAGTTTATTTATCAAGTCTAGACTTATTTTTCAGCTTTATCTCATCCAAAGGACGTGGAGCTGACTATTGAGTGATGGTATGTTGGATTTCTGCAGCTGCAATTTGTGGATATTCAATCTCTTGAATCATTCTTTATCCTCGCCAATGAAGCTCGTCTTCGCTTCTCTTATGTGTATATACGTATCCGCTATGAGAACAAGTAAAAGGTTCAGTGGCTAGTGGCAGGAGTGAGTCAGTGTTCAGGTGAAACTGGAAAGAGGAAGTGGAGGTAATGTGCCACATTCGGTCATATCCTTATTCCCGTTTATCCGGCTTTAGAGGAACAAGTCTAGGAGACCTGGAGAATAGAGTATGAACTCAAGTAAAGTAACCTCACCATGCCTCTGAAAGAAACGATTCACAAGTATCCTCTGATAGATGCTGATCCTCACGCAAGGAGGGTAGTGAGGTATATGCGTCCTAGCGATTATGCGGTTTGGGCGGGAGCCACAGTAGCTGGACCTGCAGCTTTGTATCTTTTCGGTGGGTCCGTTTTACTTGTTCATACTTATTCTCTAATCTTATCCTTAAACATATCATGTTGTTTACTACACAATCGTTCTGAATCTAGACATTGTATCAGTCATGCATCAAGAGAAGATGGATTGTTGAGGTGGAAGAGAACTGTTTGGGAAACGGAATAGAAAGTGGTGTGAAATGTCACATTCGCCCATCGTGTTCTAAAGTCGAGGTGAAGACCTGAAGGAATGAACAGAAACTGATAAAGTAGAAAAAGTAGATCCGACACGTTCAAAATTCGGTATAACACCTGCATTACGTCTCACTGGCTTTTTAGGTTTTTGCGCTGGTTTCATGTTAGCTTATCAAAATTCATCCAGTGAGTTTAAACACTTCTATCTTCATCATTTAACTCTATCATCCTGACCGCTCCATTACTTTGATCTTATTCAAGTGTCCGTACCCTCTCTCCTCTACATCACCCTCCTCTCTGTCGCTCAATGATACTGGTCAATTCGGAGTTCATCCTCGGGTCGTTCTGATCAATCTGGGGTCGTACAAACGTTCCCGGTCATTTTGGTCGACCAGAGTCGTATTATCAAATCTTTCTGGGGGTATTGAAGGTGCATTCCGGTGGACTTCCAATTGAGTTGGAGTAGTACAATACAGGTCAATTGGAGATATCGGAAAGACTCAAGATACTTGGGAGAGATGGGGAGATTGTTCAAGCAAGGGAAAAAAAGAACGAAGAGTGTGCTAACGAAAAAGAACGATTTTGGGGTTGGTCAGAAAACGCAATAGAAGTAACCAAAGATCAAAAAGAATTATCAACAAGATTATCAGATGGCAAACCTTTATATGGTGAAACGGATTTATCAGATTATTTACAAGGTGTCGCAGCTAGGAATTCTACTTGGTCTCAACTTAAATTCCAAGCTATACCATGGTGAGATTTCTTTTTCCTTCCTGTTTTCGTCACTTTGCCACTTTCTCACTTTCATCTTTTTTAGATATTTCCTCATTTTGGCATTTCTCCCATTTCATCTTATCACAGGAATCTCTTTTCGTGTGATCAGAGGAATCTCTTTTCGTGTGATGATTTGATGAGAGGGTTTGAGACTAAAGCTGGAATGGGATGTGGGTTTCACGAAAAACACCTTGGTGGAGGAATTGGCTTCACCGATGATTCGAGGATGGGGAAGAGAAGGCGAATAAATCAGAAGACAAGAGGGGTGGAGTGGGGGCAGATTTAAATGATAGCAAAGCTGGCCACGGATAGGCGTTGGGAAACAGAGCTGATCAAAGGTTCAATACTGTCAACCATAATCAACATGGTGTAGATACTTCAAAATATGGTACTCAGCAAACACCTCCATGAAACATGTATCATCATCAGCACGCCCGTTCCCCTCTAGCTACTTTGCCCACTGATGATTTGTTTATTGTCACATTGTCAACACTCTAACATGTGACATTCAGTAGATGACAAAAGAGGTATGTCAGTACAGGTAGAGTGTACTGATGCAAAAAGAGATGGCGAGATACACTTTTCATTGGATTTCCTTCACATCTGTTCAATGTTGATCTACTCCCTCCCTTCCCAGCGGTTCACTCCGTGTATGCGTTTGTGACGTGTCACCAGGTTGCTGTGGTCTGACAGCTACTCGTCAGCTCTGACAGGAGTGGAGATAGAAGCTGTATATCGATGGCGCGGGTGCAGGATAATTCGAGTTGGTTCTAGGAAATCGGATGGTTGTATGTCCGAGGACCAGAGCGGCGGAAATATGGTAGAGAAGGGCAAGAGACCAGGACAACGGTGTTCATATGAGTAAAGAGAAAAAAAGACTCACCTTCTGTCCGACACGCAGGACAACTATTTCTCCCACCCGTGATCCACTTATCGACGCAATCCTGATGGAACGCATGTCGACAAGTAAGAAGACGAACCTTGTCCTCAGGTTCATATTCCGATAGGCATATCTGCGTGTCAGCTATTGTGAAGCTTGGTATCGATGTAGCTGTCTTCATTCTTCACTATCTGGCCAAGTCAAGTATCAAGAGTTATCTTGGATAGTGATGCTCAAACAGACGTTTAGATAGTCCGATGGTAGGTACAAATTACTCACTTGACATTTCTCAACACAATTATCCCAAACCCTTTCATCCTTCTTCATATCCATTAGCTCCTTTGCCGCCTTCACTTCCAAACCAGATTTATCGATCTCCTCTTGTTTCACAGTAGGCGGTTTAACCCTTCCCAATAATTGATCAACCAATGCGATTTGTTCTTCCGTCAGAGGACCTCCACTGAGTAGACTGGGTATAGCCAAAACGGGATGATTTCGAGGATACCATCCTCCTAAAACCCAAACCATATACGTGTTCAAAGAATTTTGATTTCTTCTTCCTAATCGAGAAAATATCCTATCACGAAGAGACCTTCTGGGTGTTTCTTCAGAGTCTGGTACTACACCATCATCAAATGGAAAGGCTGGATGATTGACAAGTTGATCGGTCGTAAGACTTGAATCGTGTGTTATAGATCTGACTCCGACGAAGATACATGGGATCAGGGCATTTGGATTTTCAATCTGACCAGCTTGAGATTGAGTTGATGATGATGGTTCAGGAGGGAAAAGATGGGCACGGAAGAAGTTTAGTCGACGACCGGCTGGAGAATCTAGTACGTCCAGTTGAGATTGAGCTTGGGGAGAAGTGCGTGGATTTGTGAAAGAGTTTGGACTGGTGGAATGAGTGGAAGATTGAGGAATAGGGATAGTAGGAGGTGGAAAAGGTGTGGTCTGACCTTGTGGTGGACCAGCAGTTGTAGGAGCAGAAGGAACGGAAGAAGTAGGAATGTTGATATTGATTTCAGAATATTGTACAGTGTTCGTATGATGTCGTGGAGATTCTGTTCTATCAGATGTCGAAATAGATGTTTGTTGATTATTCTCGTTAGTGTCAAATGGACCCCTCGCTCCATCCGCAGCTGGACCTTCTCTCACCCAATCCCAACCTTCCCAATTATTCCCTGCAGATCCAACCGTTGCGGCTTCTGGTCCAACAGTAGAATCATTAGCCACTGGTAGTCTCTCAGGTGCGCTGGTATAAGTTGCAGAACTTGCCCTGGAATGAGTTCTTGACAAGGGATCCTCTCTCCCAAAAGCTTGAACAGCACCGACCAAATCAGTGTGCATACCATCCAAGAATTGCTGAAACTCGTCGTCGATTGCTGGGAGTGTTTGCGGAGCCGATCCTGATGGACTTCTCAATACATCTCGTAGGTAATTACCAAGAGCCGTCTCGACTGATTCTCGCGGTCGATTAGGACGAAGACGACTCATGATGTTATCCAATGTGGAAGGTCTAGTGGCAGATAAGAGATCGGGTGCGAGTAGAGCACTGGCGATTGCAGCAGCTGCAGCACTACATTGATCAGCCTTATCATCTTCTCTTGCATAGAAAGATCTCTTAACTCACGATAAAAGACCCCAAATGATCCGCGCTTGAGCCTCTAATGAAGGTTCGGCAGAACGAGGTGCTGCATTGGTTTGAGCTAGACCTTGTATGACAAGGACGGCACTGTTAGGTATACGTCGGGTACGGTCACCTTCTCCAGAGGTAGCGTTCGTTTCTCCATCCGAAGAAGGTTGCGTCGATTCCACGTGGGCACCAGTAATCGGCTCTCGCTGGTTGGGTAAAGACGTACTCCTAGATAGAGAGGGTTGGGAGAATGGCAATTGTCTCGCATGAATATTTGTTGGTGTGCTAGGTCCAGCATCATCCATAGAATTTTGAACTGACTTTGGAGGAGAACCTTCTTCCACTACGGTCGAAGGTGAGGGATCGATCAGAGGCATGGTGGAAGCGACATCGCTGGGTTGTGAGGCCTGTTCCTCGCTTGGAAATAAGATTTCGACGGTATCTTCAGAAGCTGAAGACTGCGTAAGTGAGTGACGTGAAGAAGTACCACTGGAAGAAGGTTCAGAATGAACAGAAGATGATGTTGACGAGGATACAGAAGAGGAAGAATGGGTAGTTTGTGGAGCATTATTATTGTTCTTGATCGGCTTGTCACGCTTGGTACCATCTGTTGTCGACGTCACCGATGATGGTCTAAACCTCTTTCTTCTGAAAGAGGAGATACGTTCAATTGCGGCGGGTCTAGATCGACGTAATGGTAAAGTTGGAGACGAAGCATTTGGATTAACGGCTGTAGGGGTATGTGGACGTGAATGTGATGCACCCATCTTTGGTAAGCAAGTCTAAAACCCCCTTTTGTTGAATGTCCTCACCGCAGTACGCGCAGTACCACAGTTGTTCGATCGGGAAAGTGAAGATGATCGGTCTGCGTTTTACATGGGAAGAGTTTATAGTATGTGAAGATCAGGGAAGATGTTGTACCAAGGGATTAGGTGGAGCTTGAGGACTAAGGATGATGAGAAGGAAGGAGACAACAAGGGGGAATTATAAAAGGGGGGTTTTCGACATCAATTCGGGTGGCAACGACCGGTGCATTCCTCGTATCATATAAAGTACATTACATGCATAAAAAGTGTATCCACCTCTATCAAACGAGCTGCCATGTATACACTACGTATGCAGAACATGCATGAGACCTCAGACGATCAGACGACAGCATAAAGGTGAACCCGGGTACCCAATCGAATAGGAGGGTTTACCTAATGGCGCGAGTCTTTCCTCTCCTCCCCCAACGTTTCAAAAGGTATGAACGTCTTGCATCATACTTACTTGGCGTTTGTGATCTTCTCAGCGGTCAGTCTTTCCCCTTCACAGCTATGATGAGACAAGATTACATGCATGTACTATGTACCCCTCGCTGACTGATAGATTCCTATGCTCTGGCCAATCTCCTCGTGATGCCGGTCCGAACGCCGCTCTCAAGTCCAAGTGTGGTTATTGGGAACGCTCAATCTTCTCAACCCATCAGATCATCGCGTTACTCATCATGCAACTCAAGACCATCAAGACACTCGACAAGATGAAGAAAAGACCCACAACCTCCTCGCTACTCACACACACTACCACATGGTTCTACTGATCCCATTCAATAATGACAAATACTACTCATGAACGAACCAGCCAAATGTCCTTACCCTCCTTTAACTCAACCTGATACCTTACCATCTTGCCACCTTGTATCCTCGCGACCAGACCGTCCACACTCACACATGTCGTCCTCGCACAAGGATTGGAGGCGTGGACACATGACGGCTCATTTCGTTCATTCTGTCCCTGAAACGTCAAGATCGATAAACTCGTTGTTCCATGTTCTTCTCTTTCAACCCTAACATTATCAGACTCTTCGACCTCTCAATTTACCTGTCTATAACCTGTCCACTACAAACGTGCCACACGGATCATATCAATCACACGTTGTTGTAACTTGACTGAATATTTCAAAAGCCACGATGTGCGCATCAAGTTCACGATCCCGGGATATTGAAAACATAGCAGAGGAAGAGGAGAATACGCAATATGGGACATGGAATGGAAGAAAGGTTAGATACGGCGTAGGAAGTTGGCCTATAGACAGTGTAGAGCTTGAGGTGAGCGTTCTATTTACGACGATGAGCTAAAATCAGAGACAAGAAGCTGAAGTGAGTCGTCAGTTTTTGTGACATATCAAAGCTGAGTAAAGCATTGGCTATTGAGGATTTGTAAGTTCATTTTTCGTCTTTTAGCAGATCGCAGACTGTTGACCTTCAGTGTTAGGATGTGGGTGCTCGGCATATCATGAAGTAATATAGTTGAAGACAGATCCCTTTTTAGCTCCGGTGGATCAGTCCCTGAGGCGAAGGGAAAATCTAACGATTCTAGACGTCGCAACCGGCACTGGGACGTATGTCTGCATTCCTTTCTGTACTTCATCCGCTGACACAAAAGGTGGGCCATAGATATGGCGGAATTGTATCTTCAGTGAGTCGCACTTTCCTTGTCCACCTTAGGAATAGTGAGCAGGAGAGAGGGCAGGTTGAAGGAGGAGATGGCCATAGCTGACAATTTGTGCTGAAGTTGTTGGGTAGGTCCTGGACATTGAATGAACGCTTAGACAGTGTGGATACGGTGGCTACACAGCCGAAGATGGTTCCTCAGAATTGCGAGTAGGTTCTGATCCATTGTTGACAATTAATGTTTCGCTCACTCAACCAGATTTGAATTGTGAGCCGTAAATCAACCTGTACAGACAGTAAGCTCAGATGAAGGACGGACTTGGACGACCTTCCTTATGAGGATGGATCTTTCGATCTGATACACCTGCGATTCGCCCATACGCGAGTGCGTCTTCACTTCAATCTGCTAGCCAAATCCGTCTAGCTCGTCCACTTCGCTCAGCTCCTCGTGTTTACTATCATCAGCATTCCCGTCAAGCCTCGCCTGGCCACCACCACACATGATCCTTCGTTCCTTGATCATTCATCTCGCAGCTATTCACGGCTTTGGAAATAATGTCCCAGAAACTCATCAGCTCACGCCAGAGACATCATCTTTCCCCGAGCTTATCAGACGATGTCTGAGCTTGTTACGACCCGACGGTCATCTTCTGATTTTCGACACGGATCGTCTTCCCCAAACCTCAAACCACACAACCCCTACAGGGGCGCGAGCGTTTCACGATGCTTTGAGGAAAAGTATGATCCATTCCGGAGTCAGGATGTTTGATCTGGATGCGGTCATGATGGCTTTGGCGGAAGAGCGAGTGGTGGTGGAAGGAAGTGATGTTAGGGTGCCAATAGGGCATGGAGTTGGTGAGTTGTCCTACATTCTGAGCACATGAACCTTCACACACACACCATGTCATGAATTGTGCTTCATATCGATGAGTTGTGCTCCGCCGAACTTTGAGTCATAGCTGACCTCTAAGGACGTATGGGTCAATTGGGAAAGATACATGAAACGAACACTGGGGCGTACATCATCGCTGCTCAATATGTCATGTGTGCTCTTGGTGGGTACACAGAGGCGGAGTATGATGTTCTGAGTGAGTTTTTCGCAGCTCTTCCTTTCATTCTTTACTTGAAGTCGTGAAGTGAATGTGTGTTTACTTCAGGTCATGCCTTCCGAAGAGACATCAAAGATTACGAACTTTATAATCGGTATGTTTGGCTCGGCTACGATCCTGATATGTGCTGAAAATCAGATATCACGCTCTTACAGTGCGTAAATTAGCCTGATTAAGCAATACAATATATGTCTAGTTTTTCATCAAAATGAAGGGGGATCTAACTCCTCGTAACAGTATGACACATCATTTTGACACGCGCAAGTTTTTTTCATCCTTTCTTCCTCCCTCTACTGACACGCGTCTCACCATCATTTGTTCACCCTCTATCCTTTGTAATTCGTTACCCTGCACTGTATAGGGGGACCTATTCAGATGATCACCTCCTTTTCCAAAAATTAGGAAATGTGGCCATTCACTCCGGGTGCCCACTTTCATCTCTTTCCTCATATTTTCTTACAAGACCTCAATTTTCATCTTTCCATACAACTAGGCAGGACCTAAAGTAATTACAGCAGCAGGATCTGACTACTCACCTATCCTCTCGGTTCAACTCTGTACCAGATCTCAAGCTTTTGATTGATATGACAAGATATCAATTTTTCGCTCTTTTACTTATCCTCGTCACTCCCGTCGTCACTGCTACTGCCTCGACCTGCGCTTGTTTCCCCCCTGGATCTTCTTCATCTTCTGCAGCTCCTGCTTCCTCTGTCGCCGGCTCTTCATCAGCATCAGCTTCCGCCAGTGCAAGTGTTGGAGGAGAGGGAAATCTCGACTTACCAAACGTTTTACTTCTCGTCCCCGGCCAAGTATACGTCAACGCCACGAGGAAAGAAGACAATTACAAAGATATCCGTTTTGGTGGTGCTGGTCCCTTCTACAGAAACTTTCCTTTCAATCCGGCTATTTCATACACTAAAGAAAGCTTTTGGTATTCGATAATGAATGACGCTGTACCTGCGACCGCTACGGTGACTGCTAGTGTGAGTGGATCTATCCTGATCGTACCCTTCACATTCCATCATGTATCCACCTGATAGAATCTGGAACTCAATACATGCAATGAGGAACATGCTTGAAAGTGGCCAGTTTTGGAAGAAGGGATATGACAAGTTTTCAAGGAAAGAAAGCTAATGGATAGTGTGAAGTAGGTATCACAACTACTGTAACGGGATATCCGACTATTTCTATGGGCACAATTTCACCATTTGCAACTCCAACCGCTACAGGAGGAATGTACCTTTCTTGCTCGGATCTCTAGATCTGCATATGAACATGCTCTCCTATTCTATGCATTCCTATTCAGTTCAAACGAGTTTTTGTGGTCAAACCTATATGTAGATTTGGAAGTGGTCTCATGTATATTTGCGCCAGAGGTTGGCACAACGTAGTACGTGAGAACCAGTGATAAGTCTAATTCTGGCCTAACCTGAGAGTAGGCAGTGTAAGGGAGTTAGAACAAGTGGGAGGCCTTGCAGATACGGATCCGGTCTGTCCCGTCCATTCGAGTGCAATGGTGGAAGTACCATCAGGGTAAAGGGTTGTCCTTATTGCCGTTTGGGGATCAAGAGAAACAACTCTTTCCACACAGTGTTCTGACTTTTCTATCTGATATACTATTCTTGGAATCTGGTCCTCAACTGTATTGATGGTGATGAGGTGGGCATCAGCTTGAAAATTTGCATGAAGTACAAAGCTCCCATCCAGAGATGTGTATTGGGCAATCACTTGAACAGTAGGAGGCCCAGGAATCCATTCTTGGCTAAATGTTTGGACCGTCCCAGCTTCAACTCTAGAATGGCATGTGACTTTTGCACTCCCTCCTCCCCATGTCCATGTAATGAGGGCAGGCTGTCCTGCTATCGTCCCAGGTTGTTGGCGCTCATTTCTGTTACCTGTTTGAGTAGCACCATCAGGGGGATGAAGTGGGACGTTTTGCTCAAGAGATTTACCTTCCAAAGCATCCAGGAAGCGAGAATGCCATTCATTAGCCTTCTGCATCAACCTTTCCATGTCCTCGGGGATTGGATCTAGTACTGGACCCAGGTCCTTCCAATCAACCGGTTGTAGTGGGGGAAGATTATCACAGGCAAATGTGATCAAACTCTCACGATCGCCAGGCATACCGATGAACTTGTTGCGTGGATGATTTTCAAAAGTCAGTTGAAATTAGTGCTGATGGACGGTTGGGTTGTGAAGTGGAAGATTGAGAAAGTGTAGAAATCATATAGTTTTCTATTCCATATGATGACAAAAACCTAGCGGAAACTCCGTTCATGGGAACTGACATCATAGCGACGGCGTGAGGGTCAGAAGGCCCGAGGCCGGAGGCGGTACCTGTAAGGGAGGGGTTAGGGCCGTAAAAGGTGGACGGACGGTTCGAGCCGAAAGGGGTATGGGATCGAATGCCCGGATCACAGGCTTCACCCTTGACGGTGATGGATCTAGCCATTAGAAGTAATAATTCTAAGCTTTGACGTCAATGATCAACTCGACGGATGAATTGAGGCGTGTTCGTTGTGGGAGATAGCAAGGATTTGTTAAGAGGCAGCGCGGGTCCGGCTGATTTCCGTGCGTCAAAATCGTCTCTGTACTCGTACTGTATGTACAAGATGTTTGAAGTGCGGAACGTCAGTAATCAAAGTGGACAGGAGTGTAAACATGCATGTATATCCTTGTTAGATCAATTCACACTTGGCAGGAGAAAGGGAGGGGGGTGTTAGCCGATAGAATCGGGCCAGGACGGCCGAACCGCCGTTAGAATTACCCCTTCCGTCGAATATTTCTCCGTTCAACTTATCCTCTGAACTTTATTCGATCGTCTCTGGTTTTATGCGTGTGAGTGGAATGTGATAAGTATAGAGACATGTAGAATTGATGCATGCTCTTTTTCCCCTCTGTATTATCATCTAATATCAGCAAACAGGGGGGGGGGGAGATTGAACTGGAAAAACAGTGAGAATGTGATGATGTGGGCAAAGGACGATCCTCATTGACAATCCAGTTTTAGCCACCTAGTTCCGGTCACCTCTGAGGACTTTTACTCTTTCCCGTCACGGAGACTGCACCCGACTCCTAGCAGTTGTTCAGATGAGGGAATCATTGAAGGGTTGTCATGATTGAATTGGCTGTCAATATCACAGTAAGACTTCCTTGTCAGTTCAGAAACGGCAGTGATCTGGCGCAATATGAAAGTCGCATTCAAAGCGGATTCTCTGATTTTCAAGGGACCTATACTTGCAACTAACAAAAAAACCGGAACGCCTCAAACATCACCGTTGGTTGACTTTCTACTCTGTTGTTACATCCGTCACATTTACTCTATGACCATGCATATCATCATATATTACTTGCTAGCTGCGATGTTGCCGGATCTGACAGAAGCGGAGCGAGGAGAGGTTGCAGGAATGCACAAAGCGGGACAATCATTTAACAAATCGCCAAAGCAGTCGGCATCAGTAAATCCACTGTCTCCCGCACCCTTCAGCAATTCTCTGAGACCGGTACTCATACTCGACGAACTGGTAGTGGTAGACCAACAAAGGTGACCCCAGCAGGAAAGCGACAGATCCTGGGTGACATAACAAACAATCCCACCCAACCATGGGCAACTTATGGATTGAATATCAGTGAAGGAACAAGTGTTAGCGGTCAGACTGTAAAGCGAGTAGCAGAGGAGGAGGGTTATCGTAAGCGTATCAAGAGGAAGAAACCCTGGCTTCCACCACATGCAGTGGAGAAGCGAAAGAAGTGGGTAGAGGAGAATGAAGGGCAGGATTGGAAAAGGGAGATTTGGACGGATGAGTGTACAGTGGAAAGTGGAACTCCTTTCGGTCGACAGTGGACAATTCGTCGAGCACATCAAGAATACGACCCACATCACTTCACTGCGGACTTTCATGGCTCTCGAGTAGTTGTCCCAATATGGGGAGCGATTGCCTACAACCACAAGTGGCCCTTATTCCGGATACCCATTGAAAAAGTGAAAACCCCGTCTGGCACCAAGACAGTCGGACTCTGTCACGAACTACGTCGTGACACCTCGATTACTCCACCAACAATGACCCTCCTTTGACCATCAAAACCCCCATCACGCCTTAACCTCTTCACTCTACACGTAACTCAGGACTTCTGAGACCAAGTACGGCGAAGTTAGACGGAGTTAGGCTAAGTAGGGACAATGGGAGCAGAAGTACGGCGAAGTTAGACGGAGTTAGGCTAAGTAGGGACAATGGGAGCAGAAGTACGGCGAAGTTAGACGGAGTTAGGCTAGGTAGGGACAATGGGAGCAGAAGTGCGGCGATGTTAGGCGGAGTTAGTCGAAGGAGGAAGAGGATGACCGAGGACTCGGGGAAGTTGGACGAAGTGAGTTGAAGTACGTCAAAGCGCGAGAGGGTTGGATGAACGTCTAGGAGGAATAGATAATATTAGCTGAGAAGATCGCTGAAGTTCTTCAGCGATACTTGATTGTTGTCAGTAGTGAAAGATAGATAGAGATAGCTATAAACAAATCGAGATACATCGCCATCAGTAGAACAAAACCCCACTTAGAGTAACTACGCCGAAGTACGCCGTAGTTACACTCCTTTCGACGTCTGCGCCCTCCCGGTTGGGTGAGACATCGACTTAGAAGCGGCAAGTTAGCCGAGGTTCGTCGAGCGTCAGTCTGTTAGAAGGTAGTTGTTTGACGGCCGTGACAGACTCAATACCGATAAGTACATTCAGTACATTCTTCGACCTCTTATCCACACTTATGTGCAAGAATTAGAGAAAGAAGGACATAAGGAGGTTCTGCTAATGGTTGATGGTCATCCTGCCCACCGGAATTCTTGTACACTCAAAGTTGAAGCTGAGTTATCGATAAAACGTCTTCCCCACCCCCCTTACTCTCCGGATCTCAATCCCATTGAACATTTGTGGAAAGATGTAAAGCTTGGATTAGCTAAGTTGGAGAGAAGGCCTACAAATGCAAATGAGGTGAGTTGTTCATTGAATTGAGAGGGTTTAGAGCTAACCAGCACATCAGTTGTTTGAAGCTATTTGTGACATATGGGACGCTATCCCTATGAGCCGGGTCAACAATCTCATAGAGGGAATGGAGACTCGGCGACTGGAGCTTGAGAAAGTCAACGGACTGCAGACTCGATTCTGAAAATGGCTAGAGCTATGCATGCGTAGTTGTCATGAAAGGCGGAAAAATGTGCGTTCCGGTTTTTTTGTTAGTTGCCAGTAGGGCACTTCTCAGCATCAAGGATGGTTTCCCACGCTCCTTCCGGTCTCTTGCGTCGAATCAGACTTGACGTTATTGAGAATACACCATACAAAAGCTGTCCGTTCAAGAAGTTGATTCTGAATTCTGCCATCTCAGCATCACAGGAATGAAAGAAGAGCTCATTTCCTTCCAGAGTCTTCAGTGAAACTGTCTTGAGTACATCTTCATTGCCTCCCCTAACGACCTCACTTCTTTCCCAAGTGAACCACCCCATTTGTCGTCCATTCATGTCAACCCACTCCTCATCCCATGATTGAGTGTCCGGATTCTTACAAATATATTCTGGTGGACTCAGCGTGAGACCCTTAATGATACCTCCGGAGAAGGCTCGATGATGTATGTCATCAGTGATATCAATTAATTGCGCTGGTTCATCGCTAACATCTTCATTGTTGGGAGTTCCCTCAGGTAGTGAGGAAAACCAATCCTCAATACCGCTTGGACTGGAAGATTCACCGAAATGCTGAGAGTCATCCCCTTCTTGGACTGGCTTGTAGTTGAAGTAATCCATTCTACTGTAACCGAGGTCACGTATCAGGGAGTATGAGAGTTATGAGAGTTATCAGTGAATGTCTGATTTCCTGTGAGGATAGGGTGCTTGATTGGCGGAGAGAGATATCGTGAGAGACGAGTAAGTTCCTTTCTCCCCCTTCCTCACACCTCCACCCTCCTCTTCCACTTCACCATTGAGAGCTCTCTCAGCTCCCTTATCCTCAATACAGGCAGTACAGACCAAAAGAAGTAAGTATCTCACAACTTATAGATGTTCACAAGAGTACGGAGAAAGGAGGAGCAAGATGAGGTATGGTCAATCTCCGTCCGTGCGAGTGGAGGGCCTTTGAACCTGATGTTCAAGGAGATCATCAAACGTTTTATGATATCGTATCCATGGCAACCTATCTCTTCCTTTCGACAACTATTTGACTACGAGTACTTACTGTCTTCACACATGACCAGAATAATACTATTTCTACAGTACAATACTATCAACGACCAATTGAATGAGAAGTTACCCGCTTTCGAATTCTCCTCACGTCGACCAGTTTCCCGAAGTGTTCGAGATGACACCAGACAAAATTCTCAACCATCGCTTTATAGGTGGTTGGATCAGCGACTTCTTCCTGCCCTTCCCTCTTTCCGACCCAACATTGGTCTCGACTAATGGTTTCTCTGTCGCAAGTTGAGCGAACGTAAACTTCTTGAACGATACCTCCACATCATTGATATTGACGGTCACGGTGGCTTGAGCATTATCCAAACTCGCTTCGTAAGTCTTCCAAGATCCCTCTTCTGGGTTTTCAAGCCACAAAGACGTTTCTGGTAGTTTACCTGGTTGTGATCGATGAAGGTATTTGAAGATCGTCCAGGCAGGTTGTCCACTTGTCATTTCACACCTCACCATACTATTTCCTAAGCAGAAGAAAGTCATGCTGATTTCAGAAACTTCCCCCGCAGAGTTTTCTTCCGTCAATCCTGGTCGAAAAACGGGAGAGGTCCATTCGATGGTGACCATATTGTTTTTGGGATGGATGATTTGGGAGAAGAGTAACCGGTGAGTGTCAGGATGGTAGGTTCGAATCGTTATCGGTATCTGTGTCTCGGGATCGAACGTTCGAACGATATCCGCTCCCTTCCACCAACCCGTGGCTGTTGGCTCACAATCGTTTTCAAGCTTTGTTGTTGGAGTAAAACTGAGGGAAGAGGTGCAAGATGTCGCTCCTTCGGTCTCTGCTGACCCACAGTAATCCTCAACCTTACGAATATTTCGAAGTGGGGGCATACCGTCCAGATTGAGAAACGCTGATCGAGGATCACGACATAAAGACACCGCAAGTACAAGTATGGGATCTGACAGTTCGGAAGGTATCAACGATAAGAGGTCTATTTGAGACATCGAAGTAAGTCGTTGTGAAAGTCTCTCCACATTCACAGAGGATGGTTTCTTGTATGGATCATTCCACCGGCTAGATGTCTCGGTTAAAGTTGGAGAACCAGAGATCGTCGACGTTGTGTCCACTATCATGTTGGTATTGATATCGAGGTTGATGTTGGACGCTCACTGCTCAGACGAGATGAATGCGTTGAAAAAGAGGGTGCAACTTGAGGAATGAAACAGACCAGTGGGGAACAAGTTCTCTTGTGTGAACTGGTCGTATCCGGTGCAGTATAATGAGAAGAAAGGATCATTGGCTAGTGTATGAATATGATATGGATGTGGGAAGAAGGCTATCGTTCCATTGGCAGAACTTGATTCGGACACAATGGGTAAGATATGAATAGTGTAGAAACTGCATTGACTTTAAATGAAAGTGATGTTTGACACAGGCGGCATGAACGTTTCCTGAGAGTTGTTCAGCGTCTGGCCCGAGGATGGATGACTGAGATGATAACTTTCCAAATGGAACCCAGCCAATCTAGCCAGCAACCCCGGCAACATCTTGCCCGAGAGTGTCCGGCGCGACCTCGAGATTCTCCGAAAAGAAAGGGTCGAGATCGCTTTCCGAGGATGACACCGTGTCTTCCTACAAGTCGAAATCAGGATCACGGATGTCCTCTATGTCGCCCGTTTCCAGATCCTGTTTGACGTACCATATTCTCCCGGCTCGGTCTGTCACAGTCGCCGACGCCTCGCTTTGGGTGAGGTGGCATTCGTACTCCCGCCAACCCGATTGATCAGGATTCCGTACCATTTTATGCATCTCGCTGTTGTTCAGGGAGTAGTCGAAGCACACTGTTCCGTCCACTCGTGCCACAGAACACCGAACAAACTCATCCGCTCCAAGCGTGAACTCCATCGTATACGAGGTCCTCCTGAGATGGTCCACCGATGCCGGGATTGTCCAGTTCACTGCAATGATACCTGGGGTAATGGAATGTAAGTATTGTTCGGAAGGATTATCTGGGGCGAGCCCATTCACGTTGGGATGATTTACGTCGGGATTACGTGTGACTGTCTGAACCATATGGACGTCAGGAAATTCAGCTGTGGAATCTGATATCAGCCAACTGGTGTTGACAGGACCATCACTCCGAGTCAGAGACTGTGGCCATGGGACGTTGGTAATCTCGCTGTCATCATATTCAGAAGGGATTCTCGGAGAAGGTCGATCTGGTATGCCGGTCCGCGCCTTTTCGGGCTCCCGAGACAGAAGCTCTGCAAGGATAAACACTGGCGGTGCCCGATCGTTATAGTGAAAAGAGAAAGGACAAACACAAGCACCTGCTCCACTCCAAGATGGCAGTAGGTCCGTGGCTGACGTGGGATCAACCAGAGTAAACGAGGATGCTGTTGAGGACATAGATGCAGCCGATGAAGATCCTCGCCTAGAATTCGGAGACATGTTGCAGGAGGAGGGAGGTGTGGTTGCATCTTTGGAGCGGCTTCGGGGAAAGATCCTGTGTAATAAAGAGGTCACAGAGGAGAACATACTGAAGGTGGCAAGTTCGGTTGTCGGGGAAGATCGACCGGTCTTTCAGACCTTGTGTGATAGATGAATCAATCCCTAGAACGTCTCGAAAGGATCCATATTCGTCTATGCGATAGGTCTGAGTTTGTTTGGTGCACCGCAATCTCGAAAGGAGACTTGAAAGGATCGTCAGCCTAGAGGTAGTGAGAAATTGTTTCAGTGGAGCAAAGGGCCCAGGCGCAGAGTTGCATGAAGATGACGTATGTGTTTCGACTAGAAGGGGTATGACCGAAGATTTCTCATAGAAGCGGAGTGGGAAAGAGTATCTCAGGCGGAAGTGGGAGCGGGGGTCAAACCCCGGAGCGTGAGATCGTAAACTACGTCTTCGCAACGTTTCACGTCGTACTTGAGACTATCGAATCTACGTCTCAAAGCGTCGTTACGAAGATTCAACTATCATTTAGCTAATTCATCTCAGTCAGGACAACTGACAAGATGTGGCGGAACAGGAGATGGGAGTGCTTACGAGGGAATAAGATGCAAAGATATCGTTGACAAACGCTGAGATTTTGATGGGTAAGAAGAAATTTTGAGTAGTGACAGCGTTGATAGATAATCGAGGCTGTGCATCAGCTCCACCAAACTTCATTGCTCGTTAATTTAGGAGGATGAGAGGTTGTGGAGCAGAAAGAAGGCTCACTAATTCATTCACCATACCTATGACTCCCTGCAAATAATCTTCTGCGCTCAAGATGATTTCGCCTTCTCCTACTGTTCGTCAGTCGCAATCATACGCTCCACTCGAACTCACATCCAAGCAGGCTAGATATCGCAAAAGCAGGGATAAGTTCGTCTTTGAGCAAGAAATGAGCCATAGCAACGGCGGTAACAAAGGATCGAAGAGTAGGTCCTATAGCAAATTGATATCTATTACATCAGTAAGAACGACGTGAGAGACATTCAACATACCTGTAAAACTCTCCTTTTGGGATGAGGGATGCGACGGTGGTCCAGTGAGATTTGGAGGTGACGACGGTTGCGAGGCATTTTTCACACAAGGTAGCGTCTAGACATGAGTCAAGTCTAGAATGATAAATATGACTCACGTTCTGAAGAGGGGATGGAATGAAGAAGGTTGAGCTCTGAGAGGGCTGAGCGAGCTACATCATCCAGAGGGTCCACAGCTTCCCTGATGGTCTGAAAATCAGTCCCTGGTCTTCTCCTTCACAACGCCGGAAAAATCATGGTGTCGGACAGGACCGACCTTCTTCAAACTCTGCTCAGCCTCAAGAGAGGTGATAGCTTGAGTTAATGACTCTTCCACCGACCGTCTCTGGTCTTTGACCGCCGTGATAGACATGGTTTTGGTTGCAAGGTTTCAAAATTCAGAGAGGGGAATGGGCAGGTGGATATGAGGAGCCCCGCAATCTCCCGGAATTACTTCTCCATGATTAAAATGTGAATAAATCCGAAAAGTGAGACGCGTCTTTGATGAACGCGTCTGTCGCGCACCCTCAATTCTCAATTTCACCCTCACCTCTTTCGCACACTCGCTCTTCTCTTGAGCATCTCACTCCAGTCGTGAAGACACTGCTTCTGCATCTACCATGGTATGTGAATCTCCCGGGAAATACTCATCAAAGCTGACCCCCGGTCATCCCCGATGCCACCTTCTTCTCAACGTAGGCCCAAGCGACCACGTTCGCCAGGTCATGACGCCTCGTCTCCTCTACCTGGTCCATCCGGTCCACCTTCTTCCCCTCCCCCATCTTCCCTTCCCCCTTCTTCTCCACCCGCGCCGTTCTCTGATTTTGGTGACGAAGAGGATGTAGGTGATGATGAGGTTCACGAGATGCGACAGAGGGGACGTGCGAGAGATCAGGGGGATGATGAAGACGAGGAGGAAGGAGACGGTGAAGATCTCTTTGCGGACAATATGGAAGCGTGAGATTAAATTTTCCTTCATTCAATCCTCCAGAAGTGACGGATGAATAGGTAGAAATGGAAGCCAATACTGACGTGGTAGGGACTACGAATCAAATCCCGCTTTGGATCAATATTCCGAAGCAGACATTGATGATCGATCCTCGATCCCTGAACTCTCTCGAGCAGATCGTCTGGCTGCCGAACGCGCAATGGAAAGACGTGATCGTGGTCTACCCGGTCGCAGAGCTGGACGAAGAGATCACATGCCTGCTTTCCTGCAAAGCGACGACGACGAGGCAGCTGGATATGGAGATGGTCTCCTCGCGGGGATTAACGTTCGTCGGAGAAGACGACAGTATGATGAACGTATGGATGAAGATGATGTGGAGGAAGAAGATGTGAGTCACGTCAACGTAGCTTTTACGGATCCAAGCTTATCTGATAGGAAATGTCTTTGGAACATCTTGGAGATGTCAAGGCAGCTTCTATCGCAGAATGGGTTTCCATCGACGCTGTGCGTCGGGCTATCCAGAAGCATTTTAGAAGTTTTCTCATGACTTATGTGGATGAGAATGGACAGTCGGTGTATGGTCAACGTATCAAGCACTTAGGAGAGAGTGAGTATCTCCAGATTTATCTACCACCCAACAGATCTCCATCTGCAACTTTGACAAGGATGTAATGCGCCAATGCTGACACATTAGTAAACTCTGAATCCCTCGAAGTCTCTTACCTCCATCTCGGACAGTCCCGTCCCATCCTTGCATACTTTCTCGCCAACTCGCCACAACCAATGTTGCAACTCTTTGATACTGTCGCTCTTGACGCCATCCTACTATACTACCCTTCTTATGATCAAATCCATTCCGAGATACATGTCCGTATTACCGAATTACCGTCCGCTTTGTCCCTGAGAGACCTCCGTCAAACCAATCTCAATTGTCTTGTCAGAGTCTCTGGCGTGGTCACACGTCGCACGGGCGTTTTCCCGCAACTCAAATATGTCAAATTTGATTGTGGCAAATGTGGAGCTGTTCTCGGACCTTTTTATCAAGATACGACCAAGGAATTGAAAATCTCTTTTTGCTCAGCATGCGAAAGTAGAGGACCTTTCGTGGTGAATTCGGAACAGACGGTATACAGGAATTATCAGAAGATGACTTTGCAAGAATCACCTGGTAGTGTCCCTGCTGGTCGATTGCCACGACATCGAGAAGTGGTTTTGCTTTGGGATTTGATCGATGTTGCCAAACCTGGTGAAGAGGTCGTGAGTGGCTATCTCGACCCCTCTCACTCTTATGATCACGGTCCCCAGTCCGGATCTGTCACAAGAATTTATTGTCCTGCAATAGCCGCCTGAGTTGGATCGTTGCACAATGACTGACATCTCGCAGGAAGTGACGGGCATTTACCGTAACAACTTTGACGCTTCGCTCAACACTAAAAATGGTTTCCCGGTATTCTCCACTGTACTCGAGGCGAATCACATCAACAAGAAGGAAGATCTTTACGCTGCCACTCGTCTGACTGAAGAAGATGAAAAGCTCATTCGACAAATGGCTAAAGATGAACGTATCTCCAAAAGAATTGTCAAATCCATCGCACCTTCCATCTATGGACATGACGACATCAAAACTGCTCTTGCTTTATCTCTCTTCGGTGGGGTACCGAAAGATATCAACCGCAAGCATCGTATCCGAGGTGATATCAACGTACTTCTTCTCGGTGATCCCGGTACCGCCAAATCTCAGTTCTTGAAATACGTCGAAAAGACGGCCGGAAGAGCAGTCTTCACCACTGGTCAAGGTGCCAGTGCCGTCGGTCTTACCGCTTCGGTCAGAAGAGACGCTGTGACACGTGAATGGACTTTGGAAGGTGGAGCTTTGGTACTCGCCGACAAAGGACATTGTCTCATCGACGAATTTGACAAGATGAACGATGCTGATAGAACTTCAATTCACGAAGCAATGGAACAACAAAGTATTTCCATTTCTAAAGCTGGTATCGTCACTTCACTTCAAGCTCGATGTGCCATAATAGCAGCTGCCAATCCGATCAGAGGAAGATACAATCCTACTATACCATTTCAACAAAACGTCGAATTGACCGAACCTATCTTATCGAGATTCGACGTACTTTGCGTCGTAAAAGATGCAGTCGATCCTGTTCAAGATGAAATGTTGGCCAAATTCGTGGTTGGATCTCATCTTCGTTCTCATCCTCAATTCGTTCCTGAACAAGATGAACATAACGTTTCGACAAGTGTTGACGCTGATATAATACCTCAAGATATGTTAAGAAAATATATCATGTATGCGAAAGAACATATCCGACCGAAATTACATCAATTAGATCAAGATAAATTGGCTAGGTTGTATGCGGATCTGAGAAGGGAATCTTTGGCTACTGGTTCTTTCCCTATAACTGTCAGACATTTGGAAAGTATGATCAGGATGAGTGAAGCTAGTGCGAAGATGAATTTGAGAGAGTATGTAAGGGCGGATGATATAGATTTAGCTATACAAGTTACAGTTGGAAGTTTTGTCAATGCTCAGAAAATGTCCATCAAGAAGACTTTGGAGAGGGTGAGTTTTGGTTCAATAGTCTTGACCATCTCTATCATCCTCATTGTCCAAGAATATCCTTGTTATATCTCACTCGCACCTTGCTTGCCCCACATGGGTGAAAATGCCATGTATCGCTCGTTTATGTTAACGCCGTGTATGTGGGATTGGGTGTCACGGAGGTAAAGACAGTAGCTTACCCTCAGGGCTTCCGGAAATACGTTCATCAAGCAACAGATCACGAAGAACTTTTGTCTTTCCTCCTTGGTCAAATTGTCAAAGAACGAGTCCAACTGTATCGTCATCAAAGGGGCACCAACCCCGAGACGGTTTCGATCAAAGTGTCACAACTCGAACAAAGAGCCAAGGATCTGGAGATCTACGATGTGGGACCTTTCTTACGTAGTAAATTATTTGGTACGAACGGATACAAGCTTAATGCGGAAGCTGGGAGTATTGAAAAGGTGTTCACGAGGGTTGAGACTTAGTGTGAAGGTTGGGGGTCGTTAGGGGGATCTTAGGCCGAGTGAGATTAGTCAAAGTGCCACATGCCACATTCGTTTTGTTACTTTTTTTTAAGCTAAGAAAAAGTTGCAATCCAACTCTGACATGACTGAGAACTACTCACTGTTCCATACCCCCTCATACTCTTTTGCAACTCTTATTTTGTAATCCACACGATACCTCAATCATGCCACCTTATCCTCCATTAGCAATAGCCTCTTCATCCAATCTCCTACTCATCTCCTCCGGCCCATCACTCATCATTTACGAACCTTCCACCCACCAAACTACCGTCTATACACCCGACACCAAATCACCTTCGTTGATCCGTCATTCAGCTATCTCTTCCGATGGTACCGTCGCAGCCACCATATCAGATGATAAATCTCTCCTTGTTTACTCCATCTCTACCAATTCCATAACCTTACGTTCCTCTCGTCAAGTCATGAAGAAATCTTCTTCTCTCTCTTTCTCACCAAAAGGTGATTTGATAATTTCTGATAAAGTGGGAGATGTCTATCTTTATCCACTCGACCCACGATCCACTTCTTCAATCAATATCGATCCACCCGATACCTCCGTCCAATCCAACCTCACTAAGACACTCAATGACTCGGTCCAGTCCATCTCTACAAACACAACCAGTACATCCAACCAAACCAGTCATTCCAACTATTCCAACGAAAAAGAATCTAAGAGAAAATTGAACAAGATGACATTGAACTCCGATCCAACTCTAAACCCCGATGCTGACTTTTTACTAGGTCATGTATCCATCCTCACCTCTCACGTTCTGTCGATGGACGGGAAACATATCATCACCTCAGATAGAGATGAACATATACGAATATCACGTTATCCTCAAAGTTTCGTCATTGAAAGATTCTTATTCGGATCGGAAAGTTTCGTTTCGGCACTTTGCATACCTCCCAGACGTCCAGAGATATTATTATCGGCCGGAGGGGAAGGTGTTATGAGAGTTTGGGGATGGGAGACTGGACGTTTAATTGGGAATATCGAATTGTACGAAGGTATTTTACCTTGTAGGAAAGTCAGAGCTGGGATGAGAAGAGATGCGAGGGCATCTAAGAGGATGAAAATGAGTTCTTCTACGAAGTCTTCTTCGAACAGAAAAGGGCAGGACGATGAGGAATCATCTTTCAACCTTCCTGACTTAGATCTTACACAAAAAGGTGGGGAAAATAATGCAGAAGAGGGAAAGTCGAATGAAAGTAAAGATGTGGAAAAAGAAGAAGAATTTTATGTCGCTCCTGAAGGTTGGAGATTACCTTCAGGACAGGGGGTATGCATCAAGAAAATACAAGTTATCCAAATCGAAAGTCAAGACGTCGTCGTTTTTTTCTCTGAAGGGTGGGTTTTTCCTTCCTTGCATATGAGAGACGAATGGCTGATAAATAGATGTGCGGGATTACATTCTTTCGTGCTTGCTCAAGATCTCACCCATGCCACTGTGAACACGTTCAAGACTGATTTTCCCGTACTAGACTTTACACAAATTCCTGGAGAAGAGGGGAGATTGGTTGTTTCGGTTGACACTGCTTGGGGAAGTCTCAAACGGAATAGATTACCTGATGAGAAGGTAGGACCGGTGGGAGAGGTCGATGAGGAGATGCTGCAGATTTTGGGGAAGGTTTTGATGGTTGTGGAGGTTTCATCAGGAGGACAAGTGAGTGTTTGCTTCCCGTGATTGTTCCACTTTCACAATCTCTACAACCTTCGCCCTTGGCATTTGATCTTTCCATCACCATCAGAATGGACGAATACACTTGTACCAGACCATTGTGTGTAACTCGAGTGTCCCGAGGATCGCTCATTTCATCATTATCAATTCCTCAATCGCGCAGGAGATGAGTTGCTAGATCGTAGCCGTGTATACAAACTCACGTTAGATCTCTGCCCTTCCCAACCACCCAATTTTGACAATCCTATCCTCAGCTCTGTCCGGACTTTCACCAGCGGACCCAAAAACCCTCGCATCCCTAGACCTTTACCCTGATTTATCGTTGTACCCCCGCTGGCCAGGTATGGAAGAAGATGATGATCAAGCCGGACAAACCGACTCCGCTGTGTCAGAAGCAGGTGAGAGTGTAGTGAGTATGAAGGGTAAATTGCCAAACGAATGGACTAGGGAAGAGTTGGAAAAGTTGAACGTCAAGCAATTGGGACGTTTAAAGGCGCAAGGAGTGGATACGGGAGATTTGATATATAAGAAAAAGAAAGCTTTGAAGAGTTTGGGTACCAGGGCGGAACAGTTGAAAAGGGGATTATAAATGGTTGGTCTTTATCATATCTTGCATTTTCGCATAATCTTCCTCTAGTGTCCCACCATCGCCATTCTTTCCTGATTCTCCGCCTGGTTGCTGACGTCTCACACACTTTTCCGATAAATTCACTGACTATTGACTAGCAGATGATGTTTCACGTTATGCAAGTGAATAAATACTCACACCTGAAACATCAAACATATGACATGGGGTAATGAATAGACATGTTGATCTCAAACATGTCATATCATCAAGATTCCTTTCACTCTTTTTGCGATTCCGTACAAAACATCTCCGCCCATTCAATTCATCTTACCGGACTCCTTTGACCTTGTTGTATCTCCTTCTCTTCCCCGTGCGCTCCACTGGGAGATATAAGTGGTTTTCCTCCCCACGTCTAATCACTTCACCTGTTTATTGTCATTGACGCTGGTCGTTCTGGTGAGTTAACATCGACTCTGGTAGTTTGCTCACGAGTCTTTCACTGGTTGAAAATCCATACTTGACTGTATCTTGTGTTCCCACACGTCTTTTCCAAGTACCTCACGAACGTCACACAAATCTGAGTGATCAACATCAGAAAAAGAGAAGAACGCCGCCATAGTGAAATATCTACACAAATGCTTTTCAAAATTCTTTTTCTACCCCTCCTTCAAGTATTCGCCATTTTCTCTCTCCTAAATCGTCAAGCTGAACCTTCCTCTTTATTAGGAGTAACGGGTAATAACGATACATCCAATTCTGATCCTTCAGCTGCTCTTTCCCCTTCTTCGATCATCGGAGATGGTTCTTCTTTACCTGAAACATCTCAAGCTTTGACTCCTTCCGGTACAGGAGATGAACCTTCTGATATCAACCCTTCTCAAGGAGCAGGTGGAGGAATGGGAAATGATACTACTACTGAACCTACTGCTTCTCACGCTTTTGGACCTCCCGGTAAAGAAAGTCATCCATCACTTTTACCTCCAAATCATCATCATATGTTTCGTCGAACAGAACCGAGTGGATGTAAATGTATGGTTTCTGTCAACGCTACTACTTGTCCACCTGGACCTAGTTCGACTTGTAAAGATGGAGGTTTAACTTCTGTTGTTTCTTCAACTTCGAAACCTTCTTCAACTTCTAGTCATTCGAGTAGTCATACTTCAATTTCTAGTCATTCGAGTAGTCATTCTTTAAATTCTTCCAGTCATTCAAGTTCACATTCGTCTAGTCATTCAAGTTCACATTCATCTAGTCATTCTTCAAACTCATCAAGTCATTCAAGTTCACATTCATCAAGTCATTCAAGTTCACAGTCTTTCAATTCCTCTAGTCATTCAACATCACATTCATCAAGCAAACAATCATCCGCAAGTCACAGCACTTCTTTCTCTTCAAGTTTCAACTCTAATTCAAGTTCAGGACCAAGTTCTACACCTCCACCAGTACCTGGACAAAGTGCGAGTTCTTCAATTTCGACTTCTATCCCTGCCAATTCTTCAATTTCAATCTCTGTATCTGCGTCCAGTGGGGCGAATAGTTCAGCTTCGACCTCTGCGTCAGCTAATAACTCTGCTTCTGCTTCCTCTGCTTTGTCTGCAGATTCTTCAGCATCTTCAGCTTCTGCTAATAATTCGGCTTCTTCCAGTCTACCTTCGGCTAGTGCTTCATCTGCAAACTCTTCAGCTAGTGCTTCCTCCTCGACCATTTCTTCCGCTGGTGCACCCTCCTCCGCCGCCAACTCATCAGCTAGTGCATCCTCCGCCGCCAACTCATCAGCTAGTGCATCCTCCGCCGCCAACTCATCAGCTAGTGCATCCTCCTCTGCCATCTCTTCGGCTAGTGCACCCTCCTCCGCCGACAACTCATCAGCAAGTGCTTCTTCATCAGCCAGTACATCCACCACCCCTCTCATCGTTCCACCGTCAGGTCTACCAAACGTAATGTTGATACTAGACAACAGCAACGTTTACGTAGACGCGGATGAAAAAGTTAATTGGTGGGGTGGTTGGGGTCCTTTTTGGAGGAATTTCCCATTTGATACCAATACCAATTATACTACTGAAGGATTTGTTTTGAGCGTTTATGATGATTCTATAGCTACAATGTTGAGTACTGCTTCTGTGAGTCATGTTTGTCTTTCTCAATTCATATCATCCCGTTGTCCCTTGCCAATATGATGTTTCTCAGATGTACCACTCACTACCATACATGATTTCCCCCTCACATTCAACTTTCATATTCCTGATTTGAGAAGATGGATCAGGGATGTTTAAGAGGTATCAGTTCATGAGGAGGATATGAGATAGGAAAGACGACAAAAGGGGGAAGGAAGGACAGAACTGATAATCAGTGTCAAGTAGGTATCACCTCTTCTCCACAAGGAGCACCAACAATGACACTTACGACAACTTCACCTTTTGCTTCTCCTACAACTACAGGAGTAGCATACGTTTCATGTGTATGATCTCCTTCCCTCTGTTCTCTTTTTCTCTTCTCTTTTTCTCTCAAGATATCTCTGCGACTTACTCATCACGTTCTTTATCAAGAAATGTACCCTCCAACCTATATTTGGATTATCTTCAAGATTCAGTGATACACGTCCTAGTACAGACGTCCACATGTAAGTATCAAGAAATCGGATGAAAATGAGTAATGTAAGATTGATATGTAATGGAGTTGTGTAGCAGTAAAATCCATAGTCCATCCTTCAATGTAATCATATGTATAGATAGATACTCGTCAAAATCGTAAAGAATCGTTATTTCCTGAATAAAAGAATCGTGGATCGTATGGGCGTAAAACCGAGGCATCAATCGTGAAGGCATGATCATGAGAGGGAAGAGAGTCGGCATGAGGCAAGACGCATGAGATATTGAAATGACTCAAGGAATGACTACAGGGGAACAGAAGGAGAGAGAGAGAAGAGAAGAAATTAGATCACCTCCCAAACTCTTCCATATTCTTCCGACTGGCACCTTGTTTCCAACTACGGACCAGAATCTCTCTTGCTTCTTTTGCCTTTTGACGCATTAAATCAGAATCCCTTTGCATCACTTCCCAAGTTTCGTGCATTTCTTTAAGCATACTTTCATGGGTCGAAATGATGGTCGTGCCATTTGCTCTTGTGAGACCGTTGGCGGTACGGAGTTGTTGTAATTCAATGCAAGTTCCAAGCTTGCCCACTGATATTCAGTTCATATCCCATATTGATAGATGATAACCACCCCTTTCATTTATACACCCACACTTGATTAGGATCCAATGCGCATAAGGAGTGATCGTCGATGAGAAAGTGTATGAAGTGGTGAGGTGGTGAAGAGAAACAAGACATAAGAGGAAAACAAGACTTATCACTCACACAACATAGCCGATTCATTCTGATCAGCAGCTTGAGGAAAAGCAACCACTGGTATCCCCGCCATTATACTCTCTTGAGAAGAATTGATCCCCATATGACTTATGAACCAAGCTATAGCCGGATGATTCAACACTTTCCATTGAGGTGCAAACTTTACAACTTTGCCTCTCCCTCCTTCAACCCATTCCGCAGCTGTTTCAGGAGTCAGATTCGACATATCACCAGCGTTGGCAAGTAAGAAAGTCATATTGGATGGAAGAGATTTTAATAGCATGGGCATGATTTCAGGTCGATGAATGGGGAAGAAAACAGATCCAAAGCTAATACATCAACAACGGTTCTTTGGATATCTTGACGGACGAGAGGGAATAGAGGTTAACGTACCTTATGTATACGACTGAACGAGGTCCTTTAAGTTTCAGTTGTTCGTCTAGAAAATCTAACGCTTCCACTTCGTCAGGTGTGGAACGGGTCATTGAAGGTGGTATACCGTCCCATACATCAGCGGAGAATTGAGGTCTGAAGTAGTCAGCGATCTCCCTCTGATGAACATGAATAATGAAGGGAAGAGCATCCAACGCTCTCGTCAGAGACAAGATCATTGGGTTGGCTTATCACGAGAGGTTTTGAAGGGCGACTCAACATACCCGATACCGATAATCCTTTTCCCTAGATCTTTTCCCAACGCCTCTTGAGGCTCTCCTTCAAGCTCAGGAGCAGAAGGAATCAAAACACCCTTCAGTAATGGATCAGACAATGCATCGTAGGATTGTTTGATAAATTCGCTCCATCGGGCGGGAAAAGGTATTCCTTCGTTTTGCGGGACTAGATGACATTGGTCATTTCATGTCAAAGATCAAAATTCACTCACAACATTCCCCTGAGATGTCAGCTGGGAAACACCGCCGAGAAAGTTGCTTACAATCTTTCATCGGAGGATAACCAGGAATATGAATGATCTTATCTTCAAATTTATACCAAGTCTGTGATCAGTGTAGGCTCCAAAACGCCAAAGAATTTTGATCCGAAGTCACCTTATCATACGCCTCATACTTCTCCACTCCTTGATCCATAAGTTTCTCCGTTTCTTCAAAAAACGTAGCTATCATGCCATCGTGTTCTTTTTTCGCCATGAAACTATCGTTGATCAACAGTCATTACGATCCTTAGTTGCCAAGTACTCACTGATAAAGTGAGCCAGAAATGAGAGGACAGAATACATAGACGGGTAGCGAGGAGAGCTGCAATTGATTGATGACGGGTTTGAACGAGTCGAGAAAGTGGACACCTAGCCACTGTGTGGTCAGCACGCATACAAGTCATCAGGTTCATCTGATTGAACGTGAAGGATGGACTCGTGTCATAACTACATTCACATGTCGGTCCGAGAGAAGTGATATTTGAAGCGACAGGAAATCGGTCTAATACGTACGTTGTATATGACGAGAGTGGGAGGATCACTCTCTTGAAATACTTCAATGATCTCTTTCGTCGACCCTCCCTTGGGTGGTCTCAGATGATCCGCCTTTTCCGACTCTGTAGGAGCTGGTTCTTCGATTTGCTTCGTCTTGAGTCGACATAGTACGTCCTCGCCCGACAAATTACAAGCTAGTGCATGAGCCAAACGTGGGGCTGTAGCACGGTCCATAAGAAGGGTGACAGTGAGGTCTTGTCGGACAGTAAGGAGGTTGAGGGAGAATTGTAGCATAGGACGGAGATGACCCCTTTTCGTCAGCGGTACATTCTGCTACTGCAGTTAGGAAGTGATCTAGTCTCGGAGCAAGAATGGGCAAGGGAGACACTTACCATCCTGAGATGGGGACGACGAGATAATGTGCTTTTTTGGAGTCGAGAACGGACATTGTGATGATTTGGCCAGACCGATACGGTTGAAGAAAGAGCAGGTTATGTAGAAGTAAGAAGTCAGAAGGGAAGAGAGCTGCTCTCGTCAGGTATCGTGCCATAATTTTTCCACGACCTCGGGCAGATCAGCATCAGAAGCGCTACTCAAGGTGGGGGAGCAACATTCGGTCAGCTTCGGCGGATCATGTGGAAGGATGGAGGACCGAAGGGTGACCGATCATCCCGAAGTGGGAAGCGCCCTCAACACGAGGAAACCTCAATCCCACAGACCCGACATTGAACATCATGATCAAGAAAGGTCAAGCAGGCCATCTTGGACAAATTGGTGGAAAACCTCGTTTCGGGCTCCAGGAGTCTGAAGCTAAACTCGCTGACACCGGACTTTAAATCAGGTTTGAGATGATCGAATTGGTGTCCCATTCTTTGCGTCGAGCATTTTTGGAGTGCGAGTAGAATTAGATCTCATATATACTCCTGTTCGGCCGTATCGGGCATATAGTCCGTACATTCTCAGTCCGATTAGTGCCAGTCTTTTTTCTCACCTCCCTCTTCTCCTCGGTGTCAGATTTCCCTGCCCGACCTCGACACTCTGCACTACTTCTCGCTTTATCTCGGATCCCGTATCCCCTCCATGCTCATTTATCCGTCGCTTCGTGTCCTCCTGTGCTAGTCTCCTGAGTTCCTCGGTCGAAGTCGCCGAGCTAGGTTCGACGGCTTGCCGGGGCGGAGGTATCACAGAAGGGGTGGTGATGGGGTAGGCAGTTTCCATCCGGTCAAGATCTGGACCGACGTTCGCTTCTAACGGTCTTTCAGTAGTGACGATCTGTGACTTAGATTGTTGTATATAGAATGAGGATGGTCCTGCTATAGTTGGAGAGGAGATTTGCGAAGGATCGGGTAAATAACCTTGACGGATCCTCTCGGCCGTTTCACGCTGTTCGATGGCAGCAACCATCGGTTTCAGTCGAGACATACGTTCAGAATCTCGCAGTAACTCATCGATGGACGGCGGATCGGTGCGAGTGTGCGATAGCCCTGATCGAAGTCTTAGCCGTTGCGAGCAGCTACTTGAGGGATTAAGAGCTCACACGATCGCCATTGTACTGTGAGGGTGATCAGCTGAGTCATACGGTGCAAGATAACGCACCTGGTAGGCTCTGAGCGGTAGTGGTGTATTCCGAAAGGTCTCTTTCTATCCGATATTCGACCACACGTTTTGTTCGTCCGCCTGAGGGATCAGCAGGGCGACATGATTCTGCCGGGAGAACTTGCCGTTGGCCGAGGGGAGTTCGTAGAAGCTATTTCCTCGATCAATCAGCACTAAAAGCCTCACCAGTAGCTCCTTGCTCCACGTTCTCAAGGGAGCAAACATGATGAAGTAAGACATGTAATTACCGTCAAGATCTCGTCCCACCAAACCCTACCACACGTGAGCGAACATGTTCGTGACAGCAAACAAGCTCACCTGTTTCTTCGCTCCTGTTGGAAAAAGCCTTCTCAAGCTTGCGACGATACGACTCATTTCTTGAGCATTCACCGTAATTAGCGAGCAGTGGAGTGGGTATGTATAGCGAGGAAGAGGTTGAATTTAGCACGGGGGATGGAAGCGAGTTTAGGAGGGAGGGAAGCGGCGATGTCCGCCGTACAAACAAGAGCAAGGACGTGACTGCTTTCTATCTTTCTTCAACCCTCACTATACAACTTTTCTATCATACCTCTCTATCACTCTCATACCACCACGTTGATTACCGACATGACTACTCTGGCATCCTCCGGACCATCCAGCCTCGACTCTTCACCAGTAGTCCCATCAACAGCTAGAAATCTACGTATATCTAGAAGAGTCATCAACCTTGTCAACCCTGCCGGTCTGCGTCCTTCCCCTTCTAGCTCCACCTCCGCTGACGAGTAGATCCAGGTGACTTCTCAGAGATATCTCTTTCCCCTGCTGTCTCCCCCAATGCCTCCTCCAGCGAACCTCTTAGATCCGAGATTCGTATACGAGAGACGACCCCACTTGGAACGGTCAACACCAATATCGCCGCTCTCACCCCCGGAGTGATCAGCGAGCATGGACCCAAGGGGATCCTCCGTCAAACTGGAACTCCAGGTTCAGGGAATGGAGGTCAGTACACAGCTGCATAGTAGATAATCAGCCACAGCTGACTGAGACAGTTCGATTCTTTCCCAAGAACAAATTCAGAGTTATCACTCCCAACAACTCTGTCACTCCCAAGCCTCCCGCCTCACCGACATCGTCTTTCTTCTCTCAGCTGATCGCAGCTACCATCCCATCCATGTCACCGAGAAAAGGAAGGGATCCAGCGGATGAGTCTTGGGAGCTTCCGGGACAAGAAGGAGAAGTTTCTCTAGCAGGAAGTATGACGAGTGAAAGGTCATGTGCCGAATCTGCACGAAGTTTTGACCGAGGTCCAGATGGGGAAACGGAGACGAGTGTCGAGGAACTGGAGGTATGGGATGGGGTACCTCAGACTCACTCCTCTCCTCTCGGATTGAATGCGACATTGGACAGATCCACATCTATGAGGGAGGATTCTGTGGATTGGAAGAATCAAATCCCGGATGACATGTCCAACCTTCTCTCACAGGGCATGCCTTCGATGGACGATTCATTTTCGTTCAGTCCTACGAACACTCTTCCAAACCAATCCCCACGAATCCCCGATCTGTCTTACAATGACGAAAGACTCTCATTTTCTCAGAACCAGCCACCCACACCACCGACAGTCAGAGCCGGTCCTCAGCAGCTTGTCCCGCCGGTGGCAGCTCGGATCATAAGTCCATCTCCACTTCGAAACATGTCCATGTATTCTGAAGGATCGACCATGTCCGATGGGCCTATAGATGATAATCCCACCATCCGTCGACATATCTCCCCTCTAGGTCTTTCTGCTCCTATCGAACCTGTCACGCCGACACCTGGGACTGGAAAGGGCTTCACTGGATCCATCTTTGCCGACATGTCTGCTGAACAAGCACAGCTTACATGGCCTCTGGTAAGAAATGACGACGAAACAATGTTCCATTCAGCAGTATTCACAGATGACGTCGGAGTCCTTACACCGACCCACCCTTCAGCATTCACTCAATCAACTTCTCCCAAATGTGATGTCAAAACTCCCGGTAACTCGTCTCGAGGAGATGTGACCCAATTTTTCGACTGTGATACTACCTCTCCTGCTACATTTTCCAACTCCCTCATCCGAACTCCCTCGCCTCTACCTCCCAGTCTACTTCGCCCGACTCAACAACTCATGGAAGCTCATTCTGCTCATGCTACCGCCATCCTATCGGAATTGAATCTGTACAGAGATCTGGCACAGCGATTACAAGCTGAAGTCACGGAGCGAGACGGTGCTTTGGCCGAGCTCAATCTCAGGGCGCTCGAAGGGGATATGTTAAGAGTGCAATTGGATGATCTTCGGACTGAATTAAGACGGGAGGCCATTCGACGGACCTCCCCACCTTCTACTTCTATGTTGGGCGGCGGAATACAGGAAGCAAGTGGGAGCTCAAGAGAAGAAAGTGCATCACCTTCTCCACTCGTTGCTAAAATGCGACGAGATAGGGGAATCGATCACCCCGGGGATCGAACGACTATCGCTCAAGCTGAAAATAGGGATTTGGAAATCAGACTTTCCAAAGCGCTGGCCGATCAATCGGAAATGGCTAGACAAGTGCAGGTGCTGCAGGATGCGAAATCCGATTTGCATCATCAGGTCGAGACCCTGCAAAGAGAAATACAAGAGAGGGATGAAGAATCACAAGACCGATTGGTCGCTCAACGCCAGATGGGCATGGAGGCAAGTCAGGCAGAATTGACACAAGCTCAGCAACGTAACGATGAGCTGAACAGGATGTTGGCGGACGTCCAGCTCAGAGCGGAAGATGCGGAGTGTCAATTGAGAGAGTTGGAGATGGATCAGCAGAATGGGGAATTGGAGAGAATAAGGGACGAGAGTCATGCTTTGAAGGAGGAGTTGAAGCAGATTAAGGAAGTGAAGGGATTGGGGGAGGAAGAGATCTTTAGGCTGCATGGGGAGTTGGATAAATTTAGAGGGGTTCAGAAGAGAGAAGAAGGTTTGAAAGTCAGATTGACAGAAATGGAGCAGGGGCTTCAAACGGAGATGAAGAAGAACGCAGAGTTGTCACAAAGCTTCCAAGCGGAGAAGAAGAGGTGTACCGATCTTGAAACGCACGTTAGTCAGGTGATTATTTTCTTCATCATTCGTCAAGCATCAAATACCTCCATCGGTCCCTTTGTTATTGACCTGATCACTTCGTCCTGACTGTTCGTAATGTATGGAGAGAGACTTCAGGCTAGGAACCATAAGTACAAAGCTAATGATATAGCTTACCCACGCTGTCCAAGAGGCTGAAGGACAAAAAGCTCAATGGAAGTCGGAGAATGATAAAGCGACCAAGACACTCCGAGAAGAGATAGCGAAACTTCGAGCAGAATCAGCATCGAAAGATCTGGAAATACTCAATCTGCATAAACGAAAAGAAGAGTTGAAAGAAGATCGAGAAATGTTGAATATTGCTTTGGACAGTAAACAACAAGAGTTAGAGCTGGTATGTTGTTGCTTTCTTCACCCTTCTACTCATCTATCTCTCTTCCACACGTTGTCTCTAATATCATCTCCACTTCCTCATTCATCTCCCCGTCCTCCCTCATCTACATCTTTATCGTTACGAGGAGTTCATTGTAGGTGGATCTAGCTAGACAGTGGGCATGTTGCATCACGAGGGATCCGACCGGGGACAAAAACTGACTCTCAGATCAAACGGAAATTCGCCGTCAAAGGAGTGGCAGGCTGCACCCCCTTGGGAAATTCCCGTATGATCAACACACCATCCATAACGGATCAAACGCCCATAGCAAGACCTCGTAAAATCAGTATGACCCTTTCCACCCCTCTCCCCGGCGGTATACGGGGCAACAGACTTTCTGGGGTGAGTATGCGCAGTAGCGAGTTGATAGGTCGGACATTGAGGAGTAAAGAAATGAGGGAGAGTAGAGGTAGTATGAGTAAAGTGGATGAGGAGAATAGACCTCCGCGACAAAATCCAGTGGGGTCGATGAGACGTCAGAGGGTGATGGCTTGAGTGAAGATCGAACAACCGACTCTTGAACTTTCGACTAGGAGGAATCAGGGTGGGTGAGTATGGAAGAGATAAACATCTTGTAAGTTAGGACATTTGACAAGAATGCATGTTTTGTGATTCTTTGGATTTTGTGATTGATCTAGTCATAGGATGTTGATCGCTAAAAAGCAGAGAGGGTGGGTCAGACAACGTTATTGGCTTTGCCCAATACTGTTGGGACTGAGCTAGGAGGAATGAACCCGATCTGAGTATTAGCATCTTGAAGTCCTAAGAGAATTAACGCACCTCGGTACAAACAGCAGTTATCAAACTTGGTGGTGTTAAATCATATAACAAAGAAAGAGGTATAACCCCTTCCATCCCTTTTCCTTTCCCCTTTTCCGTTTCCTTTTCTTCTTCTTCTTCCTCCCTCAGTCCCTTAGCCCCTCTCTTAGATCCTCTACTAACATCAAAGAAATCAGATACATCACCAAGTTCATTACTCCCCACTCCATCCAAAACCACCCTCTCACCAAATTTATAAGTTTCACAACATGCCACAACTGGTATTCTAGCTTCTTTAGCCAACATGGCAATCATGGCTGTTCCTGCTCTTGAATATAAAGATCCATCTGCGTGTAAAGCTGATGTACCAAGTAATACCAAATCAGCAGAAGGAAGAAGAGGTGCAAGAAGAGGGAGGAGAGTATATGTTATTGGAATGTTGTATGATGAGAGGGTGGTGAGAAGGGAACGACCTTCGAGTAGAGGACGAGAATCTACTATTATTACGGAGAAGGAAGAGGAAGGGTCGAGGATACGCATGGATGTCCATGCTTCGATTAAGACACGTTCGACGAGAGATGATCTGATTTTAGTTTGAATAAAACCCCCCAATTTCGATGCAATGACAGTGACGATGACACATTTGAGTACTTGGTATGACCTGATGATCGTAACGAGGATAATGCGACAGTCAGACGGGGGTATCGGTGACATGAAGGAGAAAAATTCCGCCATATTAAGAATAGGGTAGAAAGGTGAACACTGAGTTACAAGGGATAAGCGATGAAGGTTTGAAGTAAAGATTAAAACCGGAGAGGAATAGACCAGTGTACTCACCTAGCATAAGTTACCACCGTATCTCCAGGTTTGATCTTTTCTTTTGCAGTAGTCGCTATAACTTGATCTGCGAATTCTATTCTATCTCTTATATATACACCAATAGCATCTATCAAGTATTGTTTCTGCTAATTCTCGTCAACAATTCTTTCTCCTTCATAACTTTAAAATCTAAATCAAGAAAATAACAACTCACCTCAGCCTCCGTCCCAAATTCTTGTTCTCCAAACCTATTGATTTCACCTTTCAACCATCTTATGGCATTCCCACCTCCTACACCTTTCGGTCTACAATTTTCCAAAAAAGAAATCATAGGACTTAAATGTCCTGGAAGATCTTTCCATAAAACAGCATTTTCAGGAGTTTCGTAATCTCTTATAACCTCTTGAAACGCTATCATCATACCTATGGTACGAGCGTTGGCTCCTCTTAATGTACCACTTGACATTAAGACACCAAGACGAATGATGATTGGGTGTAATTTACCTGATTTGAAAGCTAAAGGAGTATTTGGAGATGCATGTGTTGGAAGATGTGTCAGGATCCAATATTTATGAGTTGAGGTGGTGGTTGAAGGAAGATCAGGTAATCCGATTGGTTGTGATTTTTTGGAAGGGATGGAAGATGTGGGAGGTTGTTGAGGAGGTCGAGAGGTGGTAGTTCGGAATTGAGATTGGGATGGGGATTGTATTTGAGTAGATAGATTAGGAGAAGGTTGTGGTTGAAGGTCCGTTGGATTATCTGTGGATTGTGATACAGCTCGAGAAGCGACGAGAGCTGCTCGTTTTTCTTTCTTTGCTTCTTTGGCGGATTTCTTCGGGTCGGTCTTTACAACTTTGGATTTGACGCTACCTTCGCCTTGAATGTTATCACTGAGAAGCGGAGGAGCTACAGGTGGAGTTGCCGACATGGTATGGGTCCGTCTGATGCAGAATGAGAAAGGGAGTAAGTTGTTGGATCGAATTGAAGTAGTTGCAGCAATTCGGTTCGAGTCAACTTTGGCGGCGTTCGCCGCTTGGTACCCACGTACTGTACCCGGTAACTATATACTACGAGTACGAGTACAACATGTGGTAAAAGCTCATGAGCTCATGGACTGCAAATGTACAAAGTGTCGGCACTCATACACAGATTGTATGCAACGTTCTAACCTTCTACAAGTAATGTCCTATGCATGGTTAAAAATGGCGAAACTGGATAATCCCGACGGAGCTCGAATTAATCCCGACGTAAATTTGGCTATTTCTCACAAATCCCGTCACAACTGGCGAGGATCCCGTCACTACTCTCGAGGATCCCTTCACTACTTGTCCAAATCCCTGCGCTCCCTCAATATCGAGAATTGTTGAGATGTAAAAGGTGTAAAATGATCCTGCAGAGCTCAATGTTCATAAAATGCAGAGAGGTCAGGTGTATCATGCATATTGACAGCTCCGAAAATGCACTTTCGGACCCGAAACGCGTCCGAAACGCCCGAAAGTGGTCCGAAAGGTGTCCGAAAGTGATATTTTGTTTAAAGGGGAGGATCACATAATCCGAAACAGGTCCGAAAACAGGTCCGAAAGCCATTGTAGCAGGCTCCCTATGGATGGAGCCACTGATAGCTCTGTTGTTTATGCATCCTGAACCCTCTAAGATCATCTTGCATGTCTTACATCTCAATAATTCTCCTTATTGGGGGAGCGCAGGTATTTGGGTAGTAGTGACAGGATCCTCGCCAGTTGTGACGGGATTTGTGGGAAATGGCCAAATTTACGTCGGGATTAATTCGAGCTCCGTCGGGATTATCCCTACGCGCTTAAAAATGTCCCCTGTTGTCAAAATCTTAAGAAGGAAGGTTCTCAAGTCGGGAGTTGGGCGATGAATTGAAGCGACATCAACGGAACGTAGCTGTTGGCTCCAAAATCGCTACCTGATAATGCTCCGCCGAGGAGATACGTATATGCGTATTCGTCGAATGCGAAAAAAGAAGAAGCTTGAGTTGTCGTCATATCGGCGTTGTAATAAGTGAAGCCTAAAAAGTCAACTGATATCCCTCAACACAGTTTCGCCGGTTGAGTTTCCTAAGGCGCACGAAAAGAGGGGACTCACCAGCTGGAGCGGGCCAAGTGTTCAAAGGGGGTATAGTCCAGATAGGTTGTTGAGTGTTTGAACCGTAGGCTTGTGCGACGGTTTGAGGGTTTGGACAAAGACTCAATACGAATGAACTGATGATCAGCATTACTTTCAAAACTACCCGCATCTAAACATCTATTGGGGACAATGAGAATACACAGGAGTAGGGCGGGAAGAGAAATCGAAATCAACTCACGCTGAACCTCCTGATTGGTCCGCCTCCATATTATTGGCATCACCTTGTTTCCACGTGGACGCGCATATGGGATACATGGACGATCCGACTTGGTAGTACAATAATTGTTGAGTGCCATAAGTAGTGACGATGACGGGAGATGCCATACTGGTGGTTGTAGTCTGTATCCGGTTAGTGCGATGTCATACTACATCCATACACTTCCAGCATATACGACAAAGAGGTATGGTGTTGGATTCTTCTTGAAAAAAAAACTATCGGAGCGATCTGTTAAAATCGACCATTCAGAATGTAAGGGAAACAGTGGACAGCAAACTCACCAAGCGGAATAACCCCGACGCAGAGTCGTAATACATATAAGACGTCGTTTCATAGGGAGTACCCGCACGTTTACGGCCGGCTTCTGTAGGTGTACCTTGAAGATACGCGATTTGAGGCGCTGTTGACCTTTTGGCAAGGGCGGCTGAGGTGAGCGATGTTCAAAATACAACCCTCACCCGCTGACTCTCTCAGAACGAACGATTCATTGCATGATGGTTCAACGCCCCAGATAGTGGTCAGAGAGTGAAAAAAAAACACTCACCTTGTGCTCTCGTGGCGTTGAAAGGAACCATAGGTGAAGCGATTGGAAGCCCTCGTTTTAGTCGATCGGCATTGCTTAACTTCGCAATTGGTTCGTTGACGGGGATAGCGACCGTCGAGACTAGATGAGACAGGACGAGGATATAGAGGAGAGTGAAAAGATTATACATTGTAAAGACCGTGAGTGTATCTTGCGATAAGTCGAGAGGAAGGACAAACTACGAGAAGAAGTTGAATGTGATGCATTCTATATAGCTCGATCTTTATCTGGTGTTTACTACAGGTGAGCATGCTTGTTATGCAAGGATCACACTTACAACTGTTGAAAGTCCCTATGGATGTCCTCATGATCTATCAAGACTATGCTTAGAGTTATTCCAGGAATAATTGAGCCCGATCCATGTGGGATGCTTCGTCTCTCGGGCTTTGACATCTTGACATGCCGTCAGTCGGTGCCTGTGACTACCCAACGATGCCCACGGTGCGGTGAATTTCTGGAGATACCATATTGTTTGACCGTGTCCCAAACACATCTCAGCCTGCCCTATGTCCATACTATGTTCATGCTTGATCCATTGTTCCGTTGTCTAGTCAGAGAAAGATGGAGAAAAGTAACCAATCATCGAAAGAAAGTGGGTAGCAAATTGCAAGTGGCGGTTTCATTCGTGGCGGTTTCGTGAATAAATGTCCATGTCATAAAATACCTGACCGTGCGCTACATTACTACGTACATATGTACATATGGCTCCCATACTGCTCCATCTCTAACTTGGAAGACTGGCTATGAATCTCAAATTAATTTGCGAGTAGCTATCTGCGCCAATATCATTCCCTCCAATTGCACCACCAAGTACGTACTGAAGTCCGTATTCAATGAAAGCGAAAAAATAGTTGAGTTGGGTTTTTGACTCGTCCGCGTTATGATAGGTAAAACCTGACGTGATTAGCACGTTCCTCCTTCCTCTGTCTACATGATGATAGAGGAGAAAGGTGAAGAGTCGTTTGAACATACCAGCGGGTGCAGGCCAAAAATCTCGGGGCGGAATAGTCCATATCGGGGTTTGGGTATTTGTCCCATAAGATTGATCAACTGGTCGGGTACTACCGCAAAGAGTAAACACAATGGCGCTGCATGTCAATATCAAATTTGATCCTCTGATGATTCAGAAATTCTGCTTATTTTACGAATGATAAAGTGTGCACTTGGATGAGTGGATAGTAAGCGAAGAAAATTGGTGATAAAGGCGAGGTGGGATAAAAGTGTACTGTACATACGTCGAACCGCCGGGATTATCAGTTTCCATATTGTTTGCTTCCCCGCCGCTCCAAGTCGAGCTGCACAGGGGATAAACTGTGTCATCTCTTTGATAGTAAAGATATTCTTCAACACCGTACTCTGGAACAATAAATGGGGAGGCCTGAGTCTGGTCGGTGGTCTGTTTTCATCAATATCATCTTGCACTCCAGAGAGGCCCAAGAAGGAGACTTCATCAAGCGGATGAAGGACATGGTAGTTAAGAGGAGCTCAGCTTACCAGTCGGAAAATCCCAGCGTCACGGTCGTAAAATAGATAAGAGGTTTGGGTGTATGGACTACGTTTTCGAGCTTCAGGAGGAACCGCTTGTAAATAAGCGATTTGGTTGGCATCAGACCTCTTGGCTGGAGCGGCTGAAGATCAGTAGAGAAACAAATATGAAAATTGCTTCAGGAAAAGGATATAATAGGGGGGTCTTGGTGCGTTACTCGAATTATGTAAGCCAGAGTAGGAGAAGAGAGCGAGGGGATGAATAGGGTCATGATAGACTTACCATTAACTCTACTAGCATTGTACGGACTGGTGAGAGATCGAAGAGGAAGACCACGTTTAAGTCTGTCAGCATTGGTCATTCCCTCTCCACGACCCTTGACAGGAAGGCTGATGGCAGATGCGGCGCCGGCAAGCATGAGAGAATAGAAGAAAGTTGCAAGTTTGAACATTGTAAAGACCGTGGGATTTGTGTGAGTCTTGAAAGAACGAATGATGATAAAAAGAAAGCAAATTTCATTTGAGTGAGCGAGTCAAGATCATATAAGCATGTTATGGTTGTGTGAAATGTTTGTATTCGACAAACACACACGCATACCTCGTGGAACATGATCAAAACCCTTTTTCATGGCCTGTAGAGTTGAACGAGTACGTCTTGCTGGACGTGCACGATGAGATGAATGCTCATAGAGTTATGGGACTATCATGATACTTCCGCGGTTCCCGTTTCACTAGCCAGGAGATGCTTTCTCCCCACGCGTGCGCATGTCGTAATTCTGTTCCTGTGACTAACTCCGCCATCTCGGAACTTCACATCTCCAGGGATCTGCGGCCTGGGGCGTCTTCTTTTTCACACAAGATACAAACAAGCCAAGCATCTACTAGGGTCTTCAACAGGGTAGCATGTCAATAAACCTGCATCTCAACATTAGCACCAACATTCACATACAGTCTATCCATGTGATGGGTGTAATCGTGAGTTGCATACTAATAACGTTATACATAATGTCCATACATTGTCCTAGAAGTCCCATGCAGAAAACTTTACCCGGGCAGTTGATTGACCCATGTCAAAGTGAGTTCGGTGACTGCTCCGTTTGCACCAAAATGTGAAGCCTTCAACGCAGCGCCGAGTTGATCGAAGCGATCAGGTTCATACGTGTCGTACACGAACCAAGATGGATTTGTGGTGGTACCATCGTGATTATGGAAGTTGATACTTGCTGGTCCGGGAACATTTTCGGGGACGTTCCAAATTGGTGCTTGAATTTGATCGTTTTGAGACTCAGCGACGGTCTGATCGTAATCTGTCCCGGGTGTGAAACCGCAAGTGCTGGAAATCAGCTATCACTCGATGTAACTTTTTCAAGAAAAAGTGGAGGGTTTGTGAAACATAACTCATTGAATGATGATTGACGTGAGTTTGGAAAAAAAAGACGATGGAAGAGTAAGAGATGTATGTACCTTGGACCTCCCTCTGCATCGATCTCCATGGCAGGTGTCTGACTTCCTGAATAGATAAAGCACTCGTTGGCAAATGTTGTTCCGTCAATAGGTGTTAAAATGACTTGGTTCGACCCGCTTCCCTGAACTTTGAAAGAGACGGCAAGACCTGGGTTTATGGTCTAAATCACGGATCAGTGATTGAGTTGAAGAAGAAGAAAAAAGGGAGAAACGGACCAGAGCGAAAACACCGTTGCTATCATCATAATAAACGAAAGATTCAGTGTTGTGTGGGGTTGCTTCCCTTCGATCGAGGGAACGCTTAGGAGGAGCGGAGGCAGGTGATGCTTGAAGATAGAGTTTTGATGGCCCAACAGATCGTTTGGAAAGAGGTTCTATTCAAATCAGCTTGGAAATCAAATTTGATAATCTCACAACTCACGTCCGGTCGCAGTGGCGTTGAATCTCCTCGATGGGACTTTTGGTCCAAGACCTCGTTTGAAACGTTCGGCATTGGTGAGTTCGGAGGCAGGTAAAGCCGTTACCGCTTGAAAGAAAGAGAGGAAGAAGAGACAAGATATTAAAAGAGCGGATCGACACGACATGATGAAAAAGAGCGACAGTGGTTAATAGTGATGTGAGAATCGAGAAGTATCTGGTATATGTATGAGCATTTAAAACATTTTATGAGTAAGTTAGAAGGTTGATGAGTTGTTATTCGAATTCGTCATACTCCTTCGTTCGTCCGATGGTTCAAGTAGTTAAATCGATTATGTTACGTGCAAGTCACTGAAGGTGAAGCATGTTATACCCTGAAATCAGCACGTAATGACGAGAATCTCCTTACTGATGTCGGACATACTAACGTGTCATATAAGTCATGTCTATTCAATATCAAAATACGTACAATTATACTTTTGATACTCCACTGTGTTGTACTTAGTATCATCTACATGGGTTCGAGTTGACATTACACGTTGTCCCATCCCTCAAACACGTCTAAGATATCGTTTCCACCCATGTCAACACTACCTGCTGTGTCCTTGAAGCAGAGATAAGATCAGATGCTCTCAATCCAGCGCCAAGTGTGTCCGAGATGGGGGCGTAATCCGTTCTATCAAAAACGAACGTAGGGATATCTCGAGTTTCCGTTCCGTCCACGTTATGAAAACTGAAAACCACAGGCGCCGGTAGATAGGTAGGTATGTCCCATACGGGTATTTGCTCTAGATTTCCATAAGAAGCATCAAGTGTTTGTGTATCCTGAGTGAGGGAGAAATCCACGGATCTGAGAATGAGTAGCAGACAAAGACTCATTGAGTGATGATGTGTTACTCACACCCCGTGTTCTTGAGCCATAGTCAAGGGTGTACCATAATGATACACAAAAATCGTAACGGTATTCGTCGTTCCATCGACATTGACGTTGACCTCTTGATCAGTCCCTTGAGTGGGGAAGAAGAATTCGGTAGCTTGGGTTGGATCAGTGGACTGTGTAATCTCAGCTCAACTTCCCTCTACTAAACTTTCAAAGGACTTAATCTCTGCTGGGCAAATCAACATGATGGAGAGATCTTCAGCTTACCAAGATGAAGAGACTAGTAGTGGGGTTGTATGTGAGCCATGATATGGAATCATAAGGTGTTCCCGCTCTATTTGATAGGCTTCGTTTACCGACCGTCACAGGAGATGCTTGTATATACGCCGTGGTCGGAGAGTTGGATCGCTTCGCATGTGCGTCTGATGGATCAGTTTCGAATCCTCACCTCGGTTTTTCAGGTTTCTTCATGAGTCATGAATGTGGAGGGTTTTGTACACGTGAATGTTGTAGAAACTCACGTCGAGTGCTAGAGGCGTTATATCTTCTTAGAGGTGAGGCCGGTGGTAAGCCACGTCTGAGACGTTCGGCGTTACTCTCCCAGACTGGCTTACAATGTGCCGTCATAGCTAGTATGAGTGTCACAAGCATAGCTGGTAGAAACATCTTGACCATCATTTCAGTCTAGTAGTCAATCATAGCCGAGTAAAGAAGCAACAATGCAAAGAGCTTCATAAACAACACATTGGACTGGTAGTTATGAGGAACTCATTCCTCTCTCCTTGATCCTTGAGCTCCCATCCGTCTGCAAGTCCGATGTTCTCAATGCCTTGGCGGTCAACAAGCCCGGCTTGCGAGCTTCTCCCATTTTGGGCTCATTAAGAACTCCGTTGCCATTTGTGCCGCTGGCGTCACCGGACATGTCAGGAACCTGGTAATCGTTGTCCCAAAATATGGCGCTGGTTCCTAGGATAAATTGTCCGGACCGGAGCCCAACATCAATCTCCGCGTCTGAAAAGTCGGTAGAATATCGAGAAAGACAAGTGAAAATACGTACCTGCAAGCTCACAAGTATGTACACGCAAGTCCACAGTATAAAGAAGAGGATAATCTTTGAGCGTAATACCAGTAGTACGTAACCATTATCAAATGGGTAATTCATCAATCCATGTCAACACAATTTGTTTCTGTTGTATTGAATCCAAAGAATCTGGATTCATCGTTGACCCCAGCATATTGACACTGACCGTAGTGTCGAAAACATGAAATGGCGCGTCGACAGTGGTAGTACCGTCCTAATTATGATATGTGAAACCTACCGTCTGGGGCCAGGAAGATGGTGTGGTCCAAATGGCTGATTGACTGAAGGAACCATATGATTGAGAAGGAGTTTTTTGAGAACCGGAAGTGAAAACTATTGATCTCCAATTTCAGCAGGGGCACAGATATCATGATGTTAACCAAGAGACTCACAAATATGTATCAGAGTTCATGTTTCTTTCCGTACCACCAAGCCAATGCCAAATTCCACTAACGGCGTAACCGTGTTGGGCATCCGAAACCCATAATTGAACGTCCTGCTCGGTTCCTGCTCCGTTTGTGAAATGAAAGGATGCAGCTGAAGTAGGATCAGTCGACTAAATGTCATGTCAATTATTTGATATGTGGAGGGAGAAGATAAAACCAACAAGTTGTAACCAACCCTTTGTACTGTCATACCCCACATATGATATTGTATCATATGGCGTACCGGCCCGCTCGGGGAAGTTTCGTTTGCTTGCAGAAACAGGTGAGGCTTGCATGTATCCTACCACAGGGGCGGAACGTCTGGCGGGTGCATCTGATCAATGAGCGTACTGCGTAGTCGAGATTGGAATTTTGAACTTACGTCTGGTTGATGTTGCGTTATATCGTCGTACGGGTGCTCTTGGTGGAAGACCTCTTTGGAGCCTCTGAGAGTTGGTATTCACCTTCCCAGCATTGACTACTTCCGTGCAAACGACTGAGAAGAATAAAAGGACATATACTTGAATAAGTAGTATCATGATTGTCAATGTTGATAAAGGTGAAATTCAGAAGTATGTATGCCAGACTCACATAGGTAGCCCTCATTCATTGATGTCTCCTCGGAGACTCTCTACATAGTCGGACTTGACCAGAATGCCAAGCTATTCTTTCCTGATCAAAACAACGCTTGTCCGTTAATTCTGACATGTCTCATCCTGACGTTGATGGCTTAGTTTCAGGGATATTCCCACATTCCATGCGGAATTGATGAATTCTCCGAATTTCCGAACGGCGCCGTGGCTTATGTGTTCCTGACCACGGGCGTCCTCGATCGATGAAGACAATGGGAAGTTGACGGGACATGGTCATATGCCCCGTCTTGGCAAGCTTCGGAGTCCCGTAAGTAGACGTGGAGCCTCGAAACAGTCGCGACCAATCGGACCTACTGCTCAAGGGGTCAGGAATGTTTACATGATATGACTTTCGGTGGACCAGGCACTCATTCCTGTCAAACATGGGGCCTCGAATGCTGTAGTCCACCACTTCACGCCTCACACATCGGAGCATGTACATGGGTATCAAGTCTCTTCCCGTACCAGGCAACAAGAGAAGCAAAAGAAGAAAAAAAGCTTATCATGTATATGACTAATTTATGATCCCAATATCCATATGGGCGAACGAGACTATGAATCTGAACGAACTAGACGCTACGACAAGTACTTGAAGAAACATTTCACACCTAGGGGAGACTGTTCAACCAAGTCAAAGTGACCTGTGTCTTGGGGTTGTTAAGCGATGGTGGGTCCAGCGTAGAACCAAGTTGATTGACACCGGAAAATGTAGTATCGAAGACGTAAAAAGGAGCGTTGACCGTGATGGTACCATCTTGATTGTGATATGTGAATCCTACTGTTGATGGTACGTCTGATGGTATTGTCCAAGTAGCCGACTGTTGACCGGATCCGTATGAAGAAGCTATCGAAACTTGGGAACCTGTCGCGAAGTATAAAGAGCTGTGAAATGAGCAAACAAATTGGAGAGATATGTATGATCGTTTTACTCACAGGAGAGTGTCTGCATTCAAATTATTAACTCCTGCATTGTTCCATGTTTTGGCGTCGATGTAGCCCAGATTGCTACCCCCTGAATACATCTGCATATCTTGTTCCGTACCAGCACCATTCAAAACGTGAAACGATACGGCTTGGGTAGGATCCGTCGTCTTTCATTCAGCACATTTCTAAAGATGAAAAAACCTTGAACAAAGAAAAGGGAAGTGAGATAGACGTACGAGAAATAGCCAGGCATTCGAGTTCATACCCACGTAAGAGAGAGTATCGTGTGGTGTTCCCGCTCGTTCCGAAAGATCACGTTTGCCAGTCAAAACAGGTTCTGCTTGAATGTATAAAATGTTCGCAGCGGGTGATCGTTTCGACTGAGCGTCTGAAAAATGAGCATGAATTTCGAAACTTCAACTTGATCACTCACGTCTTGTAGAAGTAGCATTGTATCTTCGCAAGGGAGCTTTAGGGGGTAAACCTCGTCGAAGTCTAGCGGCATTGGTATCCACCGGAGTAGCTATCACTGATAACGAAACGACAAGAAGCAGACATAACCAGGAATGAAGACGGATGAAGAAGGTCATGTTGATAAATTTGTTGAGATATGATTTCTTGACGTGCCCATTTCAAATCGTACTCTACCAGTCTATATGTATTCTCCTCAAGCATTGTTGTCACCCTTGTTTGTCGTATCGTCGTTTGGTTGACCGCTTGGGAACCGAATACATATAAACATGTTTAATGAGAAATCGATATGTCTCACTTTTTGCGTTTCTCAAGTTGGAGTGTTGGGAATTCAGGGGGAAATCCGTGCGGACGAAATCTCTCCGAACCTCCGAACGACATCAATAAGTTACGAGTACGAGTACTTAGTCTCCGACTGTTGCATGGTCACCATGGTCACCGATTTGTGAATCTTGCAATACAGCACAATCCGTAGGCCGTAGGGCTCATGAGGAATGTACTTTGTTCAGGCAGAAATACATACCCATACTTCAATACCAAGTACTCGTACTCACTCCACTCGTACTCTAGATCTACCATCATTGATTGTCCTTTCTGTTTTCTGTTCTTTGCAGACAGCTGAACCTGTTCATTCTTTGTAGAAACCACCAACACATACTACTTTACACTAGATTCTCACATTTCTCAATGATATTCAATCTCAATGGACTTCTCTCTTTTGTTTCTGTACTTGCTACAGTTGCACATGCTACAAGAGTAGAAACCAATGCTCAACGACTCAAAAGGGGACTTCCGCCTCTATCACCTCTAAGAAGATACAATGCGACTTCCACCAGACGTATGTTCCATCTTCTATCATTCCAATGTCTTCATTCCCATGTTTGTCATGTACTGAGTCTATGTTGATGTATAGATAGCAATTCAAAGCGTTCAGCAACTGTGACTACTGTATACATGCAAGCTTCACCCGTGATAACAGGCAAACGATCTTTTTCAGAAAGAGCAGGAACCCCTCTCGACTCTTTATCCTATGTGATGATAAATGATGACAACTTTTCACTCTTAGTACATATTTCATCAATAATATCCTTCTTGATCATTAAGATTAGACGACGGATCCAACGAAAGCCCTTTCCTTTCAGATCACCAATGGTGCAGGGACGGAACAAGATGTGCAAGCATTCAGTGGTGGTCAATCCCTCGGATATGTTGATACGGCCGCATGGACCTCGGGTCAATCTATGAATATGGCGACTAACTCTCAATTGTAAGTTGGCTCTCACACATCTGATATCGTATGGAAGTTGACTAGTAGATCACTTTATTTTCCAATCAATACTCAAGTCTCCCTTGCCAATTCTAACGGCGCTTTCTTTCAATCAGCCATCTGGACAATCCCTTCATCTTTACCAGGAAATTTGGGTGTTACCTTCCATAATAGTGATGGCACAACAACGGTCGATCCTCCAGTGATGACGGACTACCTTTTCGCTGAGTTCTCAATCCTGCCAACTTCGACACTTCCTCCGGACAACTAGCTCTGCTCAACTTGACGTGGATCGATGAATTACCCCCCTCTTAGACCTCTCATCTGTGAGCATGCACTTTGTTTTTTATGGAACATTCACGGCGCCCGTTTACTACTTCCTGAGATGTATGATTTGCGTACAGTACAGGACGTCTAGACCTGAATTATCCGGTATGACCACAGTCCATGAGTGACATGAATCCTCCCAACTTCAATTAGTCCCATCTAATCCGGACCAAGTCTCCTGCTTCCGGAGTCCCAAATGTCCCGTTGAAAAACGCGCCCTTGTGTCTCTTGCCTCTTGGGAGGACCAGGTTCTCGGGTCCTAAGTGTTCCTTCTGTGCGGCGGTATGGACTTTCAGAAGGACATGTGTATCTTGGCTGGACAGTGTCTCAGCCACCAACATTACTCTTGAGTAGGTGCTTCAACATATCATGAGCATCAAATCCATACGTAAGTGATCTTGGTAATTGAAGATGGGTAGGTGGTCCCACCACACCAGATATCTAATGATGATGCGATGCATGCTTGCACATTGCACAAATTCCGAAGTGTGATCTAAATACCTTTCCCTCTAGCCCATCGACGTGCCAGACGCCATGTCAAGAAGGCACCTACTGCTGCTGACACGCCTCCAATTCTTCCCATCAGTTTCACAACTTATAAAAACCAACCGGATCAGACCTCTCACTACACCTTTCTCACAATCATGGTAAGACAAGGAGAGTGAATGTGAGGATGATTGTTCGATTATATGAGGGCGGGGATATTATTATCATGAAGGGTTGCAAGATTCTCACCTAAAGATCAATCCTACGGCGTCCGAACTCCCTGCTTGCATCACTCCTTCTCTTCTCATCAATCTCTCCCCCAGTTCCACGACCCCCGTCGGAGCTTCTACCGCCGCTACTGTCCCATTGACCACGGGATTGGCATGCGGATGATGACTCGGCAGACTTTTGTCAGGTTCCATGAGATAGAAAATGGCGCTACTCAGGATCGTCACCAAGAACTGGGGCATGACAAGGAATACGTTATGGATACCCAATATCACCCCTGCCTTATCGGCCATTCCTTTCCTTTCACTTGAATTCGACCGAGCGGAGAATGAGCTGTTTCCTGGGTCCGCTCCGTCACCTTCGAATGAAGATTTGGAGGACGTATCCGAGGAGTGTCGTACGATGACGGTGGAGGAGTGATCTTCCATCTGTGGAGTCTGGATCACGAGAGGGGTGAGATTTTGAGTTGTGCCGTTCTCTGGCATGGTATCGGTGGATTTTCGAGTCGGGGATGATTCATGATGTTGATGATTGAGAGTGAGGGAAGATCGAGAATGATGTCGAGTATGTATGGGGGATGATTCGGGGTGAGGGGACGAAGCAGAGGTTGAGGCTGACGTGCTGGGTCCGGAAAGATCAACGGAATAGACGGGTAGGGGAGGAGAAGAACGTGAATGTGTTCGGTGTGGACGGAGGAGATGAGCTTCTGATTCGGCGGAAGTTCGCATGAATAAGACGTCTGGTTGATCACGGTCGATTTGACCGTCAATGAGGATCAATTCGCCGAGCTAGCTGTCAGCATGAGTCCCTAAAGATGAGCGAGATTGATAGAAGCAATAACATACCAGGGAGAAGGGTGCCCATTGGAAAACGCCCCAGGTGATTCCAGTAATCCCAATTATGATGTATGCTCCCGTGACTGTCTCTACGAACCTAAAGACGTGAGTGAGTCGACCTGAACGATCACTCGGATAGCTGAAACTCACAAAGTTGCGGCCATACAGCCAGCAAAGATAAATTGACTGATCCACCAGATGCTTATGAGTGTGAGGCCGGGTATAGGCAGAGCCCATGCGGACCCATCCTTCAGACTAGCGATCAAGTTCTTCCCTCTATCAAGCGATCGCTGAATGAAGCTCGACCCATCATCGATTTCCCTCATCCGTTTCCGTGAGGCGGAGTTTGGTGGTCGATCGGGATTGCCTCCGCCATTCAAAGGCGAGTAACCGGCCACGTCGTCAAGGACGATACCGGATTCAGCGACGAAAGGTGGGAGACATACACTGATGAGGATATTGATGATGGCTTGGAAGAAGAGAGCTCGGGCGCCGGATCGGACTGCTCGACCTTCAAATACTTCGTCTGAGAGGTCGCCTTGGGGCATAGAGCGTTTGTAGATTTCGGACACCCAGACGGTGGTGAAGAACAGGATGGGGAACCAACCAAGGCTGGACGTCAATTGACGCCCAACGTATGCTTTTTGAGCCACAGACTATTGGACGACGAGGCATCATAGGCGAGAGGGAAGCTGGAAGTGAGAGACGGGGGAAAGGGAAGTGGCACAGAATCTTCACTCACGAAGCAAATAGATCAATGATACACACCATCCGTATTCCAGGAGGTAAAGAAAAGATGTTATCCCAGATGGCTTTCAGACTCGCAAAGAGCCCATTCTTGGCGTTCGGTCGGCTTCCTATCAGCATGGCCGACAAATGACCAGAGAGAATAGTCTCACTCGTCACGAAGAAGCACTCGTTCTGTGACCGCCCAAGAGGTCAGTGAATGACAAGTCAGGAGTATAGCGGAAGTAATGAAGGACAGAATTTGTAATTGTGTCTTGCCCAGAAAAGGTAGGACGGGGGGGAGGTCCAAGTTGCCTCTATCAATCAGCACCGTGTCATCCAGGTGATTTGTTTGTCGCTGATTTGCTCACACAAAAAATCCTGCCAAACTTCCAAATCCAAACATTCTTCCCGCCCATGCACTTCCTTCGTCCTGTCTATTATTCGGCAACGTATCAACCACCAGTGCTCTATCCGTACTCATGACGGCGTTTATACTAAAATCGATGAGATAAATCGCAAACACGGCCAAGGTGACGGCCATCCAAGAGCCAAATCCAAAGAAAGAAGAAACTTCTCGAGTCCAACCGAGGAGCATCATGGCGATAGCACAAATGGTGATTCCGGCCAACATGAAAGGTCTTCTTCTACCAAACCGAGACTTTGAACGATCTGCCAGAACGCCGATGAGGGGTTGAACAACGAGTCCAGAAAGAGGACCAGCCATGAAGACGAGGGACATCCATGATTTTGATAATCCGAGTTCTAGGAGGTATGGAGAGGCTAAAAGGTTAGCTCACACGACTTACGACTTGTATGGTGAATCCTAGAACACGGCAAAGATTGTCGTGGATGTCGTAGAGAAGTCACACCCACCGTAACCCATTTCTATAGACCATACACACTAATTGTCAGCTCAGTCATTGGAGTAAAGAATGAACTTGGCGGAATATACGGTGGTGTAAAAATGAGGATGAGACCCAGAGGATGAGGATGATATTTGAGGAGCAAGCTGAGAAAGACTCACTTGTATTCCTAACATGCCAATAGTGAGAAATGGGACTTTCGCCCATCTCGGTCCCTTAATACTTGGTTTCCCAACCCATTGAACTTCATGACTCCCACTATCGTCAAACTCATCTGCGGTTGGGATAAACGCCCCTCCTGTCATCTGGCCTGGTTCGTCTCTTGTACCTCTGACTAGCTGCCTTTAATCTTTGAGCCTCTGCGTTTCAACGTCGGTTTAGTTCTTCACTTTTCAGATTAGACCCTTAGTCTGAGGATGACTTGATATTTTGGCACAGATTGGACGTTGATATTTTTCCCCCTTACAGATGAATCTGACCAGATGGGCGGGAGGATGATCGCTTCCTTGTTCGGGCGCAGCTTGTCTTTGTCGGGATGTTCAACGGGCTTCTGTGATCCAAGTGGGAGTCATTCTCCGGGTTGAATTTCCAGCTTTAAGAAAGAAAGAAAAGAGTGGTGAAAAGATATATGAGTAGAGACAAACTACGGATTGAACTCGCAGCCAAGAAAGGAGTGAGACGCGAGTTAGAAGAGACATCCTTCGGACATCGCCGCATCACCGACTCCACGTGACTATCAATTTTTTCCAGTTTTTTCAAAATACCACGTGTAGCCCAAAAAGTTCCCCCTCCCTCCACTCCGCAACTATTCTCTCTTCCTCTCTCAACTTTCTACATATATCTCCTTCACTTTGGCCAGGGATCAGCTGTGAGGCCATCTCAAATCATCAGCTTTTGATAAATCCGCATCCGACGAAAATGTCCGCACCAAACCCAAAAGCTTTCCCTCTGGCCAATGCCCAGTTAACCAACCAAGTGAGTTCTTTCTTGAACAAAGACGGGAAAAAAACTGATGGGGAAGATATTGGATCTCATTCAACAAGCCAGTCATTATAACCAATTGAAAAAAGGGTGAGTGAAACCTTCATTCAATGAGAATGAACGTGCTTTTTGATAGAGAATGAAGAACCGATGAAGATGTGATTGTTGATGTACAGTGCCAACGAAGCTACCAAAACTCTCAATAGAGGTATTTGCGAGTTCGTAGTTATGGCAGCCGATGTTGAACCTATCGAAATCGTTCTTCATCTTCCTTTATTGTGTGAAGATAAGAATGTTCCTTATGTTTTCTTACCGTCTAAAACTGCGATGGGTAGGGCTTGTGGAGTGAGCAGACCGGTCATAGCTGCTAGTGTCACGACGAATGAGGCTAGGGAATTGAATTCGCAGATCCAAGCTATAAAGGTGTGTACATGTTCTTCTTTCAAGTCTTTCCATTTCCCCCCTTTCCACTTTCTTTCTATCCATTCTTCCCCTAACATATGTCATTGAAATCACCTGATAGTGCCCTCGTTTGTTTCTTAGGTATGCTTCCGACATTCGAGGATTGTCAGGTTCACGATTGGGTCGTTTTGTGAATTCCGCGGCTTTAGAAAACCTTGGAGCAGGACTGACGGACAGAATGAGATCGAGAAACTGCTCATCTAATCCACTATTTCCCTCCACCTCTAGTCTCATCACACATAGCAGGCAGTGAAACCTGTCGAGGAAATGCGTTGCAGATAGTGCAAGTGCTGGAAACAACAATATGATGCATCGCCCTCAACAAAACAAAAGATCACCCATTACAGTCGCATACTTTCAAATGACACCTTCTCCTCCACGTCGCCCTCCACGTTTATATGGATTCGCCCCTCGATCCCCGATAGGGGGACTCTCCGTCTTCGGTTGCATACATGAGACAGCAGCGGCAGCTTGACTCCTTGTCATTCTTCTTGGACTATCTACTGATTGAGCGGCCTGAGGTACACCTCCTGAACGTAATATCGGTTGCGGTGGGGGTGGAGGAAGTAAATCTGCGCCTGATGTCCACTGACCGGAGTTGGGATGAGAGAGGGCGAAAGTTACTTGTTTTGGAGGTGGAGGAGGGAGGGGTTGAGATGCAGTCGTACGTGGTAAGGAGTCAATATGAGTGTTTTGGAATTGAGTGGTTATTGCTCTAGAAGGTTAGCATCTACTCCCAAATGGCTCATACTCGTATGACTGCTCCACTGAGGTGAGTCATGCAAATCGGAATTCAGAGAACAGTGGCCGAGGGATTCGAACGTGTAGGAACAGGAACTACTCACCCCACATCAGCCCGTCTCGAATTCAAAAATTGCCCGCAGGATCCTTTGAAGGCGTGTAACATGTCACTCAAAGAATTGTAAAATTTGATACCTTCTTGAGCATTATCCACGATCTCCCTCCATTTCCAATACGCCCCATCGATCTCTTGCAAGGCGCGTTCACGATCTTTGATCATTGGATCTTGTTTCCTCTCAGCCAGGAAGGCTTCATTCTGCTCCTGCCACATGAGTTCAACTTCAATTCGGGCATCAGGACCAAGTAATGTGATGTCAGAAATTCCTGAAAGAGGAAGACATCGCACTGGGGGCAAAGGTTGACTCACACGTATTCGGCCCAGCAGAGCTTCCTGGAATGCCGCCTCTTTCTCCATTTCATCCTTAAACTTATCATACTTGCCCAGATTTCGTTCAAAAATGTCCTCAAACCATTCGGTCTTGACGTCTCCACTTCCACCATGTGCTAAGCGGGTGGCTTCTGTGAGTACAGCCGCTCGGACATCATCCCCACTGGCGATATGTTTTGCCTCCGCCACAATTCTTGCCCGATTCGACATACGATCGTCGAGTTCTTCAAGAGAGGCGCGTAGTGGCCGCACAGATGTTGGCAAGGACGACGAAGAGGACCGGGCGGTTGATGGAATGTATGAACGTAATTCCTCCTGTCGGTCAAATTGACTGAAGCATGATGCCACCGTGATGCAGTGAAAGAGACTGACCTCGCCACCTGCCAACACCTCTATAACTTCTGAAAATTCTTCCCATTTTGACACAACGGTGGCATCGCTAACTGCCGCTTGCTTCAAAGTCTTTTCGTACTGATCGGCCATACCGATCAATCGCTGATTGGCCTCATGAGAAGGCTGTCGACTGCTGATTAGATGGGGTTGGGATGTTAAAAGATGCTCGTTCTCGGTAGCTTCTTGGTCCAATATATCCATGGCCTCCACAATCAGCTGGATCACCACAGGATTTAGGCCAACTCACCTCTGAGAGGAGCTTAGCATTCGTCTTTGCCAACCTAGACACTTCTCCAAGCAGCGAACGAATTTTGTCCGTTCCACCGGCCGCCTCAACCTCTTCGGCCTTCTTCATCAATGACGGAGGTAAGCCTATAGGTCTTTCCAAGGCTTCGATCGATCCAGGGAGGTTCAAAGACTGTAGAGTGCTGTTTTATCAGATAAATCTTGCAATCAACCAATTACTCACCTTGCAGCGAGTCCATCCAATTCTTCCCTCTTACCATCCAGATCCCTCACCACAGTATCTTTGCGATCGTCGTAGATGCTCAAAGCCAAGTGAACGCCATACGGGACCAATCCGCTGAAAAGCGGAGGCATACCTGCATTGTTGTTCATGAGCCATGCGACAGGATCCGAGACTTCTGGGGGAGTAGAGAGCTTCACCATGCTTGTGCCTTTGAGGGCAGGAAGTTGGTTTGCTGGTGGGATTGGGTCATTGTAGATCAAGTTGTTGTCACGGTCGGCGCGCTCCAGATTGCTCTTCACAGCTGCTGACAGGTTCTTCACATCAGCTCACAAGAAGAAAGCAGGTATCCGTGAGGCGACTGAGGATGCGATATGACATACCTTCAGGTCGGAAAGTACCGCATCTGCCACACCCTTCTTGCTGGCTTCCAAACCCTTCTTGGCCAATCCCTCAGCAATCCTCAACCTGGTGATCTCGTGGCCATAGCGTCTACTTTCCAGATCATCCTGACTCAATCTGTACTGAGCCGCAGCTTCAAAGTGCATCTGTTTCACTGTGATATGACTGAGCCATCCCTGATTTGAGCAAACCTGCTTTTCATTCAAGATCACGAAATACGTACCACCGGGAAATAGGCAGCCGATGGATATTCAACTGCATTGGCAGCTGAGAGAGCCGAGCCGTAATACTCCGAGACTTTCATCGACAGCTTGCCTATCAGCGAATTTTTATATGTACCTTCTGCTGATCAGCTCTTGGTCACAAGGGTGAGTGCGGGGGAATACTGACGAAGTACAGCCTGCTGCCAGAAACACTCTTGAGCTTCTGCGAGCAGGAATTCTCGCAAGGTGGTGAGAAATGACTCTGTCATGTCGTATCCTGCAGCATGGGGCGACCCAATCTCAGTCCTCAGTATAGGCAGAATGGACTGAATCAGATGGTGGAAAATACCCGCCGCAGCCTGATTCGTCAGCGTAATCCCTTGTGGGGACGAACGTCAGACTCACCGAGAGGTAGCCCAGAGCCCGCCGAATCCCTTCGACCTCCGCGCGACGCTCTGAAGCGGCCATTATCGAGTAGAGAGCGGCAACATTGAAGAGTACAGAAGCTCTTTCGTATGTGAGGGAAGGAAGGGAGACAGTGGACTCGGCCGTCAAAGAGAAGATGGGCGGAAAGGGGAGATGATAGGCGAAGGAGAGGCCGATCTTTTCATAAGCCAGAGACCTTTATTGACCAGACGATTGTTTCAGACGAGTGTAGTGTACATGTCACGGAACCGCATACGGCCATTAGAAGACTCACATCTGAAGGGAATTTGGTGGCAAGAAAGCTCAGTTGAGCATAATATCTGTTTCCATTAGTTTTTCGAGTCCTATGTCCCATTGACTCACCTCATGAGACCCTTGGTCATTTCTGGATGAGCCTCAGCTTTGGGTTCCACCAGCTCTCGCCTCATCGTAGCGAGTACATCGACGTCTTTCCGAAAGGCCTCTGGGTGAGCATCGCGAAAATGGTGCGAAATGTAAGTGAGAATGTGGCCTGAAAAAGCGGGTAAAGGCTCTGCACGTTTGGTTGGGATGGGAAGGAAGTTGCTCTACACATCAGCGTCAGTCGAGTGTCCAGAAGATGAAGATGATAACAAGACTGACCATGAGGAGGGATTGAGTGAGAATAGAAGAAGGGAGGGGTCCACTCTATGTACTTACCTACTTACCGTATGTTGGGTGAGGTGTACTTTATAGGAGAGCGGGGCTCCACTTTCCACCCGCCTGACTTTTCACTCCACGTCGGTGTGTCCGCCTCTTTCTCCTATTAAACCTTCTCTCAGTGGCATAGTCCTATCTCAGACCGTGGTCTAGGGGAGTATAGTACGACATTGGACCTCGCAGAATGTCCCAATCACCTCTGGCACGTTCCACACGTCGCTCGTTGCCCGCCTTCGCACATACCCCCTCCAGGCTCTCAAAATCAACAAATGTGGCCACCGTCACTCCCCCACACGACAGTCTTCTCACTCCAATCAAGACTGAGCCATCTTCGCTCACACCCGATCATCGCTATCGTGGAGCCTCCTCTACTCCCAGTACCCCAAAGATCCTCTACTCGCCATATGCCACCTCTTCTCCTCATGCAGGCCCGAGCAAAAGCGCCAGCATTCCGTTTGATATGGCCGCATCTACCAAGGCAGCCCGTCAGACTGACTCCGGTACACAAGTCGGCGTACAGTATGGAATGGCTACTCCGGGGATGAAAAAGAAGAGATTCATCCGCAGAAAGCCCATCTTTCAACGGTGAGCGTTTCCTCACAATATGCATCTCAGCGCTGACGGTCAGGCTCCTATCGTTTCCTCAGAGAATCATCGATCGTTTGATATACGATGCACCAACGTCCATGCAAGATGTCATACCATCTGCGCACTTGGCCAACCCCATCGCATTGGGCATTCACTGCGTTCATTATCTCCTCGTCGCTCCGCTCTTCTCAGCGGTAGACGAACCTCAAAGTGTCCTACGTACGGGGAAAGAGCCAACCGGAGTGAGCGGAAGGTGGAGCAAGTACGAAGTTGAAAACAAATGGATTGGTAGAGGACTTCTTGGGCCTTGGACGGTTGGTTAAACGGTGCTGATCTGAGCTGATGATTAGGCAATCATGGTGACAACGGTTCTATTATTGTTGGCTGCTGCGAATGCGACCTATCTGTTTACTCGATTTCGAACATACGACATGCAGCTTCGCTCGGTATGTACATCTTCGCAGTTGTTCATTCGCTTGACTCATTACTAGGCGCGCGATCATATTCCTTCCCCGCATGCTTCTCCTGTTCAAGCTCCCAGAAATGCCCTGAAAGAAGACGTCTTTGGTGACCCTACCAACGACAAAGCCAGCGTCAGGACCATCATACTTCACTCCTTATGGCGGGCAGTCGTCTTCACCTTCAAATCTCTCGCGTGAGTATCTTCACCTGGAGAGCGACTTTGTGATGGTTGTTGACCCACTTTCAGCGCCGGTATCATGTCCGCAACGGGTCATCCGACTTCCTCCTCCATCAGCCATTCAGCTCCAGGCGAGGACAAGATACAATGTCTCCGAGTGTGGGATCCGCCTGACTTCTGCCTTGCATTCTTCTGGTGAGCTGACTGTTCATTCGCTGATTAAGCTCACACATGCAGCTCGTTTCCGCCTTCGGCGCCCGCATTGTCCCACCTTCTGACACCTCGTCATCCATTTCTCACCCCTTTGCTGCACCTTACAACCACATTTCTCTTGTCACATCTCGCAACGAGTTATCAACAACTGGTCAAGGACCGTATGCTACTAACTGCTGAGGTTATGCGCGAGTATGATCAGAGATTTGTGTATAAAAAAGTGTTTGCCCATACAGTGGACCGTCAGGTTCAAACCAGCCAAGGTATGTGAAGCTCTTAATTTGTTGAGTGATGCTACTGATAATTCCAGCCGAGTCACTATGGTGACTTGTACCCCCAAAACACCACACTACAGACCCATGCATTCATTTAGCTTGTTCTCTCTTGTCAGCCCCTATGGCACGTCCATTCGATCGTCAGGAGTGGCACGGAGATGAACGTCATGGCTGCTAATAGAGTATGTTTCGAGGGATGCACCGCGGTGCCTCGGTGCTGGAAAGCGGAGCTGACAAAGTGGTCGTTTCCATGCTGTCTCCAAACTCACTCAAGCCATCGATCTCTCACCGATCGTAGAACTGCAATGTCATTTGCCTGAATCAGGTCCTCTCCACCCCAATTATGACAGATTAAGAGGCGCTGGAAAGCGGAGATACGGAGAGTTCTTCGGACAGAACCCCCGGCGTCAGTCTTGTGGCGTCTCCGGTGCCTGTCCCAGGTAAGAATGCAACTCCGAGAAACGGCCAAGACTTCGTCCTTACCTAACTGTCAACACGCAAACACGCATGTAGCAAATGAATGTGAGGTGGGTGGGCAAGTACAAGTACTCGATGGTGGGTTCTGTGATCCCTTCTTACTCAAGCTCACCCGTCATGAGACTAATAACCATTCTCACTGTCAGTATAGCCATTCTCGGTGTTTTCGCAGAGTCAGGAGGTCGAAAAGCAACGCGGGCTTCGGAACATGAGACAACCAATGCTGAGCGATTTCGTCGAGGTTTACCTCCCAAGAGCCCTTTGAGGCGGTTCAACACCACCCAACGTAGGTTTTCTTCTGCATTACGATAAGTGTAGACGCTGAGGACAAGCCCGCAACCTGGCTCGCCGATCGGCAGCAGCGACCCAGAGTGTCATGCTCGTTGCGTCGCCAGACACGAGCGTGAAACGATCGTTATCTAAGCGAGACACGCCGCACGATTCTGTGTCCCAATTGTATTTTGACGGCTCAAACGCATTGTTCGCTCTGGTGAGTTCCGCTCAAAGACTTGTGGTCTTCTCTTCGGTCTGATATGCAGTCAACTACCACAGAGACAAAGTTATATGTCGTCGGTAGTGGAACGGACCAGATAGTTCAACCTTTCTTCAATGAAGCTGGGCTGCAAGTAGCGATAGTCTCACAGTTATTCACGTATGGGACATATCCCGATATGACGCCTAATGCGGCAGGTGGACCCACGTGAAATCTTTCTCTTCTCTTCTCGTTCATTTCACCTTCCCTTATCTTTTCCCCTGCTTCTCCATTGCTCACGCAATCTTAAATGACACCTCTGGAGGTTTGGAAGAGAGCTGACTGGGACAGCTCAGTGTGGTTCACCATTGAATACTTGTCGGAAATATCGTCGGACCCTTCCCAGAATTCAGGTCACTACGAACAAGGACCTATTTGGACGACACCAGCGACGCTGCCGGGACCAGCCAGTATCGACTTTTTCAACTACGACGGGACGGTGACGACTAACGTGCCGTTCTGGGCGTTCGACTACAATGGCGAGACGTTTCTCGGGGCGGCGTTGAGTGGTGATGATTTTGGAGTAGGAAACGCGTATACTCGAGTTAACCTTCAGTGGGAGGTATATTCCGAAACCTAGTAGAACGTGCAGTGTTTTGTAGATGGAGAGGGACATGTTGAAACTGTGTCAATGATATTACGTGAGCAGTGCAAGTAGAATGGATACATGATATTGGGCAGGTAAAACCTGCTGAGCTTGCCTGATAGTGAAATAAATGGATCGAGTTCATATGAACGTACTTGCCAAGCATTTTCTCGGGGTTATCCGTTTGTATCTAGCTGTACCACGTCAATAAAGCGATGGCTAAGGTTCGTTATTTTAGGATCCTCTGAAACTCAGGTCTGGAAGATGACATGTCTCTCAATAAGGATGTGACCCTGCCAAGCACGTAATTCGGATCGGAGTTTGAAGAATGAACCTCTTTCGTTTCTTAAACAACCTCCAAAACAGTGCCTAAACAAATGTTGCCCACTTTATAGACGATATCAATTGAGACTCCATCAAATTCCTTGTGTCCTTGAAATAGATTGTCAACGGATTTGAGCCATGTCATTCCGAATGATATTGAACCTCGTTTTGTCCCTCTTTTTCCTTTCGAGTATCTTAGTCACCGCTAGACCAACACTATCCAATGCAGCTCTTCTCAAGAGGGGTCTACCGCCGAAACCTCCTCTCAGGAGATACAACGCCACGGCCACTCGACGTGAGCTCGACAGGATATCTGCTTGGACAATGGAGAGCTAATGAATAGATTATCTTCCTAAACGATCAACTGACAACAATGTATATCTTAGAGCATCACCCATCGTCAATACTAAACGTGATCTATCAGAGAAGGAGATGAAAGAAAGAGCCGGGACACCATTTGACACAGTTTCTTATCTCTATTTCGACACTTCTACTTTACATATGGGTTTGGTGAGTCTACCTTCTCTTTCCGTTAAACCTCTCTTCTATCTACTTCATCAGATCATTGTCGTGTACCAGTTTGAAGATTACGTGTTAAAGATCATCGTGAAGTGAGACACCAGCTGATATTCACGCAGACGATCAATCCATCCGATGCTACACCTCTATACATAACCGGAACGGGTGAAGAGCAAGACGTATCTTTCGTACGTCAGGGCATCACGACCTTTTATATCGATACCAGCTATCAAGGAGGTAAGGACTTTATTGGCAATATGGAACCTGGTATTGGTTTGTAAGTTTTGAGTGAACCTCTTCATCCTAAAACATGGTTTCACGGTTTATACATATGATGTACAGTATTGCTGATTCTAATCAGTTCTATCTACTTTGGAATCAGTGAGACAGCTACACCTATTCAATATGGAACAGACAATCAAGTATTCATTTGGACGATACCATCCACTTTACCAGGATCAGCCGGTTTAACATACCATAATATCGATAGAACGAAAACGACCAATGCCAAATTCTTCGTCGTTACTTCTTCTAACCCTGACACGGGTTCTTACTCGAACGTCTTAGGGGCGGCTTTACAACAATCAGATTTTTCAGATTATTACACCGCTACTGCTCAACAGGTAGATCTGACATGGGTGACAAGTGTATATGACTAGATCAGTATCCTTCTTTGGATATTGGGAGAGTAGAAGAATATTTGTCGCAATATGAAAAAAACTATGAAAGCGCTTACTAATGGAATGGCAATCATGGCGAGAGTGCAAGGGATCCTATGCTCTACTCTATTTCGGACTTGTCAACTTACTCGTGGAGTACGTAGATGGCGTTCTTAAGGTCTTCGGAATCCTCCGAGAAGTGTTCCATACAATGGGTTCCATAAGTGGCGTCTCCGTCTCAGGGATATTGACGCCTTAACATTCCACAGGCACACCGAATGAAAGGAAACCGTATCATCCGTGCGCTTTCCGGGCCGGTTCACATGTTCACACAGGTCTTGTTGTGATTTATTCTTGGGTTTACTACATTCCTTCAGAGCTCCTGAGTCTTACAAATATCACTATGTTTTGTCTTGTTGACGTCAAAACCCTCCCCCGTCAACATAATCGGTTTTTGAACGGATTTCCCACTTATCTTCAGTTGAAATTTCTTTCTTGACGTCAAGATGACAATGGCCAATTCAAGAGTTTCAACGATGGTGTTGTTGTTGTTAGGGTTCTTATTATTCGATATGGTTATGGGACTACCCAAAGAGTTTTCGAGGTCAACTAGAACAGAGACCAACGCCGATCGTTTTCGTCGCGGTTTACCTCCCAAGGTTCCTAATAGAAGGTACAATGCTACTTTAGCAAGGGGTGAGTGTCATTTTGCGTTCTCCGTCTCCTATACATCATCTTCCCACAGGTGTGGACTGACCTTGATGGCCGAGGGGAAGTAGTTGTATGCGTCCAATTCAGTTATAGAGGGTTGACAGGACAAATTATATTTGACAATGCTGATACCTAGCCGCTCCTGCAAAACGATCAGGAGTCACGACCGCAGGTTATCTTCAAGCTACGCCCGTGGCTGGCACCACAAGGAAACGTGCGGGTGAGGGTACACCATATGGTTCAACCTCTTGGGTCTCATATGTCGATGAAAGACTTGTACTGGTGAGTTTGTTTTCACTTTCTCCTTTACCATCTACCAAGCTATCCTTGATTGTATTCCCAAAGGGAAAATATCACAACCAGTACTCGTCGTCTTCCTGTGGCGGAAAAGTTCCCCCCGATGATGTTATCCTCCCTATCGCTATCGGTCGTGGTAAAAACGAAGTGCACCTCTTCATTGAAGCTGCTAACAAAACTCAGACTACCGACCCTTCTCAAGCAACTTTCTTCACCATCCCAAGTACCGGCTCTCAAACCAATGTGTACGTGGCGGACAGTAGTTCTGTCAGTGGTACAAAACCATTATGTCTCGATGAATGGTCAGCAGGATCTGGAGGGAGGAATATGAAACTTGGTAATGAGGGTGGTTCCGTGTGAGTTTATTCTTGATCTCCGATCTCCCACCGTTCCTAAATCATTTAACGTATCTCATCCCCGGGTTCATTGACGAGGTCGTCAGAGAAGATAAGAGCTCAATATCAGCTCTGCTATTGTTCAATCTTGTGATCCTTCACAAGTCACCAGTACCACATCCGGTAGTCAGGTTCAAGGTAATGTGTGGACTGTACCAGATCCAAACGTATGGCCAACGTCTGCTGGTAAGTCAAAAACCATTCATCTTTTCCATTATCAACCATTCTCTTCCTGATCCAATCAATTCAGTTCACTTGCACTTTCTCCAGGCTTCAAATTCTATTGTCCCGTAGAGCTATCCGGTCGATAGTTGAACTTCCCATGTTCCAGTCAAGGATAGAAACTGAGCATACAGGGTTCACATGGTACAACCAAGATGGTACCACTACCAATGGTGATTGGTGGGCGGTATCAACTCAAAGCGCCGACTACCTTCTCGGAGCAGCTCTAGCAGGATCCGACTTTTTTGGTTTTACGTCATATGCCCAAGTAAACGTCGAATGGGTAGCGTCACTTCCGACATACGTTTGTGTGGATGGTATATGTGTTATAATTAGTTGAGTAGTCAAATGTCTTCAGGCATCTGAGGGAGATAGCTCTGCCTTTAGGGTTGGAATTCGGTTGGATGATGGTGATGGACTATTACGTTGTTAGCGGTTAGGGATCTTGTACAGTTTGAGAACTCGTGGATTTTATATGTCTGGACATTATGCAAAAAGGGCTTGATCAAATGGTTTCAAAGTTCAAACTCGCACCAAAACTCGGACTCTGTACTTCAATCGGTAACCTTAGTCCCGATTTGCTTCCGCGCGCCACGTAGCCACACAGCACTCACTCTAACATTTCCCAACCACTTGTACTCCTTGAACCACTCATTCCACGATATCCACCTCAGATCATAAGACATCATCAAAATGGCCAAGAAGAAGCAGCTTAGTAATACCAAAAACGACTATCTACAAAACTCCACCTCTTTAGAAACATCCAGCGTTCTGCCGACCGACCCTTTACCAGAAGTCAAAGTCAATCCTGTTAATTTAGGCGAGATCAAAGTAGCTCTTGATGATGCTGTCAAGAAGGTATGTCGTCTCTTTTCCTTCATATATTTTCTACTACTGGAACTCACACCCTCCATATCTTCCCCATCTGTCAGGAACATGTATGTAACGATCTCTACCCCTTGACATGATCTCCTCGTACATCATCTGAGAACAGAGAGGTCATGTCGACTTCACATGTGATGGTCAAAGGACGTAAAACCTCCAGATCCAAACTGATACGATTAGCACCTTTCTACCTCTTACACACCCTCACATCTCTATCCCATCATTCATCTTACTCTCGGTTATCTCTCTGTATTCCTCGCTTTACTAGCTTCATACCATGGTTGGCGAACAGAATTCGAAGCTTCCAAACCTCTACTTTGGGCTTGCGTAGGATCTTATTTTTCTCTTCAATTGACCATGTGGGGATTCAAACGATATGTTGAAAAAGGTGTTATTTTCAATGGTCAATATCATGATCAAAGTAAAGTACGTATCATTTCGAGGGATTATACAACGCTGATAAGGTAGTTGGAAAGTATACGAGTCATTTCTGGTACATCTCTAGATCCCCCATCACCACCTACCGTCTCCTCGTCATCTACACACCTACCGAAATCCGTTCCTGCTATTGGAGATGGGCCGAGTTATGTGTTGCATTTGGAACTGAAGAGTGGGATGAAGAATATTGTGGTCGACGGCGGGAAGTATGTTGGAGGGTTGGTCGACACGGAGGGGGGAGTGGAGGAAGGTGAATTGGGAAGATGGGTGGATGAATTGATCACGGTTGGGAAGATGGAAAGGAAGAGGGAATAGAATAGTCTATGACATGATTTCTCACGCACCAACATCATTCGTTCGTGTCTTGACTGGTTGATTTCTCCGTTGTCCCGTCCGATCGACAAGAGTCAGTCGGAGGGTATGTTCACCTTTACACGTAAAACGTGTACTCGTACTCTACTCGAGAAAGATTGAAGTCTTCCTTGACGACGATCACCACATAGGAAAGACACGCAGCAGCATGGAATTGACTGCCATCTATTCTCCGAATGTGGGTCAGAAAGTAAGAACGGTTGCAACAGGCATTTACAATCATGTTAACAACAAGATATCTATAAACATTGTCCGACTCTCGACATTGTCGACATACCCTTCCCTTCTGTCCGACTCGTTTCCGCCACACTACGCAAATGACGCATGTTATTACGCATCACTTCCCCCTCCAGACCCTTCAGTGTGGTCCAAGCATGTTTCAACTCGTCTTTTATAGCGGCTTCCGTTCCGATGATACGAGTACCATCATAATACTTGTCAAAGTTCGCATTCTTCTCTTTGAAAGTGGATGTTTGACGTAAGGTGATACCGGCTTTATAGATGTCGCAGACTGTTCAAATCAGTTTCTTTCTTACATCTTGACCCTCTCAACTCGAATCTACCCCGAAGAAGGGATCGAACGATTGCAATTCACATTGAAAAGCGTAAATCGTGACAGTGCAACGAAAGAAATATCAACTCACTCATAGACGCAAACTCTCCTTGATCAGCAGCAAAAGGCATTGCCACGATAGGTGTTTCGGTCATAATGCATTCTGCTGTCGAGTTGCTCCCGCAATGTGTCTTCTGATCAGCTCTGTCACTCCAATTATCCCTGGATCGGATTTGTCAATCGTGACACGATTGTCCACCATGAAGTGTTCGTTCGACCATACGAAGACGATGAGAGCGTAAAGGTAAAGGATGAAGAAAGAGAAGTGTGAACATACAACGGCAAATCCAACTGCTGGATGTTGCAAAACTTGCCACTGAGGTGCAAACTTGACCATGCACCCATTGGGATACGCAGCGATCTTTTCCTGTATTTCCTTGGGTTGCTCCGTCACTAACCAAGTAGCATAAGCGAACACGTATGGAATTACCGCTTCGGCGAGAGAATCGAGTATGTAAACGATGAGTTCAAGTCGTAAGGAAGGGTACCATAGTGAACCAAAGCTGCCTGTCAATTCGGTCTCTCGGATCTAATGCAAGCTTCAACATGACATCTTCAGATTCGCTGCTTTTCGGCGATGAGCGGATGCAGGGAAGAGATATACGCGAGTATGGCTGGAACGACTGAAGTAAAACCGATCGAAGCAAGAGAAAGCTACGTACGAGATGTAAACCACACTGTTCCTACCGTGTTTCTTCTCCATTCCATCGAGAAACTCTATCACTCGGCAATCTTCGGGTTTCTCCATCTCGATCGGCTGTCGTGTGTGTTGCCACATCGGTCTAGGAAATTGTATTCTGCAGAAAAGTCAACTGAACAACTCAAGCCTTTCAATCCTCGACATGTGTACCATTGTCATCGCCACATCAATTGTCATCAATGAACCAGATAGTCAACTGGGGAGGATTATTGAGGTTTGCGGATTATTGAGGTTTGCTGAATAAACCTTAGGACATGATACGAGAGATTCCAGGCTGTGAAACGCGAATAAGGACTCACCCAACCATATAGACAGGTTTCCCCAATTCCACCTCAAGAGCCTTATGACACTCTTCCTCCAACTCCTGAATGGTAGGAAGGATCAACCCGGAACATGCGGGATGCCAAAGTGAGGTGTACATCGTACTCACTTGTCGCGTGACTGCTATGGGACATATAGCCGCCCCGAGAAGAGGGCGATATTCGTAGTCGTACTTTGGTGGCAAGCCAGGGATCTGCTTGACCACTCCATAGCTAGCAAAACCGTGCTGAAAATTAGCACTGTCGTCTTGGTCTTCTTTCTTCTCCTCTTGGACCTCGCAACCTGAGTCCTTCATAATAGGACATGACATACGAAAAACTCATAGTTGAAGGTAGGGGTCAGCTTGTGAGGCTGTCGAGGTTCGAGAGAGGAAGGGAAGGAACACTCACCTCTGCGTACGCCTCGTCTATATCACGACCATTGGCTAGATCGACTTTGACATGACTCTCGGTAATAGCAATGAAACCTCCGGACGCTTCCGTTGCGAAATGACTTGCCAGTTAGTCATACTGTCCCTTCTCATCTGAGTCTGAAACGGTGAAGAGATTATGTAATGAGTTTGAGGAACACTCACTGCCAAGCCGCAGCGGCATTGGAAGGACAGAAACCCAATAGAGGGATAGGATCTAAGTGCAACGTCTTCAACAGACCAGTCATGAGTTCCGGGACAAAACTTTGAAATAGCTACACATCAGCCCCTTAACACATCAAGTCAGAATCCCCCAGCCGAATTCTCGACTGCTGAACAATATCTCAAGAGAGAGTATACGTACGTCAAATATGACCGAAGTGACTTTTATCCCTCTAAACTTATTATCAACAGCGACCACCTTTTCATTCCCCTTTAATAGATGTTCCAGGAATGTGGGTATCATGGCAGCATAACTCGTGGCCTCTGTGACCAAGTGACTGGGATCGAAAGCCTCCTTTGCGTGAGCGTATGATTCTACGACGATTAATTGTAGTCGTTCCATTGGACTTTTGGTGGTATTTCCTAATCCGTTGGTGTTGGTGTTCGAGGTGAAATCCTTTTCAATTGTTGATATATTGTTGGGAGTGTGAAGATGACGAAGAGCAGGAGAAACTAGTTCGTTTCCCACTTGAAATCTGGCAGTCGGTTCTAATAGAATAGTGATATGGAGAGATGGTTGTGATACCAATAGGTTGAGACAAGTATGAAGCAGAGGACGTGAATGACCCCTGGTCATTAGCTTTTCATCTTCCTTTCTGATATCCCCGACCTTCGCCGAAGATGGTGTTGACCAAACATGATTCAGGTGATACATATAACGAGAAACTCACCAGAGTCCTAGTGGTATAACAATCGAATGAACGATTCTCTCTTCAGTCATATTGGTCATCTTGATACTTCGGAACACTTTTTGACAACAGTTCACGAAATAACGAGGAAGGTATATATTTCAACCTTGAGGGCTGTGTAAGTCTTCGATTAGGAACATCGGGGGTTAATTGCCTCGGTCAGTCCTTACACAAGGGAAGTCTAATCCATAGGGTGAAAAAACCTATGAGTAATGCTTCCCCTCCGGTCGACCGGGGATGAAAAGCAAGTCACCGTCGTCTGTGCCCTTTCCTGCTCCGAGGACCGAGACGCATTAGACCGTGATGAATCAGATCGTGGCTGGAGAGGGACGCGAGAAGGGAAAAAGACAAAGAAAAGGTATTGTATGTAGTCACACTGTTGATTGGATGACACACGCCTTTGTTCATAAGGCCAGAGGGCCAGCCAGAGAGGTCAAAAGGAAGATATCCGAAGGCCGGATGTATTTTCAATGACAGTGATCAAGTCGGTGTTCGGGGAATGAACTTCGGGGTGGAACAAAGTAAATAGAAGAGGTGAGGTACAGTATGACTCAATCGCATAGTATGAATGTCAAATCGGATGGGATGATGATAAGAACGTTCGGTCTGTTTAATGTCAACCGAGAAACTAAGGTTGAAAGAAATGATACTGCTAGGCCAGGCCCTTTGATGTTTCGACGGGTGTCTGATGACGAAAACTTGAGCAAACCTGAGACACATGTCGAGACTCGAGTCAATCACTGTCAGTCAAGCTGCGGTGGGAAGTGAGAAGTCGTGAGTATCATACGTATCAAAGAGAGTATTGCGAAGTGGAGAAGGGCAGAATGAGGGGAAGGGGTGTATCCGAGCACGGTCCCCGCTTTGTGGCGGATTCTGTGTCGTACAAGTTTGTGGCGGTGCCTCTTTCCTTCGTGTTCACTCATCACGGGAATCACGGACTTGGCTCACGTCGAAGCATGACGCTCGACTTAGAGTCTCAGTACTCCTTCCCACGGGTGTCTCGAACGAACGAGCCTTTCGAACAGCCTCTGGTGTCAAGCAGGAAGGAAATACAGGCACCAACATCTATCAGGCGTCAGAGCAGAGGAGTGTTCGAAAGGCCAGTTCGTTCGAGGCGCCCGTGACAACGAGTACAGTAATTCAAGCAGTGCAGGAGTTTGACCACACTTGATTTACAGATCCCAAAGCCAGGAATCACAACGCATCTACTTTCAAGATACCGAATCGAGGGGTGTTTCTCCTTGGGAAGAAGTAAAGGCAGCCGTGGATAGAGAATGTACGATTAAACAATGATACTATTTGCGTAGACGTGATCTTATGACATATATACAATACTATGCCCAAGAGACATATGGGATTCCAATAGATATATTCCCATCCCACACCCGATTTCCATCATCCACACGTATTCTCATTTGACCATCACTATACTCACATCGTTCCTCATTCTCTCCCCCCTATCCTTGAGGGACATTCTTACCCCGATGCAACCGGCAACCCCGAGGGGCTACGAGCCAACATCTATGACTGCGGACTCCTCCTCAGCCCAAGAGCGTTGGCTTGAGATAGGTCTATTTCTGGCAACGGATCGGCCCCGAGGCGAGCTCGAAGCGTGTTGATCTCGTCACGATAAGCTTGAATCTGGGAATGACATCGATTCAACTGTTCTCGGGCTTGCGACGCCTGTCTTTCGAGAGCAGCGACGTAATCTGAAGATCATCAGTCTTCCTGACGTCACAATCCTCCGCGCCAATCTGCTAATCTGCCGCAAGCCAGTAGATCAGGTCGGGAACAGGGGGAAATGAGCGGAACAAATGCAGGCACACAGGTACGCAGAGGCGGGAGTGATGATCGAGAATGATGGTGATGAAAGAACACCGGACTTACCCTTCCGTTTTGCCCGGAATCGCCGTGCACCGATCCTGCTTCGTGAGCCATGAACTATGATGAGATGGGTGGCAAGAGAATCCGAGGACACAGTCAAGATGAAGATTGGGATGGTATGATTGCGCAAGCCAAATGAAGCTCACCTGTTCCGCACTTGCTTTTTGGCGGTCGGATTGAGAGCTTTGTACTGATCCTGAGGCATTCCCCAAGGCTGATCGCCTCCATCTTCCCCTCGAATATCATAATCTCCCTCATCCCAGCTCTCGTCGTTGCTCATGGCTGTCCCGCTCCTCCGGCCCGAACTAGGTCCCGGGTCAGGGTTCTGCAATCCGGAGACTGCTACCTTGCCAGATCCTGGAGGAGGAAAAGAGGGAGTGCTGGCGGAGCGGGAGGAGGGTAGTCCTGGCGGTCCGAGATGCATGGTAGGAGACAAGGGCGAAATGTGATGGACTCCTGGAGAGGTGGTAAAAGGAGCACGGGACGGTTCGCCGTACGAATGCATTGGTGGAGCACGGGGATGAGTAGCCAGTGAGGTTTGCATTGAAAGAGGGTAGGAAGAGTAAGAGGAAGAGGATGAAGGAGGAGGACCCATCGGGACGGGTGGATACATACCATGTTGAGGGGGAAGATTAGGCGAATGTGTAGGATTCGAAGGTGAATGATATTGGGAGTAAAAGGTCGAGGAAAACGGTGGGAGATTCATACTACTAGATTGGCTTTGAGACTGTTGATGACTTTGACCAGATGAAGAGGTGTGAGGAGGAGGTTGAGTAAAGTCGGAAGAAGGTTGTTGGGATGTACGTCGATGATGAGCAGCTGGTAGTTGTTGTTGTTGCTGCTGCGATTGATGATGATGAGGTTGATCGGATGGACTGGTAGTATCTGTTGGAGAGGAGATCGATTGACGCCCTTGTTCCCCGCGGGGTGCAGAAGTGTCGTAGGACTGGTAATTGTAGTTGTTATATACAGATTGAGATTGCTGCGTGCGTCAGTCGATTCGTCATTCGTCATTCTCCATCTCGACGAAGGATGTGGGCGGTGGGGCTCAAGATTGGCGAGTCAAGTCCGGGAGTCCCAGGACGATCGTGGTGCCCCCTGTGGAGCGAGAACAAGGAAGGAAAGGTTTCGTCGGACAGATGTTCAATCCGAAGGGAAGAATGAAATGGAGTGAAATGATGGGAGTGACGTGAAAGATATGAAAGTTGTTTGGAGCAAGGGACAAAGGCAGGTTGGGTGGCGGAAGATCAGACATGGTACGGAAGATGTACGTGTTGAACAACTTACCCAGTTCTGATCCATCCTCTTTCAGGATGTCGCCACCCCTTGGAGGTTGGGCGTCAAGTCCCCCCTGTCGACGCAGACGGAGGATGGGAACGTACTCTTTTGAGACTGGAATGCGCGGCTGATGTATTGTATGTTTTTTTTTCTGTCTTGGTGTGTTCGATGAAGAGTACAACGACGGTACGACGGTGATGGGGAGTCGCCGATGGAAGGGCCTAAGATCGGCTGTGTGACGATGCGGATCAGGTTGACCTAAAGTGGAGTCGCGGATCAAACAGACCGGGCTCGAGCGTCGGCGGCTGTGCAGTTGAGGGCGCAATGAGAGACAGGAGGCGAGGAATAGATTCAGATTGCATTATGTGTGAGAGGAAGGGGAGAGGAGAGGCGAGGGGAGTGAGACCAAGGGGAAGGCCAATGTCAGCTTCAGATCGATACAACGATAACACCGACACCAAAGATCTTCCTGTTCGGTCTCACGGTATATCACATCGATGAGGGCGTTTGGCTTGTTCCGGCCGAACGGATAGAATAGCGAGGGCACCAACAGGCGCCAAACTCGGGCATGGAATCAACGGAGAGTAGAGAGTTTCAAGCTCACCAAGAAGATTCCAGCAGAGAGGGAGAGTAAAAGCGACTGGGAAGAGCATGTGGGAAAGAAAGGGGGTGATGGCGTGCTGAGTAGTAGACCAGCCAAGAATTGGAAACGAGGGCGCAGAGTGTCGGTTCGAAGCGGAAGGGAGGGTAAGGTTTGAGAAATAGAGTGACGGTTTGATCAAAGGCATCAACATGGACAAGACTCATCAAAGACATGAGTCATACGGCGCACGGCCGTACTGAGCGGAATGACGACAATGACAAAGGGTGAAGAATGGTGGAGAAAGACAAGCGGATGACAGGACGAGAGAGAAAGAGGGATAGGAAAAGTGTGAAGGAACGAAACTTCCCGACGCTCGGTCCCCTTTCGGGATGCTTTTTGTAGGGATCAAAGGATACCTTTGAAAGACGGCTTTTGTTACTAGCGGGAAAATTTCGAGCAGAGCCCAGTTGCCAGTTGCCGCCAGAGGAAAGATGGGGAAAACCCCTGATCTACCCGCCGCTGACAAATTCTCCATTTGCTGGAATCGTGGGGGGAGGAAGGTGTGCGTACGATCAAAGGGGTGTGGCTAAAATAACCGTCCCTACACAACACAATAACATGTGGCGTCGCTTGGATCAAGGACAAAAACGATGACGAATCTCTCCGCCGTCTTACCGGCGAGGTGTGGCAAGGATAGGAGCGAAAACACTAGAGAGCGGTAGATGAATAAGAGAGAGAGAAAAGAGGTTCGAGCGCGTCAAGGGCACGACGTACGACGGAAAAGGGGAGAGATATGAGAATGGAACAAAGCGTAAGGACGGATCACAACTCACTTTTGATCGTGACCAACGTAGGGCGCAAGTGCAGGCATGCAGCGATCGTGGGTGACGGAGGGTCGAGGACGACGTTCGAGATGGTCAGATTATCGGTAAAAAAACCTGAGACCGCACGGAATTCAGCTCGATAGTAAGAATGGAGAAGAAAGACCTACAAGTTGTACAAATAGTCTGGGTGATAATATGTACCAAAACAAGCGACAATCCTTTCGGAGCAAGTAAGGAAACAGAGCTGAAAAGGGTACAAAGTACGATGAATGAACGATTTTGTGACGGAATTCGAGTCTCTTGAGATGATAAAAGTGAAATTTGACCACGATTGGGCTTCCGAGTCTTGCTTTTTCCGCTTGAATCCCTTCAAACCACACCTCGGATAAATGGTTCTGACTCGGAAGATATCTCAAGTTTGTTGATCCTCCCTTTACCACACTTTACCGTGCCCGATCGAGACGGCGGGTCGAGGATGATAGAAAGACGAAGTCTGAAACAGGTTCGACTTCGGGTGCAAGGAAAATGGATTGGAAGATGTGAGGAGAAGAGATTCTCGCGTTTGATTCGCGTAAGAGGGGAGAGAATCAAGAGGATGAAGTTGAAGTCGCACGCGGTATCGCGCGGAGGTTGAACCGATGATGTTTTGGTAGAAGGCTTCGCTCCACTTTTCTATTTGGTGTGTTCCGGACCCGGCTGGTAGAATCGAATGTGAAATATGAGAGAAATAGAAGATAGAAGATGGATGTTTGTTGAGAAGGAAAAAGGGGAAAAGTTGATGGAAATAAAAGTTGCTTCCTTGTCTCCTCTTCGTTCCTGCGTCGTAAGTTCTCTCGTCACGGTTCGTAAGTTTTGCTCACCCGATGGGATCAAGCATGAATCTATGAAATTCTTTCTTTTGCTTTCTAGACGTGTTGATATCTTTTCTTGCGGAACGCTTTGAGAATCAGAGAGGAGAATGACTTTCTTGGTGATAGTGATTAAGGGTTGAATGTGGCAAGGTACGATGGGAAGGGGTTGTGATGTCGATCGATACGGGATCTTCTAATGGTTGTTCATAAGGTTTCCTATCCGACTCGTCCGATAGAAACAAGATTTTATATCTCAAATATCCAAACGACCAGTCGAGATGCTTAGTATGGAACGGGAGATCAGGAGAAGAAGGAAGGATGAGAAGGAGGATAAGTATCGAAAATACCGTCCACGGAAGTCGTATGAGGCACACGACGGTGGCACTTCTTCTTTCTTTAGTCACTTTTTTTTTACAAACTATTTCTTTTCCTCCTGTTAATCTACTTCTTTTTTCACACAACTTGACATGGTCACTTGACTTTTATCCCCTTTTTAATCCCCACTCTCGGACCCTACTGGCTGTACCGACTTTCTCCCCACTTTGACTGAGACCAAACTCATCCGTATCGGAGGAAAAGTGGGTAGGAATGGAAAGTGGCGGAGAAAACGACCGTTTTTTTGATCTTCCCATTTCTACATCTCCGTCTCTGATGATCTAGGAGTGGGAAATATGTATCTAAAGTGAGTCAATCTTTTGATCTCCAATCTCTTTTTGGTCCCAATTCGCTTAAACCCCTACTATCCGTGTGAGAGAGGAGAGGTGAAGAGGAAGGGGAAGGGGAAGAGGGTCCTTTACGATCCGTCCAGGTGACTGAAGATCGAACGTTCCCCCACTTGTTCGAAACCTGTTACATGATCGGAGTGAAGGTCTGGGAAAGAGGGGAAGTGGAGTCATGCGATTTCAGACCGGAGGAATCGGAAGATAGGAAGTTGACGGTGTAGCTGAATCGACAAGATGATGAAACACACGCGATTCTCGACCCTCGCCACTATCTCTTTCTCAATCTACCCTCCCCTATCTCCCCATTCTTCTAGTCAAAAAATACCATCTCTATAGGGTTTCAAAAAGATTCACTTCACCAATCCATTCTGATTGGGATAGTCGCTTGGTATGTTGAACTCATTGATCGACTGGAACCACGAAGGGAAAGGAGATCAAAGCGTGTGGTAGAAATTGGAACAGGTGGAAAGTAGGAAAGCTGGTAATTATTCTCGAAGTGAGTGTCTCCTGCACAATCTCTAGAGCATAGAAGAATATAGAGGCGAAACCCAATAGCAGAAGAATTTTCAAGACAGGGTACCGATATCAAAGCCATGACACGGGTCGTGGATCGTACACGTCATATTCGTCTCACCGATTTATCAGAGACTTAGTCTTGAAAAAGCGTAGAATCCATTCAGCAAGAAGGCGGCGGAAACTGCTTCTATGGCATGTCCGCTCGAAGGTGATCACATCCGCGCTCCTATCAGGATGACTGTGGCATGTGGCTTCTCTCATTTCTCTCCTCTCGACTGCATCACCTGTCGCGTCTAAAGGGCGGGCTGGTCCCTACGAGTGGTCAGGCATAGACGGGAGGCGATGCCAGGGAACAGGAAGCTAAGCGGACAACAGGAAGATCCATGGACGTCAGGTGGGTCATTTCCTTCTCGTTCTTCCTCCCTTCCCATCCCCGCCATTAGTCTTTTCGTTACCACCCTAGCTGAAATGTTAACGGACAGACAGAATCCAGTCATCTGACCATTTCGCCATCAAAAATTCCCATTCACCGATCCTTTAACCCAACTTCCCACGCCTGAGGGCATCCGATCTTCATCGAGAGCTTGAAAGGTGACGCCAAGGGCGTGCCTGGGGTTACTTCCCCTTCGATAAATTCTCCGAGTCCGATTCCCCCACAGCGGGGCCCACAAACGGCAACTTCACGAGGGTAAAAGATGCATCCTTCCTTCACCTGGGTTGGTTCCAAACCCCGTCATGATATCTGATAGCCCACTTGTCCTTCTTCTTTCATCTTACATACCTCTGAGGGAAACACTCAATCTGAACTTCCAATCGCACCGTAACCGCCCCTTCCGTCGTATCCTTCCCCGCGTCGGTGCTCGACAAACCATTCCGGTAGAGTCCACGTATCTCCTTCGCCATGGGTGTGGACGAGGAGGAGCATGTATGTGAAACCAAGTTTGGCAGCCCTAAACATCAGTTGAAGTCAAAGGCTCGATCTGTCCGGTGGAGAAACCAGAGTGCCGATGTTGATTACCAGGCCAGTGGAGTTGAGGATCTAAGTAAGCCGGACGAGACAGATCAAGGGTATAGATGATGATCGCTGTACCAGAGACATGACACGGATTACTTACACGTCCAATACACCATATGCAATGATTTCCGCATTGACAGAGATTTTGTTGGCACCTTCAGAGAGGGCAAAGACGATTGGGTAAGCGAGCCAAAGATGAAATGTCATCACTCCGAGCAGGTGGAACAGCCCTCTAGTTTTACTAGGGCGAAGTTTAGCGGCTGAGAATCAGCTCCTCACATCGAAATTAGCTCCTCACATCCTCACTAAGATTTCCAGACCAACGGATCAGGAACCTCGAGGATTGGCGAAGGGGAGCAGTAAACTCACCCTTCAGGCCACCGGACAAGAGGATCCACCAAATGACCACGAATCCCACACATGAGACCGCATAGAACAACCATTTCACCCTTTCCCCAGCGTTAGAGTGGGAAGAGTGTATCGTGGATAGAAGTCCGGTGACGATCATGAAGACATCAGCTCCGATGGTTATCAAAGTGTCCGCGGGGGACAGCCCGGCCAGGAGGGCTAGAGATAGTAGAAGGAGAGGTGTGGTGAAAAGCCAATCGACGTAGCCTAATTGTCAGTATTTAAAGACGAGAGGATTGTGTCATGTCATTGTTGAGATTTGGCAAGAGTGAAGGCCGAGGAGTTGAAGGTGACAAATGAAGATACACCACGAACGGGGGATTCTGACTCACGCGCCCAGTAGACCTCTCGGAAGTAATGTAACTCTCCAGCATGGGGACCAGAATACTTGATGGGAACATAACTGATACCCATACCGGTCGCCATGGCGAGATACGACACCATGGCAATGGTCAAGACCGCGGCGGACAACCTGATGTCAGCATGATCCCTCGATTCCTTACACCCCAAGTCCATTCCGGGAGGACTCAATAATCACTTCCTTTGTTTCAGTGGAAGTATTGTCAGGGATAATTTTGGGAGATGACAAGAAAAGAATCAATGACTTGTGTGTGGTCGATAAAGGGCTCGGGGACGTACCAATGAAATACCCTTGCTTTCTTTTCTACCCTGAGGGATAAGGCGAGAACTCCCAAGAGTCCTAGGGTGAAGAAAGCAAATACTACCCAAAGGGCTACGTGACCTGCATAGGTAGCATGTAGGTATACGGGAGTAGGGGTAGGCTAAACATCAACGGACAATCTTCCTCTACTAGACATGGCACCTAAAGATCTTCCTACACATCTCTCAGCTACAAGCTCAAAGAGACTCAGAGAAACTCTTTGATGATGAGATGCGTGAATGTGTAACACCAACCGAAGAGCGTACGTACTACACATCACATGACAGTCTAGCGAGTGAGTCGGACGATTTCAAGGATAGTGAAACTAAGACTCCAAGGTAGAAAGAAGAAAGCAATATGAGTATAGAAGAGGGACTCACGAAAGTTTCAGTAGGGAGTGGTAAGTGACTTTGATGAGGATGATGAGGATGTCCCGTTCCACCGGGAGGATCGACGCTGATAGTTTGAGTGGGTTTGAAATCGATCATGAAGTTCATTCTGAAATCTTCAAATGTTTCTGAAATTGTCAGCAGAGATGACCTTCTCATGGACAGTTGATGTCCCCATACACCCACTCTCCTTCCCCGATTCCCTTGAATATGGGATAGACAAGGGTCAAAGATCTAGGAAGAGATGATACTGAGGTTTACACTTTTATACAGAGGAAAGGAGAGTAGGGATCTCAGTCATGGCATCGTTGGGCGACACCATGCCAGGGCCGAGTCCACACGGTCGCCAAGGAAAACTTACATTTCGTAGTCAACTCTGATCAGTAAGATATCGAAGGGAAAGGGAAAGGGAAAGGGGATAGAGAGAATGTCAGAGATCAAAGAGTCATGGGGGTGACCACTTCCAACCTACTGCCTAGTGTGTACCAGTAACGAGTGGGGAGTCAAAAGGAACGATCGCTATGACGTATGGTGACCCGGCTCGATACCCGGTCCACGTGCACGGACCACAAACGAGCTAGACTCCAATGCGATGCATAATCTACTTCGTACTTGTACAGTATGTATCTTTGATACCCTCCCATCACATGTCGCCTTTAGCCTCATGGACCCTCGTAGCGAGTTCTAACAGTTGCCCTTCTTCCCCACTCTGACGACATAGATCTCGGAACGGTCCATCTCTTTGCATCAAATCGTATGGCGTGCCAAACTCCACAACTTGACCGTGGTCCAAGACTAGAATTCTGCGGCTTCAGCGATATCCTTTACGTGTCCAAATTCGTCCTTCAAAGACATTGTTGCAAGGGAATGAGATTCAGGCGACCACATTTCACATGAAGAAGACTTATTGCAAATGTTGCAAGGATATTTCCCTATTGGCATTCGGGCATAGGTGGCCACATTGCAAGGAGTCGATAGGAGTGAATGAAGATGAACGAGTAGATTAAATGCGGAAAACATAACTCACTTGTCCAACCCACAAACAGTCATTAATCGATGAGCAATCACCAACATCTGAATATCCGCCAATCCTGTCCTCAAAACATTCTGGATGGTCTGATCTGTTCGATGATCCAAGTTGGCAGTAGATTCATCCATCACCAAGAAGCTCGAACTGCGGAGTTTCAGAAGACCTCGAGCCAGAGCGAGTAGTTGTCTTTGGCCTTGACCTGTGATGTCAGCCTATGCCACTATTGATATAAGACACCGTCAGGGGACACGCCGGGAGGAGACAAAATGAATGATAGGGCTTTGGATGGGCAGGGCGCAAAGAGGGAGTTTGGGAAAGGAGGACCTTGAGACGGGCCTAATAACATGAAATATCATTGGTAAATACACACAGGGAAGAGACAAAGTAGATCGACGGAATTCAGAAGGGAAGGACCGGAAGAGGGAGATAAAATAACTGACTAAAGTTCTTTCCTCCAACAGCAACCTTCTCCTCCAAACTCCTTATCGTGACTTTCTCTCCAACCTCCGACCCATCCTCACTCCCCTCTGTCTCTTCCCTCTCTTGACCAATCTCAGCCTTTGCAAGTCTCTCCGCCAATTGTCTCCCGGCAGATTTCCCACCGCCTAAACTCCTCTCCGCGTTCGGGTGTCCTCGTGTAGGGGTAGAAAGTTTTGACAAGTTCAAACGACTTCCTGACCGACTCGGGGCCCTGGATACGAATGGCGTTTTACCAGCTAGACCACATTGTCGTAAGGCGTCCCATATCTCGTTGTCCTCGTGTTGACCAAATGGGTCAAGATTGTCACGGATAGAGCCGGAAAAGAGTTGAGCTTCTGGATTCGTCAGCTTCATCACTGTCGAGGTATTACACAAGATTCCCAGCACCCAAGCAGTGAAGCAGGTAGAGTGGAGGATCCTGGGGCATGGAGGAAGGGATCTCACTTACCTTGAGGCAGTATAGTGAGTCTCGATCGAAGGGTTGTGAGAGACAATTTGGCGATATCAATCCCATCAATGACTATCCGTCCCCTTTCTTGGTGCAAAAACCTGAAGAAAGACAAGGCAAGAGCTATTATGAGCTTTCACATCTGTATCCGAAATCTCAAATGAATAGCTCACTGGATTTCCCACTTCCTGTCCGACCGCAAATCCCGATCTTCTCCCTGGGACCGATGGTGAAAGAAACGTCTCTCAGAACCGGATCGAGCTAGTGTTTCAGCCTCTTTCGCCCACACGATGACACAGTCTTTATCACCTCCACATCAGGCCTAATCTCTGGACAAAAGCGCCCGATGGGACGAATTCAAGCGATTGATGCGGTGGTAAATGAAACATTGAAGTGGGACGAGTGAAACCGCGTGACTCACCTGAGGAGCATATCGACAAGTCAAATTCTCGACGACAACGCTACCATCCCTGGATGGCCAATACGCCGGCGGTTCCTCGCCTTTTTGGTTTTGGTCTTCTTCCGCTTCAAGCTCCAGGTCTACTGGTGAGCTAAACGCATTGTGGAAGGAACATGAGACTCACATTCGCCGACTCGTTCGACAGAATTCATGGACATCTCCGACGCAGCATACAGACGTACGACCCATAGGACGTATTCGGTGAATGATACTGGTTGTCAATCTCGCTCATTCACCACACATTCACCATTCATTCACCACTGATTCATCACCCAACTATCTAACATGGCACCTCAGGCGCAGGAACAGGGGTGGGCGGGCGCGTTGTCAGAGGATAGTACGACACTCACAAGCATACGTGATGGAGAATCCTACTGCTCCAGCATTCATGCTGGGGTTGTTGAGGGCGAAAACGCAAGCAAAGACAGTGACGAGGGATCCGACAAAGTTGGAAAAGTTGTTTAGAACACGATTGGCTTGCCATAGGTACCAAAAGCAACGTCTGGTGGTTAGGCCAACAATAATGGGAAACACAAGCGACGGATAAGAATCTGCAGTGTCCAACTGCTCGCTCACGAGGGGCGGTAGATGATTACTTCTTATGTAGAATACAGGAGTGGTGCAATGATGTAAAAAGGAGAATAGGATGAGTAGCTTTGAACGTACAGATTCTGATCCAGTTCCTGAAAGATCTTTCTCATGAATCGAGCACTATCACCATAACTTCTGATCGTGGCCATACCCACTAGTCCTTCGGAAAACGAGATGAACAAAGGGGAACGTGTGACACTCTGTCATTTCAGCTCTAAAATCCTCAGATGTCTGCCCCTTCTCTCCACGCCATTGTGCGGAGATGAATCATCGATCAAGTCCGGAAGTATGTATGCAATGACGGGCACATGATTTGAAGATGCAGGCTAAGAGGATCGCACTCACATCCATTCTCTTGATCTCGCGCGACGTGGCAACGTACAACGCGCCGACGATCCAGTACATAATGGTGATGACGGTCATGGCAAAGAGGAAGGCTGTCATTAGCGATCGTCCAGCGGACTCGAAACAATGAACAGTTTGGCTATCAGGACTCTCCGGGAGAACGAAGGAGAAAGGATCAGATGCGCAAGAAGATGTATTAGAAGTGGAAGATCAAGCTTACCGGGAGTGGAAAGCACGATAACGATGATTATAGCGGCACAGGACAACACTGTGTTGGCGAAATATACCATGACTATTCGTCAGCTCGGTACCTTTGACAGCAGTCCTCCTTCAGCTCACTTTCAGTCGCCTCTATATCGATGGAGGACATGTCTTTGGACAGTCGATTCATGATTCTTCCTGAGGGCGTGGAGTCGAAGAATCTGTTTGTCAGCATGGTGATCAAAGGTGTAGTCTACTCTCTCCTTTCCAAGCTCCGTAAATGATAGGGCTGATCTATAGGGATATCGAGATATGACCAGTGCTTTTGGCAGGATTTCTGAGATAGGTGAAGGAGCAAGGACAGAGGGTCGCCAGGTTGGAGCATATGAGGAACCAGGGTCACGGTAAAGCATGAGGGTTAAGGTAACAGGCGAGGAAACCAGGGAGAAAGCAAGTTGACCGACCTCATTTTCGCCCCCAAAATCCTCCTCAACAACCTCCTATACAACCTCTTACTAGCCGTCAAACTCCCCAACATAGCTATCCCGACTCTAGTAGCAACGAAAGTCAAATACAATCCACTTATAGCTACATAAACCACCAGATAAAATCCAGTACTCCTGCTCGTCACCCAAGACAAAATCTCCGCTCGAGAATCATAAGCGTTCGCCCAATCTCTAATCCAGGCTGTCGATCCTACTTGAGTAACTTGTGACAACCCGAAAGCAGCGATGAGAATGACCCAAAAAGGTATTCCGCCCATAGCTGTAAAATACATTTTATACGTTTTGTAAGATACCATTCCTTCTCCTTGAGATTCCGTAGCTACTAATTGTTTCGAAATTCCAGGTACCGCCTGATCTTTGTCAACTTGTTTCGCTTGTTCCAAATTATCCGTCGGGATATCGTTCAGATTTTCTTCAATGATATCAACTTTCGTTCTGTCAGAAGTGGGGGAATCGCTTGCTGTCGATTCGATTGGGGAGAGTGTGGTAGAACCTGACCCTGATGAGACATCATCTTCTGGACAATCGAGTAAACCGGAAGAGATAAGTTGAGAAGGAGGTCCTGATGCCATTACTGATCCTGAGTCGAGGATGACAACGAAGGATGCTGCTGGTGCTACAAGTGACACTGCATGGGTGACCAGGATGATAGTTCGACCTTGTACTAATGGACCTTGTAAGCAATGAGTGAAGAGATGTCGACCTGTTTGAGCATCCACAGCGGATAGTACATCGTCCAATAGGATGGTCCTGGCTGACGAGTATAACGCACGAGCAAGGGCGATCCTCGCTTTTTGTCCACCAGAGCAGGTAGTTCCTTTCTCCCCGACTTCAGTCTCGTCCCCCAGATCGAAAATTTCGAAGTCTCTTTTGAGTGCACAAGCGTCAACTACCGTGGCATATCGTTCGGCGTCCCATGGAGAACCAAAAGTGATATTGTCTTTGATACTTGCGCCTATCAACCATGCTGTCTGATCGCAAAAGGCAACAGTATCGCTCAGTCCAGTGAGAGGATCGACAGGACATGCTTCTCGATTGGCATGATCATCAGGCATGAATATCTGACCTTTGACCAGTGTGGTTTCTCCAAGTAATGAAGCAAGAAGGGTAGTTTTACCTGAACCTACTGGACCGACAACTAAACTCAGCTGACCTGGAGGAAAGGAAATATCGAGTTCGCCAAGGAAGAACGGTTCGTGTTCATGGGTATCGATGGGGTTATTGGAGTCTTGAAGGGTTGTGTACCCTACAACAGCACCCCGGAAACCGATTTGAGGATCGTCAGGCCCAGGATGGGTGACTTGGGAATATTTGAGGGTTTCAGGTTCTTCCAGGAATTCTTGTATACGACCGCAAGAAGTGGACGCTTGAAGCAATCGAGTTAACGTGTCTTGAAAAAGAGCAAGGGGATCTCGCATCATGTTGAATAGGATCAAAGAAGAGAAGGCTCGATCGGCGGTCAGAGGTTGTTTGAGAATTAACGAATGAACCGCAAATGCACAAGCAGTGACAAGCACCGGAGTGCCCCAGACAACGATGCTGGTGAGGACCAATATACCGAATTTCTGAGAGAGCACTTGAAGCTCCTTCGTACGAGTGATAGACATACGATCGTAAAACTTTTCTTCCCAAGCATTGAATTTTATCAACTTGATATGAGCGATCACTTCTGTCACCGCTTGGAGTCGTGCATCGGTAGATGACATAAGTCGTCGCTGTACTATAGTCGTTAATCGCCCAATGAGCGCTTGAAGAGGTATGAGGGCTACGAGTACCGCTATCCCGGCCACAGAAGCGAGGCCGAGGGTGTTGTACAGTAAAATGCAGTTGAGAATCACCCCAGTTGGTGCCGAGGCCATATAGAAACCGTACGCGCAGATCTCGCTGATTTGAAAAGCGTCGACACTGACGAGATTTGCAATCTTTCCGTCTGTGGCCCCTGCAGCGCTGTCTGGAACGGGCAGACCATCTTTGCCGATCTCGGTTTTTTTGGTGACATCGACAACTCCTCGACGCCGTAGGGCTTTTGTGAAGACCTCGGCGATGATGACAGACCGAAGACGAATGCACAGTCGTCGACCGATGTAAAGACATTGACCTATGGCTACCACCCCAAGACATTGGCCAGCGGCCATCATGGCCACGTAGAGGTAAGGAACGTACGGATCGGATTCGGAAGTTCGCTCTTTGACGTACCGCAACAGTAGTCGAAGACCGGTGGGGGGAAGATATTGCAGGAAGACGAAGAGAATTGACCAAGCCTGGATACTTCGTTAGATTCATATGCAGCGGAGAAAGAATGACTCACCATTTGTGTTCTCGTCTCCGGGTTGAAGAAGATGACCAGGTCCAAGGCGAGGTTACGTTTGCGCTTGTTTCCATGTTTCTTTTCGTGTGAATGATCCCGGCTCGCCTGGAATGCTCGCCATGCTCCCAAACAGGCCGAAGTGGAGTCATCTTCTCGCATCGCCGGGATATCGGACAAGGCGACGGTCTTGAAATAGTGCTTGAACAGGAAAGGAAGCATAAACATGTACGAAGCTTTGGAGAAAGCGGCTGATAGTCAGTCATAAACTATTCCACGACTCTCCTCCTCAGCAAATGGCTCCAGAACCAAAATCCAAAGGCGTGAATATGGAGAAAAGGGTTTGAAGGAGATTGAGGTCTATGGCTCATGCTTCTCGGACTAGCAAGAACTCACAAGTGGGCTCCTCGAGATGACGAGGTAGTTTAGCACCATAACTACCTGAACTCCCTCCTCCCTTGGTTCTACCACCAGCTAACAGACGATCCAGCTTCGGAGTATAAGGTATACTGATAAGCACCAACCAATATAGGAGCTCCACTACGATCGGGACAAACTCGATCGCCCCCACACCACCGGTGATCACATGATGTCTTAATAACAAGAGCGCTGGTACGAGATGAAGAGTGATTAAGGGAGTGATAGGAGCAGATGGTAGTAGTGCCAAAAGGCAGATCCACATCTAACTTCGTCAGCTCTTTTTTCACTTCTTAGAGACTCACGGGGAAAGCAATGTCTAGCCATCGGTTCGTGATTATGCTACTAGCTAGTTGAACAGCTAGATATATAGATCCACCAGCGATCCCGATGATCCGCCCTACTTTCTCCCATCGTTTCGCATCTGGCGACTCGATACTCCGGAATTCCTCAATGATGGCCTGCGCTTCCTCTACCGGGATGGGTTTCTCTGAAGTAGCATCTTGTTGAAGGGGAAGAAGGTTTGAAGCTAAAGCAGAAAGAATGACGTTGGCTTCTAATCTTGACAGGTTTACATCTGCTTGAGGGGAGATGAGTGTGTCGGGGGAAAGAGATGGAGAAGGTTTACGAGAAAGAATGTAATTTCGTATTGAAAAGAAAGTGATGTAGGTAGCTGAGATCGTTATGAGAAAGAAGGGCAAGTAATTCAAACGACTAAACTATCAGCTTCACTGGTCAACAGCCGAGGGAAAAAGCGGATGCACCTCCAAAAACAAGGCGTAAAGTCTTTTCCGTCCCATACGGAATCGCAACTCCATAGGTGAGTCATTATCACTAAAAGATGCCGAATGAAGAAATAGGACAGGGAACGGGTACGAGTAGGTGAAGTGCTGTACAGATATGCGTTTTAATTGACGCTTTGCTTTGTCATCTTAGGAGCCTCCATTGATGTGGAAGAAGCAATCGTTTGAGATTTCCCCACTCCTTTTTACCGGAGCCGAATTTAACGATTAACGATCTGGAGCTTTAGGATGATCTGATGGAGAGATAGGTAGGGAGGGATCAGATCAGATCAGGATGAAAAGAAGAAGATGAAGATCTATGGAAATGTCTCAAAAAGCCCGAGAAAAAGATCCGAGGAAGCCAGTGGAAACAAAGAGTGAAAAGTCGAGTAGGTAGGTAGAAGCGGAATGAATGGATGGAAAAGAAGAAACTTGACCGGAACCCGATCCGATCGGCTGGCCAAAGCTTTCGTACCTTTCCTCCTCTTCATGTTGAACATCTCATAGATCATAGATCATAGAATATGCCAAGACGATCCAGAGATGAGAATGCACCTAGAACAGAAGGAGAGCTTCGTTCCGCTGCACCGAACGATCCAGAAGCATGGCCATTGCTCGTCGCATTCGACCTCGAGTGAGTTTTTCCCAGTTCCCCCCTCTATCTCCTACTAATGCATGGAAGCCTTGGGCAGTGATGAGTCCTGACCGATAGTTACACATTATGGGATCTCTGGATAGATGTGAGCGATCTTGAAACCTCCTATCTACTGCCTAAGCTTACATGAAAGACTCATATATCTCCACCACTCCGACGAAAAGGCGATGTTCTGAATCAACTGATTGATCGGTATGTTTCACCCTCTTCCTCTTCTTGTACCTCAAAGTCGATGGCTTGAGAAAGATCGTCAGCTGAACGGTAGTCGAGGTCAAACTCTCGAGTTTTACCCCGAAGTCCCTAGTCTCCTCGCTGAGTTGAAGGAAAGACGGATACATGTCGCCGCTGCATCTCGAACCTCAGCTGTGGACTTGTGAGTCAATATTCTCTCCCTCTCACCGCGTACCAGTGCCGTGGACTTCGATCTAAGGAACCCATGCTGTGATGACACGGAGAAGAGATACAACTGTCATCTCGATGAGAGAGGAAGAATGCTAATGCGAGAGAGCGAAGGAAGCGCTCGGAATGCTACTGTTACCTGGTCCATCTGGAGAACACGTTCGAGCCATAACTTATTTCAACTCTGTACGTTCTCCTCTCTCACTAGGTCTGACGACTGATCAAAAAGATGGAGATCTATCCTAGTGAGAACTCAAACCAGTGTCTGATAGTGCTGCATACTTAAGTCAGGTTCAAAGTTGAGACACTTCAAAGAAATCCATCGTAAGACAGGTATTCCATATGAGCAAATGGTGAGCAATTCTCCATTTCCTATTTGATTTCGTAGGGTCATAGTTGGTGGCATGGCAGGATGGAGCCAAGTTGAAGGATCAGCTGACATGTGGCTTTTCTTCGATGACGAGCATCGAAATTACGAGGTCGAGCAATTAGGGGTGACCATGCAGCTGGTGCCATCCAGGGGCACAGACCGACGGTTGTTTGAGCAAGGGTTGGCTTTATGGCGAAGACGGAGGGGAATACGAGTCTCGATAGATTCATGAGTCTCATACGGTAAGTAAGTTACATCTAGACACCTGCATTCAGGTAGAGAGTGGTTGCTTGCATTGCATAGTACTCGTACTAGGTTGTATTGTGGTGTGTCCGAATTGGGAAAGGACATGACCGGCTGTCCGGTTCTTTTGAGTTTTCGATAGAATGACGTCATTGGGAACCCACCAGCCAACGTTGTCATCCCCATCAGATGGACGTCATGGTTGATGAACCGCATGACCGCAAATAGACTCGCTCCAGGCTCCAGGATCCAGGAACACCATACTGTTATCGACACACAACGTCCCATGACGGTCTTCCTTCTATAACAACTAACTTACTCTACCACCGTCTCGCTCATTCATTGCGCCCTCATCCCAATACTCCACAGAGGCTCAACTTAGGTGGTGACTATAGCCTTAGTCAACGGGTAATAACACCGCATCATCTATATAAGCGATAAGTGAGCGACCATTGTCAAGGACATTGGAAGATCGACGTCGATAAACAACAGCCCGACCAAGCTGGAAACGGTCACTTGGTTACTCGCTCAACGCTCCATAAGGACATGCCCTTATTACATCGACACAAGGGGAGGAACGCAGAGGATGGAAATGCAGAGGTAGAGCAACAGCGACAAGATGAAGAAAAGGCTAAGCGTACGTCTCTTTACTTCTCCTTGACCGCTATCGACTAGTGGTAAACCTGGATCAGAGGTATAGGCTTCTTTTGAGGTATTGAGCGGTGTGTGCTACGTTTGATGATCCATTGGCTGACCTTCAGGCTATGAGGGAGAAGAATATCAATCATTATTACTCTACGTGGAAGATCAGGCTAAAATTCTCAAGGAGAAGGAAAACAAGGGGGATGATGATGATGACAAGGATGCAAAGTATGTCAGAAAGTGGTACACACCTTGGAAGAAGACGAAGATCGAGTCAACAGTCAAAAGAGTAGGTTTGACCTGCCTTGTTTATCTCATCACCTCACCCCATTCAACTCTATACATCTCAGCTATTCAAACGGCCCTTCCTCTCAAACCAAGTGGTACACAACAATTGTGAATGAGCGGAACTGACTCATAGATACCAAAAGAATGGCTGGACACAGATCGTCAAAAAGGTATCACCGCAGCCGAAGCCGAGAACAGACGCAAGGTAGTGGGATTCAACGAGCTTCAAAGGTTTGTCAGCCTTCGCCTCCCCTGACCGACTCTTAGATACACAGTGAGTCAATGCTGATATGCAGTCCGTCAGAGAATCAGTTCCTCAAATTCTTAGGGTATTTTCGAGGACCCATCTTGTATGTTATGGAACTGGCTGTTCTTCTTGCTGCTGGATTGAGAGATTGGATCGATTTTGGTGTCATCATTGGTATGTTTACCTTCTCTTGCTGGAAAATAGTGCTGATGGCAGGTATTTTGGCTTTGAACAGTTTCGTCGGATGGTATCAAGAGAAGTCAGTATCTTTCTAATCCTTCGTCCAAGCTCATTCAGCTGTGGGATGCTGCACAAGGTACAAAGAGCGACAGGGAGAAGACTGACTTTGCAGACAAGCCGGAGACATTGTGGCTCAGCTCAAAGCCGGCATTTCCATGAAAAGCACGGTGATCCGAGATGGTAAAGAACAGGAAATTGAAGCGCGAGATTTGGTCCCTGGTGATATCGTCGTTCTCGAAGAGGGAAGCACGATTCCTGCAGACTCCAAAGTACGTCGAATGTTCCTCTCACTTGTCGTCAGACTAATCATCTCAGATCATCGGCGATTACAATGATAAGAACGGTGCCAACGTGAGTTATATAGCTCAAAGTACCATTGTGAAATCCGCTCACGATTTTAGTCCAAGGACATTTTAGATAAGATTGACAAATCCAAAGCAGAGAAACATCACGGGAAAGACGACGAATCTGACGATGATGAGGATGATGGTCCCAACAAAGGTCCCTCTCTCTGTTCAGTGGATCAGTCAGCTATCACAGGAGAATCTCTCGCTGTCGACAAGTTCCTTGGAGATGTCGCATACTACACATGCGGTATTAAACGTGGTAAAGTCTACGCCATCGTCACTCTCCCTGCAAAACAATCTTTCGTCGGTCGGACTGCCGCTTTGGTTTCCGATTCAAATGAACGTGGTCACTTTCAAATAGTCCTTGGTAACATCGGTGAATCTCTCTTGGTATTGGTCATATTCTTCATCTTTGCAGCTTGGATCGGCAGTTTCTTCCGAGGGGTAGGGATCGCTACACCCAAAGAAAACAATTTACTCGTGTACGCACTTGCGTTCCTCATTATCGGTGTACCGGTCGGTCTGCCCGTGGTGACGACCACCACGCTAGCTGTCGGTGCGGCATATCTCGCTAGACGAAAAGCTATCGTACAGAAGCTCACGGCTATCGAATCACTTGCTGGGGTGGATATTTTGTGTTCGGACAAGACTGGTACTTTGACGGCGAATAAGTTGTCGCTGAACGATCCGTATATCGCACCCGATGTGGACCCGAATTGGTTTATGGCTGTTGCAGTTTTGGCCTCTTCGCACAATATCAAATCTCTGGATCCCATCGACAAAGTCACCATTGTGGGGTTGAAAGTCAGTTCAGATGCTCCTCCTAGTCAAATCCTCTCCTTTCCTCGCGATCGTCCTTCGACAATGCTGCTGGTGGAGATTGGGCCGTAGAGGAAGCATGACAGGCTTTTGCTGACTCGCAGGACTATCCCAAAGCTCAGGAAATGCTCAAACAAGGCTGGAAGACCAACAAGTTTTTGCCATTCGATCCCGTGTCCAAACGTATCACCGCCGAAGTTGAGAAAGATGGCAAGAAATACACCTGCGCCAAAGGTGCTCCCAACGCCATTTTGAAACTAGCAAAATTCGACGCCGCGACCGTGAATGCATACCGTGATCAAGCTCAACAATTCGCAACTCGAGGATTCCGTTCTCTCGGTGTGGCCTCGAAGGAAGAAGGTAAAGAATGGCAATTACTTGGAATGTTGTGCATGTTCGATCCCCCACGATCAGACACTGCTCGAACCATTGGAGAAGCCAACAATCTCGGTATACACGTAAAGATGCTCACTGGGGATGCTGTCGCTATAGCCAAAGAAACTTGCAAACAGCTCGGACTCAAGACGAACGTATACGACTCTGAGAAACTCATAGGCGGAGGAATGTCAGGTTCTGACATTCGAGATTTCGTCGAAGCAGCCGATGGTTTCGCAGAGGTTTTCCCGGAACATAAATACCAAGTTGTTTCCTTACTCCAGGAAAGAGGACATTTGACGGCTATGACGGGAGATGGAGTGAATGATGCTCCTTCTCTCAAAAAAGCCGATTGTGGTATTGCTGTGGAAGGTGCCAGTGATGCTGCCAGAACTGCAGCTGATGTGGTCTTTTTGGATGAAGGGTTGTCGACAATCATCACTGCTATAAAAGTGGCCAGACAGATCTTTCACCGTATGAAAGCGTACATTATCTATCGGTATGTCTCTTTGTGTCCTTCTGCTATTCGACTTCCTGATCGGCGTCATATCGCTGGGTGAGATTGACTGACGATACAGTATTGCTCTTTGTGTACATCTTGAATTATATGTTTTGCTTGATATTCTGATCTTGAATCAAAGCATCCGTATCGACTTGATCGTGTAAGTGTTATCTTCATTCAATTGCAAAACGTGGATCCTGATCAAATAGGTTTTTGGCGATTTTCGCAGATGTGGCTACGATAGCTATAGCATATGACAAAGCTCCTTATGCTCGTCAACCTGTAGAATGGCAATTGCCCAAAGTATGGATCATCTCGACTGTCATGGGTGGGTTTTCGACCACTCACAAAAAGTCCATTTTACCCGGCATGACTGTAGCCAACTTTAAACTTCGATACTGCACAATACGCCTCACAGTGTCGGGTCTATGGGTAAAAATGTCACTGACAAAGCAGGATTACTCCTCGCCGCAGGCACATGGATCCTCCGTGGAACATTATTCCTCAAAAATGGCGGTATAATCCAAAACTTTGGTTCACCGGAAGAGATTATATTCCTGGAAGTGGCACTTACTGAATCTTGGGTCATTTGTAAGTCTCAAGCTAGGAATGTTTGGACTTGATGCTAAATGAATAGTCATCACTCGATTGGCACAAGAACCTGGAACCCCCAATGTCTGGCCATCATGGCAATTAATAGGTGCTGTATTGGGTGTTGATATTTTGTACGTTGTTTCTAAAATGTCTTGAAAGATCACCGCTGATTGGTTCCAGGGCAACTCTTTTCGCTCTATTCGGTTGGATCTCAGGTCCGAACGTCCATGGTGGATGGATAGACATTGTTACTGTCGTCAAAGTTTGGGGTTATTCATTTGGTGTCACAGTTGTCATTCTCATCCTTTGTCAGTTGTCACTTCTTTTCACCTAATTTCTTCACCTATCTCTTCCCTCTAATCTGTCTCTCTCTCCCGGTGCATCCTTTTCTCTGCTGCCTCGTTGTTTGTACTCGTCCAATATTGAACCCTCGTTTATTCTCATCTTGTATGCTGAAGAGTCTATGCTGATCTATCCAGACCTGCTCATGTCGAAAATCCGAGCTTTAGACAATATCGGTCGTCTTTCTCGTTCAAGGAAAAACGAAAAGCTCGAAAACTTCCTCACTGATCTTCAACGTCTCACCATTGTACATGAAACCGATCGTGGTGGTTCATACTATCGTTTCTCCTCTGGTCAAGCTTCACCAGGTGCCAATGCCGCTGGAGATGGTGAAGGTGGAGACGATAAGAAAGGCGCTGCCAAAAGTGGTCAAACCAATGAAAAAGAACAAGGTGCTAAATCCAATGGGAGTGGTGGGAGGGTAGGAGGTAATTCTGGAAATGGTGCACCAGCGGCAGAAGGTGATAAATCTATGGCTGATCAACATGGTGGTGGTGATCAAGCTCAAGCTCAAAAAAGGAAACAAGATGGGAAAGAAAAAAGTCCATTGGGTGATAGGAGTGATGCTGAATCTAGTGGAAGTTCACATCAAAAAGTTGAAGGTTAGGTTAAGAACAAGGGTTGATGATGAGATGTGAAAAGGAAGAAGGGAATGAGGGGATGTATATATGTTTGTAGCTTAGAATTTTAATATCAGAATCTGTTTTTTGATCGTTTGAAGGATTTCGATTTGAAATGATATGCATACTATGCTATGCTTGAATGTCGAACAAGATGAAAAGGATGCAAATGATGTGAGATGGGTGTGAAATGTGAGAAGATCTTTCGGATTGTAAGTTTTTTCAACCGTGGATGACCCAGATGACGGCGTGCCATAACCATCCTAAACCTTTTGTCATGGTTTTGACTCTGTTCGTTAGCTGAGTACCAAGTGGTATTTTTCTCCTCTTTCTCTTCCTCTTCCTTGCCTGAATTGTCTTGCTCCTTGACCCCCCTTCGTTCCCAGGGGTCGGCACGGCCCATATACATCAATAGAATGTCTCAAATAACATTTAATGTGGATAATCTGGATACTGATATGATACAAAGTATAGAGCAGACTATCTTCAACTCCAAATTTAGAATTGGAAAGAAGGGTAGAGGAGAAACGAAAGAAAACAACAACTAACGTTGGATGATTCGCCCATTCTCCCCAAGCAGACTGTAAAACAACCCTAGCGACAGAAGTCTGTTCATACTTATTCGAACTCCCAACCTCATCAAACTTGATTCCCTTCATATCCCTCTCATCGACGTTCTCAGGGGATAGAGACGAAGGTGGAGGGGTGATAGGACGAGATTGAAGTTCTATCGTGTACAACCTTAAATCACGAGCTTCATCAGATAAAAAAGTAACTTCGTTTCTTAACCTTTGGACTTGTTGTCCCATTGAAAGAAGTAGATAGAGGAAGAAAATGTTTATAAACGTTCCTAGTGAGAATATCGTTTTAGACTTTTTCGTCTTGGGTGTGGTTAAGGTGAAGAAAGGTGGGGTTGGGCAAGGGAGAGAGATGTTGTAATGAGTGGAAGAAAGATATTTCAAGTTGGTTTGATGAGTAAGTTTAGATAGATCTGAGGTTTAGCGTGTACAATACGTCGTTGTTTCTTATTGATACATTGGATGAGGAAAAAGAAGTAGAGGAATGATCAACTTACCACCCCAGTGTTTCCCTTCGAGATGAACCGTCATGGAGCCTACGGCGGAAGGAAAGTGTGGAACAGCCACTATATCACCCATATGTTCCACCTGAATGGTGATCTCCACATTTGACAACGTCACACTCCCTCCTGAACCCATATTACCTTCTGTACGCAATCTAATCTCAAATCGATCATCACACTTCACCACACATCTAGGGATGGTTTTACCTCCTATAGAGGCCCGAACTATTTGACAAGTCCTACTAGGTCCCGGGCACGGGATAGAAAAACCAATATCCGAATCGGTTTTCTTGGGGATAGGAACCAACAGGTGAATTGTTTGAGAATGCCATGCGTCTCTTTCCACCCGAACCATAATCTCTCCTTGTACTGAGGAGAGTGGTTGGGGTGCGATCGATCGACCAGAGGAGTCAAGCCAGATGAAGGGTGGAGCGGAGGAAGACATGTCGTATGTGATTGTATTTGAAGGATGATCGGGTGTCGGATAAGTGATTTGACATGTTGTAGGTGCTGAAGGAATGTCAAGTCTCACAATAGGTAGTTGACAAGGTAAAGAACAAGACACAAATGTCAAAGAAGATAAAGGGACCAAAGTTCCTTGAAGTTGTACTCTTCGATCGGCCGTACTGCCACTTCCCACAGGCTCGAACTCAAGCTCGAAGCATGTAGCATGAACGGGTACGTTTCCTTTTGAGTAAGACATCGAGGAAGGTTTAGACATCGAGGAAGATTTCAAACTTGATGTTGTTGGCGTCATGGGATGTAAAGGTTTGGAAGAATGTTCTTGTGGTATCTCAAATGAGAAATCGTCCAATGTATCATCACCCAAGTTCGGCATGGTTTGCGCTAACAAAGATGCTCTCGTGTCGCCATTGGATAGTATACTGGGGCGTTTGAAGGATTTAGATTTGTTCCGAACGGTAGCGAATGAGTCATCTTGGAATGAATCGTCCATATCATTTGAAGAGGTTTGAGAAGAGAAGAAGGAAGAATCGGTGGAACGCCAAATGCGCAAACCATCGGCGGAAATATCAAGAGATTGCCATCCCCAACCATCTGGTAAGTCTACAAAAAGAGGAAGGATGGAGAAAGCTTCGATCAAAGTTTCGTACGATAGGGAAATGGATGGAGTTTGAGGATGCCAACTTGGATTGACAATGAGTTTAGGGATGGCTGATGCGAAAGACCATTCGAGTTGAAGGAAATCAGTACTGTCTATCAACAAATGACTTTGCGCTGTTGTGATGAAGAGTTGGACGGACCTTTGAAAACGACCAAGAACCCAAGTACCATCATCGTCATCGTTATTTTCCGTCTCGTACCCATCCAACTCATCCATATGATCGTCAGGACCCATGATTTCCCCATCTTCCCATCCTTCTTCGGCGCCCAATCTCCCAGCTCTGTTTTGACCTCTGGAAGGAGGTCTGATATCTTCTGAGAGCTCGAAGAACGTTTCTGGCAAAGGAAGCATTTTAGGATGCGTGACAAGATCTATAGCACCCATCGAGCTTGTCGATGTGACAGGTTGAGAAATTTTGAGTCGAAGGACATTATCGAGACATTTAGGTACTGGAATGGACACCTAATCGTCAGTACACATGCCCCTTCCTTTGATCATAGAATTTTATCGAGATAATTGAAAGAATGGATATACCTTGGACACTCCAGATTCGGATCCAATGATCTCCACTTCAAATTCCACCACGAGCAACCATTCTCTTCTCACCGTGTTACCCTGATCTTTTCTATTCTTATTTCGGCCTGGATCAAAAGTCAAAAATACCTGACCGGTAGATTGATTCACCTCAACGGAAGGTTTCGGTTCGTTCCTCACTGGTGATGAAGGCGGATAAGCTGAAGGTCCTGGTAGACCCAACAAAGTGGAAGCTGTCCGTAATTGTTTCGCTTTGTTAGGATGTCTCGATAGAGCAAGGTGAGGAATGGGTAAAGGGTAGATACATGGTGCGGAAAGTAAACGAGGAGGTTTTGAACCAAAAAGTGCCAATCGTGGTATTCGACTATCTACATCTCGTGGTAAAGATAGCTGAGTCTGTTAGCTGAAGTCAATAAAGAAGAGAGGAGGGACTAGCTTTGAGACAAAGAAGACCTCGGACTACCGAGGATGACGGGTCGGTACAACCTTCGAGGCCGAGTTTGTGGATCTGGAGTCCACTAGGTGGCATGATACTGTTGGAGACGGGGATCGGACTATGAGAAGGACATGAGGAGGTATGATTGAGGTGCTCTAAGATGAAAGGAAAAGATGGGTGGATGGAGAAAGTGAGGCAAAAGTGATCGTGGACGCGTCAACGTGGCGGAGGTCAGTGGCGGTAGAAGTTGCACTTGGAGGTACGAGTAGCAAGAAGAGCATCTAGCAACTGCTTTATTGCGATACATACATGCACCATATGTCAACTATGAAATTTAGTAGTTCAGGAGTATCGTGACTGACTAGAGAAATCATTGTTCTCTTATGTAAAATCTCTTTCGGAATGCAGATTGACCTGTCGACGTGATTGTAACAGTCGCAATCAACCTCCGTGGTCTGCTTGCTGAATATCGCACGGACTGAAAAGAACCTTGTTGATCTCCCCTCATACCCTGCAAATCTCCATCATTCCATGTGATCCCCCCGGCCCCTGGCATACCCTTTCTACCTGCCCCGAACTCTCTTTTCATCTTGACGACCAAGGCGGATGAATGGATCCACCTATCATCTGCATAGATCAAAGGAGGTATCTCCACTGTCAAGGATTGACCATCTGTCCTGTCCTGTAACCTCTGCATACATAAAAGACCCTATCTATCTTGTTTTACAAGGCAACCTTTTCAAATACAGTTCTCTTCTGACTCGGATACCCAGTCAACCTTCACCGAATAACCATCACTACTGATCATCTTTCCAGCAATTCAGATCGAGATACAGACCAACGACAAATTCATCTTATCAGACCACGTCACCAACTACCTAGTCAACGGTTGTGGATTTGAACCAAGACAAGCAAGAACCGATAACCCATGTATCTCACCATTATCACACTCCTCTTCACTACCTTCTTCACCCCTCTGATCCTTGCTCACGATCCAGATGATTATCGCTCCATCTTCCTATACTGGACGAATTTCACCCATGTCACTCCTCTTTCTAAAACGTTAGAATGGACAGGAGGTTACGGAGAAAATTACGCGAGTTTGTTTTTCCAAGATAATGGGTTTCAAGAGGAAACTTTTGAAATGGTTATGTGGGCTGGAGAAGGAAGATGGGATCCTCCTCTTAATGCTGCTCCAACAGGGACGGTGACTGTGAGTACTTATTGTCTTTCTTTCCCTTCAGTTGAGTGACATCACATTCACCCAGATACTAAGATTAGGGAGAGGGTATGCTTAACTTTTGTTCCAAAATTTGAGATCTTGAGATTTCTGTCTTCCTTAAGAAGTGAGAGTCAAATGAGCAACATTTGGATATGTCTAGAGTGAATGAAATGAGGGGAAATAACAGGAAGATGAGAATGGTTGAAAGGAGATTTGAAGGACTGATCATCAGTGTACGATACAAGCAACCGCCATACCACCTAATCTTGAAGCTTACCAAGTATCCAACACTCCTCCTTATACGGAAAGCGTATGGGATACACCTAATCCTGTAGCTAAGATCAGTTGTGGAGCCCCTCATTGATCATTCACCGGAACCTTCTTCTCCGTCTGACGATTCTTCCTGTTCCCCGTCTTGGTCAGCATCAGTCTGTACGGACCTGGTCTGGGCGTCACATGTCGATGGCTTTTTGTCACTCCGTACAATGACCCTGTTTCGGTCAGTCATCAAAGTACCAACAGTCTCCTGCCTCTTATCAATAGCGTAAAATAGAGTGTATGAATAAATTTGAGGTAAATGTCAGTCCTTGACGTCAAGAAGAACACATAAGATGCAGATCATCATATCCACATACAGTACCTCCCATCTTACCAACCTAGACGGATCCATAGTCTGATGAAGGGTGATAGACTTGTATATGGACCGTATCTCCCGAGGGAGGGAACGGCCCCGTAATCACGCCCACTTCTCCATGAATTCTTTATGGAACGTCTCAATCTTTCCACAGTATTCTTCCACTCCAGGACACAACGCGGTGACACGGATATGATACGTGCCGGGAACTTGACCGAAGCCTGATCCTGCGACGGCGCAGATTCCTGTGGCATCTATTTGTCAGTCACGCTCTTGTTGTCCCCTCTCTATCCGTCTCACAACCAATTTCGACGATGTGACGACGCAGCACTAGATAGTCACTCTATGGGACAATTTGGCCGTATGATCCCGCACGAAAGCCCTTATAGGGAAGATCAGTGAGATGAAAAGATTGAAACAAAGGAGTGGGGGCTGTGAATTCGATAGATTGTGAAGACTCTTGAAGACTCACCAAGCAGATCCAAAGCATACATGACATCTGGCTCTTTCCCTCTCGTCTTAGCTTCTTCTATCGCCTTTAGTGGGGATCTCAATCTTCGGCATCAAGTACATGGCTCCGTCCGCAGGGACACAGCTCATCCCTGGTAAAGAATTGAATTTATCGCTCATGTAAGCACTGCGAGATTTGAGGTTCGCAAGGATACTTTGAGTTTCTTCTTCCCATTGACTGAACGAGGGGTCGCCGGGTTTGGGAGGGGAGACGAGGAGGTCAACGCCGATCTATGCGTCAATGACTGTTATCTACCTCGGCTGATCCCACTCTTCATGCGGTTAAAGATGAGGAGATGATACGAGGGTTTGGTATGACAACGGATTATTCTCAAAGATAGGAGTGGGGAATGGATCGCAAGCCGGCCAGAGAGAGGTTGTCCGAAGGGATGTCCGCGGCAGATATGATTGATACGGATGAAGTTGGCCGAGCAAGAGTGTGGAAACCAAGAAACAGAGAAGAAATCAATGAATCACTCACCTGTCCGGTCAGAGGTGGACATAGTGATACACTAGCCATCTTATAAATCTGATCCATGACCTCGGGCAAAATATTGACACATTCGAAATATCCTCCTCTCCTCCCACATTCCCCACTCATTCCTTTGGAGATAGAATGAAAGCTGACCAATTCCACACTCTTTGCAATTTCTTCAGGCATACCCATCAAAACCTTTTTGAACGATACGAATGGTTTCTGTTCCGGATAAAAGATGTTTGCTTGATACACTTCATCGGCAAGTAACAAAATTTCTTCTTCGTAACATAATTGAATGACCGCTTCCATAGCTTTTCGATCCAAACATGCTCCTGTGGGGTTACCGGGGTTGATGATGACCAACGATTTCACCGGTACGCCTTCCTGGCGGGCTTTGGATACGGATTCGAGGATGGTGTCATGAGACATGGACCAGTTGTTTTCTTCAGATAGGTAGTATGGGAGAGGAGTCGCAGATAAATAAGCTAGGGTAGCGGTGTAAAGAGGATATTGAGGGATAGGAATGAGACACCCGTCACCGGGATGAAGGGCGACACCGAGGATGGAAGCTACACCTCCTGATGCGCCGGCTGTGAGGAAGATGTGTTCAGGATCCGAGGGATAGCCATCACGTTCTGAAAGTCAGCCGGTGTCAACTTGGGAGTGTTTCGTGTCTATCATGAAGCGTGCAGCCCTTCTGATCAATCGTGCTGGTGGAATGGAGTGCAAGCGTGAGATGACGACATCTGAACGGAATGTGGAAGGTTGTGTAAACGACGTCTCGAGATCCGTAAATCACGGGTCTCCAGACAGGCCAAGGTATGTACTGTGTCAGTACGTGACCAGCAGCTTGGAATAGATCTTACAGGTGAAGATCCGGGACATGGAGAGTAATCCGGTTATAATTGATAGTAAGTAGTATTAGAAGAGATTCACTCACCTTCAATAAACTTAGCCACCCTCCTTCTGATCGTTACCACACCTTTACTCTGACTATAAGCTCCAACACTTCCAATCTCAGCATGTAACTTCTTAGCTCTCTCAATCGCATCCACGGGATATATCTGTTTAGCCACTTCCAAATGTTTATCCAACAAATCTGGGTATTCCAAAAGACTGATCACTTGACGCCAAAAAGTGATTGGTTTTTGATCTAATCCCGCTTGTTGAGGATTTCCAATATTGGCAGTGACGACTCTATCAAATGGCAATCCATGATCTTTGGGATGATCATGGAGTTTATGTAAATATTTGTCGGCACGTAATGCTAGTTCACCACGAACGGCATATTGAACATTTGGGACTGCCCCATTGATGGTGTCTAATCGCAAAGCGGGAGTGAATTTCCCTTTGGGGTGACCGTTGGTTTGAGGGGTAGACATGGTGCTGTTAAATCTGGAGTGGAGTGTTGTTGTTGGTCGTTTGAGGGCGGGGAGCTGGAATGGGGTACGGGGCATTAGAGATGGGGGATGTGAATCGGGCAATGAAGATCGGGCAAGGGAAAGATGACGGATTTGATATGAGTTTGGGGGTTTTGCAATAAAAGAGAAAGTATCAGCGATTTACTCAAAATTACACAGCCTCGACTATGATTCTGTATAGGTACAGATTTACAGAGGCAGAAGGGTGGATAGCTGAGGAATGAGCAAGAAGGGGGAGGTAAGGAAAAGAAGGTAGAGTAGTATCGAGTCGGAGTCGTTGATCGGACAAAGTTTCGGTTCAACCGGTCATCTTACCGGTCACCACTCTATTTGAGTACTGAGAGGTGAACACTCGCACTTACCTGTTGTAAACTAGCGAGGTTGGATATGAAATCTCACAAGCAAGATGAATAGCGATAAATTAGAGGGAAAAGACCAAGTGATATCAACTGCTATTATTTATATGAAAATACAAAAATCTTCATACATCTCCGCTTATCATCATCCTTTGATGTCTTATCGTCATTACGCCGACCCGTCTCTATCCCCGACCCCAACCCCCCGGCTATTTCTTCGATCTCTGATCTGTATCAGACAATCTTGGCGTTGCGTTTGATAAGGGATAAGGGGAGTTGAAAAAACGGGGGAGGGAAAAGGATGATGAATGATGAAATCTATCAAAGGTGAAGGTCCTTTGAGGGATTTAAAGATTCTACCCATTGGATTGAGGTCTAAATTCTATTACGGACAACGAAGCCACTAACAGTACTTAGATGAGATGGCGTCTGCCTCGTGTGGTGGTTTTCCTTAATTTTACAAACCCCCCACAACCCGATAACTTGGGCTAGGAGAAGATCCAGGGTGGATGAGACAAATATTCCATATCGTGTTGTACAACCTAGATCCCTCTACAAATTGATCAATTCCATCGTCCTGCATCCTGACCATCAGCACTTTTATCATTCGACTTTTTCTTCATGCTACTCGGCTTATGGTCCATGGCATGAGGTCGGTGAATGGGAAAAGAGGGGGAACAGATGTGAGAAGGACAGGAATGATCGGAATGATTTGAAAGAAGTGAAAAGTATGAGATCAAGAGGAACATACCATTAATCGTTCATTTGGAGGAGGCTGAGAAGGAGCCTTTCTCGTAGCTTCCAATTGTCTACTCAATTTCCCTGCAGATGGGTTTGAAGAGTTTACCCCTTTATTTCGTTCCTACGGATCAACTTTCCTTCGTTTCTTACATATCTTATGAAACAGTCATGATATTGCTCTTGATTCATTCATGACAAACGTCTTTCCGCGGTAATGAGATCGAGGAAAGATCCACGGTCCACGATCGCGGTATACCCCTAGAGGTCGTTATAGAGCATGAGATGTAGATACATGATTGAGATATGAGAGTAAATGATCACTCACCTTGTCCAATCTCATCTCTGCCGCACGTCTCGCGACCTCCCTCGGATCTCCTTCCGTCCCATTACCTCCCAAAACCTGTGGCGGCGGACCCGATCTCGTAGGTCTGTTATTGGACACTGGCGCTGCCGCCCTTCCAGCCGCAGGAGTGGGGGAAGGAGTAGGAGGAGCTGAACCTAATTTCTGACCGCCTTTATCTGGCGAGGATATACATGAACCCATTCTTGAAGATCTACGTGATTTCCCGTTTACACTCTCTCGCAGGAGCCCAGGATGCTCAGTTTGACGAAAGGGGTTTGTAAGTCGCCTTGGGGAGGTAGACAGACAGAAAGGGTCAACGAGCAGCCCAGGTCCAATCTAATGGAGCAAGGAGATCGATTAAGTGCGCGGTGTGAAGGGTAAGGGTGTGGAATGGGATGTAGTAGAGAAGAGAAGGGTGAGAGATGGGTATGGCTGGAAACGAAGAGATAGATGGTCGAGGGTCGGAGTGTGAAGTCTCAAATGTTTCAGATTATCAGCTTCGGAGATATGTACACTTGTAGGACGAGTAATGTACTGTACTGGATGCGAGTGAGCAGCTAAGAGGTTAAGGCTGAGTGTAATGATACAAAAGAGAAGGGTTGGGTTGAGTGGAGGAGGAGCGGTGCATTCAGAGAGTCACCGCCGGCCGCCAAGCCGCGGTTCAACAAAGCGCAGCATGCAGCATCTAGCATCAGCTATACTACTCGTACCCCTCAGCCCTTGCTGGAAATAAGGTAGAGACACGTGACAGACATAACAACCTGAAATCGACTATCGCTGCATACTGATTACACATGAGAGGTGTCCTTTATATGCATGTCCAAAGTTTTCATCCCTTCCGCTTCCAAGCTCCATCAACCACCGGAAATCCAGATATGTACGTCCCTTCTTCTCGCTCACCTCGCAGCATGTAATACTCCCCTCGCGATCTATCAAACGGCGGGAACACCATCGCTCACCTTCTCCCACTCCCCTCCGCTCCCCATCCCGCTGCTGGCTCCATTAGGCGAGTTGAGCGAGTTGGCCTCACCCCCGCTCCCACTGTCAGGGGAAGAATCATCCACGTCCGCGACACTAGCCTCAGGTCGAGGGGGAACGGCAGTGAGGGTTGGACCCGTGGGACCTGAACTGAGGGTAGAAAGTTGGACAAGGAGGTCGAAGATGGGAGGGGGGACTACTCTTTGGTATACTGATTGTCAGGAGGCTGATCAGTTATATGAGTCTGGAGAGGTGTATCACAACATGGAATATCACTGGTAAGGTGGACCGAACGAGACGAGATAATGTTATGACATGAGAAAGGGGAGAAGATGGATACAAAGACACTCACGCATAAGCAACTCCATTGGGTTGGGGTACGTCCTCATGGCTTTGTAGAAATGAGTAGCCGCGTCAATGTGATGTTCAGGACCTGAGCATGAGCGTCATGCATGTCATTGATCTCGTTTCTCAAGACCACGCAAGAACCTCACTAAACGTCCTATCACAGGTCTCGCCGTTGAGAAGATAGAGAATGGACAAGATATGATGAAGGAAAGTGCAGGTACAGCTCCAGCAATGTGCTATATGAACGGCCGAACACTCACCTAGAAGAGACAATCTTTCACCCTCCGCAACATTCTCTTGGAAATACGCCTCTTGTTGTTCTGCTGACAAAGGTCTAGGCTCAGTAGCGATCTGTGCCATTACCGCCCGAAGCTGACGGAGGTTTTCAGCTTTTCTTTTAGCGATTTCCGCTTGGAGGTTTTCAGTGACTTGACGATGTTGTCTTCCTGCAGAATCAGCATCTATCTTACTAGAATTTCTCGTAGGTTTTCAAGAGTCATATGAAAGGAAAAGCATGAATTGGATCGATGATGGAATGAGGGATTGAAGCAAAGAAAGACTACTGACGAAGCCTTGCTCGGAATTGAGGATTGTGTCTCCGCATATAATCAAAATAAACGCAATAGCCTAAAAACCCAGTTACGGCCACTGCAGTCGAAGCGAGAGCGATTTGTGATGATGCTCGGGAAGTCATGTTGATAGATTGAATGAGATACTCGAGCAGATGCAAGATAGATTTGGTGGATCGTGGTTCAGGTGGGGTTCGGCAATGGCATCAACTTTTGGGAGAGGTGAGAATGGTTTTTCTTGATTGGGATTTTCGCATTTAATCCCACAGGCCAAAGGACCGGGGACGGAAAGTCATGAGATTTTGCACTGAAATGAAGAGAAGCCTATCATGCAGGGTCACACACAACCTCTTCGCAGCGTGCATGCTACATGCCATGCTTAGCATGTAGCATGTAGCATGCAGTTGAATTCAGCTGATAGTTGCATGTCTATATGCATCAGAGATACCAGGTGCTGGCTGCTAGCTGCATGGCTGCAAGCAACGCCACACGGCAGGTGGGGGGGCGTGCCTGAATATTGCAAGACGACCCGGTTCATGGCTCACTTTGTCTACTCGTACCTACTTTGCATAATCAACTATACATGGCAAACTTTGTGTTCGATTCTCCCACCCTCCGCTATGTGCTCACTCGGACCACAAATTCCGCGATCGAAGTATATGAGGATCTTCTAACTCACTCGTCATCTCTGCATGCGGATCCGCGTCAGCTTTGACTCTCCCACGTACAAACCCTCATCCCCTGCGTTTTCTCGCTCGCCACTTCTCACCCTGCCTCTCCGATCCCGTCTTTACTAGCACTACCCTATACTCCAGCTTGCCCTCTTCCCTATCACTTCTATTCCAACCATCATCGTGGCATCCAGCAGCCTCAACGTCCCCCTTCAACCCCCTAATAACAGAATCCAATGTCTACTGCACTTTCCGCCCCCTCGAGATTAGATTCTCCCCGAGCGCCACCTCGTAAACCTCTTCCGACGCCTTCTCTAATCATCTTTGGTGAATCGTTTGTCGGACCGTTCACCTTGTTCCGAGACAGGGATAGGATCATCAAAAAATTCAAAGGAGCTAGTGCCAAGGTGAGTTTGTCTCGTTACCATCCTTCTCCTCCTTACCAACCGCCTCACCAAGGACTGATTGCCCGTAGCCTGGCAGCTTTTTTACTATCCGGTTTATTCATAAGTATGTCAGACACAAACGAACCGGAGCTGATGTGCTCATCAGGGTCTGAACAATCCCAAGTCTACCCTCAAAGTTGCCGATGAACTCCTGTCAAGCCTGTTCATCCACTTCTCTTCTGATCTCCTCTCGGAACCACGGTACGCTCTATTGATCTTTGGCAATGTAAGTCTTCCACTTTCATCATATCTGATGTGTGTATATACGATTGGTGTAAGATGTGATACTAACGTCCAGGTCGACCTTCAAATTAACTATCTGTACAACCTTGAGACTAAGCCCCTTACCACCGCTTCCTTCCCCGAAGACTTGAGACCTACCTTGCCAGATTCCATCCCTGAATCTCTCCCCGGTCAGTATTCCGCTCCTGGTCCCCAGCTCCACTGTCGTGCCGTCCTCGATGCCTACACCACCTTCATAGAACGCGAAATCGTCAATGGACCCGTTGGATCCATAATCAAATCGGCGAACGCTCAAGGCGCTTCCGGATCTAAAATTCTCATTTGTGGTGCTCTACCACCGGTAGTACCAGACGAAATTCAGCCACGCATCCCTGATAAGTATATCCTCAGAGTTAACAAGAAACCTGAAGATTACGATCCACCCCCTCATATACTTTCATCCCTTGCCCGACTATCCGTCTCCGACCATATGTACACCCCATCCCCTCTTCCCACTGGATCAGATCTGATGCCGAAGGGTATACCCGTTCGTGACATGTTATTACATGATTACCCATTGGTCACTCTTCCCACCCGTGTGAAAATGGTCAACGACTTCAACACCGGGCTGAAGTCATTTTGCGATCGATATCCTGACATCTTGGGCTTTGTTGATATTTCACCTCAAATGTTAACCCATTCGAATGACCCGGATTTTATATCGCGATTTGGAGAAGTTGATCAAGGGACCTGGAGAGATACTCAAGATCCAAGTAATATACATCCTCTTTGGGAACCGGCTTTACCATTCTGGAAAGAAGAACTTTTGAAGCATGGAATCAGAACTGATCTATGGGAGACATGTGGAGATCCTCATTCGACATTACAAGCTTTTGAGATAAGTAAAAGTGAAAAGATAAGAAGGAGATTGGGATCATCGACACCTACGGAATTTAGAAGTCCTTCAGCAACACGTATCATACCAGTCACAACGCCTAGCTCACCGGGAGTTTATCTGCCGCCACATCGAGCAGCGGCTTTACGAGCGAGTTCAGCACCATCACCACCACGAACCCCTTTACGAAGTCACTTTTCTCTTGCCGAGCGCAAAACTCCGAGTAGCTTCCCACGTAGTCCTCGAGTACCTCCAGAAGACGAAATCATGGCACGTTCCATCCAAAGAGGACGGTTGCCATACACCGAGAGCTCAGTTTCCGACACTCGATCAAATATCGCCGATATAATCCCCGGGTCCGTTGACAATCGCTCCACATTGGGTTATGGGGATGAAGGAGAGACACCCCGGGGTGTATGGAGAGTCGATCGATCAATGAAAAAGGACCATGGTTGGAGAACACCTGAGAGAGCTGTTAGACGGACAGCTGAGACGGATCAAAGACCTGAGAAGGGAGCTCTGCCTACCATGCCTCCTGAACTATGGTCCAGTGAGCGTGTTAGAGCAGTACGGATATCATAGTGTGCCGTGGCCATGCGCGGATCGTCAAAGTCTGTGGAAGCATCTTTCGTGTTGTATGAGTACAGTATCCTCGTAGGGATCTTAGTCGCTGTCACGAAATCTACGCATATGTATGAGTACGAGTACAGTAGTACGGTAGTACATATACCTCACACCGATGTATTGTTGTGCATACGTCATCCATCTGATTGCCACTCGCCACACGTCACTGAGAGAAATTTGCTCCCGCCTGCCATCAATCGTCATGGCATCCATCCTCCATGTCACCCACCCCACAAACTCTTGAGCATATCTCCTCTAAGCTCTGGACTGACACTTCTACCCTCCTGTCATCATGTCAGGCTCGAAACCACCTTCCGGAGGTCGAAGATCTTCTGGGAAAGGTGCCCCAACTTCTCAAGGTGCACCTTCTGGAGTGAGAAGCACCAGTGGCACGAAATTTTACGTGGGTCATCTCTCATTCCATCACTCATATTTTGCTGATGAATAGAACGGTCCAACCATACCTATTGAAGTGAAAGAAAAGGCGGAAGAAATCAAGGATAAAGCTACGAACCTAACTCATAAAGCTGGTCATGTTGCTACTCAGGGTGGTGCAGTTGCCAAGGTCAGTCCAAGCGCGATTTTCACTCTCAACAATCCTACAACATCAATACATACACACAACGAAAGCAACCCATATTGCGATCCCGAGTACTGACGCGATAGAACCAAGCTCGAAAAGCAATATCAACTGCTCGTCGACATCCATGGTCAATTATATCTATAATTTCCACTCTCCCATTCCTCCTCCTTCTATCTCTCACCTCTACAATCATCTGTCCTCCACCTAAACAACACTCCCCAATCTCGAAATTCGTATTATCTTCACTTGGTCTTCATTCTAAATCAGCTTATGGTCCCTTACGCGAGAAATTTTGTTACCCCGCAAACGTATATCACGATTCCGTTCTTGTTCCCTATGTATACCCTCAAATCGAAAATGTCCAACACACCATCGTCACTCATCCTATTTATACCCATCATGTTCTTCCTACTTACACGTCTGCCAATCAGGTGACGAGAAAGATATGGAATGGACCTGTTAAACCCGTGGTGAACAGAGTGAGAAGAGGGGCAAAAAGGTTTTATCTAACTTTTGTTCAACCCCATTTACCATGGGCGAGACAAAAGGTATACCTCGCTTTCTCTCCTTTGACATCTCGAATCGAAGCTGCTCACAAGTCATACGTCTCTCCACATTTGAGTACGGCGCAGAGATACGCAAACGACGCTTCTGGGAGATCATATCAATTGTACCAATCGGTGGCGGGTCATCCATTGACCAAACAATCCGCCGGGTATGCCGCTACAGCTAGGGATATGGCATACAAAAATTACATGGTCGTTCGTCCACATCTCATCCGCGCCGCTAAAGAAACTAGACGGGTCGTTCTTCAGGTCGTTCTCCCTAGGATATTGAAAGGTTTGGAAATTACCTCTGGTCAAATATACAGACAAAGTACTATCATTCGCATGTGAGTCCTCGTTGTGAAATATGAGACCAAAAGCTTATGATCAGAAAATCAGGCAAATTCTACGCTGCGTATCTTGAACCGCACGTTGGTCCTTATGTAGACAAGGTATCTCTCGCCAGTAAACCATATACCGACGCCTTTTATGTCAAAATTTATAAACCTTTTGTAAAACCCATTTTGGTGGCCATACTACCCGAAGTCGTGATGGCTCCGGAACCCAAGAAAAGTTTCTGGGCGATGATTGCGGACATATTGCCGGAAGTCGGATCTTCATCTGTTGGCGAGGGAAAGGCAGCGATGAAGGAAACTTACGATCGAGCGGAAAAGGTTGAGGCGCCGAAGAAAGTCAAAGAGAGTGCGAGCAGCGTCAAGAGTAAAGAGAAGGCGAGTGCCAGTAGCATTCAGCAGAAGGCGAAGGAGTCTGAGAAAGGGAAGCTGAGCAAGACGGAGATACAAAAATCGGCGGAAGTGATCAAAAAACGAGTGGACCAAGCGGGACAGGAGGGGTACGACAAGTTGTCATCCCAGGTAAGCTCAAATATTCCCCCTTCAGTTGATTCCGGAGAACAGGAGGGAGAAAGGCCATCGGAGTCGAGACGAAGGCTGACTCGCCAGTTACTCGACAGTCACACCAAAATCGTCGCGGAGAAAATGCCCTTACATGCTCAAAATGCCCGACAGGAGCTGGATAGATTCATCGACCGCGTCATCACTGGTTTCAACAAATTCTGGACGGACCCAAAGAAATTCACGCCCGAGTTGGTAGACAAAATGTCCAGGGATGCAGAGAGCCGGGTGGCGGGGGAAGTACGAAGGGTCAAAGCTGGTTTAGGAGATAGGCGGAAGTTCATTGAAAAGGAGGATCAGAAGTTGATTGATTCGGCTTCCAAAGGTGTTGATGAGGCTATGGGGAAGGAATTTGAGGCTTTGTTGGTTCAGGTCAGTCATGGAAATCCCTCTTCCTTGTATGATCCACCTGTCTCTACCGCCTCCTTTTTTTCCGAACACTTTCGGCAAGAGGACCGAGGATACTGCCAACTCAAAAATTGTCGTGGAGTACTCTACTGACCATCAGATGAGCTCTGTCGAAGGTGCCACTACAAAGGATTGGTCGAAGCTCAATGCAGTCAAGAGCGGTGAGTTACATGATCTGATGTAAAGACGCTTCTGACATACAGCGGCCGAGACATGGAAAGACAAATATCACGCTCTGGCTACTGCTAAATCACCCCTGAAAGCTTTAAATCACCAATCTGCCAGCGTCGATCAAGGTTTCGCGCTCATTCACACCGAGCTTGATGACATGTTTGAAGGCTACAAAGCTCGTACCGGAATCCTCAGACGCTCCGCTTTAGACCAGTACGAGGCGGCACAAGAATTGGCGTCGGCTTCGTCTTCATCGTCGGGCAGTAAACCTTCGTCTACCGGTAATGGACGCTACTCTATTCTTCCCGTGGCGGAAGCTGTGGGAATTGCAGCTGCCGGTGAGGCTGTGATCGGAAAGGGCAAAGAGCAAATCATGGATGCTTTTAATCAAGCCAGTGCTGCTTTAGCCGGCCAAGAGTCTTCGACCGGGATTGTCGACCAAGCGAAATCCCTCGGCGAACAAGTCATCTCTTCTGCATCGGCCAGTGTGCACTCTGCCACTCGATCGGCAATGTCAGCAGTCGGCGTCACACCTTCTCCAGAGTCCCCTCGTGAACACCTAGAATCGGTAGTTGAAGCCGCTAGCAATTCGGTCTACTCTGTTTACTCGGCTGTAGAAGATCAAGCTTCCTCTCTCTCTTCCGCCGCGTCAGATGCCATTCATCAAGGAACACGATCTGTTATCTCTGCGGTTGGAGGCACTCCGACCCCTGAAGGCGCCGCTGAACATCTTGCTTCTATCGGAAATGTGGTCGCCCAAGGTGCTGCTCAGGTGTATGGAGTGGTTGAAGAGAATGTCCATCATGCCACTCGTTCAGCGATGTCTGCCGTTGGTGCCACTCCCAGCCCCGAGACCCCTCAAGAACATTTCGAATCCATCGTCGATGGCGCGTCTTCACTTGCTGGTAACGCCGCCGCGTCTGCATCTTCCGTCATTCACGATGCCAGTTCAGCGGTTCACGACGCCACTCGAGCCGGTATGCGAGCTATCGGTGTAACTCCCTCTCCTGATTCCCCAAAAGAACACCTCGAATCGATTGCCAACGACGCGTCGTCCTTACTACATGATGCTACCCGTTCCCTCGTCAAAGCAGTGGGAGCTACCCCTTCACCCGAATCGCCAGGGGAGCACCTCGAATCCGTTCTTGATGCTGCAGGATCTGTCTACTCAAACGTTGATTCCAAAGCATCTTCTCTCTACACCGAAGTCTCTTCCACCGCTTCATCTGCAGTTTCAGAAATGACAAATCAAGCAGCTCTCCTAGCCTCTCAGATCCAATCACTTGTGGGATTAGCACCTACCCCAACACCTCTCGCTTCATCCGCTTCGGCATATGTAGGTTCTCTCTATTTGGCGGGATCGACAGCTGGAGCCGAGTTGTTGGCAGAAGGAAGTAGTCTTCTGGTCAGTTTACAATCAGAAGCGAGTAAATCGATACATTCAGCCACTCGAGCGGCTAGTAGAGCGGTAGGAGCAACACCCAGTCCTGAAGGAGTCAAGGAGCATTTAGAAAGTGTAAGTTCTAAAGTGGAAAGTGTAGCGAGAAGTGTTATAGGACACGAAGAGTTATAAGGGGGGTGCGACTATCTAGATATTCTACGTAGGTCTTATTGGTGGTAAGTTATGACGAATGGATGTGATGAACCGCCACTTTGAATTTGGTTTTTCGGCGTGTTTCGGCGTTATGAGTTGAGTGGGTGGGACCTCCACGCATTAACGCCCGACACGTCCACTTGCATTGGAGTAGCATTCCAAGTTTGACGTTTAACTCTCTATCCTGTAACTTCCGACGGGTCTTTCTCGACTCTTCAATTCTGGTTTGGTAAGAAGGGTCAGGAGAGAACGCTCAACAAAAGTGACTGACTGAAGTCCATCGGGTCGGTTCTCAGCTTCTGGTCTCTAGTGAAGGAGAGAATTTGGACAAGATGCAGATGCTCACAAAGGTCAGTACTCACCTCTTACTCTCTCACATCAACTACCTCGCCGGAAGTGTGAAAAGATTATATGCTTTCTTGTAGAAGAAAGTTTGTTTCCTTACCCCTCGACATGTATTGTCACCCATCCCTACAGAAGGTTGTCAAGCTGAAGTCAACTCCCTAATTGATCATCCTCCTTGACTTTGTCTAGTCTAAATTCGAAAGACTGAATCATGCCCTCCTACTCAAAAGCTGCCGGACTTCTTTCGTGCCGGAACTTCCAGGAGAGTGACGAATGAACGTTATGGAAACTGCGTGGAATGTGTACCTAGTTAAGCGCATCACTGACCACCAGTTCGAGAGCAAAAGTCCTAGAGTCAAGGGTATCGCTTTTCGTGAGTTCCCAAACCTCCCCCACCCTCCCACTCAACCCAATTACCCGAGGGGATAGCCTACGATTCCACCTTCTCATTGACTCTTTGTCCATATCATCCTGCAGAATCATCATTGCGTTCTTCGATTCGAATCCTTGTTTTGGGAATTTCCTACTCCAAGATCTCTGTAGTGTTTTCTTATCAAATGTGTACGGTCCTGACGACAGATCCTAAAACACCTCTCTTAGCAGCGTCACTTCATAATGGTACGATTCAATTGTGGAACTACCAAATGGGTACACTTGTAGACAGATACGACGAACATGATGGTGAGATATCTCTTCAAATCAACACTTTACCGCAGAATGGCGGGATGGCCAAGGGCTTGCCGTTGACAGATCGAGGAAGGGAGAGGAGGAAATGCTGACATCGTAGGACCTGTTAGAGGGATATGTTTTCATCCCACTCAACCTATCTTTTGCTCAGGAGGAGACGATTATAAGATTAAAGTATGGAATTACAAACAGAGAAAATGCTTGTTCACCCTAACCGGACGTGAGTATATTTAGTTTCCAACCTACTCCTTCTCTTAACTTGGCGATCAGCACCAACTCCACATTTTGCGCCCGCCCGGCGCTGTAATTCGTGGTTATAACAGGCAGGGAGTGTTCTCGCTCGTGATGGTCGCCGTGAAATTGTCAGTTCGCAAACCGAGCTAACCATCAGATCTTGATTACGTGCGCACTGTCTTCTTTCATCGAGAATATCCATGGATCATCTCGGCTTCGGACGATCAGACCATTCGTATTTGGAACTGGCAATCACGTACCTGCATTGCTATCCTCACTGGGCACAACCACTATATCATGTAAGCTTCAATGATCCGTCGCAACAGCTGATATTTAGGTGTGCCCAATTTCACCCCTGGGATGATCTCGTAGTCTCTGCCTCTATGGATCTTACTGTCCGCGTATGGGACATCTCAGGCCTTCGTAAGAAGAATCAAGCTCATCAGGCACCGATGTCGCTGGACGAACAGGTCTCGAGAGCCAACCAGGGTCAAGCAGACTTGTTCGGCAATACCGACGCTGTGGTCAAGTACGTCCTGGAGGGACATGATCGCGGTGTCAACTGGGCTTCCTTCCATCCCACTCTTCCCCTCATTGTCTCATGTGGTGACGACCGACAAATCAAGCTTTGGCGCATGAGCGAGACCAAGGCATGGGAGGTGGATTCTTGCAGAGGACATTTCAACAATGTGTCAATGACCATGTTTCATCCTCGACATGAGCTCATTCTGTCTGCCAGCGAGGACAAAACAATCCGAGTATGGGACATGACAAAACGAACAGCGGTACAAACATTCAGAAGAGAACAAGATAGGTTCTGGGTTTTGTGCGCCCATCCTGAACTAAATCTTTTCGCCGCTGGTGAGCTCTCTCTCTCTCTCCTCGTCGACGGAGCTGATAGATCCTTTAGGACACGATAATGGGTTAATCGTCTTCAAGCTGGAGCGTGAACGCCCTGCATTCTCTCTATCTGGCAACCAATTATTCTATGTGAAGGACAAGATCATCCGCATGGCCGACCTTTCGACCGGCACCAATCAAGGAATCTGTTCCGTGCGAAAGCTTGGCTCTCAATGGGCGCAGCCACGGACGCTCAGCTACAACCCGGCAGAACGTTCTGTGCTTATAACGGCGGCAGCTGAAAATGGCACCTACGAACTTGTCACCCTCCCAAAGACATCCGCCCCCTCTCCTAACGATGGCAAAGACACTCCGTCCGACGGCAAGAAGGGCACTGGGGCTTGTGCCATATTCGTCGGTCGTAATCGCTTCGCGGTCTTGGACAAGACAGGTCAAAATATCGAGTTCCGCGACCTTTCAGCTTCACTCACAAAGACCGTCAAATGTCCCGTCACCACCAATGAGATCTTCTATGGCGGTACCGGTTGTCTCTTGCTCAGCTCAACATCTAGCGTCGTCCTTTTCGACATGCAGCAAAGCAAAGTGCTGGCGGAGATTAGTGCTCCCCCCGTCAAGTACGTCGTTTGGAGTGCAGACGGCAATACGGTGGCTTTGCTAAGCAAGCACACCATCACCATCGCCAATAAAGCCCTGGTACAAAGTGCTCTCATTCATGAGACAATACGTATCAAGTCTGCTGCATGGGACGACTCGGGCATTCTCATTTACACCACTCTCAATCACATCAAGTACGCTCTCCCACAAGGTGATAACGGTATCATTAAAACCCTCGAACAACCGGTCTACCTCACTCGCGTCAAAGGTCAGGTCGTACATTGTTTGGATCGGACAGCAAAACCACGAACGATAACAATAGACCCTACCGAGTACCGATTCAAACTCGCACTCATACGAAAGCACTATGACGAGGTTTTGCAGATTATACGCAGTAGTAACTTGGTTGGGCAGAGTATCATCGGTTATCTGCAAAAGAAGGGTTATCCGGAAATCGCATTGCACTTTGTGCAAGATCCACAGACGAGGTTTGATTTGGCTGTGGAATGTGGGAATTTGAATGTGGCTCTGGAGATGGCCAGGACGGTAGATAGAGAAGATGTTTGGGAGCGATTGGGAGCGGCGGCATTAAAGCAAGGCAACCATTCTGTGAGTAGCCTACTGCTCCCAAGTCTTACCCACTTCTTCCCTTGGGTTATCTTGCATCGAAGATCTCCGAATGACTCGAACAGTATTTGTGCTTCAAGGCGGTAGTGAAAAGGCCAACAAGCAGGAGAAATACGTAGCTGTTGCTGACCACTAGATTGTCGAGACCGCCTATCAAAAAACCAAAAACTTTGACAAACTGTCTTTCCTCTACCTCGTCACTGGTAATCTGCAAAAGCTGGGGATGATGCAAGTCATCGCGGCGAAACGGGGCGATAACATGTCTCGCTTCCAAAATTCTCTGTATCTGGGCGATGTGAAGTCCCGAGTTGCTATCCTTAGAGAAACAGGACAATGTGAGCCTTTCGAGATTTGAGCTTCGTACCCTGAACAAGTCATGCTCCAATGACCGACGAACAAGAGATGGATCAGAAGCTAATACCTAGACCCGCTCGCATACTATACAGCCAAAACTAATGGACTTGATGACACCGCCTTAGATATCCTAGAAGAAGCAGGCATGACTGAAGACGATTTACCTCCTCCACCTCAAAAGTCCGGTCACATGTCTCTTGCTCCTCCCCCAGTCGTCTTCCCTCAGACAGATTCGAATTGGCCTATCAAAAGCCTGGGCGAGTCATTCTTCGATCGCGCTCTGGCCAATGGAGGTGTTGATGGTCTCATTGGTGAATCGGCAGGTATGGCCAATGGTGGCGAGCAACTCGATGCGTGGGCGGCGGATGAGCCTATAGATGTTGAGGTCGGGGAAGACGAGGCGGAGGATGAAGGGTGGGATTTGGATGCTGAGGTGCCTATTGAGCCAGAGCCAGAAGTGGAAGTTGAGGCTGAGATCGTGGAGGCCGACCTGAGTGAGGGTGTGACAGCGGGTGTGAATGAGGATGAGATGTGGATCAAGAATTCGCCTCTAGCCGCGGATCATGCGGCTGCTGGCGCGTTCGAGTCGGCAATGCAGGTGAGTCGTCTTGTGCTGGGCTTCCTCCTCTCTATCATCTCCAGTCAGAAGAAAGTAGTGGAAGAACAGTGATCCGCCCACATGCTCGTATAAGCGGGCGAGGTGGAGTCAACAGATTGATATACGATGCTTACTATATCAGCTGCTCAACCGTCAAGTCGCTGCCGTCAACTTTGCTCCCCTAAAACCCTTGTTCTTAGCTGCCTATGAAGCTGCTCACGTCCACGTCCCCGCCAATCCTTCTCTTCCCCCTCTCGTCCTTCAGGTCCGTCGAAATCCCGAGACAACCGAATTACGCGAAGTCCTCCCTGTCATCTCGTTCACTCTCCCCGATCTGCAAGCTGGCGAAGTGGCAGAAGCCAAACGTCATTTCTCTCGTGGAAAATTCGCCGAATCCCTCACTGCCTTCCGTTCCGTCCTCCAAAAATTACTCCTAGTGGTGGCCACTTCTGCTGCTGAGGCTGAAGAGATCAAAGAACTCGTGATCAGCTGCAAAGAGTACATCATCGGCTTGACGATGGAGACGGAACGAAGACGGCTGGTCACTGAAGATGCTGACAATGTCGTGCGAAATCTAGAGCTCGCGGCTTACTTTACGCATTGCAAATTGATGCCTGCCCACGAACAGCTGGCGTTGCGGAGCGCGATGGGAGTGTTCAGCAAAGCGGGTAACGTGAGCACAGCAGCGGTGTTTGCGCGGAGATTGGTGGATTCCAGTCCTTCGGATGCCAAGGTGATCACACAGGTGAGTAGTTTATATTCGTGACTCCTTATGTGTCATATACCATCATCATGTCTACCTGACGTTCGTTCCGATGGGTGAGACTTAAACTGACCCTCCGCGTGTCCTGTTTGATTCTTTGTTCAGGGATTGTAGTGGAATGACCGAGGAGAAGACTTGAGCTAATATCTATAGGCTCGTTCCATTTTGACTGCTGGTCAACGCAACCCCCGAGACACCCACGAAATTGCATATGACCATTTCACACCCTTTGACATCTGTCCTGCATCCCTCACCCCCATTTACGCCGGCTCACCCAGCGTTCAATCCGCATACACCGGTGCGAGATATCTGCCAGAATACAAGGGCAGCATATGCGTGGTGGACGGTGTGACTCAAGTGGGAACTCCAGGTAGTGGATTGAGATCGATGGTGTAACTCGGTGCATTCGTTCCTGTTGATACTTTCGCCCACTTTGTCATCTTGCGAGGTGACAATGATAAATATAGCATGAACCAAGATGAATATTCATGAATTTGCAAATTTGCTCTCTTGCTATGTCAGCGATTGTGAAACGCTCTGATGCTCCTTCCTCGCCTCGTTACCATGTGGTCAAGTGGAAATTGACACCGCAAGTGGCGTTTGAACTGGGCGGTGGTGACGTATTGTTCCTAGTTCGTCGACATTCTCGTCAGCTTCCGAAGTACCTGTAACCGAGGTGGGTAGTGTCCATATCTTGACATCTGATGATGATGGGCTTTCCTTCTAAAATGGTCACCGACGATCACCGAGAGTACCTTAACTCCGTCATCCATCCATCCATCACTCCCTACTGGATCTCGGTCTCGTATCCAAGTCACCGATGTACCCTTACCGCCGCCCGCCGCCGCCGTACCGGAGAACCGAGATACCGAGTATCCCGAGTGACAGACTCTTTTGATTCCACATTCTTCGATTTCTCATCGATCCCTATCACTTGGTTTCCCCTTCCACAGCTTTCAAACAAGACGTTCGGTCATCCCTCGCTGAACATTCTCAACGCTATCCCATCCTTCCATCCTTCTTCCTCCTCTCCTTCCTGCCTCTCTCCCTTGCTCCCTCCTCTTCGGTGTTCGGATCTCGGTTTTTGAAACTCGTGGTATCTACTCGTAACTCCGACTTTATCAGCCGGAAGAAATCATAATGTGTAGATCCACACCTTTCATACTGTTCATATCCCGGACGGTCATTCGGTCTTTGGATACTTGATTTCGGTATCTTTACCATGGAACTATTTTCTTGATAGATTTAGTGGCTGTGTACACAGGTTGTGAGGTATGGAATTGGAGTGGTATATATCAGATTGAAGGATTGACTTGAGAGATAAGTTATTTGATATGAGAGACATTGATAGATTTTCAACAAGATATTCTGGGGTAAGGGTGAAGAAAGAGAAAATGGAAGAATTAGTTCATTTGGTCGTTTGTCCTATTAGTGCTTGGTGAGTTTTTGTTTCCTCATATCCCCTCATCCTCGTTTTTGCAATGGCTTTTCCTAAGTAGACAAATGGTCATCTTTACATCCTACACCACCCGCGTAACTCTTCCTTGAAAACGACGTAGCTAGTAGCTAAATCGTCATCTTCCCAACCTACCCCTACCGTCTCATTTTTCGTTTACAGGATGGTGGACCTTTGTGACGATAAGAAGGTTTGTATGGACAAATTGAATCTGATTTCTTAGGGGACATCTTAGACCTCTTTTCACACTTCTCTCTCATCTCTCACATGTTCATCCTCAAATTCGTATAACTGTACTCTCTGTCCCATCTGTTATCCCCCGGATCAAACATGATCTTCAAAAAGAAAGATGGGATTATACTTCCGTTCCCCCTCTCTTAGCTCAAGAATTGATACAGCGGAGAGAGAGTTTCTTGAACAAGTTGAGATTTATAGGGTTAGAGAAAGACAGAGGGGTGATGAATCAGATGTGGGATCCTAAGACGATGGATAGACAGGCGGAAGAATTTGGAGAGTTGTTAGAAGATGTTTTGGTGGAGTTACTTGACCAAGGTATGTCTGTCTTACTTCTTTGTCTTGGGCTGAAGAGGGTTCAGAAACAGGAGGAAAGCCACATTTGAACGATTCCGGAGATGTGATTGTGAATCAAGAGAGAAGAGGTTTGTTTATTCTTATTGCAGTCAGGACAACCAAAAGGATTGATCATTCAGGATATGAGATAGAAAGAGAAGAGCAATGGCCTAAACCAAAATTGTTCATCTACGATGTGAGTTTCTTCTATCTTATAGTCGAAAAAGAGAGATCGGAGTTGATAGAAGGGTTTTCAAGTTGGTTTTATACCAGCTCTTGAAGCCGCTACGAAAAGATTGAGAATACCAAATAGACCAAAAACCATGTTATTCTTCCCTTGTCTCGTATCGTGGGCAGCGAAGTGAGTTCCTCACTCTGCTTCTCCTCACATCTTTCTCCCATTCCGCCTCACCCCATTCTTCCCCTTTGGAACCAATCTTCGATCACCTCGGGTTGAAGTAGAATACCAGAGTCAGAAACCGTGGAATGGAGTAAAAAGGGCATGATGAGAGGGACTATTGTACGAAGAATTGACAAACAGCTGCTGGGCCACAGTTGAAGAGGGATCAGATCTCGCCCGAGCCGTAGAGAAAACCGACCGGATAAAAATTGCTACGGGTCTAGACGAGGCGGAAGCAATGGGAATCGCATTCTCAACCTTCACTAATGATATCATCAAGACACCAGGGCTGGACCCGATATATGATCGTGAGTCGTCCACACGACCTTTATCCCTTACGGTGCTGATTGGACAGATGAGTATTGTGAGTCAATCAACTGATCCCCATAGGCACTATCTATTCGGTCTCATCTGCATACTCTCTTTCTCACTCTGTCTTGAGATATTCTATAAGATCAGTGTTACAGGAGTTTATCATCAGGAGTCTATGAGGTGGATAGGGCTCAAAACAGAATGCTAAGTAGTCTAGACCCTCAATTTCACTCGATTCACTCGTTACCCTCACTCATGGCTGTCCGACGATCTTTATGGCATCAACGTGAATACTGTGACGGTTTTATCTTTTCTTGGGATCCTGAGTTGGAGCCTGAAGCTCGGGAAGCTTTTCAACGTTCCACAGGGAAGTCATGTTGGCCCATGGGGTGAGTTTCATCCATCCTCAGAATGAGATCCATGCTTTGTCGTCTCCGGTGTTTACTGTCGATATTTCAACGGAAGCCGCCCACCATCAAGATGGCTCCCAAATATCCCCCTCCCCGTCCGCGTACGGGTTCGTACGGGCTCCTGAGATCCTTGACCGGATGATAAATTATGGTGTTTTTGACTGAGACGTAGCTTACAACTTGCTCCTGAGATCTGGGAAGGTGTACTCCCTCGTGTAGATGAACAGGGAGAAAAGATAGTCCGGTGGTTAGATCATGTCAAAGATGTACGAGGATCAGGTTCTGTTCTCTATATCTGGTGAGCTCCCTCTCACCACTTCTATCCAGTTACACGTAGATGGATTGCATAAGATATCTCTCCCTGGGGCCAGTCGCAAATCGACGGTCCAGACCGGGTTGATCAAACCATCGAGTGGTGACTGATGAGCAGCTTCGGCTCCCTTTTCTGGCCAATGCGTCGACCAGATCTGATCGAAACTCTCCTAAAAGGGTTGGTATCGAATGACCAACCCTTCATTCTCTTCGCTTCGGCACCAAACTCCCTTGTCACGGAAGAGATGCGTGATGTTGTAAATCATTACGAATGGGGATATATGAAAGAAGGTTTTGGTCCTCAGGATTTGGTGTTAAAACATGATGCCGTGGGGTTCTTTCTGGTGGGGTTTCTCTTCTTTACTCTTCTGATCCTTCTCCTTGCCTATTTGAAGTCACGTACTGGTTTTCACGGATGTAACTTTGTGAATTGAGAGGACACAGGGTAGAAAGACCGGGAGTGATGAACTCACGGGACAGTCTCATATGGGTACCAACTCGGTTGCTGAAAGTATCTTGGCTGGGAAACCGTTTTTGTGTATGCCATATCTGGGTGATCAACCGGACATGACTCAGAGGAGTGAGTATCTCTATATTCTTTCCATTATTTGTCGTTATTACAGAGCTACAATCTCACCTCACCAAATCATCCCTTCCATGCAGATCCATCCGAGTAGAGAACGGGAAAGTGATTGACAGACAGTGAGTCGACAATATGGCACTGCCATTGAACTCCTTCAACTTCGTACGAACGGAGTAGGTCAGAAGACCTTTGACGGACAGTCGATACTCAATACTCCTGAAGCCGTCTTGACGGAACTGGCCCAGGTCCTTGGACGTATTCGTGGAGAAGAAGGATTGAGGATGCGAGAGAATGTGATCAAGTTGAGGGAACGGATCATCAAGAGTTGGAGAGAAGGTGGGGCGAGGAATATGATAGAATCTTTCTGTGATAATTGGGCTTGATGTATGTATGTATGTACGCACAATTTCTTGTAGTACATAAATGCATTTTTTGCTGGCCCAGGTCAGGTCACTGGCTCACTGGGGGACAGATTGTTATTCATGGAGTTGTCGGAGCTGAGGCCCGTGCGTAAATGCCACACTGCCACATTCACCATGCAAGCCTATTTCTTACCTTTACGCTATTAATGAACCTCCGCAAAGCCCGAAACGATGCCGCATGGTGCCAAAAGGTCAAAACACCGCCTTAGCAGGGAATCCACCCCATGCCACTCAACTTGGTACTCGGTCATCGTCGTCAAGTCTCAGTCATTCCTTTCTCTTTCTCTCCTCATACAAAAGCACAAAAACGCACAGACCTCCCCTTGTCCCCATTCACCCATTCATCCCTCCACCTATCACTTTTTGCCACTTTTGACACCTTACCTTAACAACCACATTTGCACACTTTTCCTCTTTCCCATTTCTTCCCTCGTCTCCTCGTTCGTTGTACACTTTCTAAACTCTTCACATTCTCTTTTCCTTTCTCTTCATCTTGAAAGATCATTCACCGACATGATCTATTCCACCGCTTTACCACTTCTCACCCTTTTCGGTTTAATCAATCTTGGTGTTGAAGCTCATACTGGTTGCGGAGGACATGAAATCGGTCGTCGAAACCCTGGTGGGAGATTGATAGAGCGTGCTCCGACCGATGAGGAAAGTGCTGCGTCTTCGTTAGGTTTGTCCTTGTTTCTCTTCTACAACTTTCCTCCACTGTGTTTTTCTTTCTTTTCATATATTCTTTTGTTCACCTCCACTTCCATTTGAGCCCATGTGTAAAAATGCCAAAATTACCCTTTTCGACAACGTCTCATACGTATCATTCAAATTCCTCTCTCGTCAAGATTAAAAACCAATTAACCATCGTCCTCTACGACTGAAACATTCACAAGCTTCCAAAACCCAAACCCATGAAACAATCTGACACACAGATGTCACCTACGAATGCACTGCCTATTCATACGCTCCAGTCCTCAATATCAAAGACAGATATCCTACTATATGGCAAGCAGCCTATATACTTCCGGACGACACTGAAGCTCAAACTCTTTTCGCTTCTATCAATGCTACATTAAACGAAAAATTCCCTAATATCAAACCTAAGGGTACATCGACGGGAGATTTCACAGGTGTTGCTTATAATGCTACAGATCCTGATTGTTGGTGGACTTGGCATCAGTGTACAACTCCAAATCAATCTACTGGTTTACCACCTGATATCATTTCGACTCCTGAACCTGGTACATGGGGTTTAGGATTTGATGATGGACCGAATTGTAGTCATAATGCTCTCTATGACTTTTTGAGGGATCAGCAACAAAGTGCTACCATGTGAGTTTGGTTTCACTATTGACTGTGGAATCTCTTCATGTCTTTCACCTCATTTGTGATATCTCGTATTGTTCAGGACGCCGACCACTGAAGGAGACGATTTCTCTTTCTCCTTCTCCCCCTTTCAGTCTTTTCGTGATCGTCCAACGAATGAAAGCTGTAAAGGGATGACTGGAGGTTTGTGCGAGAAAAAGGAGCTCGGGTTTGTGAAAGGGACACCCGAGATGGTCTGATCGTCAAAGGTATGCTTGGACAATCAATCGTCTGACGATGGAAATGTGGAAGCAGGGAGAAAAGCTGTTTCGGAAGAGCCAGATCCCGGAATTTTCATCTGGGCTGATCACTGACCGACAGGTTTTACATCGGATCAAACGTCATGGATTGGCCACTGCAGGCAATGCGTGCTCTGACCGACAACCACCAAGTCTGCGTTCACACCTGGTCGCACGAGTCAGTATCTCAGTTCACGTCTTCACACATTTGACCCATTTCTTCTCGTATACACCCTATTCGACACTCAGTTCAAATCATGGCTTCTCGTGCGACGCTCATGTGACAGATACATGACCTCATTCACCAACGAAGCCGCTTTCGCCGAACTGTACTACACTCAAAAAGCTATCAAAGAAATTCTTGGCGTCACACCTCTATGCTGGAGACCCCCCTACGGTGACATTGATAACCGAATTCGTACGATTGCAGCGGGACTCAATATGACTTCCATATTATGGAGTGATGACACTGTGGGTTCCCACGTTTATCATCATCTTTGCGTTTCAATCATCTGAGTGATCGCGATCGGGCGGCATGCCATGTGTGGGCGGTGATAATGAGCTGACTGGCATAGGAAGATTGGCGTGTAAACGCTCCAGGATCCAATGTAACTGCCGCCGATGTGGACAACAATTACAACGCCGTCATCGGTAAAGTCAGTAACGGTACCTATGTCAATTCTGGACCTGTGGTACTCAACCACGAATTGAGTACGTCTTTCCCCTTCATTGCTTCCGCCTTAAAAGATACTGATGATTCCAGACAACTACACAATGACAGTATTCATGAATCACTATGCCGATATCAAAAAGGCCTTCACCTACGTCGTTCCCATCGCCGCTGCGTACAACACCACCCATCCTTACTTGGAATCCAACATTACTTTCCCTACTTTTAGCCAATATGTGGCCGGTCAACAAAACGTCACGACCAGCCCGAGCACTGGTACCGACTCTAGCAGTAGTACATCTCCCTCTGGAACATCATCAGCATCAAGCTCGGCATCATCCTCGTCTTCCAGCTCTGACTCAAAATCCGCCGCTGGACGTGGTGTTGTGGCAGGGACGACTGGTCTCGTCCTTGCTTTATTGGGTGCGGGTCTGGCGTTACTCGTGTGAAATGTAAATGACCGACTTGGTTCACTGCTCATTTAAGAATACGTCTCGATGGGTGATCGTGGTTTCTGTGTCAAGTCCACATCAGTTCATCATTTGTGGACCATGGCAAAGGGGATAAACATTGTTAGAGAGTTAGCAGTCGACAGACCCGTCGGCTGGAATGACGAGTCATGAGTAGAAGGAAACGAAGAAGGACAATTAATTCACATACATCCACGATACAATCTTTAGTAACACTTTAGTGTCCGTTGCATCACATGCATCCATCTCCCCTTGTAGTATCCTCACCTGGTTGCTGACCTTTGAAATTGCTGCTTCTGTCTATACCACCCATAAACCCGTTCACTCTGCCACTCGTCGTCAATTGTCGCCAAAGCTCATGGAGGAGCCCCGCATTCGCCAAACTGGATAATCCTGACGGAGCTCGAATTAATCCCGACGTAAATTTGGCCATTTCCCACAAATCCCGTCACAACTGGCGAGGATCCCGTCACTACTCACCCAAATCCCTGCGCTCCCTCAATATTGAGGATTCTTGAGATGTAAGAGGTGTAGAGTGATCCTAGAGAGTTCAGGATGCATAAAATGCAGAGAGATCAGGTGTATCATGCATATTGACAGCTCCTAGACGCGTCCGAAACTCCTGAAAGAGGTCCGAAAGGTGTCC